AAAAAAAAAAAAGTCGACAAAAAATCTTAGCAGTCACATTTCGGGTTGAAAGGCGAATGTCGGAGTTTGTGTCGCCTTTCAGTTCAGTGTGCTCATTCAACCTCTCACGATATGCTCATTGCAACGGTGCCAGAGTCCGCTGGTTCAAAGCCTGCTCTGTCTCCTCTTCGGCTGTTCCTACTCACTTTTTGCATGGTTGGAATCCAGTTCACTTGTGAGTAGTTTGCTTTCAACGTTGAATGACCGCTTAGTAAGAGCGCTCTTAGTAAAACCCTCGATTTCCTTATCTAGGGACCGTAGAACTCTCGTAGGTTCTTCTCACTGTATTTACAGATTAATATATAAATCCACTCAACTGAACAAAGCTTAAAAACTCGTTAGGTACGGCACTCCATATTTGCTTTCACTAGAGCTGTCAAAGGAAACGACGGCCCTGGTGTGGCTTGCAGGCCCAATGTCAGGTAGGCATTAAAAGCGCATTCAACAAAAGCATATCAGCAACTAAAAGCTGTTCATCGTAGGACTGCTGATGCAGCCTTTGATAGGAGTTCTGAGCGATCGCACTACTTCTAGATTTGGAAGACGCAGGCCTTACATCGCTATAGGAAGTGTGCTAGTTTGTTGTTCATTGTTGGGTGTGGCATTCGCTCGTGACATTGCAGCATTTATGATCAATATCTTGGGCAAAGAGGCTGAAGACCCTCTTCATTACGCTGTAAGGTAAATTTTCTTTATAACAACATGATTATGATCTGTCTCTGACCTCACTGCAGAGAATTATCGCAATTGTGCTCTTATGGATCCTCGATTTCGTTTTGAATGCGGTACAAGCATCGTGTCGAGCTCTCATAGTCGATGTCCCACCTGTATGGCAACAAGACGCAGCGAATGCTATGGCATCTTCCATGTCGAATATCACCATGGTTTTCACATACATTGTCGGCTTCCTGGATCTCACTGCATACCTTCCGGTCGCAGGCGACTCGCAATTCAAGGTTCTTTGCGTGATTGCAATATTCGTGTTCCTGGTAGCTCAGTCTGTTACATGTTTATCTATAACAGAGGAGGTGTATGATGTTATTGAAGCAGATTCAACGTAAGTAGCTTTGTAGAATGACGCACGTAGGCAAATTGGCTAAAAGAAATTAACACCAGATCGTGGCAAGATACAGCAAGGCAGGTTCTCCATTCTTTCAAATCCCTTCCTCGACCTATACAATTGGTATGCAATGTCATCTTCTTCGCGTGGATGGGATGGTTTCCATTCCTCTTCTACAGGTATATACTTCGATAGAGCTGTTACTGACTGTTCGCCATGCAAATTGTGGCTCTAATGTCTCTCATTTCGACAGCACCACCTGGGTATCAAGTATTTATTTTCAAACTCACCCAGATAAAGATTCAAGTGATTGGGCTAGCGGAGCAAGGGCAGGGTCGTTTGCGCTATTGTGCTATGCCATTGTTGCTGTGATCTCTGGCATACTTCTTCCGGCGCTGACCACTCATTCCATTCGAAACGTCACTCTAAAGAATGTGTGGACCTTTTCATTATTGGTCTTTTCAATCACTATGATCTCAACTTGTTTCGTTTCTACTGTTAGCGGAGCAACCGTCATACTCTCACTCCTTGGCTTATCATGGGCTTGCATCATGTGGATCCCGTTTGCGCTCATCGGAGAGTACCTTAATATCTACAATGATAGCCATCGTGCCACATATCAAGAACCTATCCTACCTAAAGTGACATACGGAGCACTCCACCGCGCTAGAATAGGTGAAGGGAGCGGCAGCTTGGATGACATGGAAGCCAATGATGTATCTCGAAATAATGATTGGCTTTTGTGCAGTCAATGCGAATCCGGTATGGTTCTGGGGATCCTCAACATGTACGTTGTGTTTCCACAGTTTGTGGTTGCCATCATTGCCTCGGCCATCTTCTACTTTGTTGATTTGGGTGTAGGAGATAACCTCGAGGATAATACCACATACAAAGGTATCTCAATACTCTTACAATTTTCGGGAATCATGGCACTTGTAGCCACTGGGCTCAGTAGATATGTCATAGATGTGGAGATTGGTCCCAAAAAATCCACTTAGAAGGCGAATTAGCAAAATAATGAGATTAGCATGTTACGAAACATATATAAAATATTTATGTCAGTATTTTGAGTAAATATACTGGAAGTTGGTATCAAAAAAAAAAAAAAAAAAAAAAAAAAAAAAAACACGTTATGGTGAGTATTGTCATCCGACTCTTGGGATTGAAATGCTCCAGCTGTCTGACTTGGCAGCAGGACAAAAAGTCAAAAGCGGCGTTTGAACATATGCAGCGCTTTCGAGAATTTTATCGAACGGTTCCTATATATCACAAGCACATTCCTCACATTAATGCCATATAAAGGACGAAAACGACAGAAGACGATAGTTCAAGGCAAAAAACCGCTTAGGATTGACGATTCAGAGAGCCCTGATTCTGAAGACGACACCAGCTCAAGTTCCGCAGAGAATCATGAGATTGAGGATCATAGCAGCACTGAAAATGAAGAGGAAGACGAACGTGCTGCTAGTTCAGAAGCTCCAGAAAACCACATGTCGCTCCCTGTAGTAGCAAGAATGGACGATCAGACCGGTTTATCCGTAAGTTTTTGAGAGCGTGGTGCGTTGCAATTTTACTGTATACTCCATGCTCACTGATAACAAACAGTCCACAGCCAAACAGCGACCGTTGAAGCGGTTTGATATTGCACCTTTGTTCAGTGCAGAATTCTCCAAATTTCAGCAACGTAAGGCAATTTTCATGGTATTACCATGCCAATACTAGATCAAAGTTAAGATAACGTAACCTTTTTTTTTTATTTGGTGTTTGATGTACTCTATAGAACGAGAGTCAGAATTGCTGACGACCCTCAAAACTCGACGACACCTGACGAAACGACACCGACAATTATCCAGAGATGCGCTGAAAAAGCGGGCGCTTTTAGAGGAGCAAAAAAATTTACTCAAACAGCTGGAAGTCGACATTACATCGCTTACTACTGGACTGAAAGACATTCGCAATGAACGAGCGCGCAAAAGACATGGAGTACGCGTCCTTCCCTCCTCCAAGTCACAACCATAACAGCTCATTTGCCCAAATGTGTCCCCAGCCACTTATTGCTGGCGCTGTAATCAGGAGCATACGTGACCATGGTAGTTTATCTGTTCAGCCTTTGTTCCGCTAACATAAACTGCTACCTAGATTGTATATTTTGTGAAGTTTTTTCTTTTCTTTATATGTATATATATGAAAACACCTTCTGTGATAACTGTACATGTTTTGCTTTGGAATAATGACTGGCGTTTTGGTTGCAAGGGCACAATTACCATTTTAGTCCCGGCCGCGGAAGCATGCTTTGATCAAACCTGGTTGAGAACAGTTTGAGATCCGCTTTACTTGTGACACAGAACTACTGTTTGGCTTATTATTATCCCCCTCTCCCTTGTCATCGGTCGCCAGTCTGTTCATCCTGTGAATTGGTATCATATTTTACATTCGTTATAGCCGCATCGATTTCTTGTACGGGCTTTAATGATGAGGTTACTATTGACTCCTGTGAAACTTCGGTTTCTATAAGAGCACCTGAGTCATGTGGGGAAGTGGATAATTCGCCTGGAATGGATAAGGAGTCGGTGGAAGGTGACCTCGAAGAACCCTCGCCTTTTGATCGTTGAACAGCAGCACTATGTGACCTCCGATGCCGTAAGGGTGGTTGATGCCTTACAGTGGATGGTCCAGCTTGATTCCTCGTTCGTTGAATTTTTGCTCTTAATGCTTCCATGACTTGCTCATGTGGAACGTTTTCAGGGTCTATATCAGAGGATGGTCCCATCAAGGACAAACTGCTGGCCATGGAATGAGAGCGCTTATGCGTTTGCCTTGATTCATAATGCGATGGTATCCGTGAAGATGGCGAAAGGGGATTTCCAAAGTCCAAGCCGTCGGAATCGACTTGATGTTTATAATTGGATGGATCTCGAAAGAAGTCCATGTGCTTGTCAGACTCAGAAAAATGATCTCTATTGAGCGGCAAATTTTCACGTTAGTAGAAGTATTGAAAAAGGGTCAAGAAAAATGAAAGAGACTGACTTTTTCGTAGACAGTTGAGGTGTATGCTCAGGCGATGAATTGGGTAAGGATGAAAATAAGGTACCGAAAGGTTCAGCATAAGTGAAGCTATTAGGAGACCCTGTGGAGGTTGGGACGAAGCGATCGGATAACAAAGACATTGGTGATGCATGTCTATCGTCTGGTATGGCTATATCATATCACGCATTAGGTTATAGGGAGAGAAAGGTTTCAATTCGTTTAGACACTTAAAAAAAAGAAAAATCTGAGGCTGTCAAGTGATCCTTACATGTTACATTAGGTCTCATACCTGGTAATTGAGGATCGCTTGGGTGTGTGAAGTGAACACCTGCACTGTTGGGTGCTTTGGATTCTCGTAGTAACTCCAGTTCTATCGTTTTAGATCTTAATCGAGCTTCCTCGGCTTTACAATTCTCTTCAGCCGTTCGTTTCTAAGAAAGTATAATTCGATTAGAATGAAACACCACCAATATCAGAAATAGCACGAGCGTATTAAAGATACCTTGTCTTCCTCTGCTTTCGCTAGTAATATGACCTTTAATAGCTCCACGTCATGTTGATAGGTATCCAGAATATCTTTGATTGAAATATCACTGTATAGTAGAGGAGTTTGAGTAGGAGAGGGCCATTGAAAGTTTGAAGACGTTCGACGATCTTGCTGCTCGCAAGCTTTTGAATCGAAATGGGACATTAGCAATTCAGCGGACAAATAAAAAGGGGAATGAGCATAAAGATCAGTTTATAAGAAGACAACTTTCTGCACACACACCGAGAAAAGTCACTCTATAAAAAAGTTGTAGGTCCGCCCCCGTTGACCAACATGGCAGTCCAGGGTCTCTTCGCATACTCTGTGATTGGAGGATTTCTAAGCGCGCCCTTTTGGGAAGGGATCATGGCACTTGGGATGGATTTTTCCCCATGTCATGTTTTGTAGATATTTTTGGCTTTAGTGTAACAAGACACCAATCTTTATTTAGCTCATTTGTATGAGCTCGTCAAGAGGTCCTCAACCTCTGTTAAGACTTCAACTTGCGTTGTGATGAATTTTTTTTTTTTTGGGGATGATCTATCCCCTGTGAAAATCTTTTTTTAAAATCCTATCCTTTCACCGCGCTATTTGTTTCTCTATAGCATGACCTCATGTCCCTGTCGCATCTTTTACGGGATGATGTAGTTGAATCGGTTATCACTTAGCGCAATTTCGCCACACGCAGCCACTTTTGAGCTTGTTAATATTGCTAACCGGATAAATTATCGCATGACAGCAACGCCAACGGTCATGAGTTAAGGCATCACGTAAAGTATATTAAGGAAATAAGAATACCCCCATTTTAAACTGAATTGAAAGAGCGGAAAGTCTGTGAAACGCGACACCTTGAAAGAACAGCTTTATGAACGAATATCTTTGGGAGGACAATGGAATGATGTCGCACACCTCTCTTAGTGACATACTGAGTTTTAATCTGAAGCAAGCCAAAAAAAAAATCTGTGCTGTGACGGCTTTATTTTCAACTGAGGGGCATGCCGCCTGTTTTGGCGTCTTTGAAAATCTATTCACAGTTTCCAACGCGAAAACTACGCGATGACTCAATCTACGAACATTGTGGCTAATCCTCTACTTGTGTTGGAGAATCTTTTTGGTATGCTCAATTACATTACCATCTTGCATAAAATTGCAAAAACTAACTCTAGTCCATTAGAACTATCTATTTCAAAAGGTGATCGCCCAACCGAATTCGATGCGTCTAAATATCTTGAGGATATGTTGCAATCAGATCTAGATCTTGCAAAGGTTTGAATCAAATTTGCCTTGAACTTATTATATCAAGCTCACAACTTGTCAACTTTACTCATTCAAAACCGCATACTTTTAGATCCCCTCTTTAAACTTGAGCAATCCCGCAACTTTACCAGTGGATAGTCTTGTTCGTTTCCGATGCATGGTACAGGATTCCAATCTTGGACCTGAAATATTTTTGAAGTTGCATGAAGTTTTCAATGCCACCACTGGAGAAAAGCAACTTCGAAGTACAAAGTACTGTGACGCGGATGTTAGCGCTATTGTATGTTACTCTACTTTCGTCCCTCCGTTCCTATTTGCACCCAACCCAATCTAACTGGAACTCTTGTATGCAGGATCAGTTCAATGAAGGTCGCATTCCAAACGAGTGGCTGGATGAGCGCTCGGTGTTGTATTGTGTCAGTCCACCGGGAGAATCACTCTGGATGAAGCAACAAGATCATCCAAGCGTCGGTAAGTAGCAATACTGTTTGCATCAGTGTGTTACGTATAGTAATCTTTTTCATACATGCATCATAGACCAGCAATTGGAAAATATGACACTTGGCGAAGTTAATTACCCCGAAAGTGATTCTCATGCTACAAATAAGTTTCCCCTTCCTGGCATCCCTCACTCTGACGCGGTTGTAAAATTGTATGGAGCTGACAGAAACATTGAGGTTGGAAGTCGAATTGAGGTCATTGGAATATTAAGCAAACCCAGGTAAGTAACTGAGTGATGGGTTTTCTGTGTTATTGACGTAAAAAAAAAAGCTGTGCTCTGATTTTTTGTGTGTCGGTATTGTTCTAGTCATAGTGGCGCGTCAGAGGATTCAATAGATGACTTCGACCTACCTAAAGCATCTTTCCCCAATACCCCCGTCATCCATGGTATATATTGCAGAAAAGTGAACAGCATCGACATTCTACCAGTTTCAAAAGATGAAATCAGTGCGGCTAAGCAACAAGCATGTGATTTAAGAGCACAGTTATTAGAATACCTTGGAAACGCTTTCGGAGGCGATGTCATGGTTGCCGAATATGTTCTTTTACAACTGCTTTCTCGCGTGTAAGGATACTCTCATTCTTTCTTCACCAAGCGACTAACAACTGCAATACTAATATTTAAATTCGTCTCAAATTCAGAACTTCAAAACGTGGCGCATTTGCACTAGGACAGTTTTCCGTTAACGTCACAGAGTTTCCTTCAGAAACTTCGGCAGAATCGGCTCAAAATGGAAATTCCATCCAGAGTAAATTTTTATCGGCAAACTCATCCACCAGACACATCTCCAGCATTTTGCAGAAGCTCCTCCCAGCATTTGTGGAACTTCCTCTGTCCCTAGACGTCTTGAACACCACTAATTTCTATCCAAGATCCAACGATGAAAATTTACACGCAGGAGTACTTCAATTGCTTGATGGAACGACTGTTTTAGTGGACGAAACAATGCTAAAGGAGGGAACGTTAAAGGAACAAGGTAAACTGCATTTCCAGCATTGGCGCCTTGCCGTTTCGCATAGATGTTGATAATATCTCTAGGCGTAAAGAATATGCGAGCTTTGAACAAGGTCATCCAGCAACAAGTCCTTGGATATGCCTATCCCTTCCATGAATTTGATTTAAGTACTGATATAGGATTCATCGTTTTATCTCGAGCCAAGTCAATGTTCCCGGTAAGTCACTGCAATATGATGAAATACGGGTATTGGATCATCTGACATTTAATTCCAATGTAGTGTCATTGCGTCGTCCCACTTTCCCAGTCTGCGGGCTTGCCGCTGCTGGCTTCAGATGACAATGGGTCGCTGAAAGTTGCTGAGAATGTACTCAGCAGTTTCCGAAAATACATTCATATACTTAAATATTCAGATTATGATATTCCGCAAGCAGTTTCCGAGGTAACCATTTGGATCATGCTCAATGACGCAGCACGCGATTTGCTCACCGCATCTTTTCCCTAGCATATACAAGAACGTTTCGTGGAAACAAGAAAGCAAGCCGCTAGCGAATCTCTTCCATTACCCACCCAAGACGATCTTATGCTACAATTGAATCTGGCAAGGTAAACCAAAAAAAAGGAATGCCTTCTAAAACTATAGCATTGAGACGTTGCTGACACATTTCATTTGTTATTCAGATTAGTTGCATTATCTTTTGGATCCAACGAGTTGACCCAGGAGTTTTTCGATTACACAATCAATCTTGAAAAAATGAGAGTGAGCAGATTGGAACCCAATAGTACGACTGAGCCACAGAAATAGAAAGAAGAAACGTCTGTAAATAGATTTTCGTGTTCCTTCAAAAGCATAAAATTAGTGTAAAAAAATAATATGAATTTTTGATATGTTTTCGGATACGTTGAACAAGGTAAAGAGCTTGGGTAATAATGGATATTGTTTTATTTTTACATGAGCTCTCGGTTTATTTTTTATCGCAATTGGACGGACAAGTCTTCTTCCACCGTGGAGCGGACTTTCTCTTGGATGGCATTAATTTCCTCGTTGGTTACATTTCTGAAAAGTATGGATAGCGCATTAGATCTGGCACCCGTTGCCTTGAAACAAGATTGGAGAATGATTTACCTATCCATTGATCGGTATGTAATTCTATAGCATACACTTCGCTTTTGTGTTTTTGGGTGTGTGAAATCATCGATCTGTAAAATCATGGTATATGGGATTAACTTTTTCGTACGTATAAGGCTACTTAGTCATCGCAACAACCAAAATACCTTGGTGACATTTTCAACAATGTCGCCAGCAACACCTCGCACAATTTCGCAAAAGTTGTTTTCATTCCAGTCCTTTTCAGGAAGCCAGAAACTGATATCTTTCAAACATGGAGGGAACTTTGAGAACGGCTTGAACTTGACGATTTCTCCAGCGGCGAACTGACTCAAAAACCTTTCGTCTTCCGACCAAAACAAACGAATGTCAGGAATATCGAACAAAACCATAGACAATCTTTCAAGTCCACATCCGAATGCCCATCCTATCTTATTTTGAAGACCTATTCAGGGAAGGAAAGTGTCAGTGTTATGTAGAGGTGGTGGTCCGTTTTAACACTGCATGCTGGCTTACCAGCGGCATCCATCAAATCTTGTCGAACAATACCACATCCACAAATTTCCAGCCACTCTCCTTGGTAGAAGATTTCCATCTCCCAGCTGGGACTGGTAAAAGGGAAGTAGGCATCAATCCAGCGAACTTGCAGATTGGGTTCATCCTTGAATAATGCGCGAACCATTGAATTTAACGAATGCTTAAGATGTGCAACGACAGCTTGAGCAGCTTCAGGAGCATGTCGGTCTTGTATTGGGTTTTCTGGTTTGACCAAAGTATCGTCGACAAGTTGAACAGTGTTGGCTGCTAATTCAGCTTGAGATGCTATATCATCTTGAACTTGTTTAGCAGTGATTTCTGGATCCATGTCAAAGTATTGTAAGCCTTCCATTTGATGAAAGACAGGATAATGAGAACTGTCAATTTCATCACGGCGGTAAACATCACCACTTATAAGGAACTTAGTTGCTCCAGACTCTAGGCCCTGAAGTTGGTGTGCGGATGTGTGCGCACGTAGCATGTTGGTGGCATTGATGTAGTAATTATCAGACTTCACACGTGTGGGATGATCGGCAGGAATGCACAAGTCATCGAAATTCATTTTGGTAGTGACAGTGGGCTCAAACCTATTGAGAGCTTTGAATGTAGCAAAATGGTTTTCAATACGTTGACGAATAATCGAAATTGGGTGAGATTGGTGAAGATGGAGCTTTCGAGACGTCTTGGACAATATGTTTGGAGTGACATTTGTCCATTCATCCTTAGTGTATTCTTGTCCACAGACATTAATCGTATCTTCTGATTGTACACCTGCTTTATTTCGAGCACTGTTAAAACCCAACATAAAGAACCGGCCAGTCTTTCATAGACAATACGTCAAGTTACTTACCAGCAGCACTTTGGTCATTCAAACGGAATGCACTAGTTGTGAATGCACACTTATTGAACTGAATGCTCTTTGACCAAACGGAGACCTCTAAAGCACCATAGAGGCTTCGGTTCACCAAGGGTTTTACGTGAGTTACGACCCGGAGCATTGCTTCTAAATTGTATTGACACTTCTTAGTGGCTTGCTGTCGAAATTTCAATTCAAAAATCAAGGGGTGGGACTGCCTTTTTTTTTTTACACTTTCTTTCATACTCAAGCACAATGCCGAACGCAAGGAAAAAGAGGCAGGCAAAGAATGAAGATTTCAAGGTATGCTCCTACATTCGAATACGACATATGATAAGATACATGGCTAAACTCTATCCTTAGAAAACTCGACTGAAAGTCGGTAAAAAGAAGGCTGTCGCTGACAACTTCACTGACACTTCATTCAAGTCCAAGACTATTAGTCTACCAAATCAGAGCATTACTGAAGACAAAAGCAATCTCTTGACGAATTCTCGAAATTTAACGTTATCGACCTTGTTGTCACAAATGCGACATTACAGTGCGGGCACCCGTAAAGGTAGAAATCGATCAAATTTGTTTCAACCTTAATTTGAAGACACTAACAGATCCTTTGATTCACTACAGAGGCCATACAACAGATCCAAGACATGTGCGAGAAGCACCCAGGTTTACTTTCAGCATCACTAAACTCAATTGTCAACGCAAGTTTGAAGATCCTTGTTGATGAAGTAAGTACATCGAATTTTAGCGCAGGTCATTATAGCAGCATTAATTGGATTTTTTAGGATCGAGATGTACGCAAAGCTCTGTTACAATTTCTAAAAAGCTCGTTCCCGGAATTAGAAAAGGTTTGTTGATCGACATGGAGAGTATACAGCCTATACATATAATTGACCATTTGACATAGACCGAAATCGTACCATTTTTGTCATTGTTGACTATCTACACCTGCTCAGCAATCACTCACATTTATGAAGATGTGAGGGCAGACGCCATCAAGTTTATGGATTTGTGGATTGATTTAGCACCAGAGTTCATCGTATCAAGATATTGGGATAAGGTAATTCTACTCTTTAGCAGTATACATGTTGAAGTTCCCAAACTAACTTCGTATGCAGGTATTGGGAAACTATATCTCCTTGATCGCCGTAGACTCCAATGCATCAAATATTTCAAAAGCCCATGTTTCTGGTTTACCTAATATGACATCAAACATGACAAGCTCGTCAGTGAAGAATGTAGCCTCCAAGAGTGGCCTTCATTCTCACAAGGCTAAAGTTGATGTCTTGTCTAGCATTTATAACCTTCTCAATGCTGGCTTGTCTCGCGGCTCCAATGACCCTTATTGGTTCTTTGTTGAGTACTTGAGTGACGAGAGTGCTAAAAAGAGATTTCGTCTGAAGTTTTTGAATAAGCAAGATGGTGGTGACATGGATCAAATCACTTGGCATGCAGATGGAACGGTATGGTGGACCCCACGCAGATCGCACAGCGTATAACTTCAGCATTTGACAGATTTATTTGCAGGTGAATTATAAACCAAGCGACCCCAAGGCGCAGTCATTCGCGCCAACACTTACCAATTCAGCCTATGCTACTTCCTCGTTCTCTCATCTGAATTTATTTGAAAGCACCGATATAAATAGTGGGACGGGAATCACTGCTAAAGAGCAAGGAAAATCAAACACATCAGATGAGTCTGCCCCAGACAGCAAATCAACTGCCAGCCGAGAATATGATAACACTAAGGTATAAATTTATCCACTTGTATCTGTCCAGTTCAAGATGAATGTCATTACTGATAGTCTTACCTCATTTGTAGTCATTAATTCAAATTTTCCAACCTTCTCTACTATCTGCATGGCTAGATACGGCCCCATCTGTGTTCTCAGCATCCGCACCGATAACGTACACGCCAGCTTTACAAACCCTTCACCTTGTACTCAAAATTATGGCTGTACTTTGGAGAGCATCACTAAACGACAATATTGGTGAAGACATGACAATTGGGTTTTTAAATACTCAACTAGAAGTCATTCTGAAACACTTTATGACATATTTCCCATACGGCCGAGATAGTCTAGGACGACGAGATCAAAAGGTATGGATGGGTCAAAGTACCGGACATGGCTACGCAGTGTGATATTTTAACCGTTGGACTTATCTCTGTAGGCTGATGCAACCATTCAAGAAATGAATATCATCATTTGCGAATTGACATCACTGTTTTTAATGGCTATAAAAACCATCCAGGCTAGAGAGATGGCAACTTTCAATACTTCATCGTCCAAGCTGACTCAAGTAAAAGCAAGTGGCAAACGTAAACAACCTGTAACAGAAAAACCGCAAGCGCTAGCATCCTGGACTGATCATGTTGTGGATCATGTCCTCGACTTACTAGGAAGAGAAGTACGTCAAATGATTATGGTTTTATGTCGTCTAGTACAAGCTCTAATATCACACTTCAGAACCTTAATCAGAATGCCGCTAAGAAACCAAAATTAACTGTCATGCCTGAGGGTATGACAACAGCCACAAGTGACTTTAGAGCAGATCAGCTGCAGGCGTTACTTCCAAGCATTTGGGGTTTGCTCAACAGCTTACCAACTGACGAGCAAACTGAACTATTCGAAGCCTTTTTAGCCTATTATAATCGACTTGGGGCGAACTCGCAATCTAAACATATTGCATTAGGATTTTTGTCCAGGGTGTATATGGTATGTGCACACTTCATTGTAGGAATATTGTCCATCCATCTTGCGGTACTTACATTCTTCATATTAGATTCAATTTGAGCCCCAATACAATGGCAATTTCACTGTTCGTCACAACGCCATATTTACCGAAAAGATGCGCGTATGGCTACTGACTTTACCGAAGTTGCTATGGGAGATCAGATCTAATAACTTGGAGACTACTGCAGTACGTACTATATCGAGCGCTGTGTGCGTATAAGATTTATTTGGAAATCTAACTTGTCGACGTTATTCTTGTAGAATATTCTGGACTTGTTATGTAGCGTGGCCAAACATGGTGGGGAGAAGCTTTTTGGACAACAGGTATACAGTGCTTTCATTGATTGAGCTCTTGATATAATCAATTCTTACTTATGGAATTCTTTTAGTTCTTCGTTTCTTTGCAAATGTCGCTCATTCCCTACTTTTTCGTCAATTTGTCAACAAAAGGTATTTCGGGTTGCAACTTGAATGGCTATTTTGTGTAATTTCATACTTAAAACATGTACCATCAGGAGAAGTATTTGGACCTTTCATCTCCTTACCACATCAGCAACAACGACAGGTTGTTGAATTCCTTTACTACTCTAGCAACATACCCGAAAAGCTGCTGACTGCCATAAATAGATGCAGACAAGGTAAATAACACTGTTTGAGCAACCAATTCCATGTACTGTTGATTCTAACATAGCCTCCTTCAAGATGATATACTCTCCTCAGAGACGCAATGCTACTTCCAAGAAATACTTCATCTTTAAACATGTATGGCTCAATCCCTTCATCAATTTCTAGTATGTGTAGGAACATCACAGCCATGAGGTAGCTTGAGCCTACCTGATTTTTGTACATAAAGTTTTAATAAAAAATTTAGTGCACTAATACTCTATCAATTTTTCAAATCGACATTGATCGTTGAGGCATTTGTCAAATAACGTTAAGTGTAACTTGATTAAACTCTGTTTCAATGGAGTTCAATATCCAAACCTGCGTGCAAACATACAAACAAACAATCGCTATGATTCATGCAAATTCATCAATTCCAACAATGCGATATGTTTAAATGTAAATAATTTTAATAGCGAAATTGGAAAAGAAATATAAACAACTATCTATACAGGATACTGTAGTAGTATTGTGGTTGTTAAGGTTTTCATTGCTTGCTACCACCATACTTTTTATCATACTCTGCGAAAACCTGTTCGATAGGCTTTCCCTTTGTCTCTGGAACAAAGAGAATAGTGATGATGGTGGATACGAAAAGGATGCATCCAAAGATGATGAAAGCAAATGAGTTCAAGGAATCCATCAAAGTAGGGAAAACGAGACCGATGAGGAAGTTCATAGACCAATTGGCACAAGTGGCAATGGCACCCATTGAGGAAGCAGCGTATGTTGGGGACAATTCTGATGTAATCATCCATGGGATAGGACCAAGACCAATAGCGAAGGAAGCAACGAATAAGAAAACCGAAGCAACGAGAAGCTCGTTGATGACAAAGTAACCTCCAATGACCAATGTGATACAGAAAAGACAAGCGCCAGCTTGAGACAGAATCAATAGGAAACGACGTCCGACGCGATCGATTAATGCAACTTGAATTAAAGTGCACACCAAATTGAGACCTGATGTTCCAATGGCCATGTACATGGAAGTCTGGGCATCATAAGCGCTGAGGAAGATAGTGGTGGAATAGTACATGACACCGTTGATAGCGGACAGCTGTTGAGTGCAGTGAAGGAAGATGACAGTAAAGGTGATGATGCGAACAACACGATGTTTGAAGAGTTGGATAATGGACATGGCTTCATGAGACTTTTCGTGAGGACTGACACCAATTTCGGCAGATTCCTCAGCTCCAAATTCTTGTGAAATGGACTTTTCAGTACCTTGTTGCAAAGGTGCCAATTCATTGTTTCCTGCCTTTGAGTCAGTGGGGACTTCAGAATATTGTTCACCTCTTTGACCAGCGACAATTTCTTGAAATTCAAGGCTAACATCAGCATTAGGTCTCAATTTCTGAAGAACAATTTTGGCTTCTTGAAGTCTGTTCTGTGAGACAAGGTAACGAGGAGATTCGACACACATGGACATTAAGAGTGCTTGAACAATGGCAGGAACAGCGACCAAAGCATAGTTGAGACGCCAGAGAGGGACATTGGCCAATGGTAATCCAATTAGATTAGACAAGAGAATACCAATGACAACGAGTAGCTGGTTCATACTGCCCATAGCACCACGGCCTTGAATAGTGGAAATCTCTCCTACATAAGTTGTTGTGGCAAGAGCTCCGAGACCGCAAGAAATACCACAGAAGATTCTTCCAATAGTGAACATGGCGGGATTCGTAGAGAATGCAATGAGGATGGCTCCAACCACCCATCCAATATTATTGACTACTAAAGTCTTCTTGCGACCCATTCGGGTTAATGGGTAATTACCAAATAATGAGGCGAGGAGACCACCAATACAAAATGAAGAAACAGAAAAACCCCTAGACGCGCAGAGTAGAACGAATTAGAGTAATGTCAACAAATTGATATCATGTATAACAATGCCGAACTCACCATAGTAGCGAATTCATTGGCAAACAGTCAGGTAAGAATGAACTATTGACGTATGCGTATCCATTGGCGCAGTTATGCGTGGCATCGCCAGGAATATTTGGACTTCCAATAGTCCAACCTTGACTGAACGATCCGATACAGGCGACGATGGTGCAGAACACCATGTACCCCGGGTACTTTAATTGTCTAGAATCCATTGTGAAGAGTAAGATAATTTCCAAAATAAAACTAGAAACAGCGCAGTCTTATATATCTTGCTTATGGGTGTGTCAAATACTCAGAAATGTGAATTATGCGAAACATCACCCTGTGAAAAATCTTTCTTTATTCAAAACTGAACTGACCGTGGTTGATACGCTTTACATATAGCAACCAGAAAAAAAACCACTAATATAACAAGTCTAGAAAACTCTTGAAAATATGCCACCCTGATGATGATGGAATAGCTCTACCTGCTATCCCAATTCAACATTTCTGTTATAAAAACATCGGTTCGACAAAATCACACGACATATGATTGTTTTACATTGTCGATCAGGCAATAATGTACCTGTGTCAGTGGCCATAACGCCCACAACGATGAAACCAAAAAAAAAAAAATTTTATAAGCAGATGTATGGGTAGTCTTGAATCAGTTATACCGACGTTAAATGCCGTGGCGTTGAAAGCGTTGCAATATACCCAAACGCAGAGTTGGAGCATATCACAACGAGAGTTCTTGAAGTGGGGAATGCCAGATCTACACACTGTGATCGAGGCGTACAAGTTTTGCTAGCTCTATAAAATACCTATAACATGGGTGGGATGTTATTAAAACCTGGGTTGACTTCAATCCCGTTCGGTTTGCCGCATTAGCAGTCACCTTACTTGATTTTGTCCTTTTTGTGGTATGCAGCGACGAGTCCGCTAGTGCTCGGCATCACGAAAATATTTGACCTTCCGGTTTCCACCTTCCATGGAATGGTTTCTGCTTGTAATCCGACACCCACTTTCTTCCGTCCACTGTATATTTGATACATACCCATTCCAATGAATACCACCCACTTAGGACGGTATTCTTTAATTTTCTCGGTCAACTGAGGGACATTATCTAGTTGTTCCGCAACTGTGAGATCTGTTGCACGTCTCGATACCTTGGGCGTCAAATTTGTGAACCCTAATCCATATGACTTGGGCAGAAGCACATCATCTTCGAAAGTAACTTTTCTGTCCACGAGACCTAAAATCAACATTAACAAGGTTTTAATGTTTGAGAAAAAAAGAAACTAAGAACGGATAACATCATATATTTACCACTAGCGGATAGACATGGCCAAAAGTGATTTGTGGGGCTAGCAAAATGGTGCCCCCGCTTTGAGCTTGTAACGCCTCCATTGATCCCAACAAAAAGGACGCGCAAGTCGTAGTCTAGTATATCTGGGACGGGTGGCAATACAGTATTGGAATCGGAATTCGCCTTCACTTGGAAGGTAGTGGTTTTGATATGTACTTTTGATTTGACCTTCACTGAATTGGATTTTTCATTTTTGAAGTAAGGGGAGGTGACTAAAGTACTTCTTTTGCTGTTATTGGTCGCAGATCTTGAAGCAGGTGGCATTTGTCATGCTACGAATGCATGGGTGGTTTCGATTAACGGATGGTCGGGGATTTAAAGCTTGAGAATGTACTTTATAGGATGCAAGCTCAGGATTTTGACTAGAAATAATAGTTTTTCGAAGGTTCAATGCTTAATACTTATTAGATGCTTAACTATTATCAAAAGTGCATTATCATTACAGTAATAGCGAAAGGGATACGAATAGCCTATATTGCAAGCGGGGAAGAACAGTCAGCTTGCACATCTGATTTACTTTGCTTCTTCCGTTAGCTTCTTAATCAAGCTTGCTATGCTATCTACATTTTTTTTCTGCTGATCCTCTATTTGTTCCACCTCATCGCTGCGCTTCTTGGGAACTATCATCACAGGGATTTCACCGTCAGTTTCCGGTACAGAAGCAAAATCCTTTTCCCATTCTGTGTCATCTGCTGTTGGAAGAACAATGAATGGATCTTGTCAATAAACATCCAGTAATTAGACATATACATTAAAAATTTTACCGTTATTATTCATCATCTTGATCCACTTGGTTTTGCCAGTGGGATATTCTGTGACAAGCGTATCAATAACATGGGCAAATTTTACATAGGATGCTATATGACACAACACTTACGGCGCGAAACGTAATTGTTGAACATCTCAACTAAAGTTCTATTGCCTTCGTTCATCTGGTTTGGGAAGCCCCATTCGTATGCCACGGGAAGAAGAAGTAGCCCCAATGCTTGTTACAGTGCAAATAGTGACAGCTTAGTTACCATGAATGACATTTGCCATCAACAATCAGGAACTTACTCATGAACAGAGCTAGAATATATGACGAGAAGACGACACCAAATGCAACTGCTTGAAGACAGAACACTGACACCATCATTCCAAACTATTGATCGGGGTTAGAGCGGGAACATAGGGTAATACACAGCGTCCGAATATATCTTCTCACCAATGCGGGTCTAGTATTTCGGACCAAAGTTATTGAGTGATTGATTGTGCGAATTTCGGTGATGAAGGATCCAAGGATCTCACAAATTTGATCAAAGTTTCGGCGAGGACTGAAAGCAACGAATTAATGGACCCATGTTAAAAATTCTCATTGTCAGAACAAATGTGTAATTACCGTTGGGCTGCAGCAACTTCCATGCGTCGTTTAACAAACTGCTAAGACTATATTTAGCAAATGTTGTCTTTTGCATTGATTTCTAGCTCGTTATTTGCCTTACATCTGTCATTCCAAATAGTTTGGTCTCTTTTCCTACATACGCAAAACCCCCCGTAATAGCTATTACGCTGATTGGCGGGGCATTGAAGTAGGCTGCTGATCTGTTGGTTTTAACAGATTAGTATCTTTTTTTTTGTTTGAGTTAATGCCACACTACGTTCACACTATTACCCGCAAAAAGCAATTATAGAAGAGAATAGAAGCGAAGACAGAAAATAATCTCCAAAGAGAAGTATACTATTCCAAACGAAGACAGTCTCTTTTGCGTATGGCTGAAGTTTTGCTTGAAACCATCCTTTGACCGTGGTTGTCGATAAAGCTGTCCATTCTTCGGATGAAAGTTCTTCGCTGGTGGGGGTTTGCGTTTCTGCATGTTGAGCTTTCATGACTCGACTGATGGAAAAGCGTGAAGGAAGCATCAAAGTAGTCAGATCGAAAGCAACAAGGAAAAAAAAGCTGGAGCGAATCAGGAAGTGGGGCTATTTGAGTTGGCAAAGGTCGTTCAAATTTTGTCCGAGTAAAACATGACCCTAACTCCCGTTTCTACTCCAAAGCGTCCTTATTCACTTCTCAACGATCGTCTTTGAAAGCGATCTTTTTATATGGTTTGTAAAATGTAAAATATACAATTAATTACAGGTTCTATAATTTCTTCTCCTCAATGTACAAATATCTATACTGATATCGTTAGGTATACTGCGGATTAAAGTCGCCGAGCAAGATTTCTATTCTACTCGACATCAATTCAATGTATTACTTTTTTAGTATTTTGCCGTCAATCTAGAAGAATACGCCGACCCCACTGAGAGTTTAGGTTAAACTATCTTGGTCTTTTTCGGTTGTCCGAAGGAAGTACGCTTCATGTGTGGTCTAAAATGAACCTTCTTCAAAGCTTCATCAATCTGCAGTTCACATTGTTCCTTAAGTTCACCAGCTTCTTCTGCACTTGTTACGAAATTGTCTGGAAATCTCATACTAAAATCAAAGTCAAAATATGTGCTTTACGAGCATATAGAAAATCAAAATTGTCAAATGTCTTACCTGAGCCATTTATAGATCATAATGATTTTATGACAGCTCTCCAGTTGATCGAGCTTTGTTTTGGTTACAGAGTCCTTCACAGCCGGAAGTTTGACCAGTTTTTTCAAATCAATATCTTCATTTTCGCTATATGAAGTGGCCATTTCTATAATGGCTTGAAGGCAAGCTGTATCCCTAAGCGGTGTTGGCGCAGAGACAAACTGGTAGCGATCTCGGACAGACAAATCTAAGTGATCCATGCTTTGCGCTAGTGCCTGCTCAGAAGTATCAGCAAAAGATCAAAACGGAGGTCTACATAATAAAAAATAGCGACAATTACCTTGGAATCACCATAATTGCACAGAAAATACTTTCCGCTGACCGTTGCCATGTCTTCAAATGTTTGCTACAAGAACGGAATAAGATGATTTAGTATTCCCAACAAAGACTTCTTTAATAAAAGGATGGTCAGTTGCTTACCAGCACAGCGCTAAATGGTGCATCAGGCATTTGGGCTGAAAACATCTCTATAATATCCAGAGTGGGGTGAATTCCGGCAGTCTTTAATCAATCTAGTGTCAGTAAAATGGCTTACTCTTTACTCAAATTATGTAAAACATATTACCTTCAAAAACAGAGTTGGGGTATCCATTGCTTCATGTACATATGACAAATCCTTTTGCTCAAATCTGGAGAATTCATACTTCAGTTCAGCATACGATAAAATTGCCAGTGAGAATAGCCAGGACAGTTGTAATCTTACGTTGTGACTTCTCCTTTTGCATAGGTTGTGCCAAATCTACCGGCTCTACCAGCAATCTGCTTCAAATGGGGAGGATGTATAAAGGTGAAAGATTTGCCATCGTACTTTTGAACGCTTTCAAAGACAATTCTCTTGATGTTCCTGAGAATTGATGAAGGTTAGAAAAGTTGGAGATTACAAAGGTTTATTCAATACCTACAAGTTGAGACCCATTCCAACTGCATCTGATGCCACAAGGACATCAAAATTGCTGGCAGCATCGTTAAAAGCCTTTGCCTGCAACGCTCTAGATTCAGGTGGAAGTGCACCATAGACAACAGCGCACCTTAAGCCGGTTTCCTTTTCAATAGCTTTTTTAACTTCGAAAATATCTTTTCGTGCAAATGTGACGACGCAATCTCCCTTTTTAACATTTCCGTAGCTTCCGCCCAAAGACTTTTCAGATATTGATAGTGGTGTTAATCTGTTGTAGCGATGAACAGTCACTTCATCATCGATAGCCTCGCAAAGCTGCTTAACCAATGGAACAACTGATTCTTCACCACAAAGGTGGATTTCTTGAGCGCGAAGACCTAGAGATCACGTCAATATTGAACTGTCGAGAACACCTTGAAATCTAGCGATACATACCTAACAAAGCTTGCGTCCAAGCCCAGCCTCGAGTACGATCGCCCATCATCTGGATTTCGTCGACAACAGCTACCTCCAAATCACGATTTAGCTCTACCATTTCAACTGTTGAGCTTGTAAGTGTCGCGTCTTCACTGATGATCCTCTTTTCCTCTCCAGTGACCAGATTGCACGCAATGCCATTATTGTTCATTCGCTCAAAAATTTCATGTGCGAGAAGTCGCAAGGGTCCGCAATAAATTCCAGACTTAGCTTCCGTCAAGCGCTTTAATGCTGAATAAGTTTTGCCGCTGTTGGTTGGACCAACGTGTAGATGGATTTTACTGCATACGACACATTAGTTAGAAATTGAAATCATCAGTAATGTTACCGGCAGATTTGAGGATGATTATCCTTACCGTTGCATTCGTCTGGCTTCAGGAAACCATTCATGCGGAAAACGCAAGTCCGTTATTCTCTTGAGGGAGATGAGCTTAGACGCTATTTCCTTGGGTAGATGTGGTTCTGCGTATTCCAGGAATCGAGTGTACAGGTAGGAGTCCAGATTACGTCTATCTTCTGCCAGGCGGCTGACCGAGTTCAGAGTGTCTTTGTCGCATCCTTCAACTTTACCAGAAATCAGATCTCTATAAAAGCCGCTTGCTATAGGTTTCAACATTTCTTTTGAAATTCCAAGCTGCTCAAGCTTCGTTCGGATATGAGGGATTGTCGCCAAAGCAGAGGCTCGCCTTCGGAATGCTATATTGTGATAATATGTAGCGGTCAGCAGTAGAACGGTTGACAGAAATATAGTGCCCTGTTCAACTTACTGTCAAAAATGTTCCCCGGCTTCGTTTGAGAAGTAGTATTAGACTTCTTAGGACTTTTCGAACGTTGAAGTAGATCGCTCTTGTGACTCAAAGGAAGTCGAACACGGTGAGTAGGTTGTTTAGTAAAAGGTTTTGTAGATTCCTTTGCTGGTTTTAAGTTAAAATATCGAAGGCATTGTCGATTATAGCTAGTGCTCCCAAAGCACAGGGAGACTTCTCCCTGAAAGAGTGGCCTCAACGTCTGGCGAAGCATGCCTTTGGAATTGGAGCCACCATCGCTTCAGCGATCAGTCGATTTTTGTTAGAAAAAATGAGACTGCTAAATTCACTGGATGCTGGACTGCCCAGGGCATTACGGTGGTAGCGCAGCGCGGTTTCGATCCCTGCAGTAATGTCGTGAATGCCATTTCTACTCAAGTTTGTTCAAAAGCTCCAGACGGAGACGGCTCAGGAGGTTAGCTTACAATATTTTTGAACCTACAACTTGCTGCTGCTGACTGACTTCTCGTAGCTCTTTGCATCATACGGTACGACGCAGGTAAAGTTGCCAATACCTGTAATGGATGCCATGTTTCGGCAAGCTACTGCGGACGGGCAAGGTCTCAAGGATAATGACTGTGTAGACTTTTGGGGTACTACCTGTACGGGTAAAACGTCGATATTAACCCATATTACGGCGCAAACTATATTACCCAAAGTCTGGAGAATCCAAGTTGACGGTCAGCCAATTGAAGTGGAATTAAATGGAAGCGGCCGCTCTGTGGTGTTCATCGATCTAGATTTGCAGTTCAGTGTCAACCGCCTCTATAGTATGACTTTGAATCGTGTCACTGAAGCCATCAAGGAGTGCTCTCCAAATGTAAAAGCGAAGCTTATAGGACAAGACGACGAGATTCATAAGCTAGTCCTCAATAGCCTTGCAAGGTGTCACACGTTTCGCCTTACAACGATTGGCGATCTTAGTACTACCATATTAGGGATGCCCCGTTGGCTCCACGAACATCCTGACGAAAACATTCAGTACATTATGATAGACTCTATTTCATCCGTGCTGTGGGATAAACGGGACGGGATAAACATTCACCATCAGCTTTACGGATCACATGCAAATAATTTATTCAACCATATAACAAGCACCCTTCGCAAGCTGCAATCACAATGGAACTTTGTAGTATGTACTACCACAAGAAAAATTGGTGCTAATCCAACGGATGAAATCCCTCTATGTTGGTCAAAATTCTGGACGTTTAGAGTAGAGTTACGGCGTCTCGATTCCGACCTTGCCAATCCACTTGCTGATTATCAACTTTGCGTTGTTCGATCATCGCGTGCTAATATACCTATGGACGCATTTCAGAAAGGCATTACTTTTCGTTATGCTATCAAAGATAACGATATCATTTGCATTTAGTCAAACCGCTTTTTTCTCACAGCGTCGTCTTGTAACCTTTCGACGTAAAAGAGGTGGAAAGCGCACTTGTGGGACACTGGAATCTCTTATGATGTACTTTGAGCAACGATAAATTTGAACGGAGCAGAGCAAAAGAGATCCGTGTCGTACAGTGTTGGTAGAGAGAAATCGATATGTTTACGAGTGCAAAAGGGTGTTATCGATACTGTGCTTTGTCATTGGCGCTGAGACAAATTATGAAGTCTGCCTCACGGTAACACATTGCACGCGGAAGACCACAACCAAATGAGGTTTGTTCGCTAAAGAAACAACAAATGCCATAAAAGAATAGAGCTGCTTTTTACAATTAGCAAGATAGACGTTTTCTTGTATAAACAAAAGGTTCAAGCGATGTTTATACCGATGGATAAGGGAACTGCTTCGTATATTTTAGCTGATGCAAACTATAAGCATGTTAATATAGACCTGTCAAAAGATATAGATAGAAGAATCTCAGAGAGAGAAATAAAAAAAAAGGTCCTCGACGACTGGGAGGTGAGACACAGACGCACACGCGTCTTCGAACGTCGACATAACAGTACATACACACACATATCACATATCACATTTTCCCATCGACGCACTATTCGGTGCTGCTGTTGCCTGTTTACCTGCCTGGATTCGTCAATTTTTCTTTTTTATTTATTTATTTTCTCTTTCTCTCTCTCTACCCTGCGTTCCTCCCTTTCCTTTTTTCCACTTTATAATTGACTGGTTGACATATTTTCTACGTATTCACTGGTGAAATAGCATTTTAAAAGCCCTGCATCTCCATACAGTACGTTTCAGGTAATGATGAACCTGTTTTAATGGCGATCGCTTCTCTACATTCTTGACCTGACTACTTAAGCACTGTCAATTGAAAATTGATCAGTATTACGGGAATACAGCAAAGTGCTCGCGCCGCCCCCTTCCTCATTCATTCAAGAACGCCATCCCTGACAAATTTTTGGTCCCTTGGATTGTTTCGTTGAAAACACCTTGTTGCTAGTTCTAATATCAACCGTCATCAAAAAGCGATCGATTCGACCATACTTCAGCATCTTGCTCCGCTCCCGGAATGAGTACCGTGATTGCTCCGATTCATCAATATGCCTTACGTCGGCCAGGCAGCTCCAGTACCTTGCTGTCTCAAGCTCTTCCCGTCATCGATATAGAAGGTGGATTCGACATCGCTGTCATAGAATCGACTATGATATTATGGGCACTAGACCCTCGGAAGCAGAAACCGGTCAAGCGAGCTTTGAGGGTAATGTACCATGCTGTACTTTGCTACTTTTGACAGTACAGAAGCGGAGCTTGAGTGGGACAACGGGCGTTTGTGGATTATTTCCCCAGCTCCTCTACTCATTATTATTCTCTAACCCACCTATAAATTTTTGACAGGTTTATAACATCATAATTGAAGATAAGCGCCAAATACTGTCATTAGTGAGGTACACGTCCGATCTCCAAGAATTTGATGAAAAGGTAGGAGCGATCGATCTACGTATCAAAGAATATGCACAACTGCATCAGAATTAAACAGATCTGTTTGACATCTGTCTGTTGCAGATACGTGAGTATTTTCGGAAAACCAAGGTTGTCCTACCGCCACTCGATACGGCGTCAAGCAAACAGGCTAACTTGAAGAGGCGCAGCTTCCGCAACCTCTTGACAGCTCTACCAAGTCTCAAGCCAAAGCACTCAAATTCTGAGAAAGTTGAACAATATCTGAGACGGTGTGCCCTAGACTCCTCCATCGGAAAATCGTCCTTATTCCGTGATTTTTTCACTCCACAACGAGATGAGGATTGTTCAACAGCAAAAGAAAAAATGCAAACTTACGTGGAGATGCATGCAACAGCATGGATGAATGAGCAGCATCAACATGATCAAAACAAGAAACAAAAACAGAAACAGAAGCAGAAAGCACCATTGCATCCTGGTGATAGAAGTGCAGACAATCTGGCAGAAAGCAGTGCAAGCGCATTGGCGCTAGATACTACAAGCTCATACTGGCAGGTGGATAGCGCGCCATCATCGCCAGTTGTGAACACCTACGCTACTAGCATTGAAAATACATCCAGTAGTGTAATATCCTCAGCATCAAGTGCTGAGCTTGATCCACCCTCTCAAAAGCCATCCCTATCGCGAAAGGTGACAATACAAGATTTTCAAATCTTAAAAGTGCTGGGAAAGGGGTGCATGGGAAAGGTATGTTCTCCTCCAATACAGGGCAGCATTATTGTGGGACATTAACTAAAAAAAACCGATGGCTATAGGTCATTCTAGTGAGAGAACATCGAACATCTCGATTATTTGCTCTCAAAGCAATATCGAAACAGTTTGTTGTTATGCATCGAGAGGTGGAGCATGCAAAATCTGAAAGGGAAATATTGGCGCGGATAGGTCAGATATCGCATCCATTCCTCATTAGGCTGCATCATTCGTTTCAAGATGCTTCCCAGTTATTCTTGGTGTTCGATTATCACGTTGGGGGTGATATGGCCACACAGTTGGCAAAGTGTTACAAGTTTTCCCCTGGAAGATGCCGCCTGTACACTGCAGAAATTTTGCTGGGTATTCAAGAATTGCATCGCCTTGGGATTTTGTACCGGTAGGTGGCCACTTGACAGACGATTTTGGCGTTGAGCCCTTTATCTAAATATATTCAAACTAACTATATGTTTGTCTTAAAGTGATTTGAAACCCGAAAACATTCTGTTGGGAGCAGATGGACACATCATCCTGACTGATTTCGGGCTTTCCAAACAATTCTTACCGCAGACAAATGTTGGAGACCAACGAACAACTACATTTTGTGGTACTGCTGAATATCTTGCACCAGAAATATTGCGCGGAGATGAATACTCCTTTGCTGTAGATTTCTGGAGTTTAGGTACCTTGCTGTATGAAATGATTACTGGTATTCCACCTTTCTGGGCCGAAAATCACGCAGATATGTACAACCGAGTTTTAGACGACAACTTGGAATTCCCTCCCAATTTTGACACTGTCACAGCGGATTTCATTACTGGTCTACTACATCGTGTACCCCAAGATCGACTTGGAGCTGGACCTTACGGCCCGCAAGAAATTCGATCGCATCCCTACTTCGCCGGGATGGATTGGTCGGACGTATACCGCAAGCGCATTAAGCCAGAATACATACCGATGTTTAAATCGGAAACGGATCTCCAAAATTTTGATGACACATTTGTGGCAATGACTCCTAGATTTAGCCTGGCTAGCGACGGCGAGTTCCTAAGCCCGAGTATTCAAGGCGACTTCGATGGATATTCGTACACGGGGGCAAGCATGCATTTCGACGACAGTCATCAAGTTAAAGACGACATTGACGATGACGAACAGCTTCAACAGACACAACAGCAGCTTCGTCAAGATTTGACCGCTATAGCGAACGGTAATCAAGAAACCCTCTTGGAATCATTTTTCCCAGGCTATGTACCGGAAGAAAATAGAGATTCTCTAATCGACCCATGGGCATACAATGGGCAAATTATAGGCACACCAACGCCGGATGAAAGCTCAGAGGCTGATTACTCAAGTGACAGCCAAAATCAAGACTGGTTTGGAAGTCAACGAACAACACAAATGGTCCATCAAGGCGATTATGACGATTACTACTATACCACAAGGAGCTCTAGCAATGCAACAATAGATGACAGACGCTCTTCAAGACCACCAGTAACTCCCGATCAACAGCTTCGAGTATCACCATTCTCAATGGCTCGCGCAGCTGGGAACCTGGGAACATCATACGGCTCTTCCAGTTCGTTCGGTGGTTATTCTGAAATAAGAACTAAAATTGACGAGCATTACGATATGCTCGAAAACGAATTGCCAATGGAATCTTTGTCTATTGACGATCGCTCAAAATATAATACCACGCCAACTCCATTCAGAGATGTTGGCAAAAATAACCACAGTGACGCATCATCTACCCACGCTCCAACATTACGACGCTCCAAAGATATGTTTACTGGTCAATGACATTCGTAAATATTGCAAAAAATACAATTATCTCGCGTCTGAGGGGTTTTTTTCCATTATTAGTTTTTTTATTTTTTTTACTCTGCTGTAGACAATGTTTGTTATCATGTATTATATAGGGTATGGGAAACGAGGGCCAAAGAAGAAAGAAAACACCAGTAGATCTGCTTTCAAGCAGTTACTGCTCCATATTACCTTCCATTAATTTTTCTTTTGACGCTTATTGCCCTTTGGATTTATAATGAAAGGTTGGGTGAAGGCTTGCTGAAGTCGTCGGACCTTTTGTTCGCCAAAGCCTGGACACAAAGCCAGAGCTTCTGTAGGAGCGTTTATGATACGATTTAAGGATCCAAAGGTTGATCTCAGTGTAAGGACATCGGTCTTATTGACGGTACGCACTTGAGTTAGGCATTCAGTGAGCTTAGCCATGTAGTCGTCTACTGATTTCTCTTTGATGATATCTGGTGGTTTGCCCTCAAAGGCCTTGTAGGTCTCCAAATATCGACCAGCTTCTTCGTGGCTCCAGGCCAGCATGATTGTAAAATTCTGTATTATAGCTGATTTTGTAAGTTCTCGGATAGAGTCTTGATGATTATCAATATCCACAAACACCAGTAATATTCTCAAAACAAATTGATGAGCTAGCTTGCCCATCCGATCATAAATATAATCAGGATGTAGTCGATGGTACCGTAAGCTAAATGAGGTTAATACCATTTCAATCAACCTGATTTACATGTTCTGTAAATAAGGGCTTTTACCTCAGATACAAAACGCAGGTAGTTTGGCCAACGATATAGTCTGCTTTAATATCATCATACTCCCAAGGCACGTTCCGGACGTGCTGTAAAATTGGATTTCCCCTTTGAGCTTGATTGACGAGTATAGTGTTGGGGCCAAGACGCCTTACGGGGGTCACAGGTGGCGGTGGAGGAGTCGTGTTCTGACTTGTGGTTTCGCTAACGGTGCGGCTAGATGGTGCTGCGGAGCTGTTTGACTGTGGTGGGATCTCGATCGCTTCATTGGGAGTTGAAGTAGCACTTGCTGAATCTTCAGCGGATCCAAGAGCTTTTGCTTGTTGAAAGTAGTTAGTGGCTTTTGATTTCCTCTTGTGTTGCTCGATTTGCTCGACGGTTGGTATATTGAATCGTCGTTCAGACATGAAGGAAAAGTCACCGTCACGAATTTCGTTACTCGCGGACTGAAAAGTAAAAAAAACCACACTTTACAAAACTTGGACTTGATCTTTCCTGATTATTCTACTCGTCGTTATGGATCAAGCAAAATTAGCAGACTTTCAGGTACTAAGAAGCACAATATGTTAACTTCCAACTTAACAACTGAACATTACTAACCGCTGATCACCTTAGAATGATATCCACTCAAAATGCGTCGAAAAGGAATATGTATCTGCCGATGGTAAGAATCTGATTCCATTGCTGGCCTTTCAAAGTGTATTGTGTACTGAGCAAGCGTACCATATGTAGACAATCGACTTTCGGAATACATAATCACTATGCTCGTCAATGGCAAAACACAATCAGATCTGGATTCCGAACTGATACAATTGATTGGAAACGATTACGATTCTGCTTTGTCAGCCTGGGTCTTTTCGGAATTAGACAGACGATCGTCTGCAGAGAAAACGGACTTTGATGTAGAGGAAGTTGTCATGGACGAGGACGACACGAATAGGCAACAGAGCAAGCCATTTCAAACCAGAATGTTCCTACAGGCACTCCGCCGTGCAAAGTCTGATCAACAAGACAGTTTCCCTGAAACAAGGCGATCATCGCGTCGATCAGCTTCACCTCAGCGACGACCAAATCGAGCAACAGATAGGTCTCGTTCGAGATCACCAAACCGAGAGCGACCTGCAAGACGACAAGATGACCGCCGTGGTGACCGCCGTAATGACCGAAGAGCGGATGTATTCTCACGACTAGGAAATAACGGAAGAGTTGGCGAGCGGTCGGTGATGATATTAGATGGTATGTATATGACAGGCTGTGGTAATAAATATCCGTGCTTACCAAGTGCTTATGCATTAACAAATGTCTGACTTCCATTGCGTATTGCAGATAAGCCGTCTGTGTTTGATCGACTCGGTTCACATAGAGAGGTCGAAGAGCATAAAGAGAAAAAGGAACGAGTTAGATGTACCTTCTGGCCTAATTGCAAGAAAGGAGATGAATGTCCATTCTGGCACCCACGGACCCTTTGTCGGTAAGCTGGCTTACAATCTCCACTGCAAATGCTCGATTTCAATGTGACTGACCATGAAACACTGTTTTTAGTGACTTCCCTAATTGTGCCAAGGCAGCTAATGAATGTCTTTATATACATCCCGAAATAGCCAAATCCGAAGATGCCAAACCAAATTGCCGATATTGGCCAAATTGTACCAACCCTCGTTGTCCTTACCCACACCCGCTGGGAAATGCAAAAGCCAACAAGCGAAACCCCACTCCGTGCCGAGATGGCGATGGCTGCACCCGACCAGGATGCCATTTCACCCACCCTCGTGATAACCTTAGCGCTTCGATTACTTTAGTAAGTAGCCAAGTCTAGCTTTGCAAGTTTGACCTTTTTGCAAGTGAATTCTAACTTTTTGCTTCAGTGTCGGTTTGGACCCAACTGCCAGAGGTATCCCGATTGTCCGTTCGAGCACCCCATACCACCTACTCAACACCGTAATAAGCAATTAGTATTAAATAAGCCCCATGTTAGCGAAAGAGGATTCTCTGTAGCTGACGATGAAGTTGTAGAGCGTATTCCTGTTAGCGAGACTGCAAACACCGCCGCCTGATAAGGAAAGCCCAATGAAAAATAAAATTTGATTGTCCGTCGTAACGTTTGGCCCAATGGTGTGACCCCAGCAAAATCAACCAATTCTATAGGAGGTTGTGGCACTGCTGAGAGGAAAAAAGCGCGTCTCTCTCCGCATTCACACATCTCACCCATCACTATGGTAATCTATCAAAATGCCTCGATCTATGAACCATCTGCTTATGATCAATCTCATGCTAAATGCTTCTTCACTCCATAGGCCGACTCACCAGCTACCACACCCAAGGGAACAGTCAGGTTAGTTTATCAAAGGACGTTGTGGCCGGCCGGTGGCAGAGATAGTTTGATGTCTTCGAATCGAGAATGAAAGAGATGATATCTATAGTTCCGATGGCGGGCAACTGCAATCGCTGGAAAAACTTGGATCTCGTCGTCTTCAATCGTTGCGCTGGACTTTGATCCGACAGCCTAGACCATTTCAGATGCTGATTGTAAACTGACTTAATGTTGATCACTGTAGGAGACGCGTTACCTCTCGCTCAAACAGTAATGCTCCCCGTGGAGCTATTCCCGGCGGTAGCACTTCAGGCATGATGCGCATCTACTCAGACGACTCTCCCGGCCTTCGTGTGTATGTATTTTGATCGATTTACAGTGTCGTATGAACGGCAAAATTTTCTTGTCTAACTCTCTTCCTTTAGTGATCCTGTTGTTGTTTTGGTTTTGTCGCTCACTTTCATAGCGTCTGTGTTTGGTCTCCATATCATCGGAAAGTTCTTGCGCAAGTAGAGAGAGGTCATCATTTACCTTGAGTGTGGCCAATTACACATAATGGCTTCCTGCCACGCCGCTTCATCTGTCTGTATGGCATGACCATTGCCACTCAAATACATTCTGTAATCTTTTATCCTTTTGAAACAAACAAAAAAAAAGCTTCTCCTGTTTCTAGTTCTATAAAAAAAACCCCCCCCCCATCAAAGATGAAATTTCAGCTATGGTAGATGCGGAGGCAGTCGGTGGTGCTTTATTTAGATTGGATTATGAAGAAACCACTTTTAGTCTATATTATCTAATCTCTAAGGATTGCATACATTAGTAGTCTGGTGTTAAAGAGGAAGGTCAACGCTTCATCACTACTTTTTCTTTTGAGATGGCACGTCGACGGGACATGGCAGGTATGGATGCACCTGAGCAGGGGCGTAAGTTTGAGCAATCTCGCAAGCTTTCTGTTGGAAGGCTGGATCACGGTAGAACGAGTTGGATGGGAGCAGTGGGAGTAGCAAGAATGGAGCGAGCAGGGTAATAAAGAAGACGAAGATTTTCAGAGCCTGAAGCATTTTGAGATGAAAGATGTGAAAGGAATTCCAGCTTGGAACCGACGATATTCGAAGTCCCTTCTTACCCCCAAAAAAAATCGGGCTATATTTTGAGCCAACCAACAAAAAAAATGAAAAAAGTCATACGATGGGGTCAACCTCAAACTAACTGTAATTTTATTCTAATGTCTATGAGCTGGGGTAAACTTGATGTTGCTGGTTTCATCCAGCAAAAGGCCAGCTCTCACTTTATCTACATACATTCTAAGATCTTGGCCCATGACGGTAATTTTGAGGACATACTGACTGGCCTTCTCCAATGTCTCTGCTGCAGTCACTGGTGTAAAGGTATATCGTCCAAAAGAGTGGTTGACGATGTATAGCCGTAGCTCTTCACCGTCCTGTAGCCTTACAAACCCTTTAAGTCGGTAGATATCGTCCTTGGGTAAAGTTTTCAAAAAGGCTTCAAATTGATCATACCGCAAGGGAGTTGCCGTATCCAAAGTTTCGTACACTTGGATGAGGTCAACTTCGTTTTCTTGATGCTTACCATCTGCATGATGAGCTGCTGGTGCGCCGCCGGGAACAGAAGTGAACATCAATTCCTCAGGTTGCTGCGTTTTGTCCATTGATATTTGGAAAAGCTTGGTATCCAATCCGAACAGTACATCAGGAGATACTCCAAGTGTGCCCTCGCACTTGATTTTTGGTGTATCGGTGTTCAATTCGTTAATGTGATCTATGACAGTGTCAAGTTGTTGCTCGGATACCTAAGAATACAAATGAGCTATATGTCGACGAGACGTTGATGAGAAAAGGTGCAACACTTACTAACTCGTGCTTGTTCAAAAGAATTACATCTGTATATTGTGCTTGCATTTTGGCAGTGTAACTTGTGTCCTCGTAGCCGGTGAAGTTGATACAATCGACCACCGTCGCGATAGAATCGAGTGCAAAGCCGTCACTTTCCATTTCACGAATCTGCCATGCAATGGGTGCTAAAAAGAAATGGTTAGCCTTGTAAGCTCTTCTGGGAGTTGTCTTAATATTTGAAGTGTACCTGGAAAAGCAGATCCGCTGTAGGGTGTAGATAAGAAATATGGTGTCAAAATAGGTAGTTTCTATGTTTCGTGATCTGATCAAATTTTTTACCTTGTTTCAACTATGATACGATCGGGGTTGTACTTTTCTGTAGCAATATCAACCATAAGTTCGCAACTCCTTAATGGGCAGCCAGTATTGCTGGTTATAATACACACCTTTCAATTCCATCAATGCGAGCTTCATCTGACCGACAAGAACACAGCACATACAGCCGTTTATCATTTCTTGAACGCCAAGGTTACCCTCCCGAGCTAGCTCACTATCGACTTTTTCGCAGTAAAAGTATTATCAGTAACCTAATCAAACGTAAACGGTCTATAACATTTGACAGCTTACCTGCTGTGTCTCCGAATTCATTCTTCAGCAAGCATAGCTTGTACTCAGCTGGCAAACGCTTCAAGAGTGATAGAATGGTGGTGGTTTTGCCTAGTGATGCTTCACGTTAACACCTGTAGTAACCTGGAATGTGCAAGAACACTTTTGATTTAGCATACCACTGCCTAAAAAGCCAGTAAAGACTGTTACGGGAATGGGATTGTCGACAGCCATGAGGTCGGGAAAGTGAAGAGTCAAAATTCCAGAATTTGTTCGATGTTCCAAAAAGACGCAGTCTCCTTTTTTGAATTCTTTGGAACTGTTCTGCTGTACTTTTCAATTTTTCACGACTTCAAACCTCCCCCAATTCCAAACCGATTGCCATTTGCAAGTGCTCAGCATAAGGTGTATTTAAACAATACTTTCGTCGCTTCCAGCCGCGTTAGGACCTTTTTATGACGTTGAAGCGAAAGTACTCCAGCGTACATACTACATCCGCACAGACAAGCATCACTCCTTTCTCCGAACAACGATATCATATGGGCGCTAAACAAAGCACACAGGCAACACAGAAGAGAAGAAAGTCTAGTCAGCAATTACAGTACAGTAATTCCTTTCAGACAGCTGTCGAAACAACACATGCCAGTCCGCCATCTTTGGCATCTCTTTCCAAAAAGCCGTCGTTACATGGGTCATTTTATTCAGAGTATGTATCTATATCTCACTTATGTCGTCTTTTGCTTCCCAGAAGCATTGATAACAAAATGTTACCGCCTACCTATTTTATACAGCCGTACTGACGTTATTGCATATCTTCTTGTTTCGCCTTTTTAGAAAAACGGTATGGACACCACCTGTTGCCCAGTCGTGACCCCTCATTCGTTCTCCGACAGTTAACATGTTTTATTTGACTCAATCTAGTTCAACAGCAAGCAATGCAGTGACTGGTTTGATCAATATGAAGACCCTGAGATGAGAGGCAATATCACACCGGAAGGAATGACCAAATTTATCAGTGATCTTGAGCTCTCGTTAGAAAGCGTAAGTAACATGAGTGTTGTTTATTGCCAATGGTAAACCATCAGTTACCTAACATTTTTGCTCGCTACAGGCTACTGTGCTAGTCATCAGTTGGCAATTAAATGCAACCTCCATGGGTAAATACATATCTAATTCAGTGATGATACAGCTGGAAATTGAGTATCTGTCGGACTGACTGCAATTGAACAACAGGTTATTTTACTCGAGAAGAATGGATGACTGGCATGGAAAACTTAAAGTAAGATCGAGACTTTGGCGTGGGAGCTAAATTGGCATCAATTCTAATGCGATATCCGCCACACACTCTTAGCGTATGCACGCTGCCTCAGTTAAAGGCAAAGATACCCGAATTCGAACTTGTTCTTCAGGACCCTGTTCAATTTAAAGAATTATACCGCTATTCGTTCGGATACGTCAAAAGCAAGGGACAAAAGTGTTTGGATGTTGATGTATGTTACCGATGACTGATTTTCTTTTCCATATCAGCATTCATGTATTAACCAACAGACATTCAAAATGTACACAGACTGCGATTATTATGTGGGGACTACTTTTGGGCAATCAGTCTTCCCACGTTGAATCATTCGCAACATTTTTGACTGAAAAGCAACCGGTGAAAGTTATCAACCGTGACCAGTGGCAAAGCTTTCTGGAATTTGCCACCACTGTTTCAGACGACTTTCATGATTACGATGAGATGTCTGCGTGTAAGTACTTTTTCGGCTAAATATGCATGTTGTCTCTTATATTAACACGTTCAACAGGGCCTGTTCTTTTTGACGACTTTGTTGAATGGAAGCGAGAGCGGCTTGACCCTATGCAGAGTTAACTGAAATTACAAATCGACCGGAGATCAGGTTTTGTTTGACACAAATATTGTATTCAGTATCCCTTGTTCAGAATAAAAATGCCAGGTATACCATGTTAGCCTCTACTCACTTATCGTGAGAGTGTAAAGACAATGTTGATGTTAGAATGGTCTAACAAAAGTAAACATTCGCGAACAAGCAAGATGTAGGGTTTTGCTTCACCATATGTAGGTGGTAGTAACGTTTCCGTTAATACCAACATGGTGAAGAATGAATTGTTGGTTTATTGCAAGAATGGGTTGATGTTGCTAATATACATCCGCTGCACATGCGCGTGCAAGCTTTAAATTACTATGTGATTGTCCTTCAATGCCACAAGATTGGTATCTGTACAAGTAGATGTATCTACTGTGTGTATGCCTTGACGGCATCTTGTTTGATTTCTGAAGCGCTGACTGGGCGCGCGCCCAAACTTTTCTTGTGGGCGATGACATCCCTCAAGGTATCGAGAAGGATGTCAGCTGCTTCATCATTGATTTGATGATGAAGGACTAATCTTGAAGTAGTACCATTGCCGCCAATCTTGATATTACGTCTGAGGAGAGCAGGAAGAATATCGTTGATAGTAACACCAGCGGAAGCAGTGTTGATAAATACCATGTTGGTCATTTGAGGGAAGGTAAGCGTGATACCCATGTCTTGTAGTTCATTGGCAAGACGACGAGCAATCTTATGGGTTTGTGGCATAGTAGGAACAATGTTCTCGATACAGTGCTTTGCAACCTTAGCCATACCACCGGCTTGACGCCAACCACCACCAAAGAGCTTGCGGAAGTGTCTTGATTTACGAATGAACTTGGCATCGCCTACAAGGATGGAACCGATGGGAGCACCTACACCTTTGGATAAGCACAAGGACATGGAGTCAAAGTATCTACCATACTCTGAGAGAGGTACTCCAGTCTCCTGATGAGCGTTCCACAAACGAGCGCCATCGAGATGCATCTTGATACCGCGTGCGCGAGCATGCTCACTAATGCGCTTGATCTCTTCAATAGGAAAGATCATACCATTCAAAGTATTTTCCAAAGAGACAACCTTAGTAGGAGCGGTATGAAGATCTTCCTCAACAATGTTGTTGATAACCTCTTCAGCAGTGATGTGAACACCGTTATGGGCGTAGACTGGGCTTACATTTGCCTGGGAATGGAAAGAAATACCGCCAGCTTCCCACAGGAACCTAAAAAAAAACCAATTTATCCGCTGTAAGTTTTCTATAGGCCAACGGATTATGTAAGACACACCACCATACACTAATTATGACCAATACTTACACATGAGAACGGTGATCACAGAGGACAGAGTGGGGTGGTTGCTGCAAATGTGTACGCAAACCAAGCTGGTTGGACATAGTGCCACTAGCGCAGAACATACCAGCTTCATGACCAGTGATGGATGAAACAAAGTGCTCGAGGTCATTTACATTGTAGTCCTCCTGCAATTCAAAACGATATTAGGCTTTTGAAAACCATGTGGGAGTTGCAGCGGTGTGCAATCTTACCTGGAAAACATCGTCGCCTCTTGAAGCCGACTTCATGATATCAAACATCTCGTCAGTAGGGGCAGTGACTGTATCGCTTCTAAAGTCATAGACTTTCGCGTTGGGGTCCATAGGAGAGGCCAAGTTAGGATGAGTCTGGTCATTTTGAAGGTTACTTTGAATGTAGAGCTTGTGGACCGGAGTGCTAGAGAAAGCACGGATATGGGCCAAGGAACGAGTAGCTGGACGGAGACTTGCGAGGATTGACATGACAATTGCAGTTTATAGAAAACAATATTCCACCGAGTCAACTTTCTTTTATATTGAAAAAAAAATTTTCTCGTACAATTTCAGTGGCCGATGACTCAGAATTGGTACCTTTTTTTTTTATCTTGCGTTATCATTGCAGACAATATGTGAGTTTCGGATGACGAAACGACGTTAAGAGGCGCGGTCCTTTAAGATGACTTCTATTCCTTTTGCCACGTCCATGCAGTGTCAACAATACTTAGAAATATGCTCAAAACAAACACTCAATGTTCTTACAACCATTTGACATTGTCAGCCGAGTTATTCGTAGCTTACTCCCCGAATCGTCATGTCAAGTCAGAGTATAGACAACAAGCAAACGCTCAATTAATTTGGCTCGCGTTGTAAACTTACTGTTTGGCGGCCATCTCGCAAAATGGGTATTGCGTCGTCCTGTTAAGCTCCCACTTCTAATCAGGCCGTGCATTTGCTTACGCGAGACTAAGCAATAGACCATTAGCATCTATAAATGATGGTAGTGCAGCCATTTCTCTCATAACAGCCATTCGTTGTATTAAGATGGAACCAGACGCCACCTTAGCAATTTCCACCACCTGCCCTAAATATTGTATCTCACAAGTATGTCTAAGCACCAGGCTTAATGGACTTGATGATAACTACAGCCTTTCGGTAGCAACCACATTTTCCAGAACAGCACGCACACATTGCATAGACATTGTTGCAACATAACTATTTCGACGAGGCTCAGTCGGCAAGATGAACCTCTTGTGTCTGGATCGCAAAAATAGTTCCACAATTTTTCAAAGACAGCTATCAGTCTCTCGACGGGTTTCTCTCCCCTTGCAATAAGTCAAACTTCAAAGACCAAATATCGAACGGCTTCTTTTTTGTGGTCGGATTTTCAAACAAATATAGAAGCTTCATAGAAGTCCTTGTACTGTTACAAGCTTCATTCAATCAAATAATTGTATATGAGCACATTTTGCTCTGCTAGCATGTCCTTTTTTTCATCCGGTATGGAATGAATAGACGATTGTTTCTAGTAGTATGAGAAAGATGATGAAACGGCTGTGAACTGACAATCCCTGGAAAAACAGGAAAAAATTTGCGGGAGTTTCACCCGCGATAAAAAAATCACCGCTGATACTATCGCTTTTGGCTTCAGTTTTCCAACTCATACAAGGCTAAGGGAACTGCTTAGTAAAGCTGCTGGAAAAATCCCTTTTATGTAGCATACAGTGACGCGGCGTACTGGTAACTACCACCTAACTTCTGTATTCCAATATTATGTAGTTCCTTTTGTCCGTATGAGTGTTGACTCGTCCTGATATTATGATCTGTACCGTAGACGACCACCATTGATTGTATAAAAGCTTCTGACTGGAGAGCATTTTAAACAACGTTTGCCTACTCCCTTCTAAGTCACTTATGATGTGATCCCGCAGTCAGGTACAGTATTGAGTAGATCAAACTCAGAGGTTCAAATTATGGCAGTGTGACGAGATCTGAAGGCAGAAAGCATCCTGACCGTTTATACGGTAGCAAAGCGGAGCCAATGTCAACTGATCAAGTGCTAGATATGCCTCACAGCAGAGTGACTCTTTTTTCCATAAGATATTCTTCAATACTTACTTTGAGTGGTGTGTAAACTCACCTACCTATATGCATTAGCAAATAAACGGAGGAATCTATACTCGATTAATGGTATTGATACCATTTATTGAATCTCGCAAACCTCCCAAACCTTAAAAGTTCAGCTGTTTGAAAGGCAGCTTTGGGTGACTGTCATATTGAGATTTTCAAATGCAACATTTGCTTCAAGATGGGTAGGTTAATCGCTGTAGTTGAAGCCCTGTCACTTGCTGAACGTGCAAGTAAGTTGTAGGAATTAACCTCTTGGTTCTTTTTGTACAGAAGCCGTCGTTCTACCTATACAAACCACTCTGACTAAGCCATTAACTCCGCACGCACATGCAGCTTTAAGCCTGAAATTTCCAGCTGTTTTACCGCTCGCTCAGTTCTCTTTACCCTCTACTTCAAGCAAACGATGACAGACTACTCCACCTTGCTACCACAGCTGCTTGATCAAGAAGAAAAGCTTCAGTTTACAAAGTTCGGTTCGGACGATGCACTTGCACTTGGTCTGAAATTAATCGACAACGCTTCTGCGTACCCCAAGCCTGTGGTCATCGACATAACAGTGGCTGGACATGAGCTTTTCCATTTCGCTATGCAAGGAACTGGCCCAGACAACAATGAATGGGTTCGCCGAAAGAAGTAAGAAAGTTATGTTTTTGTATAATGTAAGAACGATAAGATAATAGCTAAACTCGGCTCTCCCAGCAACTCGGTCATGCGCTTTAGACACTCTAGTTTTTATCTTGGACAGTACTGCGCCAGTCAAGGTAAAACGCTACAGGAGAAGTATCTGATCAGTGAGCAAGATTATGTTTTCCACGGCGGAGCTTTCCCATTGATCATCAAAGGTGTTGGTGTTATTGGAACAGTGACAGTGTCGGGACTTGCACAACAGGTAAGAATTTGCATAAATTTTGCACACTGCTGAAATTCCATTTATTTTTGCTAAATTCACGCCGGAAACATATTGTACTAACCATTGGATCATTGGTTGATATAGGATGATCACGGTGTCGTCGTAAAGACTATCGCTGAATATATCGCTACTCAACTGCAATAAGAAATAAAGCAAGCGCCTTTGAAAGGCGTAATATCAACGGTTTAACAGAACGGAACGAGACAATATGGGCTATCACACGGGATCATACGCGATCTGTTACTTCCACAACACCCTGATTTTGAAGTCGTGTTTGTGCGTCATGCTGGAAGAGTGTTAAAGTTGACTTTTATGGTAATGATAATGGAATTTGAAAAACTTGTTTGTACCAATTATTGGTGTTCTTCATGCGTGAGAAATATTTTCAACGGCATTACGGTTCAAGTCTCAACTTGATGTTAAAAGTAATAAGCAATGATGTACATAATTTAAGGCATATTGATCCTTATCAAAGGGCATACCTTGGGGAAAGCATGCAAGCCTTGGTTTCCGTTGATTTCCGATTCTGTTGAAAGATTGGGTCGCGTGAACCCGTGACATCCCCCACTCCACAACCCACTTATCAAACCTTCATAACCCTGCCTCGTTATCTGCTTCTTCCTTTCATTCTCTTCTTCGCAATTTTTTGTAAATACCTATTGTGTCTTTACTGTATATTCTTCTTTCTTATCATCACAACAAAGCATGGAGTGCACGCCAACATCAATTGACGGCGTTGTGTACAATCACTTTATTAAGGTACACATCTCTTTGTTTTTCGAAAAAATTTCTTTGGCGGGCCTCTCATTTGAACCCGAGGCTGATCATTTGTTTGCAGGCTATTTTTGGTGAATGCGTATATGGATACAAAGAAACCCTCAGTCTACTGTTTGGATATGCTTCTATTATCAGTTGGCTAAATGCTCAATTACCGTACGTACTTTTTCACGATAGAATAAGTCTCACAGTCGGTATCATGAACAACTGACATTCAATCACAATGGTAGTCAGGTGATAGAGAACTATAGGAGAAGCTCCGCAGAGTCACTGAGCTTAACCTTCCTTATGATATGGTTGGCAGGTGAGAGAAATTACATCACGAACGTAATTCCAGGAGATCATGATTATTTATGATCCTATTTAACCTTCCTTCAGGGGACATATCCAATCTGGTTGGCTGTCTATTGACGGATCAACTGGCTTTTCAAAAATATCTTGGAGTTTATTTTGTATGGATCGATTTAACGCTCTTGACTCAGTGGGTATATTATAAGTACATTTCACCACCACCCACCCTTGTACATCTACCAGAAAACGCCATCTCAGCATATGATTATCCCGACCTAAAGGTCCAAAATCCGCATAGCAACATTAGACCAGTGTCAATACCCAGAAACTATAATCACTCCCCCAGCAGTAGCAGAGCAGAGCAAAGTCCGTTACTTACAATCTCCGACGAAGCTTTGAGCCCTCCGTATTCGGCTTCTGCTTCGCCAAGCAAATGGTACACCTTGGGTGACATGACACCACAACGCACCCCCTCGCCACGTATCGCCCTATCAGCTATTTTTATGTTTTCTCTCAGGACGCAAGCCTCTTCTACCTTAACGACCACGCCGTTGATCCACTCAGCAGCGTTACAAATCGATCACCTCATGGTGGGCCGATTTTTTGCCTGGCTGTGCGCCGGACTGTATCTAGCTTCCCGTGTACCGCAGATCCTCAAAAATCAACAGAGAAAGTCCGTAGACGGTCTTTCCTCCGCGCTGTTCATTTTCGCCGCTTTAGGGAACCTGACTTATACCACTAGCATTCTTTTAAGCTCCGCGATGCAAAGCCGAGCAAAGTTCGTAGAAGCATTACCTTACTTGCTAGGAAGTATAGGGACGCTAGTGTTTGATACTATTATATTTAGTCAATTTATATGGTATAGAAGAAGAAGAATAGACTCAGTGGGAGCCTAAGCAAAACGACGCCTGTGTTAATTTGGGGTGGTGTTGTGCGACACGATCATGGAAAAGGGTTTTTCAAAAGTTTCCAATTGAATCTCCTTTGTTTCCCCTGCTTCGCTGGCAATCCCTCCTTTCCTCTATAATTTTTCATTTTTTATATTTGCTACGAAGGGTGAATTTAACTATTTTGCCATTCAGCTGTATTTAAGTTATCATTTATTATTACTACGCTATTACCACTCTTCCCTCTCACCTCCAATCTACCCACCTCCATTCCAGTCCTTAAATTAAGCTCAGATCGAGTTCATCATGTTTGATGAAGATGATCTAAAGTCAACTCGCTGGCGACGTCTACGCCATTACAAGGCCCGTGTTCGTCTGTGGTGCCATACCCTATCTCGACGCATGACAACTACAACTTGTGTGTTTCTAGGCGTTTTATGCGTCTTGCTTCTCGTGACGATATTCACTCCAAAATTGGAAGTCGACTTACTATCACAAACCGCCTCCATACCCCACAGTAACAAACTTACTGCTTCTTTTCTCAATGATATGAAAGGTAAGAATAGCCTATGACATGGCAGTCTTGTATGGGATTGACCATACAGAAAATTTTTGAGTGTGTCGGGAGAAACCTGTCCCACCTCACTCCAAAACCTACTCAATCTTACTCATGCGTAAATTTATCCTCCCATAGAAAACAAGAGATACAGACGGCTCTCGGACGGTTACCCAAAATGGATGGATAACGTCCCCACAGTGATAGTTTCACATTCGCATGGGTTACAACAGCACACGGAAAGCGGCATGGATGTCCACCAGATAGACTCACTCATCCAATCGAAAGCTAACCCAGACTGGCAAACATCCTCTGTCACCGCCATAATTAATTTATTACAGTCCGACCACCTACAACGTCAACTAGATGCCGTGCTTGCACAGACTTTCCCCCCAAATATTATTTGGGTAGTGTGCTCAACGGAAAAGCAGACGTTGGCGGAATCTATTCTGTCAAAACATCGCCGGCGTAATCACGGCGTAAAGATGAAAGTCGTGGTGGTGGAAAACGGGAAAAATATTGACCAGAGGATCGCCTATGGATCCAGTTGGCTGCAAGTCGCACAACTAGCGCCATCGGACTATATTTGGATCATCGATAATGGTGCTTCGCCAGGAACGAATTATCTCCAACATTTACTGCAGTTGACGCACACCGACGAGTACCACTTGGCGCTGCTTGGAACTTCTGGAATCATTTTGCCCGCCAGATCGGCTGATAGAACATCCAGTTCTGGATTGTTGTGTATTGACAATCCCATGAAGTCTAGATCAGTAGATATGATCAACGACGTGTGGCTTCTAAAAACACCTTGGTTAGCCCAAATAGCTAGAGAGTCAAGACAGGATGCCTTGGCTGCTCCTCTGGGTCATTACATCAGTCAAGCTCTCAACAAATACGCTGCTATTCCTTCCATCGTCATTCCACATGATGAAAGCAACCATTCATTATTAGCCGACACAACTATTGCCAAACGCTCTCTCAACACATGCCAATATATTAAGGAGCAACTTAGCCACAACACTATCTGGAGGAATTTTTTGGAATATCGAACATCTTTATCCGTCTCTGACTATAAACAAGCTGCTGATCTGGCCAACACTCCCGACACCGACGGCTCTGTTCTCTTTGTCGTTGATGGTCCAAGACAAGCTCGTGCCCTTCGTCCATTGTTTTGTCGATTCCACGTTCTCGGCCGTATCAGGGCCCATGTTGTGGTGACGGGCGAAAGTCGTGGTATGACGGCAGGACAACTACGTGGTATGCTGGAAAAATATATTGCGCCGTGTGTGGACATCAATATCTTGGACCTTGATGTTGATTACGGCGAACTTCGAGGATTACCCGCCGGGGACTCTGCTCCGTTGGCCAGCCAAGTTGCTCACGATCTCTCTCGACTTCTATCGGCTTTGCGTCCACAATTGGTTGTCAGTATTCAGCAACCCAGCAACCCTGTGTTCCAGGGGTCATCTGTGGCTTCTAGTGTTTCTGGTGTCACCACCATCACATTGCCGCTTCCTGATGTAAGACACACTCTGTGGATGGCAGATCTACCAATGGTGGCGCTTCAAAGTAAGTTGTATATGTGAAACAGCTGCAGGTCGATGATTTTTTTTTTCATGGCAAACTTATGACGCATCGTTTGTTCTTTTATCATCCTAGATTGGCATACCATTAATGTCAACCTCATCATCATCACCGATAGACGACCGCATTCACTATCTCGTTTGGTTCGATCTGCAACGAATGCTCATTATCTCGGTGACAAAGTATCCCTTTCCATCAATATGGAACAGACAGCGGACAAGGTTACTCGCCTCATCGTTGCCAACGCACCTTGGCCGCATGGCCCTAAGAACGTTCGTCATCGTATTCGAAAAGGTGGACTCATGCCGGCGATCGTGGAATCTTGGTATCCCACGAATAATGATGATTATGCTATTTTCCTTGAGGATGATGTCGAGGTATCGCCTTACTTTTACTTATGGGTCAAATACTCAATTTTACGCTACCGGTATGGAAGCTTATCCGATCGTTCGGATTTGCTCTTTGGTGTCAGCCTGTATTCGCCACGTAACACAGAAATGGGTATGGAAGGTCGACGATTGTTTCACCCCGACTGGGTATTGAACGCAACCTCAGTAGACCCACGCACTCCTTTCCTTCTACAAGTACCCTGCAGTTGGGGAGCCGTATATTTCCCAGAGCATTGGCGCGAATTCCATGACTATGTTACAGCACGTTTAGTGGACCTTGAAGACGGCGCCAAGTTGAATATTAGCGTACCTGAATCCAGATCCAATCGATGGAAGAACTCGTGGAAGCGATATTTTATTGAGATGATCTATCTCAGAGGTTATACCATGCTTTATCCCAATTTTGAGAACTTCACAAGCTTTTCAACAAATCACTTGGAATTTGGTACCCACGTCAAACACGAGCGCAAAGCGATAGAGCAATTCTTAGTGCCTCTCATGGAAACCGATTCAATCCTTCAAGAGCTCCCTCGACATCGTCTCCCAGAATGGAATGACTTGCCGGTTTTGGATCTATGGGCAAAATTGTCTAGCAATGAGCAGTTGATTGACCGAGGAAAAAAACTACATTCCATTGTTTCTTCATGTCCGCGCCGAGATGATAGAGCCAACACCTTTGATCCACAAGATATACTATGCCCTTGGCCTCAGCCAGATCCGACGCCAGAGGAAGAATTGGAGCTTCAGTCACCAACACAAGCACAGCTGAATGCAACAGCATCACAACATATACTGAATGTGACTGACATTACCAATGTAGCGGTTCCAACAACACAACCAACACCCGACATTGTATACGTTACAGTCTATGTGACTGAAATGCCATCATCTACACTTCCAGGAATTCCAGCACCTACTGATCCAGTAGCGCCTCAAGAGGCTGCAGATGTTGGTGTACATGATAAAATAGAACCCCTTGACAATACTGAAAATGCCGTGGATATTGAGGAAATGGACGATGAAAACGAGGATATGGAAACCTCGGATATGGAAGCTGATCTCGAAAACTTGGAAAAGCTGTGGATAGAGCAGAAGGAGAAGGCATCTCAAGAAGACAGTGACAAAACAACAGCGCCAGTCCTGCTCTGGGAAGACGATAGCGGCAAGGTCAGTTTCGAGCTGCCGGATACAGACATGGACGCGCTGGATGATTGGCTTCCAGAGAATCAAGGATGGCCAGAAGACGCTGATGAATTAGTAGTCGAAGGCATCGATGACTTTGATGACAAAAGCGATGATCAAGAAGTTCCAAAACCGCTAGATCCTCAGAAGCAAGGGTGGCCCTCACCTCAGCCCTTTCCGAACCTAGAAAAATGAATTGATTTTTCATAGCTGCCCCCATTTTTTCATATCTCTCCCCGCAATTGTTTCTGACGTACCAGCTACGATACGAAAATCCCACTTGTATACCTTTTCTACATCTTTCTTGTACATTAATTATTTTATCTACTTAAATGACAAATATTGTACACAGCGCTTGTGCAAGCTAAAATACACACTGCTTTTCACCAAACTGCTACTGGATACAATGTTTTTAAACATTACAAGGTCTGACCTCTTTATATTGGCAAACATGATATAACTTCGTTGAGCATTGAAGTAGCCGGCACACTATGAATACATGCATGCATCACCCTAAACGGTCCATGAAAGTATTGAATACTATATTTCAACAGGTGAATGCTTTCTCGATTGGAGGAGTAGATTTGAGCTGATGAATGATATAAATAAAGTAACCAAAGTAACCTGGTCAAGGATATTGTCCGTATTCTATAACAATGGAAATCATCATAGTGCGTAGCATTTTTCGACTGAAACTGGGTCATTGCCCCACCACGGTGGCATTACAACCGTTTTGGCAGCGGAAAAGAAGATGAAAATGGCCAGCATGTTAAGGTTGAAACCAGCGTCCAAAGCTGCCCCACAAAGATAGTTGTACTTCTTCCACAGCGCATGTCTATACCGGAAAAAGTAAAAGTTGCATACGAAGCTAGTCGAAAGGTGGAGGTAAGTATACACAGGTTATGAAGCAAGTCGACGTGAGGATGAACTCACCCTCCAATAATCGAGCTAAGGGGACCGGTTGAAACGTTTCCGTAGAAGTTACCCATGCTGTAGACGGCAGTGTTACAGATAAATCAATTTGCCATACATGTCATTGCTATTGATTTGTCGGTTTACCTTGAAAAGAAAATGGTGGTATTCCAAAGGTCAAACCGAGCTTTGGGAAATCTCTTATGCAGCAGCCACAACAACACAGGGGCTATGGCTCCTAGTAGGAATCCATACAGTAATGGAGTATAGGCAGATAATTCGAACAATCTTGATGGTCCCACGAGACCATATTGAACAGCTTGTGAATTATAAGAGATGGGGTTTTGTCCCTATGGCAAGAATATAAGCAAGTTGAAGATAATGAACTACATAGCAAAAATGATGTCTCAAACTTACTGTCCATTGGTTAAGAGGATCTTTCTTAGTGCCGTCCAGGTAGTCTCTCTTGGTATCAATTACCCATCTGATAACTGCGTAATTGATTGGCTAAGAAATGCGACTTTGGAGTTAGCATAGATTACATGGTGCATGATACCAATGTATACGTACCACACCAATAACATTTCCAATGATCTGGGACCAAAAGACATCGCCTATCCAGTTTGGTTAGCATCGAACGCTGCACAACCCTCAATTCACTATCAGACAAACTTACGAGGGGCAACATGATTGTAGTGTCCGATTTTCATATCCTGCAAGATGGTTTGCGCACGATACCAGCATTGTCCAGCAACACTACGAGAATAAAGATGAATAGCCCGTCATCGTATCATAATAAAAGTGACATGTAGTACATACACTCGGTAAACCAAGGATCCGATGGGATGACGTGAATTTCCGTTTGCATTAAGCATGTAACCATAAATGAGCTCTGTTCCAAACGAAACGAAAAAATTAGATGACGAGCCTAATACTTTCTATCTCTTCCTCGTGTGTCACAGCGTACCGTTGAATGTTCCAATATCGACTTGATAATTGCTAATAGCATATATATATCTGTCACGGAAGAGTTAAGTGAGTCATCGGTGGGAGGTATGAGTCTGCGCCATACTCAACTTACCCCATAGGCTGCAATAGTGATCATAAAGTTAGAATAATACCAAAGTACTACCTGTGCTATAAATACATATAAAACTTACCACCACAGATGCTGCTCCGATTACCAATGCAACAATGAAAGACCACCAAGGAATGTAAAGCTGCTCCGTAAAGATGAGTACCATGTTTGTGATGAAGCAGATAAGAAATAGGACAAGGTACCACCATAAAGGCACGTCCTTGTAAGGCTCCATCAATTTGTTTAACTTGTCAGTATTTTCTCTCTTTCCCTGCTTAATCAATGTCTTCGCAACCAACACTAATTTTGGACCAGCAAACAATGCGATGGATACGAAAGCAGATAGGTAGGATGCGTATCCGAAGAAGATTGTCCACATGTTGTATCTTGAAAATGGATGGTTAGAATATGAATGTAGATTATATCCGTCAAGTCATCCGGTTCACTTACGCAGACATATATACAGGGCCATACTCCTCATACGCAGTTTCATTGAACTGCGCATCGGCTGTAATCAATTTGGTGAAAGGATATGCTGTACCATTTGCCAAGTAGAGCCTGTTGGACATGAGGGGAATCTGATCACTTCCCCCTACAGATAAGTCTGATTAATAAAAAGTTTTCATGGATGAATGCAGGAAAGATAACAAGACTTTACTTACAAAGTCCCTTGAATTTGGCGATTGGGACAAGTACCCACACACTAAGGACAAAGGCAACAAACTGAATTACTTGTGTCCACCAAGGAGAAAGCATAATTGACGATGTAATATTGCTCCAATCCAAAGTGAAGTTCAAAACACCCATGCCTCCGAGGCCAGACCCGACAAACGCTGCAGCCAAGTTTATAAGATTGTTAGAGAAGCTTCCCAGTAACCTCTTATATGTAAGATCACTTACCAACAACTTCATTATGTCCACCAAACCTGCATCAGCATTCATGTCGTCAGCGCTACAGAAATACATTGTATATATCGGGTAAGTTTTCCATAAACTTACCAGCAAAGTACTGCTAAGCTAGAGGTCAGAGGGAAAGCTGTGTTATAAGAAAAGAGAAAATTAATACTCTATCACGCAGGAAACGGGTCCATATCAGATACGAAGACTAACCATATTCGGGCAAGAATTGCCAGAAGAAGATTCCAACCAAGCATAACCAAAAGACCTTCATCTGTTTGCGTGCAGTGGAATCGTTGTCATCAGATTCTGATCTTAAAGTATTGAACAGAGTGGTTTGCATCAAAGCCTGAGGCCAAACAAAGGTGGGATCGTAAATGAGGAAAGATCTAGCTAGAGCAGCATAAGAGTATCCGGTCCAAATGGTAGCCCACATGAAAGCTATCGATCAAGAGCGGGATCTTTGTCAATAATACATCCCAATATTGACTCAAGTATATTATGTCCGCATTACCAATTGCCGCCACCGGGTGCATATATTCGTCATAGAATAGTTCTTTTACAGATACAATGATTTCGCCGAGATTGGATGTTGCACCTGCACTTGCACTCAACGTGATCAAGACATGCTCCTTTCTTGAGAATGGACCAGGATTCTATTAAGATATTGGCGGATTAGACGTCACTATCCAGGCAAAGGTGTCTGTCGACCAATAAATAAACATACCAAATTAAAGCTGAATAAATACAGATTGACCACTTTGTTTGGCAGGACCCTGGCCAGCCATTTTCCTGCCCAATGCGTTACGACTGTGAAAGCGAGGTCAGATATCGCGTTCCACTATTTTACGTTGAGGAACGCATATTCGCTTACTTTGCACAAAAAAGACGGAATATGGGGCATAAGTGGTACGAAACCAAGATAATTGAGATACAAATGCTCCAAGGCCAACGAAAATGATGCTCAATAAAAAGTATCTAGACAACACAAGAATGTTATTACCCGATGTTATTGGAGCAAGTATAACAAGCATCTTTTACCTAAATGTCAAGCTTGGTGTTTCAGGATCATCTTCAAATGTTACAAGTTCTCGAACCACCATAGGGATGTCTTTGTACTCTGGGTCATTTTCGTAATCAATGGAGTCGTATTCGAGCACATCCTCTTTGACAATTTCGTCTTTCTCGAACGGATCTGCGTTACCCTGTTTCTCATCTATTACATGGTCAACATGCTTTTCAGTATCTGAACTCATTTTTTAATCGTAGCAAAACAGAAGGTTCAGTTTGTTCTCGCTGGAGGTCACCTTGTAATCAGTTGGGACATCTATCTATTTTATATGGCGACTGATAGGCTTGATCAATTGCCATCCAAATGTCGCAATCTGGTTGATGTACCACATGCAGTACAATTTGACAAACTTGGAGGGTTTTCCACCAATCTTCGATCAGCAGGCAATGCCGAACCTCGGTAACGTTCCATATTTTTGAAAACCACATTTTGTTATCTAGTGTTGTAGGCTCCTTGTGGAGTCTCACTTTGCCAAATTGTTACTTTTCTCTGTCATCGGAACTAAGTACTCATAGCTTCACTTTATTGCCTTCGCGCATCCAATTGAGGAACTGGATAGCATTAAACAAAGCTTGTATAGTCTTTCTGCCAAAAAAGGTCCATTGCTTTGCATCACGAAGCAAAAGAATGGTGCGATCGCGGAACCTGAACTATCCTAAATCGGAGCTCATCTTACCTGCTTTGCAGATAATTTGTCAGGGTCGGCAAGTGCAACGATTACGGATTACCATGCTGACAAGAAAATAGTTATAGGAAGGCATTTATCATTCGAAATTGAGTTTTTCATATAGAAACCCATTTCAGATAACACTAGATCATTCAAATGTCTATATTAGCGCATTATGCATAATGAGATAATTTGCTGAAGGTATGGTGTTGAAGAAGTACCATTGCGCACAAGTCAATTTTTGCAAGTAAGGGGATGAGGAGAGGACTTGAGCCTTTATGCAGCATTTTTGAAGTATGCAAGCCTCTGCTGTAGTATAACTGCTGAAATCGTAAAGAGTAAAAGAGGACTGTGCTATTCCAGGTATACATTATTCCTACCCTGATTGGTGGGAGAAAGCAAGCTAACGCGATTGATTACTTCCTTATTGTGGTACCGAGCTCACTTCCTGAGGAATGACCGTCACTTATAAAATCATGCAGCCAAACGCAACATAGCGTCTTTGCCTTTGTTGTATCCGCCAATTTTCTGTATATCAACTCCTACTGGTTTCCATATTGGAAAGCTACATCAGTCTAAAGCTATGAACTGTATATACTCTGAAAATGGTATGAGTTACATACTTAAGGTATTTAGCTGTAACAGACATACATGCTAGTGTTATAAATTTCTCAAAACTTCCTAACTATGTCTCACGATTGCCTTTGGTAATCTCATATTTCAACTCAGGAAAAAGCGTAAAGAACGCGAGCATTTCCCATTGTTCGAAGGGATAAGTCCGACGTCCGGGTGTCGGTCTAATACTCTTTCTATTCATGCCATTGTCATATATTGTTGTACTTTAAATAATAAATGTAAGACTATATAAAGACTGTTGGGGTTGCGAGATATTATATTTGATGTAATGATTTAGCTAAGTTCGATGAACAAAGCGAAGCAACGGTATCGTTTGACAGAATCCACGGGAAACGATCACTGACTTACACCAACTTCGATCACCTTAAATGATTTTATGAATTTTTTTATCGACCAGTCAGCATTTAGCGCCAATTGACATAGGCAGAGATGCTTGTTCGAAAGAAAGATCGTATATGACTAGTGATCTGAAAAAAGATAAAACAATCCCTAGTCGGAGTCATTTGCTACTATCGTCTATAACATCACTTTATCCAGAAGAATTTTGAAAGCGAAGTAGCTTTCTTGCATTTGAACTGACTAACGATAGTAATACGTCGTGAGCAGTATGGAATTATGTTTCAATGTGTCGGCATAAGCCGAAGATATAGTAAACCGTACTGACCGATTACCGTACTGATCGATTTTTCGCTTCAAGTTTGATTATCTGCCAAATTTAGTATCAATATCAATACCGTTTTACTCTTCAGTCTTACATAGGACCGTCCCTTTCTTCTCACAGCCACTATATATTACAGCGATATACTGCTGATTCACCATGAAACGAGAAGTGCAACCACGTTATTGAAGGAGAGCAGTATTGAAGTAGTAAGCAAGGAGATGGGCGGCTTGACACTTCATAGTTAGGCCATATGAAGCATTGCTAAGTGGCACTTCTTTCGATAAATATGGACAATTTTTCCTGAAAGCCAGCGAAAACACACCTGATACCTCCACGTGTGGAGGAGATCAGTTTATTGGGAGATGCTGAGTTGCCATCTTTTTTGTTACCCGCCTTTGTTCCTAGTTTTCCAACATTGTCTCTTTCTAGACTCTCAAAGTCTATAATATTAGTTTGAGATCTTTCCAAACCAAAGTAATCGCGAACACTACTTGTCTTTCACGGAATACGTCGTATCTGACTCCCTACGATGTCAGCATGCAAATCTACTTCTCGGCGAGTAAATTAACTAGCCTGCGCAAAAGTGAGTTACTAATTATTAGAATAGAGCATTCTACATTGATGGCGCTCTCTCTACCTTCAGCTCGGCATTGCAAGCAGCAGTCTAGCTCAGCTTCAAAATATCATTACATCAAGAATCTCCCAAAATGCGGGGTGCGGGATCTCGGTTTTGCCTTTCGTTATGTTTTACAAGTAAATATGGGTCATTTAAGTCACAGTGAAAAATATAAATAGTCCTTGTGGTTCTACATGTATTCGTACGCGTCTACTTGAAAATTCGAAGTTATCTCACATAATACTAGAGCTGCAATCATTTGAGTTCTACCGAATTCTCCCCGCACTTTTACAGCTCAAAACCAGCCAGTATCGCATTTGGAACCGGTGAACTTTATTAATCGGCGACTCTGCACCGGCAATGTTTAAGTTCATCTGAAGTCAGATATGCATTTTCCCATCAGATTGATGATTGATTATATGATACAACGAAGAACCAAATTTACAAAGCTCCACGTTTCAGGAGGGAAATCTGTGGAAGTGTAGCGCAAAGTGAGTAGCTTTGTCAGGACATGCAACCTTGTAACATTCCTACCATTGATTTACGGAGGAGATATTCGGTGGTACAAGAGTGACCTGTGTTTTGGGGTCGATACTGAAGCAAGCCATCGGTAATGTGCGCTGTACCCATGCGGAACTCGCTTGAAAGGTGATATAGTCCAATTCCCATACACAAGGAGGGCTCACGTGTAGAGAATAGTATTGTTTGGTTTCATTTGTTCCATCCACGTATCAGCAGACTAACAATCACTGGCAAGTAGATAACGTTGTAGCAAGTTACTTTTCAGCTTCGGGTTATACGGAGGCTGGAAAATGAAGGGTAGGTTGGGTGAATAATGGGAGGGAGTGCTTACCCACACTGTCTGTATTAGATAACCAATCACATTTCCACCAAAGCTAAAAAAAATTAGAGTCAGGCGAGCTTCCGCCTTGGCGGCGATTCAACTCCAGTATAAGTACCGTCCACAATGGATGCGGTATTCTTCAGCATAACCCGTTTATAATGGTCGATATTGATAACCTTTTGGCTGAACTCACTTTGGAAGAGAAGGTCTCCCTCCTTGCTGGTGCTGATACCTGGCGTACAGCTGCCATTCCACGCCTGAACATTCCTTCCGTGAAGGTAGAGATATAATGCTTTTACATATTTCACTTTTCAATATATGTGTCGTTACTGACACGATACATCATAGGTGTCAGACGGCCCCAATGGAGCTAGAGGCGGTGAGTTTAGTGATGGCAAGTCAGCTGCTTGTTTCCCTGCTGGTGTCGCATTGGGTGCTACTTTCGATCCTGAAGTTGTTCAAAAGGTCGGCGCCGCCCTTGGCGATGATCTCAAGTCAAAATCTGCTCAAGTCCTTTTGGGTAAGTCGACCCACGTTCCTTTCAGAACGTGAATTAGAGATTTGTTACTCATACATTGTACTTGCAGCTCCTACAATTAACTTGCACAGAACCCCTATTGGAGGACGTAACTTCGAGTGCTATTCCGAGGATCCTTACTTGACTGGTTCTTTGGCTTCTGCTTACATCAAGGGTGTTCAAAGCGAGGGTGTCTTTGCTACGGCCAAGCACTTTGCTGTTAACGATACAGAGTTCGAGCGCTTTACCATCAGCTCTGATCTTGATGAAAGAACCCTTCGCGAATTGTATCTCGCTCCTTTCCAACAGGCAGTTCGTGAGGCTAACCCCGGCTGTATCATGACTTCCTATAACCAGATTAACGGTGTTATGGCCAGTGAAAACTCTCATACTATCAAGGAGATCTTGAGAGGAGAATGGGAATATGACGGCCTTGTCATGTCCGACTGGTAAGTTTTTGTTTACACATTGCATCATGCTCAAAGAAATTACTAAACGTAGCACACATGGAAAATAGGTTCGGAGCCCACTCTGTTGCCGGAACTGCCAATGCCGGTTTGGATTTAGAAATGCCCGGACCCACCAGAATCCGTGGTGAAAAGCTTGTCGCTGCTGTTAAGGCAGGCGAAGTTACAGAAGAGACCATCAATGAACGTGCCCGTAAGGTTTTGGAATTGGCTGTTAAGGCCGGAAAGTTTGAGGATCCGGAAGAGAAGCCTGAAGAAGGCATTGACAAGGAAGAACATAGACAGATCATCCGAGAAGCTGGCGCTGAGTCTATTGTTTTGCTCAAGAACGAGAACAACGTTCTTCCTTTGGATGCCAGCAAGCTGAAGAAGATCGCCATCATTGGACCCAACGCTCAGCAAGCTATTGTTATGGGCGGTGGAAGTGCAAGTGTCAGAACTCACTACACGATCTCTCCCTTCGAGGGTATTAAGAACGCTGTCTCTACTGAGGTTGAACTTGCTCACGCCCTTGGATGCTACACTCACAAGTGGTGCACCGTTTTGGACGGCAAAATGAAGACCAAGGATGGTGAAAACGGTGTCGCTTTTGAATACTTCGTCGGTTCTGGATTTAGCGAATTCCACTCCAGATTTGTCCAACGTTCATCTAGAATTTGGTTGTTTGACGGTCTGCCAGAAGGCATTGACGGCAAGCATTTCTCTGCACGCCTGACCACTCTTTATACTCCTGAGACTACTGGAAACCACATCATTGGATTAGCCTCTTCCGGTCTCAGCAAAATCTTCATTAATGGAGAAGAAGTCATTGACAACTGGACTTCTCAAGATAAGCCTGGTATTTTCTTCGATTCTGGTTCAGCTGAGAGAACCGCTACCTTCCAGATGCAAGCTGGTGAGGCTGTTGAAATCGTCATTGAGTTTGAGCGTTCCACTCATCCCCGTGACCTTCCTGCTATTCGCTTCGGTATTGTCGAGGAAATGAACCCCAACATCATTGAAGATGCTGTTGAACTTGCCAAGACCGCTGATGCCGTCATCATCGTCGCTGGTTTGAACGGTGAATGGGAAACTGAAGGAGAAGACAGAGCTACTATGCAATTGGCTGGCAAGCAAGATGAGCTTATCTCTGCTGTCGCAAAGGCTAACAAGAACCTTGTCCTTGTCAACCAATCCGGCACTCCCATCAACATGCCATGGGTTGATGATGTTCCTAGCATCCTTCAAGCCTGGTACTTGGGTCAGGAAGCTGGTAACGCCATCGCCGATGTTTTGTTCGGTAAGGTCAACCCCTCCGGCAAGCTTCCTACAACTTTCCCCATCAGAATTGAAGATACCCCCGCATTCATCAACTATCCTGGTGACAATGGACATGTCCACTATGGTGAAGGTCTCTACATTGGCTATAAATATTATGATGTCAGAAAGGCACCCGTCCTCTTCCCCTTCGGACACGGTCTCTCATACTCTACCTTTGAATACAAGAATGTTCGTGTCAACCAGCCCACTCTCGAAGCTGATGGCACTATCACCGTATCTGTTGATGTTACCAACACTAGCCAAGTCGATGGCAAGGAAGTCGTTCAAGTGTACGTGCACGACAAGGTCTCTTCCCTCCATAGACCTTTGAAGGAGCTCCGAAGCTTCAAGAAGGTCAATGTCCCTGCTGGTCAGACTGTCACCGTTGACCTTGTCCTTGACAAGTATGCTCTTGGTTTCTATGATGACCAACAGAACACTTGGGTTGCCGAGCAAGGTGCATTCGAAGCCCTTGTTGGCTCTTCTGTCACTGACATTAGAGGAAAGGTTGAATTCGAGCTTACTAACACTGCCAAGTGGGTCAAATAAGTGAATGTCGCTTGTATTTTAAAAACATCTATTAAATAAATTGTATATGAGTTTTCTATGCTTTGCCTAGACAAATGGTTCTGGTTTGTTGCCATCGATTTCTTGCTTTCCATTTACCAGTCGTGTCTGAGCCATTGATTCAATTGCATATGATACATGCCACATACAAGCAAGTATGTTGATATCACATTGTCGACTTCACGTTGGTCACGTTTCGCGCAAAGTGCGAAGAGACTTTGTGTGACGACAGTGCGGTAGACAAGAAAGTCATCAGAAAAGGGTAAATTTGGCTGGTTGCCAAAACGAGGCAAGGTTTCCAACTTCTCTCACAACCTCGGGAATTTAGACATGCTTGATCCTCAGGACCATAACGACTTTTTTGCCGATGAAGACAGCGACCATGAGGCTTCTGTGAACAGTCAGAAAAACTACACATCTCACGATTTGGAAAAGGAACTGAGAGACATCTTGGGCGATGAGTATGATGATGGCGCCAACGCCGACGGTGACGAGGTAAAGTTATCGTTCCCGGCCATACCGTTAATTAGATGGTATCCAGCTGATATATAAATGTTTATACAGGGTGAAACAGGTCAAAGTCAAGCAAGAAAACCACCTACTAACCTGGCGGAACAGAAAGATGAATTAATGCGATACATTGCTCAGAAAGAGGCGCGGATATCAGCCCTTAAAGAGGAGCTTGCTGCTCAAGAGGAAGAGCTGACGTTACTGAAAGATACATGGACTCGAGTGATGACACCAACCCGGTCGCCTGATAGGATGGAGCGAACGGGATCCCCTTTGCCACTCTCACCCACCAAAGGAACCTCATCACCGAAGGAGGATTACCTAGCTCAAGCATCCAAGGCCGCATACGAGAACCTTAGCAAAAGTGTATTCTCTATATTTAGTTCTACACAAAAAGCTTTGGAGAGTGAAAAGTACGTTGTCGAAACACAAGCGGGATTTATGATATGAAAATCAAGTTGCTAACAGATTGTGTGTATGCCAAAGTTTCCAACAAACCAAAAACAGAGCAATGTCACTTAGCAAGGGAGCCATGGAGAATGTCCAGGTTCGATTAAAGACAGTAACGGAAAGTGACAGGTAAAGTAACGGAACGAAAGCAACACAGTTAAAATATTTGATCAACTAATTATGGATGTTTATAAGTTTTCAAAGTCGCAAGCAGTCAGCGTTACAAGCAGTGGAGAGCATGGTTTCAAAGACGGCAGATGTCATTGATCGTCAAATGTCGCTTCTGGAGAGCTCATTGGAAGATCCACAGGCAAGACGGCCAAACCGTAACAACACAGTTGGCAATGCTGGCCCGCAATCGCCGCAAAGTCCATAAATATATCTTTCGAAGTTTGATACATAATCTCTCTTCGGATTAATCTTCTCCTCCATATACATAAACTATGATACAATACAATGGCCTTAACTATAAATTTCATTGGGTTGTTGGTGTACGGAGCTTATTGTAAAGCTGCATCCTGAATTGGCTGGATCCGAGATATAACAGATTCGACCAGTTCTTTCCAGTCATTGCTACTTCTTTCTTCTTTCTTGTTATATCTACTCTATACAATTGTTACCCGAACCTATTTAAATTTGCCAACATATGTCTAGTACAGAATTCACATCTCACTTCGAGCCATTAGAAGTATGCGGTTCAGGTTCCTTCGGCCTCATAAGAAAAGTTAGAAGAATCTCAGATGGACAGGTACTGATTATAAAATTGTCCGACGCCTTTAAGTGACCAATATCGTGTACTCACTTTCTTCGGTCTCCAGATATTGGCATGCAAGGAAATAGACTATCGCAAGATGAGCGAGAAGGAAAAGCGTCAACTAGTAGCAGAAGTCAATATTTTGCGAGAACTTAAGCATCCCAATATTGTCCGCTATTATGAACGTATCATTGATCGGAAGAATTGCATGCTGTATATATTGATGGAGTACTGCGACGGTGGGGATTTGTCGTCTGTCATTCGAAAATGCAAGCAGGAAGGGTAAGAATGGTATCAGCGTTGAATATTCATTTTTTAAAGCATTCTCTCATTTTTGCTTTTTGATTCACTTTAGGAAATATCTTCAAGAAGACGTTATCTGGATACTGCTGACACAAATGTTGATGGCTCTTCGCGAGTGCCATCATGGTAAAAGCGGACGAGAGGAGAGCAAGTCATCTGTTGCCATTTTGCATAGAGATCTGAAACCAGACAATGGTAAGTGAAGGCAGATTCCATAAACGGATTTAAGTGAAGGTCCATTCAAGTATTTTTGCTCTTTATGCAGTATTTTTGGACGATCAAAGAAACGTCAAACTGGGAGATTTTGGCCTCTCCAGGACCTTAAGTGCTGGTGCAGATATGGCGAGGACTTTTGTTGGTGTATGTATATTCTTAAGGCTCATGATGCTTTCATTTTTGTGCCAATAATACTGATAGGTTCATCTTATCATGTAGACTCCATTTTATATGTCACCGGTAAGGATCCATTTCATGTATTACGCATGATACCAGCTTTTCTCAATTTCCCTTTTTCTTCTTCTTATCAAATACGGGAATTACGATATGCGCTCAGGAACTGATCAATGAGTCTTCATACGATATGAAATCGGATGTCTGGGCATTAGGTTGTCTGACATTTGAACTCTGCGCGTTGGAGTTAGTATTTGCACCATACCTCGATGGAATCCTGTCAATGTCAAGTAAACTAATCCATTCTGGCACACATGAATTGCAGACCACCATTTCAAGCAAAGACGCAGCATGCCCTTGCAGCAAAGATCAAGTCTGGTAAAACCGGATCATTTCCAAAGCAGTACTCTCCTCAACTTCATAGTATGATAAAAGCCATGATGCACACAAATGTAAGTGAGAAAAAGGTAATGATTATAATGTGACGAGATTGTATTCACAGCGTAATGTTCCATTATTCTAGCCATCTAAACGACCCACTACTCTGGATTTCTTCAAGTTGGAAAAAATACAGAGATGCCAGGACAGCATTGAAATTAACTTGCTGTAAGTAATGCAAGATCATTTATCTTACTCAATGCGTGCCCAATAACTTAAACCCTTTTCTTTAGGCGATCAAAACTCGATCAATATGAGAAGGATCTTGCCAATCAGCAAAAAAATAACCAAGAGCGTATGGCAGAGATAGAAAAACGAGAGAAGGAATTGAACACGAAATTACACAGACTTACTCGTAAAGAAGAAAGTCTAGCACAAAAAGAAAGGATAATTCAGGAAAAGTTACAAGATCTTTCCCAACAATCGCGGATGTACGAGGGTGAGCAGCTTCAAGGTTGGAGAACGTTGCCTAAATTATTTTCCAACGATGCATCTACACGTTGCTTAACAAATATTTCTCCTGCAGTACCCAGTCGTGGCATCAGTCGATCATATTCGGTACAACAGCCGTCGCGATTTTCTGGTACTCTGAGGTCTTTGGACCATCCTCACATCACCATCCCCTCTCGGGATGGTTGCAGCTCGTCTCTCTCTTCGAGCAGATCTGCAGTGTCATCTTCTCCTTCAGATGTATCCCAAAGGACCTCAGTCAGCACTGATGCTTCATCTGTTTCCTCGCTTTTCTCGAATGACGATGATTCATTTTACGACGCTATAACCAACCTAAAACTGGCTCCTCTGAAGACAGATAAAGCCTGTCATATCCAGATTCAGCGCATCAATGAGATACCGAGCCCAATTACTAGAACTATGTGATAGAATTATCTCCATTCAATTAGTTATAAATGTACTGTTCATGTAGCCAAGAAAAAAATTATACCGAGATTGATGAAAGGTCATCATTAAGCCAGTAAGACTTCATTCCTTCCTCGTATGACATTATAATGGCCTGCGCAGCGCCTAGAACCGCGGGGTGTTGCTGTCATATGCGAATGATTGAAAGAGTTTTCGTTATGTAATAAAATATAGAAGAAATTCCTTTCAGCGTCTGCATGATTAGGAGTGGGTATATTCGTCTCAGTTTCAAAGGCAGTATAATGACGTCGGAAAGGAAAGCTTTTGGGTTTTATTATTCTCAGCAAGCTTCATCATTGCGCCTTCCTTACCAACGGCTGCACTTACGTAACTTTTGAAACCCCATCAATACACTCCTACTAACCTCCGAAGCGCATGAACCGCTGCAGCGTTGTTCAATAAAATACAATATCAACAGATCGTCATTTATTTTTGCCATTGGGGACTAATAAAAGGGAGCCAGGCGACGACGGTATGGACAAAAGTGATTAATGCGCTACACGAAACTGAATATGAAGAAAAGCCGCTCATATGTTAGATTCGCTTTGTTGGCGTGCTCACTGGGGTTATTTCAAAAACATCAGAAGATTGGAGGGAAGTATACATTACAAGGCGGGCGGTCTATATACAAATATATGTTGAGAAAGTAGGTTATGTAGATTTAGCTTTGGTACTATCAGTAGGGACTGTTTGCTTTTGGCCGTGCTGTTGCTTGGAAGAAGAATTGGAGAGACTTGCAGGTTGTCTCTGCCCGCCTGCAGCCTTAGCTGCCTTCCTTGCCTTCTTTCGTACATAATAATGTTGTCTGTAAGCGTTGAACCCTTCTTGAAACTGCTTTGGTATCTTCTTATAAAAGGACAGTTGACCGTTATCATCACGGTTGAAGTGTAGATTAAAAGATCTTAAAGCCTTGTTGCAGTGTGGCACAAACCTTTCAGCAAGAGCATCATTAGTTTCTTGGTTTCTATTAGCACATTCACACTCTGAGTACAACTTACTTGGCTGCATAAACAACTTTCTCTCTGTACATGCCGCTCCAGAAGAACAGAAAAGCCAGCATCACCACGCCGAACAAACATATCTTGTTGAAGATTACTAATAATGAGATCTAAACGAGATGTTAGACCTTTGATAAAAATATAGACTTCAACGACATATGATATAAATTTTCCGTACCGAACTAGGATGGATAAACACAGCATATGAAAAGTAAGCTATCAGTACCACGAACAGTACCAATATGGCTGCAAAAGATATCTTGTAAGCATCCACTTCACACATTTCATGTCTATAAGCTTCGTGCATACCTTCATACTTCTTCTTTCTCCTCTGAAGTCGTCGCATGTTACCCCGCAATCTCTCCTCAAAGATGACCAGATCTCTATAGGTAGCTGTGTCCATGTGTCGATTAGTGACCTTCGAAACCTGCTCCGCTGACGGAGGAGGGCCAGAAGTGGTGTCAAGAGTCTGCGTTACAGGATCGGGCGAAGGTGGCATGGCTTCTTCTTGGACCATAGCCATCCCACTTGAACCTGAGTTTTGCGGCAGCCTTCTGCATCACGACTGGGAGAAAATCTGGCGGGCATCCAAAAATTCTCAACGTGCTGAGACGATCAGGATGAATTCACAATGACGTCTGGATTTTTTGCGTCAACTCGAAGATCTGGTCGCATTAAAAATGCAATATATAAAGCCTTACAATTTCTCTGATTATTTATTCATCAGGTTATCTACTATCAAAAAATGTCATTCATCACTCGCATCCAAGCCAGCTCTACTCTTTACAAGGGACTTGCCCAACAACAGGCTCGTTGTTTCACAGTCTACGCTGCTCAGGTAACGCACGAACTTAGTGATCCTCTTCGTAGACTATCATCATTTACTAACGGTTTTTTATCAGCGAAAGTCTGCTGTCGATAAGACAAAGGAAGTTGCTCAAGACGTCAATATGAAGGCTGGCAAGGGAGCCGACAAGGTCTTGGAAACAGCTGAACAAGGAGTCAATGAGGCCAACCGTGTCAAGGATACATACCAAGAGAAGGGTATCAAGGGCGCCGCCGAAAGGGCCAGCCATGATGCTAACCTTGCCGCCGGACAAGGTATTGCTAAGGGCATTGAAGCCGTTGAAACTGTTGTTCAGAAGACCAAGGAAGCCGTTGGCCTTGGAAAGAAGAAGGCAGATGAAGTTGCATCCGATGTCTCAAGGGAAGCCAGCCATGTATCAGAGAAGACCAAGGGAAAGGCTGAAGAAGTTGCCGGCAAGGCCCGCCAGACTGCCAGCGATGTCTCCAACAAGCTTTAAAGGAAGAAAAGTCTGATCTGCTGTATATAAGTTTTATCGTCCTCACACCACTTCACTCTTGCACATAGCTATGTAAAAAAAAAAAGTAATGGGATTTGAATAAAATTGAAAATCTTTTTATTTTGCCATTGAAAATGAAAAAATCTCGCTCGGCTCAGTGATTTTTGCAGTGACAACGATTTTGCTCACACTCTCTACAATCGTACCATTCTTCACTTCGTTTTCTGGGAATTTAACTTGGATATCAAATTTCTTTTTGTTTCCATTCTCGTAAATGCAGCATAATAATAACCCGCAACTCCAACAATACCTCAACCACCGGTCGCAGCAGCTTCCTATGTCAGCAAGCACAGGAACACGGTCTGATCCGTACACAGCTTACGCGGCTGCGTTAATGTCGAATCAAATGCCTTTACAGCAGAACTTTCAGCAGCAGCAAAGCCAGCAGCAACAACATGAGCAAGTTCAACATAAACTTGCTCAGTTGGACGAGGAAAAAATCTACACCCTTGTCTTAGAGCTTCTTAACCCTAATTTAAGAGAGCAAGCCTTGTTGGAATTAAGTAAGAAGAGGGAGCAGTACGACGACCTTGCGTTGATCCTTTGGCATTCATTTGGTAATTTGAGCAATTCTATGACGTTCGACTTCAACTTGACCAATGTCCAACTAAACTGACTAACGTTCTCGTCTATCTAGGTGTCATGTCTGCGTTATTGCAAGAGATCGTATCTGTATATCCTTTGTTGTCTCCTCCATCCTTAACAGGCATTGCCTCGAACCGCGTATGTAATGCACTTGCCCTCCTTCAGTGCGTTGCGAGCCACCAGGAGACTAGAACTCTTTTTCTCAGTGGTAATTATCTACGTTTATGTATATCACAAAGGGCTTGCACGTTGTATTTCTGTTACTCACCCTTTCATGCTCTCCTACGTTCCTTTTACAGCTCATATCCCGTTGTTTTTGTACCCATTTCTTAATACAACCAGCAAGACTAGACCGTTTGAATACTTGCGCCTTACTAGTCTAGGTGTTATTGGCGCTTTAGTCAAGGTAAGGCTAAGTTCGGGCTTTTTTCAATGCCAAAATGTGCATAGATTTTTTAATTCCAACGGTATATTCCACTAGAACGATAATCCAGATGTTATCAATTTCCTACTTTCGACTGAAATAATTCCCCTATGCTTGCGCATCATGGAAACTGGAAGCGAGCTTTCTAAGACAGTGGCTATCTTCATTGTTCAGAAAATTTTGTTGGACGAGACAGGACTGGTAAGTCACCAGGGAAACATCAGAGAGGCGATACACTTATATTAATAATAACCACATGCGAAATTCAACTTAGCTGTACATCTGCCAAACGTATGAACGTTTCTATGCAGTCGCTACCGTGCTCAACAATATGGTGAACAATTTGGTTGAGACCCAAGCCATCCGCCTGCTCAAGCATGTCATTCGCTGTTACTTGCGACTTTCAGAAAACCCTCGTGCTCGTGAAGCGCTCCGTCAGTGCCTCCCAGAGCCTTTGCGCGATGCCACTTTTTCGCAAGCCCTTAAAGAAGATATTACCACCAAGCGCTGCCTAGCTCAGCTACTTGTCCACCTATCTGACAACGTACAAGCTCCATAATTACAATCGCCCTCTATCACCTTTCCTTTTTCTTAGACTCCACAACAACAAACACGATGTATTAATGCCTGGTTGGGATAATCCTGGAGGTTGTCGCTCAAGGTGTCACTGGAACAACCCATACCCTCCTTATAACCTGTCTTGTTCGAGCATTTACACACTACTTTTATTATCTTCATTCTTCTATTTCTTTTTGTAAAGCCTTTTTTTTCTTTTACCAGACCTTTTTCCCTTCTTGTTCTTAACTTTATCCTCAGCTAATGTCCTTTTACATTTTCTGCTGTGCCTTTCTTACATACATGTACGGTTTTAGGAATGTTGCTGTCGTACACTTTAGTACTCCACACATTTGAAGTCTCATAAAAGCTTTTATATATTTTGAACACTTATCTAAATGAATGTCTACTATCTTCTAGATTTGATATAAAATAAATGTAAACTATCGAATGGAACTGGGGATTGCTGATGCTGTCAGGCGTAGAAGGCACCGTCATATATGTTTTCGCTTTGATGAGAAGTGTGAATGGTACAATCCAAGTTAGATACCCATTAAATTGTGATATTTATTGCAAGCTAATGGTTTCTACAGTTGAATTAAAAGACATTAGGTTAAAAGTATTAGTATAATTTTTTTACAAATGGGTGTACGTTCTTTGGTCCATGTTCGGCGTCTAAATACGCGGGTATTTTGGTATGGTACAATTACGGCAGGGAGAGAAGGGGAAGGGTATCAAAACGAGGAGCTAATTCGCTTAGCGGCTTTAGAAGTCTTATCAACGGTCTCTAGTGCACCACTGCCTATCTCCTCACTGTTGAGATTGATAATTTCATCTAAAGAGTGGCTGGCCATCAACTTCGGCAGCGACGCATCCGACAGAGATTTCTGGATGGGGGGCGAAACAGCGGGCGGCGTGTCCACATCAGGGCTTTTCATAGTGCTGTTTCTGCTCACCTTCCTGGTGTCCACCTTCAAAGTCTCAGGATTAGCGGAAGATGGTGGTATGCTCGAGTTTCCTTTACTACTTTTGTGTCGAAACAGTGCTTTTCCAAAGGATGAAAATCTGCTACCGCTAGCACCTGTAGGCACAGGAGATGTTGGTGGTCTGACTTCCACAGGGCTAGAATTTGTTCGCAGCATGGCAACTGAACCAATGGACGAAGCTGTTTGCTTCCGTTGCAATGTTGTCGGCAGAGTTTTTGATTTTTCCTTATTGCTGCTACTAGACTTTTCAGTGTTGTTATTTCGGCTGAGTAAAAGTCCTGTCCACTGCCTCGCCCACGTAATTCGTTGTCGGACGGCACGTTTTGCCATGGTCACGTTGACCGAGCCCGACTTCTTCATAAGGTATAGCATTCCGCAATTGGTACAAAAAAGGGCAAAAAGAAAGAAATCGAATGAACAAAAACGAAGGAATAAACAGTAGAAGGTAATCCCAAGTAGCATCCGTCTTCTGTTCCTGACGAATGATATTTCGCGAAGAGCTGTTTCAGAGATTTTTTAAAAATAGGTATAAAAAACAATATGAAAGGTCAATAAGATGTACTAAGCATCCCCACATTGCATCAATATATTGTCTGGTAAGGCATACCTGTGAACCGTATCTTCTGTGCTTTATCGTTATCCGCTTCTTGTGGAACTTCAGGGTAGGTTAACAGAGAGATAAACATAAACGGTATGTCCAGCAGAGACTGTGGGTCTCTTTTTTTTTCAGCGTCGCTTTTACGTTTTCGTTTGACGTTGCCGCTTTCGCCACTGCGCCCAAGTTGTGGACCCTCAAAGAAGTAACTGAATGCTGCCATAAGGTCCGGGTCAACCCAAGCGGTATTTTCCAAAAAATTATTGCCTATATCCACTTCTTCAGGTGTCTCCACCAACTCTAGCGAGGTAATCCTTGGAAGCTCTAGTGGTGGAAGCTGAATATCGGCCGGTGGCGTTATAGGTATTTCAGCGGCCGTTTGGTGTATCTGAGTTTTGATGGTCGATATCGGTATCAAGTCAGGTGTGGCTGTAGGCTGAGGAGTTTCGTCCGAAGACGTTGATGATACTGAAGCAGATAAGCCTTGCATCGCGAGTGGTGATCCGTTTGCTTCATAGTCAGATTCATCCTCGTCTGTCACAGCAGTCGAAGACGATGTAAGACTGAAAAGCTTTGTGATATAAAGGGTATAAATTACAGTCGCACAATTTCCAGCCAGGTTACTCAAATATATTCAATCTTCACCTTGTTATTTTGCAACAGCAGCTGGTGAACGTGCTTAGCTATCCTTTTTGAGGTGACTTTTCCATCTAGCTCCCTCAGCTGTTCAGCTACCAAAGTAAAAGCTTGGTATATGGTTTCTTGATCATACGATTCAGACACTGAAAGAGGTCGTTTGTTAGTAGGTGATGAATGGATGTAACTAAAAACCGTCGAAAGCGATAAACGTGCGTACACTTGTAGTTTGGGTAGCGTCGAGTGACTAGGCGATAGATACTACGAGGTCGTCCCTGAGGACTGGCTTGCACGCATAAGTTGTCGGAGTGGGCTATAGTAGTCCACTGTTTGTTGCCACCTATCAAGCGCTTGGGCGGGTTGAGCCACATGAAGCACTTATGGAGACAGAGAGAAAAAGAAACAAAAAGGGAAAAGAGTTGTGATAGGAGACGAGGAGACAGCTGTTAAATTTTTGACAGTGCCTGGAAATTCGATGCGGCAGCCCCACTGCCTGAAGCCACATGGTCATCAGCCCACCAAACGGCTGGCTGGAACGAAAATTCGTGATGTCAGCATCTTCTCCTGGTTATGATAGCATGCCACTGTATTCTAACTACATGATAATAGCAATTATTACTTTGAACTTTTGAGCAGTAGACATTTACCGAGATATTTTCCAGGGAGTCTCTGACATCCGTGAAGGCGCTTTTCTCCTGGATTTTAGTCATTGGCTGTAGTATGAGACGTTAAAAACAAAGGTAAGATATATCACACGTCCCAACACCATACAAGCCAGTAACAGCTTTTGCAAGTGAAAGCCTACTTGTTGCAGCATTCCAAGTACATAGGCGCTCAGCTTGTTAGGGGTACTATAAATTACATATTTGTGTGCAATGGTTTTATGAATTCAATATAACAAGTGAGAAGTACAAAGAAAGACACTGACAGTATAATTAAATACATAATTACAACTGAATTTTATCAATCTTGATGAACAGAAGAAAAAAATTTAGAAATTAGTAAGTAGCCGAAAGCTCGAAGTCTTGTAGATTCACTTTAAGGTACAGGTACAGCAATACCAAGGAAAGTAGGCTTATAGTTTTCAGAATACAGTCAGTTCAAAGTGAATGAGTACCATGCTTCAAGCCCATTATTTCAAGTTGTTTGGTAATACCGAAAGCCAATCCTTGAAGTGAATATTGACGGTATCGCGCTCTTCATTAAAAGTGACCAAGCAACAAAATACTGGTGCTGCCAATCAAAGCACTCGAGAGGAGTATCACGTGCAACGCTGGACGAAATTGTCTGTGGGGTAAATTGCGTTTGTAATAACCTTTACCTATCACTCAGCCTTGTTCATTCTCTTTGAATTACACTACATGCCAAAGCTCCCTGTCAGCAATACGTACATTATCCCAGCTCATCCGGGTACTGAGAATGGCGAAAATCTCAAGTTGGTAGTCGAGCAGTACTCATTCCCAGCTGTAACTGCAAAGAACGCTAGAACTGTGAATGTCGTTTGGTCTCACGCTAATGGCTTCCACAAGGAGACACTACACCCGTTGATGCGCAGAAACATTAAGCAGCTCCGGGAGAGCTATGGCGACGTTAATTTCGAGTTTTACGCTTGGGATGGTCGAAACCAAGGCGACTCCGGACGACTGAATGTCGATCATCTCCCGCTAACATGTAAGTCATTCACATATCTTGGGCATTGAAAATCAAAAGACAATGTTTAATTATCTGAATGGACTGTAGTTTCGTGGCAGGATCATGCCTCAGATATTCACCAGTTAATTGAAGAGCTGAAGCTGAAACATTCACATACCCAATTGATTGGCATTGGACATTCTGTTGGAGCAACATCAACGTAAGCATTTAAGATATACTATCACTCTCTGATATCATCTAGCATCACTAAAGCAAACTTTTAATTCTAGAATTCTTTGTGAATTCCGTTATCCTGGCACATTTGATGCTATCATTGCAATTGAGCCAATTTTTATAGTGGATGTTGCACCAAAGAGGCTACGTGAGGGAATGCCAATGTTGGCTTCGCGTAAGCGTAGAGATCAGTGGGACAGCTTGTAAGTTGAAGTTTAGCAGTTGCGTTAATTATCACCCCTCCAATTCAAATTTTGGAACTTACCTCAAAAACAGTGAGGCCGCGTACACATTTTTCTCCAAGAGACCATTTTGGAAAACTTGGGACCCAGAAGCTCTTGAGCTCTTTGTGGTAAGTAAAATCTCGGTAGCACGATGAATACATATCCGCTTACAAAGACGCTCCATTAATACATTTGTGAATTAGAAATACGGCCTGTACGAGACTGAAGATGGAAAGGTTCGCCTGAAGTGCCAGCCAGAGCAAGAATATGTAAGAGTACAGCACAGTACCGCTTTAGATTGCCTTAGTATCTAACCCAAGTCTGTGCTTTGTCTGGCAAATTAGGCTGTTTATTGGTATGACTGCCATTCTCAGATTGTTGCCTTTAGATGTTTAGGCGCTATCCGCATACCCGTTCACATTGTCTTTGGGGATGAATCACATATCTTGTAAGTTATTTACCAGCTGACTCCGGCTGTCAGTGCTATATTAATCTTTGACATAGCCCGTTGTCGGAATTGGAGGGCATCGATAAGACTGCTCCAACTGTGGACATATCTGTTGTCAGCGGCGGTCACATTGTGCCTCTCGAAAAACCTGACTTGATAGGTATGTGCTCATTTAAACAAACTACCATACAATTAATCATGGGCTGACGAATGTTCACCCTCCACTAGCATCTGATATCCTACCATTCTTCCAAAAAGTTCTGAGTGATGGGTCTGAACAAAGGCTTCAAGCCAAGCTTTGAAATCATAGACTAGAATACAAAGAAGAAGCCGCACTCATCAGTGTATATGCATTGATAAGGTGTCCCACCGAATTGCTCTGGAGCATAATAGTGCAAAATGTAGTTTTAACCAATCAATGGTTGTATGTAATAAGACTATGATACCTATTTAAATGACTCTTCTCACCTAATGTGTTGTTATGGCATGTTGTATTCTTACTTTGAAACCAACACCTTTTTAGACCATCTTGGAGGCAGTCAACTGGCTGACCTACACAATGCACCGTAGATTGCCTCGGCAAAATATCCTCTTTTTTGGACATTCCAGGAAGTCCTCATCCAAATCTCAGCTTGTGCCTGAATATGAGACAATCCGTCCCTAAGAAATAATGAAGATCTATCTGATATTAAGTTGAATCATTTCGTTATATTGCAGAAGCTGGCGAAGCAGCCCTTCCACAACCACACAATATTGTACTGTGTCCACTGCATGTCATTTTATGAATGATCATCTTATGTTGGAATGAAACATACACGTTGGAAACGATTATTCATCCGGTTAGGGACAGTCGCGTACTTTTGCGAGAATTCTGAGATGACTTACCAGCCATTGATGTAAATATGTCTAACTGTACCTCAGAACAGTGTGGACGGTGAACCCTTCCTTGCCGTTGAACAACCTGACATGCTAGCTGTACGCTTTTGAACACTTTGGAAAGCAGCAATGTTGATGCCACGACAGGACCAGCATGTGTCAATTTTCGCAACTAGTGTCATTGGTCATCTTTCTATGAACATAAGGGCAGACGATGATGTTACGCTTATGATGCCAATATCAATCCACACAGCGAGTTGAAAAAACGTTTTCTTCTTTTTGAAAAAAAAAAAAATGCGCCCGGTTTTATTACAATTGATCACAAGAAAGATTTGACAGGGTATGTTCATGAGCTGCAAAGGCCGCATGTGATTGCAGACCAGAATCCGCGGCGTTTCGGTTTTGGATGAGCTTCTTGTTGGTGGCGTTTTGGACCGGGTTCAGTTTCCATAGCTTGACTAGCTCTATACACATTCGGTTGTTCGGTCACATAACTCTGGCGGATTTCTTTGTTAGTCCCAGAAGTTCGCGACTGCCTGTTAGCACGCGAGTTCGAGTGTTGCAGGATTTGCTGGGCGGCATTGGGTGGTACGTTGAGTGCAGAGTTGAGTGGCTGTTGTGACGATGATTGATGAAGCAATTGGGTGTTTCGGTTAATATGGTGGCGATAGATGGATGACCGGGGCTGACGGAGCAAAAGAAATGATGTAGGTCAGAAAAATTGACCGATGTTGGTTGAATCGCAAGAAAAGATGCTGTTAATGGTTTGCTCTGAAGTATACATGTGCGTGTGAAGTAGTAAATTACAAGATGAAGGGGGAGGGGAGATGGGGAATATCTATTACTCTGGATCAGGATAGGTAAGCATCAACGGTGTGGGTTTTGGTTTTCTTTCGATTGTCTACAATAAGGAGCGGGATGTCAAAATATAAGAGAACCATTTGCCGAGCACAGAGTGTTCGAAATGAAAGGGGAGGAGGAAAACGCATATGGACCAAAAGATCAAACCAGTATTTGCAAGAAACAGCAGAAAATAATGACTGGAAAATATTGCTTACCTCCCATCCTTTACCGTCGTTCAAAAGTTTCCAATCATATACAGTATCATCGGTATGACCACCATTTCTGATCACCTTATTGAATAGCTCTTGCAAGAAATTGTAATCTGGTAGCTCCTCAAAGCCTAACTTACGAACGTATTGTAGATAGATGCCAAACTCCTCTGAAAGACGACGGTCACATGTTAGCGTATAAGCTAAGTAGCCGGATTTAACCTGCATACAGTCTACACATACCCGGGAAGCCCTGACATAGATCCTTTACTGGAGTGCTTTGCTTCTTTTCACCGATTTTCTCATACTTTTGCTTGTTTGTTGCGGCTTTGAGACCTTGCCATGGCAGCTGACCGCGTAAAAAGTACATGAAAACATGACCTAGGGCTTCTAGATCATCACGACGCGATTGCTCTAAAGAAAGGGGGATAAAAAAATATGACTCGAGATGAATATATTATCTCATTTGTTGGACTCCGCAATTATTTTGCTCACCTCTGCCTAAATGGGTATTGATACTCATGTAGCGAGCTGTACCGGATAAACTCTTTCGTTCGCGGTAAGGGATATGCTGTTTGGTTTTTGGGTCACGATATTGCTTGGCCATGCCAAAGTCAATCATGAAAACAAGATCGGCTGTGTCGGTTCCTGGCCTGCCGATCAAAAAGTTGTCTGGTTTGATATCTCTGTATATCAGGTTGTGTTCGTGCAACGTTTCTACCCGATTCAACTAAAGTTTAAATACGGTGTCAGCATCCAATAAAGCCATGCATACGACAATCCCCTTCGAACTAACCATTTGTTTGGCGACCATAGCAACCGTTTTTGGAGAAAATTGGCGACCGCACATATCAAACAAGTCCTCTAAGCTCGGACCTAACATGTCAATTACCAGTATATTGTGCATGCCTTCTTGGCCAAAATAATAGGCATTGGGTACACCATCTGTAGTACCAAAAGTCAGTCAGTACTAGGTGAAACCAAATGAGATCAAGGGGGTTGGGTAGGCGGAGGCGGCGGCGGCGTCGGTGACCAGAGAAGAATTTTTTAAAAAAAACGAATTCTAATACTTACGGCATCCATTCAAAATCTTATATGTGCGGTACTCTTCTCGCAGTTGTGGAGCTTCAGATTTGCGAGGCTCAAATTTTATGGCCACTTGTTGGTTATTGAGTAGGTTGGTACCTTTTTTTTTTTAACAAAGAAAGTTGGTTTGAATGCAGGATCAGCCTGGGTGCGAATATTTTGTGTTGGGAATATTTTACCTTCGTAGATGACACCAAAAGAGCCTTCGCCTATCTTTTTACCGACTCTATAATGGACGCCTACTACATTTGATGCGGATGAAGAACCTCCTGCACTCTCTGCTGAAGATGGGTGTGCGCTCATTGACTGGCTAGATGCCGACGCAACGGCAATAGGTCGAGCAAGCGTTATGGAGGAGATTTAAAGCTGAGAGAATTCGAAGCTGCTGAATGGAAATAGGCGAGATATAACGCAACTTCTTCCTTATTTCTTTATACAGCTATAACAACGACGTGCTTTGTAGCGCTCAAGGGAATAGGTAGGGTATATAACAGAAGAGAGAGAGAGATGAAGATGGAGCGAGAGGCGATAGAAAACGGGGATTCAAGCCCATTGCCCCGCGTGGTACTGCGAAATAGAATCGACCGAAAAATTTGCTCGGCTGAGGTCTTGAGCCAACAAAACTTGCGAAAGCTTACTTCACCCTGGACTACAGCAAAATGTTCTTTAATACCATACCTTTGATTCAATATGATACAAATTTTAATAAACTCACTCTTCCCTTCGGTTGTGCTCATCTAAATCCATCTATCCATCTGAATTTAAAGAACCCCATACCATCATACGTCATAAGACTTTTTGTTACAGCCTGCGGTAGCATAGGGTCGACGAAGAATGAATTCATGATTGCCTTGTCGCCCACCTTTTTACCTGGATCCAATCACGTAGAATTATATGCTAAAATGGGAATGCTGGGGGGACATAGTCAGGTTTCTATGGTTGTTTTTTTTTGTTACCGGTGAAAGGAGGTAATAGGCTGACTTAGTGATTTCAATGAGAACTGTAAACAAGAAAATTGAGCATACCGAGTCGTTCTTACCACAAGGACAATACTTTCATTTACTTATTTTGAACATTGTCACGTTCGCAAAGTCCCCCCCCCCTCCTTTGTCCTGAATGGATATCGCACGGCAAATGGGTAGCAGCCTAAAGCACGACAAGCGTGCCAACTTATCAGGCCGCTGATTGGCCCTGAGTTTGTTAACGGACGTCGGCCTTTGGTCAAAAATGCAGATACAATCATTATGATCGTCCGTCCACAGTACCTGATGGAACATCGGATATCGTTCAAAAATGTGTAGAACGTCGGTTTGAAAATGACAATGTTGTGATCTCATACACAGTCGCTGTAACAGAATATCACTATTTCATTTTTGTTTCAAGGCAATACAGTATTCTTCAATCAAACAAAAAAGAGATGTATTTGATCCGGCTGACCCAAAATTCAAAATTTACTTTTGGGTAAGGCAGATCCTCATTGATAAAGGAATTATACTGCATCAAGAAGAAAGGGACGTTGATGCGACGAACTGATTGAGCAACGTGAGCGGAAGTTTCCGCTTACGATTTCCTTCTCCTTGTTTCCAGCAGTATCTCCGAATTGGACCCTGCCTGGAGAATATGGTATAAAATGATTCAAAAAATGCACAGCACAAGCATTTATAAGCCCATAATCTTTGGAGTGGAACTCACTTCTACAAGAACAAAATCATTTGATATGCCTGGTTCGGTAAGTCTAGTTCGAATTCAAGTTTGGGGCGCGTGCGGTGGGCGTTCTTGTTCGGTTCAACGTCAACCAAAAAAAAAAATATCGAGACTGAGTGGAGCGTCATGACGTTATCACCGTCAAAATTTCCAGCCCGGTTCATCATAAAGCTAACGCACCGTCTACTTCTTCTTTTCTTCACCTTTTCTCTTGGCCCCTCTATCTTTTCGTCACTAAACCATGTCATTTCAAAAAACTGGAAACGGCGCTTCTGCTTCTGACAAGCAGCACCCTCACACTTTGTCCACTCTGGTAAGGGATTTGCCATTTCGCCCTGATCTCCCGCGTTGCCTTGTACCCCTCACCATTAACTCTTGCGTTTGACAATGTTCAGGACTTCCAAGGCGCAAGCTCTGCTGCTGCTGCTAAAGCTATGAGAGCTGAACTTGCCAACCTCGCTTCACAAGTTCAAGACGAAGAGGCTCGTAAGGTAAGACTCACGAACGAGTTTACGGCACGTCATTATGCGTGTTCGGATAGGTCTGACTTATATTGCCCGTTTCCATAGTACTTTTCCAACGAGATGGACAACTTTTTTGTCCTCTTCACCCGTTACCTGAACGAGAAGGCCAAGGGTACCAAGATGTAAGTGTATATTCAAAGGAGTGCAAGGGGGCGTTGGTTCAAGTTGGTCGTGCCAAAGGGATAGATTGGATTGGTTGGGTCAGCATATGGACTGGGATTGATTTTTTTTCCCATGTTTTTCTCTTTCTTCACAGCTCATGGGATAAAATCCAATCACCCTCCAACGAGCAGATTGTTCCCTACAAGAACTTGGATCAGATCTCAGCTCCCAGTGATCTCAACAAACTTGCTGTTCTGAAGTTGAACGGAGGTCTCGGCACCACTATGGGGTGCGTTGGTCCAAAGTCCGCCATCGAGGTTCGTGATGGAATGACTTTTCTAGATTTGAGTGTCCGCCAAATCGAGGTAAGCAAAACAAAACGACAAGTTTTCTCCCAAAGAGGTTGCGACTAGCAAACATTAAACTGATATCCAATATGTTTACTAGTACCTGAACAAGAAGCACGATGTTAGCGTGCCATTTATCTTGATGAACTCATTCAACACTGATGAGGAAACAAAGAGAATTGTCCAAAAGTATGCTACCCACAACATCGAAATCCTCACTTTCAACCAAAGCCGACACCCTCGTATCAACAAGGAATCGCTTCTTCCCGTTGCTCGCTCGCCTGCTTCTCCCATTGATCAATGGTATCCTCCTGGTCACGGTGACTTGTACGAGTCTCTTTATAACTCTGGTCTTTTAGACCAGCTGATTGCACAAGGCAAAGAATATTTGTTTGTTTCCAACGTTGACAATTTGGGAGCAACCGTTGATCTCTCTATCTTGCATCATATGGTCCAAACTGAAGCTGAGTTCATTATGGAAGTCACTGACAAGACCAAAGCTGATATCAAGGGTGGTACTCTCATTGACTACGATGGTCGTATTCGTCTTCTTGAAATTGCTCAAGTTCCTAGTGAACATGTTGAGGACTTCAAGTCCATTAAGAAGTTCCAGATCTTCAACACCAACAATCTTTGGATCAACCTCAAGGCCGTCAAGCGCGTCTTGGAAGAAGAATCTATGGATCTTGAAATCATCGTTAACAACAAGACCACCGACAATGGTGAGAAGGTTATCCAGCTTGAAACTGCCGTTGGTGCTGCTATCAAGCATTTCAAGAATGCTCATGGTATCAATGTTCCCCGAAGCCGCTTCTTGCCCGTCAAATCAACCTCCGACTTGTTCTTGGTCACGTCTGATTTGTATAGCTTGAACCATGGTGAACTTGTCATGAGCCCCAAGCGAATGTTCAACACTGTTCCTCTTGTCAAGCTTGGAGATCACTTCAAGAAGGTAATAGAAAATTTCATACTTATTTTTTTATATCGGCCATCCATATTATGTTTTGGTTTGACTCACCTCCTCCTCCCACGCTGTCTTAGGTTAATGGCTTTATGGCTCGCTTCAAAGGCATCCCTCATATTCTAGAGTTGGACCACCTTACTGTCACTGGTGATGTTACCTTTGGTTCTAACATTGAGCTCCGTGGTACTGTCATCATTGTTGCCAATCACGGTGACAGAATTGACATTCCATCTGGATCTGTCCTTGAAAACAAGGTCGTCAGTGGTAACTTGCGTATTCTTGACCACTAAATGTTGCAGTTGACAGCCGCAACATCAATTTCACTTTCTATCAAACAAAGAATAATCATCTTGTACAAACGCTTTTATTTTCTTTCTCTTTCCTCTAAAGCGGATCTAAGTTCATCTACATGACTAGTCCATATTTCACACTCACGTCCTTTTAAGTACCTTTTTTTCCATATCGTTTATCCCACTTTTTTCCCATGTTGCCAACCTACTCTAGCCCATCTGTCTCTTGAAAGGAAACAAAAATTAAACTTTAGCATCTTTCGCTGGCAAACAAAACAGACGGGACCTGCTGTGATTTATGTAAAGGATATATTTCTTTTCTTTCCTTCATAGTTGAGAGTACATTCGTTTTGGCCGTGGCGGAGGATATTCTATAGTGTCATCATCAGTCTTAAGGGTTCACTGCATTTTGGCTCTGTAGAGTGGGGCTGAACTTCATTTGCCCAATTTTTTTTCTGTTTTGTGATTCCGAGATGACCAGGCAGCCAGCCTGGACGCTGAGCCAAGGAGCGATGAGTGAGCCAGAAAAAATGTTCAAAGTCAGCTGCCCGGCGCAACAAAAGCCTGTTCACTGTGTTTCTTTTTCTTGCTCTTCCTTCTTACAACCACTTTCAATCAATATACCTTTTATCATAGTCCTTTTCACCTATTCCCTATTCCTTTATCGTACATAGACATCTAGTTCATTCTGAAAATAAGGTATGTATCTCTCTTTTCTTGAATCATTCGATTAGACACACTTTCCTGCCCCATCCGTAGACTACTAGTATAAAAAAAAATTGCCGCCTTTCCTTCCCCATAAAACTAAACTAATAATCCGTTTGCGTGTCCTTTTTATCTATGGCAGACAATGGATATTCGATCACTACTCCACCCTGAGGATGCTGGTCAAGGTAAATACTGATCTTTTTCTTTTTCATACACCCCTTCTTCCATATCACCCCTCTCCCATGTTTCGTTTTACCATGGGTAGCGTTTTGTTGTTGCAAGTCCATAATTCCATGCCCACCACACACATACATTTCTTAGTTTATTTCTTCTCTTTCTGACATGGGCTGGCTTACTTGCTAGTGTGCACGCAATCTACATGTTTTTTTTATTTTTATCCTAAATTTCTCTCTGCATACGGGTCCTTTTTCCTTCTCTTCCTCCTCCTCTGATTATCCCTTGCCCCACGTTCATTTCGAATGTATCAACGTCATTCATCGTGCGCCTCCCACACAGAGCAAACAAAGCGCAGTACTTTTTCAATATCTTCCATGTTGATAAAGCCCGAAGAGGAGAATGAGCCTTATTTCAAGGTAAACTTTACGAGTTAACAATTGTGAATGGCAAGCGTTGTTGGCATATTTTAGTATCAACCAGTAGTAACCCCCAAAAAAAAATCCAACAAAAAAAAATTAAAAAGCTTTCAAATGGACCAAAGACAGAATCATTGAATACCAGCACCGCGGCGAATGGATTGCCTTTGCCTTTACAACGGTCTTTATCAGAAGATACGACTCAGCGAGGAAACCGCCCATCAGTTGGAGGACATTTATTACGCAGTCGTTTGTCGCCGCAGCGAAATTTAGTGGAACCAGAAAGTGATAGCAACGTCAGCGTTTCATCCACAGGAAGTCTAAAACGGCGGCGGAGGCAACTTCCAAAGGCAAAGCTAGCGTCTGCGAAACCACCGCCGTTACCGCCACAACTGTCGCATGACATGAATAGCTCGGATGGTGGGACGTCACCGGATAGTGGTAATTATTATGGAGAATCAGAGTCAAATGATGGAGAGTACGAAGACGATGGGAGCATAGGTGACACTGCCCGTGAACTCAAGTCGCTTCATCTACGCAAAGCTGGCCGCTTCAGTAAGTTTTAAAAAACACAAAAAAAAAATTCTTATGGGCCTTGTTTATGCCCCGCTCCAGCGAGTAATTTGGTTCGCTGATAAAATTTGTCGTTTAAAAAGGAAAGAGCCAAACGCACCCATCTCGATCCAACCACAGCAAACCCACCAACCTATCTGCTACGAACACATCTTCTGGCTACGATCGACCTTATACGTTTGGTGATAAAATCGAATGTATCAAGTCGGATGAGCAAGGCACGTGGCATGTCGCCCGGATTGTTGATTTTGAAACATACCCGGCTAGCCCCGACAGCAATATCTTTGTTCATTATGAAGGCTTCCCTCCAGAGCAAGATGAATGGGTTCCTCCACATCTGATACGTTGCTGTGGTGCTCACCACCCATTCTTACGCCACGGCCCTCGTGGCGCTGAACAAGACCGCTCGTGGCGGGATTTTGCTGCCTATCATCAGACCGAAGAAGCAGAGAAGCTTCGAACCCATACTGCCATCGCGTACGACAAGCAAATGCTCTTACATGCCTGTCCTTGCGGCTGTGAACGCACTATTCACCCTGAAAGACCTGATCGACTGGTCAGCATTATGGATGGTTTATACCGAAATGGGTAAGTTTCCCGCTCACACTAATTTCTTCACTGCCCCCGATTGCGCGCTAGGTAGATGCTAAAACTCTGATGTTGTTGACTATAGCTTGATGCGATACTTCCGAAGGTTGCAAGGACGAGAAGCGACTGTTGAAGAGCTTCTGAGTGTACACACTGAAACGCATGTTCGCAATTATTGCTCCACGCCATCACTGACTTCTGAGCCGGATGCCATGGTCACAGACAACGATACCCAGGGAAACAGCGCCACCTCCATTTTATCCATCTTGAATCCAGAGGATAATCAAGTACGAACGAGACATGGTTCTGGACCTGGTGCCATGTTACGTGGTGTAGGTGGAGACGTGGTGGTACAGGCAGATGCCGACCAAATTCGCCGACAACATCGACGATTTTCGACGGCTATGCCGGATAAAGCGACCAAACCAAGTCAAGCGGATCAAGAGACACAGGATGCCTCTCTGGTACCGATCACGCCACCGACCCTGGTTTGTAAAATGACCTGTGGAGAGCTTGGAATAGGTAAGATAAAACAAAAATGTTGTTGTTAGGATAGCCCCAAATGGCTCATCAATGGGGGTTTTTCTTTGTGTGTAGCTGTCGATACTACGTTTCATCCATTGCATTCATCCAAATCGGCGAGAATGGCGGCTGGCACGTTGCTCAACGTCGTAGATCAAGTCGTCAATGGTCGAATCAAGAACGGCTTTGCGTTGATTCGACCCCCTGGCCATCACGCTGAGGAAGATGAAGCGATGGGGTTCTGTTTCTTCAATAACGTTGGCGTTGCAGCATCCTTGTCGTTGAAATTATATCGAAGTCTTGTCCAAAAGGTTTTGATCATTGATTGGTGAGTTACAGCCTTGAGAGATGTATTTTTTCAGTGACATTGGTACTAACAAAGTGTCAATCGTAGGGATATACAGTATGTACCATTTTATTCCCAGCATGTTGCACAAAAGCCACCTATTTCATTATAGTTGTCTCACCCAACGTCTCTCTTTTTTCTAAACAGCCATGGCAATGGTACTCAGCGTATCTTCTACAATAACCCCAATGTGCTTTTCATCTCCATTCATCGTTGGGACTCTGGTAAATTCTACCCTTTTAGCGGTGCTCCTGATGAATGTGGTGATGGCCCTGGATTGGGATTCAATGTCAACATCGCTTTCAGTGAGCTTGAGAAACAAAGTGAGTGTGATAACCCCCTCATGGTGGGAATATAAATTTTGGTTCAGGATGTTGATTTGCTCTATTTTCAGAACCAATGGGCGATACAGAGTTTATAGCTGCCTTCTATCACCTTGTCTTGCCGATTTCTCGCCAGTTTAACCCTGACCTTGTGAGTTTTCATCTAACCTTCCTAATCCATCCTCCTCATTTACTAATGTTGCCATCTCATCGCGTAGATATTCGTCTCTGCTGGATTTGACGCTGCTGAAGGTCATCCCGAAAATGTAAGTTGGTACTACATGAAAAGATAAAGTAGGTTTCTTTGCGAATCCCATACTAAACTGTTGTTTGAATTATTAGCTTGGTGGTTATTGTGTCACTCCTAGAGGATACGGTATTATGACTAGTCTTGTTCGGGAACTAGCTGACGAGGTGTCGAACGGCCGCTTGGTATTGTCGCTTGAAGGTGGCTATGCTTTGCAACCATTGGCCAATTCAGCCGTGGCTACCATGGTGCAACTCCTGCCGCAAGGAACGGTACCTGCAGATATGCAATATGACCATACCTTGCAATCCATCAAGCCTAACGCTGCTGCCGTAGCCAGTCTGCGACGCGTATCTGCTATTCAGTCTCAGCATTGGAAGCTTGATCCAGCTCTTCTGGATGAAGATTATCGATTTCATCTACCCACCGAATGGAAGGCCCAAAATAGCATCAGCACCCGACCAAGACGTGATAAGCGCCAGCGTATAGCTCCTAAAGGCATTGAAGGCTACTAGATTTGAGCTTTGTTTTCTTTAAGGATTGTACAGTTTCTTTTCTCAATTTTACATACGTTTCTCCTTTTTCTTTTCTTTGGATCTTTTGTATCATAGACTCTTTTAGAATGTATAAACCCCTCCCCCAACAAGTTATCTCCACCACGTAGCTTCTACACCATAGTAGCTACCTTTTTTTCCATTTCTTTACGGTTATATTTCTATTGTTTTCTTTATTAGCATTGCGATAAGAAAAATAATAATTTATCACCACAAATTTGACTTATAATACATCATGTAGAGTGTGTCTACTTGGATCGAGCGTTGGCATCGTCTCTTGAACGTTTTGTTCGAGGGGCAGGAGCTGCCATCTCGTTCTCCTTGCTACGTACCCGAGTGGTAGTACGTTCTACCACAGAGGTACCATCTCTGAAACGAGTTTTGAAAAGGACATTGGCGTTGTTGAACATACCATCCTTCAGCGAAACAACAATGAACTGACTGCCCTTGAATCTGGACCGCAAGAGGTGACCGATATTCTGAGTGTGAGACAAATCCAGTGCCGCATCCACTTCGTCTAGAATATACATGGGTGCAGGTTTGAATTGCAGTAGGGACAGAATGAGCGATAGCGCGATGAGAGATCTAATAGCAAATTGAAAACAATCAACACATGACATAATTGCAGAACACCATTCGCTCGTAAGCTTAGCTCAAATGACGCCTACCTTTGTCCACCAGAAAGTTCCGTCAAACTTTGCTTCCAAACACCTCCCAAACACACTTTGACCTCCAAGCCATCGGATATGGCTTTTCCTTCGGGAGGCTGCAGTTTGGCAGTGTTTCCGGCCAGTAACTCACCAAAGATATCACCAAAATCCCTAAATGACAGGCAGTGTTAGTTCTCTGTGACCCAAAACAACTATCCGTAAGCTAGGATGTGTATTACTTGTTGACTTTTTCCCAGGTGGCCTGCAACGCCTCTTTCTTGTAATTATCAAGCGTCACAATGGTGTCTTCGATCTTTTGTTTATCCTTTTGAACTGTGATCAACATTTGCTTCAGCCCTGCCTCCTTTTTTTCCACGCTTAAAAAAGAATGAATTAAACAATCAAGGTCTGATGAAATACGATAGACGGGTTTCTCGCGGGAAACATCCCCAGTGTCACTTACTTGTCAATCATGTTCATGACCTTGACGTTAATCTTCTTGCGCATGGTTTCGTGCTTGTCAACCAACTGCTGGAGCGTCTTTTTGGCATCCCCCAAGTTGACATCCCGATAGTCATAAGGTGTATCGGGCTTGCCAAACAAACTAGCCGAAGTGTTCTAAATTAGGCTCAACCGTCTAATTGTTTCTAGTGCGATCACACTTACCCTTTCTGATCGGTAATCCAATCATGATGTGTCTCAAGGTCGCGTAGAATTTGCTCGGAATTGTTCTGTTCCTTTTGGAACTTTTCAATTTCGTGAGTCAACTTTTGTGCTTCTAAGTTTGCTTCCGTCAGTTCTTCAGTGATACGTTTGTGCTCCTTGTTCAATCGCTCGATCTCCTGATTGAACTCTTCGAGTTTTTCATGTTCCTTTTGCAACTCGGCCTTTTCCTCATCATGTTTTTGCTAATAAATCAATGCATTAGACGCTTTGCCGATACTCATTTCCATCGCTGTATACTGTAACTCACTTTGAGTGTGGCCATATCGCTCTTGGCTGTAGCACATTCCCGTTTGTATTCCTCAATGGTTTCTCGTAATTGAGAGATTTCCGCTTGAGCAGCTGCGGCATCGGTATCCATTTGCTCTGTCGATCGGAAAGACATTTAATATCATTATACACCATGCACATTCATAAATGTGTACTGAAACCTACCTAGTTCCATCTTCAAAGTTTGAACTTCACGTTGCATGTTCTTGATCTTGGAGCTATCCTTGGAAATATCGGCTTTCAGAGAAGTGATTTTTTGCTGCATTTCTTTTAACTTGCTGCCTTTATCACTGTTAAATTCTGCCATCTCCTTTTCAATGCGTTGACAATCCTCTAACGCGTCCTTGCGTTGTCGCCTAGCTGATACAATTGCTTTTTCCTGGGTTTGCAGCTCTTCCTTGATAGATGTAACCTGTGTCACCAGCTGGAATGAACCAAAACGATATTGTCAGCAAAACTATCTAGAAAAAAAAAAAAAGAACTACATTAATGGCTGTCAACACCACTGTACCTGTGAGTGAGTACTCTGGCGCAATTGTTCTTGAAGCAAGTGAATGTCGTGTGACTTGAGATCTATTAAATTTTTGCGCTTCTTGTAATCGCTAATCACACGTTGAGAATTGGTAAGCTCTTGATCGATGTTGGCGAGAGTCTCCTTGTGCTGCTTGATTTGCTGCCGAATGTCGTGGAGTTCTTGTACTTTGACGAGAATGCCAGCTGAATTGGGTTTGGAACCGCCAGAAAGAGTGCCGAAAGGGTCATACACATCGCCATCAATGGTGACAGACTTCATACGAACACTCTTGTCGAACGTTACGCGTTTGGCAGACTCGGCGTCTTTACAAATCAGCGTGTTGCCAAATACCCACTCCATGGCTGTCTGCACTTCCCTGTCGTATCCGATCAAGGTCAATGCCAAATCCACTTTGCCTGGCGCAAGTCGCTGTGCAGTTGCCACCTTGTCTGCTGATGCCTTGAAGGCTTGAATTTTGTTGAGCGGAATCAGCGTCCATCGCCGACGCAATTGGCCCTTATCCAGTAGTTGCGATCCGATGATTTCATTTTCCACTACCACATTGTACAATCGTCCTCCAGCACAAATTTCCAATGCCGTAGAATTATCAAATTTGTCTTTGTCAAGGTTGATCAGTTCCGCCACCAATCCTTTCACCTTGGAGCGGTCAAAGTTTGGTGTAGGGTTGGTATATACAAAGTCAAGGTTGGATAGTCGGTGCGATAAATTTTCTGCTTTCTTAAAGTAGAAATCATTGTAAGCAACTTTGCTAGGAGAAGGTCATAACGGACATTATCGTTGTAAACAGCCAAGCTTACTTCATTAAGATCAGAGATGGCTGTTTGCGAAGCTGATCGTTGCGCCATTAGACGTGCTTCCCAGTCAGGATCCCATTTCAGGGATTGGAGTTGGCGCTGAGGGAAGTACGGTGAGCATAATGTATGCGATATGTGCATGTATAATGAAAAATGAACAAAAACTTACAGTCTGGTCTGCTTTGTCTTTTAATTTAGCAGCGATGTCATTTTGCAACGCGTTATTCTGTCGTTCAGTCTTGGAAACCTGAACAGTTCTCTCCTCCAAATCTTTTTCCAAATGCTTTATCTTGATACGAGCCTGTTCTTCTATCGTTGACGCCCGATTGGCCGTGTTCTTTGCATCTGAATGGAATGGATGATGGTTTAGTTTTGCCATTACCCTTTTTCAGTGCCTAAGCTCCACCTCTTACCTTGTAGTTGCTCCAGATAGCCATTTTCCTGGCCTTCTTGCGCAGACACACCAGTCGTCAGGGCCTGCAACAATTCAGAGGTCTTTTGCATCTCCTTCGTTTTCCTGTCAAATTCTTCCTTCATCGGCTCGAACTGGTTATTCAGCGTCATATACTGTGTCTTTCGCTCTGCCTGAGTTTGCTCATTCTATTTTCAATGATAAGTTTTAGCCATAAAATTACATTTGCATTTCAAAAAATGATCTACCATGATAAGCAGGATGGTATCTCATATTTACCTCTTTGTATGTAGCTACCAAAGTGGCTAGATTCTTTTCTTCGTCGGCAATCGACGTTTCTTTCAAGTCAACCTGAGTTTTGAGTCGTACAAGAGCAGTAGAAGCTTCGTGCACTGTCGCCTCCAGTTTCTGTAGTCTACCCTCTCCGGCGTTCTGCTAAAAACGTTTATGGCACGTTTAATAACAAAGTAGAGGCAAATACTGTCAGGAACAATATATACCTCGCGCTGCTTGGCTGTAGACGCCAACCTTTCGTCATCAATTGCTAAAAGTTGTGCGTTACGTTCTTGAACAAGTTTTTGCAGTTCTTCCGAACGGGCTTTTCGGTCGTCCTGATCTACATTGGATCGATCCAGTTTCTTTGCATGTCGGTCATATTCCGCTGCCACGACCAGACGATTGAGTCGCTCCATTTCAGATTCATTCTTCTGATAGTCAAGATAAACTCTTTTTTCTGTTCTCAGTTGGTTCAACTTTGGCATGATTTCCTCTTGAAGAATCTGCTCACATTGAAAAGACAATGGTTCAAAAATGGCCAAGAAAACAGAATAACTTTTACACCCTGGTAGGCTAACAAACTTACGGTGTTAATCTCTTCCACTTTCTTCTCCTTCTTTGTCATGGTTGCAAATGCCTTCGCTTTTCTGTCCTCGAACATTTTCGTTCCTGCCGCTTCTTCGATCATAGAGAGGATTTCCGTAGGCTTCATGTTAAGGACCTTGGTAATACGACCTTGCATAATCAAAAAATGTGGATTGTTGATATTAAGTTGGACGGACTGAAAAAGGTTCTGAACAGTTTGTTGCTGTGCATTATGACCGTTGACTATATACTTTGTTCTACCGCCCATCAATATCTGTTGATGTGATGAAAGTCAGATCGTTTCAAGAAGTCTACAAGGATTTGATTATTTACTGTCTTCATACCTGTCTGGTGACGGTGATTTGACGATAAGCTTCGAAGCCAACAGGCGATTTGGAGCGATCGTCATTGTTGAACACGATAGTGACTGAAGCCTTGGTGATACCGGCTTGTCCTCTTTTATATATGAGATCTTGTAAATTGCTGGCTCTGACCTATACCGCCAAGGAAAGATAGTGAGAACGTTTGAAAACTGGCGAGTGGTTCATGACGAGCGGCACGGGTACCTGAGAAAGGTTGGTAATACCGAGAACAAAGCAAATGGCATCCAGAATGTTTGATTTGCCCGAGCCGTTCAAACCAGTGATGGCATTGAACTCTGGGTCCCAGCCAGTGATCTGTGTCCGCGACACATAGGACTTGAAGCCTTCGATAATCAGCTCTTCAACAAACATTGCAGAGCAAAGCGTTTGACTGCTGACCAGAGTGTGCGCGTAAATTTGTGCCTACCGCGTTTTATAAATCCCAATATTTTTTTTGAGATCCAGTTCCACGCGGTCCACCTTCCCCCACTCATAAGCTGTCGACAGGATTGCAATGCCAACCATAATCAGTTGTGCTCACATTGCTCAAGCCATCACCAAAACCATGATCTTTCGAACATGTGCCGAGTGCGAGGGCAAGTTAACTGTGGTGTTTGTGAATTCCTCCGACAAACGTGAGGAAAACGAATTCTATTGCAAAAAGTGTTGTAAATTTGCAAAGTCACTCAAAGCTGCCTATCGACTCCAGTTCACCATTGTTAACTCCATAGACGACTCGGTAGAGAATCTCATAGCGTTTGATGAGGCTATCATGCCGCTGATAGGCTGCCCGGCCTCTGAATTTGATGAGGTGAGCCATTGCTGTAACTCCGTGGCCATTTGGCTATTACTGAATTTTTCCGTTTTCCATCTAGCTGACAGTCCAGCATCCTGACCTTTATGACGTTACGGAAACAATCTTGGTCGGTATGTGCTGCGAAATAACTCTTCGAGATGGCTCCCGTCCGACAAAGGTAATAAGCAGAGTACATCAACGTGAAATGGCTTTGCTTCATGCTAAACCCAGTTGGCTAAACTATAGCTTGGTCATCTGAAACCCGATCGTATTGTGGAATCAATAACACCATTGCAGCCTTTTGTACCCATCACATCGCCCATCATGACGTCTCGATATTGGCAAGATAATAGTTTTGATGACCTTGTGGATTCAAATACAAAGGTATGGTTCCTCTTCCATCCAGGCACCGGATGTTAAAGCATGCTCTGACCTGGTTCTATTGCTTGGTATTAGGTCAACAATTTATTTAGCTTCTCGGAAAGTCGAGGGCGGAAGCGATGTAATGACAGAGAGACATGACATTGAAATGGTAGGCGGGAACTTTGCGTCAATGTCCTAGATGCACGTATACATAGAAGAAAAAAATAGGTGTATGTATTATAGTAAAACAAAATGTACAGTATCAACAAAGCGTTGTTGGAAAGACACTAAACCGGCTATATAGTACAATTAGTCTAATATAGTTCTATCGCTTCTGTATAGGGGTAGGAGTTGCAAAAGAGCGCGTAGAACCTGCGCGGAATAATGGTGTAGGTGTTGCTTGCGACCTTGCATTTTGTGGAGTGCCAGACCCTGAGCCGTAAGATGCACGTAAAGCATCGTTGAAAGAAGGGGTACGGTCGGTTCCTTTGCGAAGCAGGTGCTGTGCAGCCGGTGACATGATACCTGATCCAAATCGAGGTGTCAAACCCGCCTTCGTGACTTTACCAGCCTGGTTTGTGGCAGCTCGGGTGCGATAGCTTTTCGATGCTCGTTCTGATAATTTGTGACCTAGCTGCTCGCGGCGGGATGGTTGTGGTAATCGAAACGAATTGGGTCCTGGGGTTTCTGAACCAGCTATTAACATGGGTGTACCCTCAATTTCACCCCAGGTCATCAAAGGTGTATTCAAACTGGATGGATTGATAGATGGGGATTCCGGCACCAGATTATAACCGCCGAACTCCGGCATGTCCATGTCATCGTCGCCACTGAGCTTGTTCCACGGTGTCATCTTCCCACTCTGCGCATCCCGTACTGACTGAGGCTTGTTTGCATTGGATATCTGATTACAGATTGATTGATTAGTCAAGTGCGTACTGTGGATGAATCGTAAAATTTGACCTACAAACCTCCATATTTTGAACATCAAACTGCGTGTTGGCATGTATGACAGCCTTTGGTGAACCTCTACCATCATCAGGATTGATGGAACTTTTGGTTTTGAGACTATCGACATCAGGTTGATACATAAGAGCATTTCGAGCCTTGTATTTCCAGGTGCCAGGCAAAGCGTCACGTTCATCGACAATGGTCAAGGCGCTTTCAACATGAGGAGCCTCCTTGATACGCAGCTGGTTACTCTCTTTATCCCATACCCATTTGTGCTTTTCTTTACGCTGCTCATTTGCTTTTCCCAGTAGATCGATAAACGAGGCATTGTCTTCAGAGGTATATCGGGCTTGGAACTGATCAAGCGATAAACTGAGGTCTACATCCTTTGGGATACTGTCTGGCACGGAGGCTTTTTGAACTACGGCTTGTTTGGCGATAGACTGGCTAGTACCTAATACAACAAAGAGTGCGGTGATGAATTAACCTGAACGAAGGCGTAGCATGAATACTACATGCAACCTGGGAAGAGTGTTCTTACCTAGTCGAGTGGTCCTGGGAGTAGTGGTGAGTCTTTTCAATTCTCTTCCAGCTTGCTGCAGACGAACAAGGTCGCCGGATTCTTCAGCATGAAAGTATTCCTGCTGCGCCCTCAATTTAGCAAGATTAGGAAAAAAATCCCGTTCTATAATGTAACTGATGGCATCGGTATATGTGTCTTCGTCCAGAACAATAGCTGGTCTATTCAAAGTGGTAACAGCCTGCGATTGGTTGCGCAATACCAAATCCTTTGACATTGTCAAGTGGATTTGCAAGCAATGGCCTGGAGGCAAAATATTTAAATTAAATTGCCTCAGCCAGTCCTGTCAAATAATCACTCGCCGACCGACCAATTCATAAAAACTTTTGTGTACTTAATTTTTTTTTTTTTCTTCAGTAGATGTTATTTTCTACATTGGCAAACCCAAATAGTGAAAAGGTAACGGTATGTACATCGCAAGAGGGGAAGGAGAAAAAGGAAACATTGCAAAAGAAGAAGCGACCAACAGGTATACAGCAAACAGGAAAAGCAGAAATTTTTGAGTAAGGCTCATGGGGGGAAAGGTGGCTCATTTTAAGCTAAAGCCATAGGTTCACGGGCGATCATAATAAGAAGAATCGGGTCTGCTATGATCATTGCCCGGCTTTGGAACAGGTGGTAAGATTCTGTCATTCAAGGAAGGTCGAGGGGGAGCAGCATTATCAGACCATAGGAATGCAGTCAATGGACGATTGAAAATATTGCTATTGGGTACCGTGGACGATGCTTGATCGCGCGTAGAGGTAGGCAAAGGTAACGGAGGAGGGATGCTGGATCGGCCTTCGTTATTCGAAGGTGGTGGTAAAATGGATGGACGCAGGGTAGGTGATATACGAGATGAGGTATAACCTTGCAACGGAGGTAAGGATGGTGGAGGCACAGAGGACCTTGACCAACTGGAAGAATTCCGTTGTTGACTTGGAGAATAATAATCCGAACCATAAGGGGAACGGTTATTGTTTGTAGAGCCATTGGTGGAAGACAAAGGGGGTAAGGATGGAGTTGATATCCTCGACATGGATCCATTGGTTCGATCACTATCCATCTGTGAACGATGAGAGTAATTGTCGGATGGATAAGGTGGGCGAGAAGAGGCTGGTTCGGGTGGTTGAGCATAATTATGATAACCACCGCTCCTAGACGATGATGAATAAGGCTTTTCATCTCTTCGATATGGATAACGTGCTACCTCTTTCTCTGGACCATTATAGTAAGTGGACGATGGATTGGTGGGAGTTGATGAATAACTTCGCGATCCAGTCGACGACGGCCCAGATGGAGTTTTCAACCTCACGTTGTTACTGCTTTTTCCATCCTTCATAGTAGAAACTGCGGTCTATTTTTTTTTAAGGGGAACACAGATCAATCTCTGATGTTACGTATCCAAACAAATAATGCCAACCCACTTACCTGATTTCCATTATGAGACGAATCAGCATAGATCATGTAGGTTATGTAGGCATGCATAGCATTGCGCTTAATTTTTGGATTTTGCTTCATGGATAAATACTGGTGTGAAAACACATTGGAGCGATCGGATGTGCGCATGTACGCTGACTGCGATGGTGGAGGCTGAATGAGGGATTTAGAATACCGTGAACCCGAAGGCAATATTTTTTTTTCCCATCTATTTTTCATACCTGGGACATGGATGAATTTCGAGGCGGACCATCTCGGTTCGAAGACATCATATGAGGGCTGGATGAAAAGTCCATTGCACGTTGAGAAGAAGAAGTGGGAGAGGATGAACGATGATTTTCTGTAGAAGAATAATACGAATCATAAACAAGCTGTTGTGAATGGTTATTGCTGCTGGTTGGATAAACTGCATGATTCGACGTGTCAGTTGGAAAGGGCGCCCTGTCTAGAAATAGCTAGTAGGTTACACCAATGGACAGTTTAAACATCAACCTTTTTCAAAAAAAAAAAACGAGCATTACCTAGCAAATCAACATTGGGCTTGGTTTCAGCGCTGTGAGGTCTTTCATACGATGCTGAAGACGACGCAGAAGCCCTATGACGGTCATGCGCATCTTCCTGATGTTTGCTGTCAACCGCAGCTGCTGCTGCTGCTAATAAGAGGATTGGATCTGCGATGACCATGCATGTTTCAGTACGTTGCACTAGGTAAACTCACGTGCGTTGTGTGGGTTTTCTTTTCAATTTACCTTTGCTGGTCGCTAATACAAAGCAAAAGGTTAGACATTTTCAAACATACTTTGAAAAAAAACATCCCATTCCACTTACACTTTTCAACGGCTGCCATTTTTTGACGAGGATGATCCTCTTTGGTAGGAGGTGCAGGACGCTTGCTTGGCCGGTGACGAACAGATAAGACATTGGTCTAAAATAGGGATCGGTATAGAATGGATCAGTTGAAGAAACAAGCAGCACAACATTGAAACAATCCATACATCTTGGGAGGGTGATATGCTCTTTCCATCTTCTATAAAAAGGTGAAACAGAATTAGGAACACCGGAAGGTAAAAATACAAGGTTAGCATGGACCCAACATACTTGAAGAACGGCCATTCGATCCAGATGATGCAGTTCCGACTTTTACATCGTACACCGGGATACGTCGTTTTGTTGCCTATACAAAAAAGATCACAATCAGTACCCACGAACACAATACGACATAGATAAAATAGGAAAACGGTCGTACAGCAAGAAAAGAAGCGCAAGATAAGTCTTGTCCAGTGGCCGCCGCCAAAGACTTCATAGCAGCTGCAGCCGCCATTTCAGAGGCATGCTGCTCTTTCCGGTTATGATTAGCCAGGGCAATGAGGATGGAGCTGGCTTCTGCATCGACCTTGTCATACTGTAACTCAACGTCCCGAGTAGCTGAGGACTGGGGTTGTAGAGTGTGTGAGTGTAACGGCATCAGGTGTGGAGGAGGATGAAAGGTTGACATTTGAAAGTGAGAAAAGTAAAAGGGAAGAGAAAGAAGAGGGAATAGTGGGCGGCTTCAGTTGGGCCCAAAAACCTGAGTGACAAGGTGGACGGGGGGACCTGTGTTACCATTGGTGAAAAGCCAAAATTGGGGCTGCGTTGGGATTGTGCGGATGTCACAGAAGCATGATGGAATGACAGCGAATGATCCTTCAGAATGAGCTGTTTCCAATATGCTTTAGACGACATTGAATCTCTACCTTCTAATTCATCCACATTCATTGATCAATCAAGTCGTTCCCCGTCATCGGCCAGATTATATTCTGTACTCCCCCCCCAGCTGCCTCGAAACCAAAAACCGACCCCAATGAGGTCATTTCAACTTCCGCCACTTACTGTATTGCAGAGTGCTTGGCTCACTCGTTCAACTCTCCACTCGTCATGCCCTTCACCAAATGTAAGATGAACTTCCTAGACAATGTCCCCTTGTTCTCTGACACTCAAACATATTACAGTGCACACGTTTGCTCCTTTACCCCAGACCACGCGTGGCCAACCTGTCAAAGTCGAAGCTGATCCCAAGGGGAAGAACTTTGTCTATACCAATGGCAAGACCGTCTTTATCAGGAACCTTGAGGTATAGTACTCGCTGCCCCCCCCCAATGTCAATAGGAAGCTTCTGTAAACCAACTGCTTCTCCCCTCTCAAAAGAACCCAGCCCTAGCTACCACTTATACCGGCCATAGTGCTCAAGTAACCGTCGCCTCCTATAGTCCTAGTGGGTACTATATTGCCTCTGGTGGTACGTAACTACAACTGCCTTGGCATGTTCTTGGCAATAGTCCATCTGATCAACGAATTCTTTCATACGGCGTATAGATGTTGCTGGTAACGTCCGTATTTGGGACACTGTTGGCGAGGAACAGATTTTGAAGAGCGAAATTAAAGCTATCAGTGGACGGATTACTGATATTGCCTGGGACTCAGAAAGCAAAAGAATTATTGCCGTAGGTGAAGGCAAAGAGAAGTAAGAAAGAGAACGACTCGTTTGAGCGATGCGTGTATCAACACTGTTAAACAACTCGGACTCTAGATTCGGACATGCTTTTGCTTTTGATACCCTTTCATCCGTTGGTGAAATCACTGGACACTCCAAAGTCATTAACAGCGTATCCATCCGACAACAACGTCCATTCCGTGCTGTAACTGCATCGGATGATATGTCTGTTGTGTTCTATCACGGAGTTCCATTCAAGTATAACAAGGTCATCCGTGACCACACTCGGTTTGTTCATACCGTCAAGTTTTCTCCAAATGGCGATTTTTTTGCTAGTGCAGGTGCCGACGGGAAGGTAACGAAAACGCGCGCATATATTCGGTATTCCGTACGGTGGCTCGTCTGCTAACAGGTGTTTGTCAACTTAGATCTTCTTGTACGACGGAAAAACAGGTGACAAAATCCAAGAGCTCAACTCTGATCAAGCTCACAGTGGAGGTATCTTTGCCGCTTCATGGTCTCCGTGCAGTAAATATTTACTGTCATCTTCCGCCGATGCCACTGTGAAGATTTGGGATATTGAAGCCAAGTCTGTCATCAAGTAAGTAAAAGGTTATCCGAAATGCGGCACATGGGTGGTGTTTGTTCACTGACAGTAAACATTTGCGTTTGTTTGTTCCGTAGCACTTTTGATTTTGCTTCTGGTTCATCACACGACGAACAACAAGTGGGTAACCTGTGGAGTGAAGGCAATCTTTTGTCTGTGGCGTTGTCAGGTGAAATCCGCTACCTTGACAAGAACACTGGAAGCATTTCTCGCAGCATTCACGGACATTCCAAGGCTACTACTTCTTTGACCAGCACAAGCAACGATATATTGTTCACCGGATCATACGACGGACGGGTATGTGGTTGGCAGTATGGAACCGAAAAAGACAAGACATTGCCACAGCCATTGAAGGGTGAACAGCATACCAATCAAATTACCTCTATGGTTGTTCAAGGTGATTCCTTGTTTTCTGCTGGTATGGACGATGTCATTCGCATAGGGAAGGCTACCGACCAAACATACAGTGGCTCCTCCATTGCCGTTGGCTCTCAACCCAAAACTGTATCTGTTAGCAATGATGACACCTTGGTTGTTGCCACTGGAAGTAGTATTCAAATTTACGACAAGCAGCAAAAGAAGTTGGGCGAAAATAGTAAACTTGGTTTTAACCCTACCGCCGCTGGGATCAGTGCTAATGGCAAGATTATCGTCGTTGGTGGTGAGGTAAATATACCAACTATTGTATGGATTCTTCTATGAAATATGCCATCAAACTTTAACGTTTTTCTCCATATCTCTTAATTTCAAAGGATGGTAAATCCAGAGTCTACAAATATGAAAACGGCAAAGCCTCCTTAGAGCACACATTGGAAAACAACCGAGGTGCTGTTTCTGCCATTGCCGTCAACCCGAAGGAAGACCTTGTGGCAGTTGGTGATAGCGTCGGCAAGATTTTCGTGTATGATTTAACAACTGGAAAGTCCATTGTATCACAATGGGTATACCATAGCGCACGCATCACATCAATTAAGTGGTCTGAGTGCGGAGTGTTCGCAGTCAGCGGCAGTTTGGATACCAATATTTATGTCTGGAACCGAGAGAAGCCTTTCAAGAAGGCAGTGGTAAAAAATGCCCATGTAGACGCTGTCAACGATGTCCAATTTTTGAACAAAACCGGCGACAAGCTGACGGTTGCTTCGGTAGGTCAAGAAGGAGCTCTCAAGATTTGGACAGTGGATCCCGTCGTTTAGAGAGGAGGCACAGGGAGATAAGCCTCCCACGTGACATATATGATTTTTCAGTGAATCAAATCAATAAAAATTTTTTTTTCACTGTGCGATTGGGCCCAAAAATTTGAGGTGCTGAAGCTCAAAACAACAAATCGTCAGCGAAATATAAAGATTCTCTCTCTTTTTCGCTTCCCATCATGGCTGGAATCACAGTAAAGGACGTCAACGCCCACGGTAAATGTTTATTCTCATCTTGATAGAACAGATCGCCTCGAGTAAGATCTGCCCAGTATGAGTGGAATATGGCCGTTTTCGATCACTGGATTGCGAGAAAAAGTTTTTTTTTTCACCTGAAGGGGCTATTCCGCCGAATCAACCTACAATTGCTATTGCATCCCGTCTCTATAGATGCCATACCTTCGCACGCCCTAGCCACCATTTCCGTCGAAAACTTTTTTTCAATATATCAACATTCGTCCACCTTTTTACATTTTGGTCGAGCTCCACCTCATTTTTTGGGATCTCCCATTCATAAGTAACCCATTGGCTAATGATATTCTTCTGCTACCTTTAGAATTCGTCAAGGCTTATGCTGCCTATCTCAAGCGTACCGGTAAGCTCGAGGTCCCCAAGTGGGTCGACATCGTCAAGACTGGTACCTACAAGGAGCTTGCTCCCTATGACCCCGACTGGTTCTACATCCACGCCGGTGAGTTTCTCAGACCACATTTCCCCCAAAAAAAAAAAAATTCTAAGACTCACTTTGGCTGACCTTCTTTTGTCTAGCTTCCGTTGCCCGTCACGTCTACCTTCGCCCCAGCGTTGGTGTTGGTGCCCTCCGAAAGGTCCACGGTGGCCGTGTCAACCGCGGTTCCCGCCCTAGCCACCACGTCAAGGCCAGCGGCAGCGTCCAGCGCAAGGTCCTCCAGGCTCTTGAGAAGGTCAACGTCTTGGAACAAGACAACAAGGGGTAAATAACTATCTTAGAATATACCATTTCAGCCAGTGTGTCTAATCTCATTTTGTTCTCCTTAACAGTGGTCGTCGTATCTCTCAAGACGGTCGTCGTGATCTTGACCGTATCGCCATGACTCTCATCGAGCAGGACGAGTAAACTAGCATCCTCCATTTTTAGAGGCTGTTGACGTTACTTGAAATAATAAAAGCAAAATTATCCCATGAACACTGCTGCTGCATCCGTGTTTTTGGACAGTTTTTGTATCCAGTACACCAGTCCATTTCGTCTCGCAGGCCCTTTTGTTTTTTTCTTTGTTTTTGGTGCGATGTAGGATCGAAGGCTGGCAGCCGCAAATTTCGATGCGGCACCCATGGATCATCTTGCATTGTGAAGCACTATTGCGGCAAGCATTGCCTCCCCCCAAATCCATGTAATGGGTGTCGGGTAGTTACCAAATGTGAGATGGATGTTGTTGTTCTATTACCGTTTTCTGCGGGTTAGCAAAGCCCTTCTGCACGGATCCATTTCTATAATTTCGATATCTGGATGTTCTCAATTTTTTTTTATTATTAAGGATGGCGAGGGGGTTTTTTTCTCTTTTTCTCCACTTGATGAAAAAAGTTCAAGTAGATGTGACGTAAAGCAGGATATGTGCCTGTCCTGCAGGATGGCGACAATACGCCCCTAGCTTTTTTGCCACTGGCGTGATGGGGGGAAGGACGACAAGGCAAGGGGGTGGGATTTGGGCATTGCGAGAGTGGAAGGGAAGAAGAAAAATGGGATTAGAAGATGCGAACGAGATATTACAGATAGAAGGGTCAAGAAGAGATAAGGAAAAAAAAAAGGGTAGACGGGGTTTTGGGTTGAGATGGAAAGTGTGATGAATAAGTATGTGGGGAAGGAGAAAAACCAGCCAAGGCCGTTTTTAAAATCAAGATGTATGTGCAAAACCAACCGATGGATGAGGTTTAATCAGTTGCTTTGTCAAAAACATGCTGTACAAACAATGCCAAGTCTGATTGACTTGCGCATTGGAGATATCCATCTTGAATCTGGCGGTCAAGATGTTGGAGGACATCCTTGGCTCCTGGACGTCGTCGGGAATCCTGATTCAACATCCAGGTGGCGATTTCTCGGATGGTATTGGATGGTGAAGCAAATGTAAAGTGGGGTGGAGGGCCCCAAAGGATTTCAGCAAAGATATCATCGGTATTTTCCATATAATACAATGGTGGAACTCGATCCATGATCTCAATCAACGTGATAGCTGTGGACCAGACATCGACCTTTTCATCGTATGAAATCTCGCGAATGACTTCGGGCGACATCCATTTGGCAGTACCTAATCTGGCGGTATTATTGCGGGATATTGGCGTAGCTAGACCAAAATCACCAAGCTTGACTTCTCCAGAGCTACTTAGCAAAAGATTTTCGCATTTGACATCACGATGCATGTAGCCTTTGTTGTGCAAATGAATCAATCCTTGTAAGCACTAGCAGAGATGGGTGAGATAAGGAAAAAGTTCATTGAACATAGCATTGAAAATAAAAATAAAAATTAACTTACCTCTCGAAGTACACAAACAGCCAAAGGCTCTGGTAAACCAGTAGAGATATTGCACAATAGTCCAAAGACAGAGCAACTCATCAAGTCCATGGCTAGCCAGACATAGTCGCCCCAGAGAGTGGCTTCTTTCAGGCCAACCAGATTAACATGTGATATACATCCCATAATGCGGATTTCACGTAGAATGTAAGCCAAATGAGGAGCATCGGTATCGTCGATGAAACATCGCTTGATAGCAACCCGAGACTTTGGGTTGGAACGCTTTGAGGCTCGTACTACAGCACCGTTTGCACTATAAAGACGGTGTAAGTTTCGCACACAACGAGTATCAATAAGATGACGATTTTCTTACCCGCTACCAATCTTTGTGAAACCATTGTATTGCTCTCGGGGGTTGAGGTCCATTATCTTGCTTGCAGGTAAGGTCTTCCTCATTTTGGTATCAAACAAGGCATGAGGTCGGTTGGTTTTAGCAGCAGGTAGAGCAGGGAGCGGTAGGACTTGAGGAGATTTGCCTACGGGTATCCAAGGTCGCTGATGGGAAGGAATTGGTTATAAAAATAATATTTTTCAGGAGGCTCTGTGAATGGTGCATACCTTGAGTGGTGTGGCAACAGCGGCGCTTTTCAGTGGTTGTGGAGGGGATGATTTCTTTGCGGAGTCGGCGGCTGGACTATGTTTAATTTTATTTGTAGACGATAAGGTGGCAGCCAAATGAGACTTCTTGGAGCGGTTGGTCTTATTACTCAGAGTGGCGGGTCTATGGGTATTTTCAGATGCTTTGAGGATATCTGGTATTTGATAACGACCAGGTGGACGCCATGGAGCCTAATGAGAAAAAAATAAAAAATTGAATGAGCGCGCCTTTCCCTCGATTAAGCAACGACTATCCCATCCAGGGGTAAATCGCAAAGGCTAGCCAGCCAAATGGGCGGCGGCCATATTTCTATGATAACCACTACGATGATCAAATGATATTCACCTTGTTGGAGGGCGATTTGATATGATGGGTGGGAGAGCGTGCAGGACTTGGCTTTTTCTGAGATTTAACAGGCGTCTTGGCTGGGCTGGTGTTATTCAGTTCAGCATGACTCGGATCGGTGGATGGAGATGATGTTAGTGACGAGACGGTCCTATTGCTGTAGCTGGAAACAAATGAGGACCGTTTCCGTTGTGATGTGGTTTGTTTTAATGTAGAAGCCATCACCAAAGCATAATGCAATGAGAGTGGAAAGGAAAAAGGGAAGAGAAAAGTACACAAAAAAGTTGGGTCAGAGGCTCTATTGATGACCACAGTGTGTAACCTTCCTCAGCCTCTCTCACTGTCTCCCCCATGGAAATGAAGCAAACGCCCCGACTGAATGCAGCACTTTTTTCAAGGTCACCACCATAGCGATGCCCCAATTTTTATTTTTTTTATTTTTTTTATCTTGTGAATCTCCTTTGATGCTGCTCCTTGCTTGTGTTCGCGCGTCCAGGGCAAGTGCCGTGGTGCCGCAAATATGGGTCACTTGAATTATGTGCATCACATATTACAAGAACAGTATCCCACAATCTCCAATTTCCCATTGCTATCTACCCACTGTTCACCCTTTTTCTACTCCTAACCCCAATGATGGTATGATTTAATCGTTCAAGCTCTATGCCATTATGAGCGATGATCGAATATTCCTGTAATACCGGCGGAAAACACCGAATTCCCTGTTCCGAAGATACTGTGCACCAACGGGCATTCTTTTGGCTTTCCGAACCGGATAGTCTCAATAAGCCTAGGTCTTCAGATGATGAAGGGCCACAAGATCGGATCGGTCCACATTACCATTCTTTGATTCTATTTTTTCTATTTGTGCACATGGATCGTCCAAAGGAAAGACCGTGCTACCTAGTGCGATAACTTATGCGGTAGAATCGGGACGACTGCCATTAGCGGATGTAGCGGATGTGATTGTTGCACAGTGCCGTCTCTCAACGGGCCGCGATATTATGTGCTACAATGTGCTGCGATTCATGTGTCATCGTTTTGGGCTCAAAAATTTTCATGATGCTTCACGCATTTATTGGAAAAAAGTACAGTAAAAACGAAATGGCCTATGAATATTGGTTCAACATGTCCGGCCTGCCAAAAATATTCCCACTACACTGCATTTTTGACACTGTCAATAGTTTCTAACAACGTGCTTTCAAGACCTGCATACACAATATCAAGGTCTCTTGCAGCCTTGCTACCATCAATCGTCTTGCTGGATGGAGAATACACTCCTGGTTGACCTTCCGCAATGATATTTTTGCGATCGGGATATGCTTTGCGGAAAACGTCAACCACCTCTTGGAATGAAAATCCTCTGGCACTCAAAATATATCGCTGTCCATCGGTTTTGTCCCCTCCTTCTGCAGCCTTCACATGCGCCTTGGCCACATCTAATACGGATACAAAATTATTTGAGCCAAAGGAGAATGTAGGATCTTGGTTTTTGCCAGTGTAAAAATCAATCGCCAGAAGCGCTGTGGTATCGCTAAGCTCAGAGCCGCTGCCAGGTGGTGGCAAGATAGGGCCTAGGACAAACGAAGGTAGTATGGTTGTCAACTTATAATGAGGTTTAGCTTCTGCATAGTACTTCCACAACGCGCGCTCTGCTTCAGCCTTGCTAGCTGCATAGGAAACCATGTGTGGAACGGAATGACCATTTTCTATACTTCGCTGGACGGTAGGGAAAGCCGTTTCATTCCAATCCTTCTCAGTGTGCGAATACTCAGGTGGGTTAGGGCTATTGATGACGGCGGCAACACTGGATGTGACGACGATATGTTTGACATTCTTGCCGTGTGCAGTAGCAGATCGAAGTACACTTAGAGTGCCGTTGACAGCCTTTCCAATAATGTCACGAAGCGGATCGTCTGATTGTTGAAAGGTCGGTGACGCAACATGTGCAATCACATCAACACCTGTAAAATGATAAGGCGGTTATGTCATGCGAAATTCATTTTCATTTTTCCGCTCCTATTAACCCAATACTTACGTTTAACTAGATCATCGAATGCTCCTTCATCTTCAAGGTCAGCAACTTCAGCAACCTCAAACTTATCTTCACCAAACTTTCGAAAAAAATCCTTGAGTTTTTGTGCTTTAGCGGCTTTTCGAGAAGTACCAATCACGCTGTATCCAGCTTCGAGAAATGCGTTGGCGACTTGAGCACCAATGTAACCATTTACTCCTGTAACAAGAACGCGAGAGTTTGTAGATGACATTTTTTCAAAAGATGGTATTGCTGACGATTCTATGTCTCTCTGCCTTTATATGCGAATGGATTACAAACGCCAAATGGTCGGGACAAAAAGCTGCAAAAATAATTGGCCTTTTTGGGTCAAATTGTGCATTCGAAACAGCCAGTCACGATGGCGAAAACATTCCATCGATTTCCAGATTTATAATGAGCTCGTTTATTTTACCGATATATCGCTCAATACAAATGCTTTACACACTCAATGGTTTGCAACACTACTGTTTCAAAATCAGTATATTGAAGGCCAAGTTCACGGGTGACTTTGCTGCCGTCGACAGTCACAGTAGGTCGCTTGTACTTGCCAGGTTCCCCTTTAGCAATGATATTTTGCCGATCTGGGTATTCCCGACGAAGTATATCCACTACTTCTTGGTTCGTAAAAGCACCTTGTGATGTTATGTACCTTTGTCCGTTTGTCTTCTGTGCATTTTGTAGAGCCAAAACATGAGCCACAGCCACGTCCACTACATTGACAAATGAGGAACTTCCGGTGCTAAAGGTTGGATCCTGTGATTCTCCCGTGTAATAGTTGATTAAAGCCTTTGGTGTACTGGTTGCATCAACTGCTTGGGTAGTAGTTGGCGGTGGCAAGATAGCACCAAAAACAAAGGAAGGTAAAATGGTTGCCAAAGTGAACGAAGGTTGATTTTCATCTCTGAACTTCCAAATTGCTCTTTCTGCTTCATTTTTGCTAGCGCGATATGCAATGGGACCCTCAAATGTATCACCGCGCTCTACCTGGCGCTGAATTGTTTTGATGGCTTCGTCGTTCCAATCCGCCTCAGAGTAAACATAATCTGAGGGCTTATTAGGGTCCATAATGCTAGCAACGCTTGAGGTGACGACAACATGCTTGACATGCTTTCCGTACTTGTGTGCAGAATTCAACAGGCTCAGTGTACCCTTAACGGCAGGATTAATCACATCGGCAAAAGGGTCCTTGGCAGAAAATATAACGGGAGACGCAACATGAGCAATAGCCTCGACATCTGTTTCGTCGGCAACAATCATGGTTAATGTACCTTGGTGAATTTGGATCAGCTACAGCTCTGGTTTTACCTTTGACAGCATCGTCAAAAACTCCTGCTTGTTGAAGATCTCCAGCTTCATAAATCTCAAACTTGCCCGGACCGTAAGTGGCATCAAAGTATTTTTTGACAGTCTCAGCTTTTGATGCTGTTCTTGAAGTGCCAATAACGACATAACCAGCTTTCAAGAGCTGGTCAGCCACATGCGTTCCGATATAGCCAGTTACCTAAATTTCGATTAGTAACGCGTTTCATTATCACACGTTACCAACTAGTTATATCTACTCACTCCTGTAACAAGGACTCTGGAACCCGGTTTGAGCGATGACATGTTTCTTATGGAAGAAAAAGAAAGAGTTAACAGAGAAAAACGAAAAGCCGAACTGATACGAAAAGGCTTCGGTTGGTGGCAACAGAGCTTATATGGGTTTTAGCAGTCTGACTCATCATGTCATAGAGCAGTAAACGCCCCGATCATCGTATTGTAAGACATTAACTTTTTATGGTAGCCACAATTACTGATTTGCCAGAAATGCTGATTTTATTCACTAGACAATTTATAAATCTTTACTGTAGGACATCTTTAGCGCTGTTTATGGTAGCTAGGATCACCGTCTCAAGATCAGTGTACTTGAGACCAAGATCACGAGTGATTTTACTACCATCATATTGCTTGGGCAGATTTGCCTTCTCGTAGTTTCCAGGTTCGCCTTTGACAATGATGCTTTGTCGTTCGGGATAATTCTTGCGCAAAATATCCACGATTTGTTGGAAAGAGTAAGGACCGGCGTTTAACAAGTATCGCTGCCCATCCGACACGTCATTTTTCTCGACGATGAGGACACTTGCACGAGCAACGTCAACGATACTGACGAAACCTACAGGTGGAAGCACTTGTTTGTAATCTTTGTTCTCACCGGTATAATAGTTCACAATATGTCTGGCTGTACTGGCAGCATTGACGTCAGCAACCGATCGTGGAGTGGGTACAATGGCTCCAAACAGGTACGTTGGTAATACAGTTGACAAAGTGAATGTGGGCTTGTTGTTCTCTTTAAAATTCCATACCGCACGTTCAGCTTCATTCTTGCTAGCCATATATGCTAAGAATGGATTGATGGCTTCGCCTTTTGCCTTAAGTTCGAGCGCAGTCTTTAAGGCACCATCATTCCAGTCCTTCTCATTATAAACGTATTCTTCTGGCACAGAAGAATCGAGAACACTGGCCACGCTGGATACCACCACCACAGATTTGACGTTCTGGCCATACTTCAGTGCGGAGTTTAGTAGACTTGTAGTGCCTTTGACAGCCACATCAACGACGTCCTTGATGGGATCATCAGACGCAACACCCACGGGAGATGCAACGTGTACAATAGCTGCCACGTCTAAATAAAATAGATGTTAGTCCGTTGTTATTGATCAATAAATGAACTGTCAATTTGCAGTACCTTTCACCGCATCGTCAAAAGCGCCTTCTTTCTCGAGATCGCCCGACGCATAAATATCAAATTTGCCAGATCCGTACTTCTTATCAAAGAAGCTCTTGACATTTTCTGCCTTTGATAGTGTTCTAGCGGAGCCGACAACAATGTAACCTTCCTGAATAAACTGCTCAGCAACAGCTGCACCGAGGTAGCCGGTAGCGCCAGTAACAAGGACGCGAGCACCAGATTGGATTGTAGAGACCATTTTAGTGGTTTATTGAGTTTGATTTAGTGTAGAAGTGTGTTTTATAACAAAAGCCAAATTGAAAAGGCATGTTGTATTTATATTTTTTCTCAATCATGGTATTTACAAATGGATTCAAGTTGGCCGCCGGATTTCGTGCCATGCACACCCGGAATAGGCAGTCATGCCTGGCAAACACAGCCGGAGTCCGTACGGCGTACGAAGTCCGTTTTTGCAATGTACGATATTCCGTGGTGTCCGATAGTGAAACTTCGATTTTTTGCAAGAAAGGCCAGGAAAGCAATGCAGCTTCTAATATACAGTACTTTATTCTTTCTTTAAATCGAAATAATGTTGACGATTTCTTTCCCTTGTTTGTCGTTTAACTGGTGTCTAAAAGATGTGTTCAATATTGATCTGCGAGTTAAAAATATTCACTTTTCATCACATCTTATTCAGTTTTCACAAGTGCAGATCCCATTTACCGTGTAGATTTCCTGCTGATATCTATGACTTAGCATGAAAGGTTTTAGAATCTGTAAAGAAGCCTGCCAGTATGACAGTTTTGCCAAGGTGATTCGTTGTGATGGTACTGCTTACCCAGTGCGCGCCCATTGATACTATGACTACTTGACCTTCCAGAAGATTTTCTCAAATCATTAATGGTGCGCTCAGACCTCCGTATGTCATTAGAAATCTGTCGTTGCTATACTGCGTCATAAGTCTAATATGTAGCAATGGTTCTCAGGTTCATTTCAGTAGATGCTTGTATTGAATGTATCATGTTCCGTTATGCAATTTTTCTCAATTCCTTTGTATTTGAATTATTTGGGATGCTTCGTGGCTTTATGAATCCCATTTCATATTTACAACGCTGGCGCGATGGTTTAGGAGACACGTGTGTATTACTGGGAGTGGATCGACTTTGTAATTGCTCTATTAACCGGACCTTATAATATGATCGACAACGTATACGTGATATGTCATTCAGCAATCTGGTTCATATTGTATTTGTACATAATTGATTGCCCTAGTCGTTTATTCAGCGTGTTCGAAAAATGTTTGCCCGTAAAGATGGTGCACACTTGTTTGATAAGTGTGACTGCTGCCATGTCTATGCCATTTTCAAAAGACTTATTGTGCATGAGGTTAGCAAAAGTGAGAGTTTTGGTCTGGACAAACTGAAGGCTTTATGACAGCTGCTTATACTTTCTAACGCCTAATAATTCTAATGTAAGGTCAACGATTCATCATAGGACATTACTGCCTCACTGATTCTGCTCTCCAAAAAAAAAAAGTTGAAATCTCCACATATGCATTCGAGTTGACAACCTGATCTCTTCGTCTCTTAGGTCTAACGCCGAACAAGTGAAGTTTTCGAACGGGGTAATGAATGAAGTTACCAACAACGATTCAAAGTCTGGAACTACGAATAATACCACAAATATGGCAGATACAAAAGCAAAAACTTCCGAACCAAACCTTGACATGCAGGTTTGTAGTACAAGTAATTGAAAGGCTGCTCTTGGTCGATCCATTATGTAATACTAGAATTGCTTTTCAGATGCTTGATGCTCGGATTTGTATTGCTCTAGTGCAATTTTCTCGTATGAGGACCAAAAATGAATATCATCAATGGCTTTTGAGAAATATTGGTGTACCCCTTTCCGTCAAAACTTATGGAGTAAGTGCTTGCATACCGGTACTGAAGTTGAGCTTACGACCGCCTTAACACCTCCACTCTGACAGAACGTAAAGATTCTGTACCTATCTGATGATATCGAAAAGGTCTGGTCTAAAGACTATACGAAACCGGATGCGCAGACTCCCCGGTCGTTATTGACTACTAAAGAAGAGTCGCCGATGACAAGCCCAGGACATGATCGGTCGAGACGATACTATAACCCCAACCTCTATGTGCTATCGCCACATACACATATATTGAGCATTGCAAGCGAATATCGCACCGTCTATATGGTAGATATGAGCGCTAGTCTGTCGTCATTGGATCCGGCCGAAGGCACGGTCCTTATGAGTCAAGTATTGGAGAAGTAAGAGATCTGTACAGTTGTGTTGCAAAGCCTCTGTACCACCGATTGATTTACCTGAATTGGACCCATTTAGGCTCGAAAATTGTTTGGATGGAATTTGTAGGCCATTCTCCTATAGAGTCGCGGAGGGCGTGATAGTAGAGATAAAGCCAAAAATCAGAATCAGCGTCATTGCAGAGTGTTCACAGTTCGCTTCCAACATCAACGTCATCCCACTACTCAGTGACCATCCAACAATGAAAGTTTTCCTTCAAAACGTGGTTCTCACTCCGGATAACCTACAGCAAGTCTTACATCGCCTAAGAGCGGATTTCCACGATTTTCAAAAGGAATACGTCAGTTTTCGCAAAAGTCTTTCATGTCGCCAAGCGAAAACCGACTACGATTTGGACATCTCTACTGAGCATCCAGTAGGACAAGAAAGAGTCTTGGGACACGTACAGCCAACAGATAACCTAATTTCTGCAATAGATCAACCCGTATCAAACCAAGAGACTCCGACCACTACCACATCAGCACAAGATTCTTTGGAAGGAAAAGATATGCCACGAGACTCATACTATGGGAAGCATGGGCGAAACAAGAACGCAGATCGTGACGCGGGACTTGATGCCCGTCGCCATTCTAATAAGTCTCCTATCACTGGGCGATCAAAGAGAGAAGTGTGGGGTCTTGGACGAACGGGAGCAAACTTGACGTACTTACTTTACGCTTGTCACCTGGCATTGAAGCTGTTGCCGCAGGACGGACGGCCCAATGTTGTTCTCATCACTGATGGTGTGATGAAGGCTAGTTTACAAGAAGAATCCGTAGTCAAATTGTTTGTTGAGGACGATATTGCTTGTACTATCATCCAAGTGGGATCCGGGCATCGGCACGCAGTGACGGCCAACTTTGGCTTTGTTCCCGATGACGATATCCTTCAATATGTTGCAGAAGCTACTGGTGGTCATTACCTTCTGGCGGACAAATGCCGACGTGTGCAAGAACCTTTGATTAACGTTCTCTCACAAACATCTGATTTGGATGAAGCTGCCACGCCAGATCCCGTCACATCAAACGACTCTTCTTATTTTCCATCAACTCAGCTTGGCGAACAACTGAATAGTAGACTTAACGAAATCTCGCATCCTGTCGTGCGGTATCTAACCGATCAGGAGCCACGTCATCCAAACTTTTATCATAACCATTTGTTGATTTATGAACGCTCGTTGACAAAGAGAAAAAAATTGGAAGCGAAGAATAGCCACGGTAGCGGAAACAAGTCGATATGGCCTCAACAGGGTGCAGAATCTCAAACATTACATCACGATCAGCATGATCGGCAAAAGACCATTCTGCAGAGAAACTATCCATGGGACCCTTTTGCAAAGCCGATAGAGCCTGTCAACCGTCTACTCAAATACTATGAGTACGCCCTTCCAACAGAGTTCTCACATGTTGTTGCTGCAAGAACTCGACAAGGTTTTATCATCAATTCTATCACCATTTCGAAATCTTTGAAAACGCTGAGGAATGGACAGGAAACGATCGAAGACCCTTTTTCGTTTTGCAAAGAGCATATTCAGATATCAATGACCCTAGCTTGGCAACCTAATGTTACAATTGAGTACAGAATACAGGCATCGTGGTTCCCTCCCCCAACAGGAACACCGCTGCTCAGCTCCACCTTTCTTTCTGATTCCGAATCTCCTACGTCAGGTTCACCGTCATCCATACCGATAGATGGCAAAGCTATGATGCTGGCTGGTGGTATATTTTCAAGGGCAAAGGCACCAAGGGCAGAGATTTTTGTTAGAACCCATATTGAGTATGCACATATGCTCCAAAATTGGGATGTATTCACCAGAAGAATGCAAATGCTAGGTGTCGTTACTGGATCAGTGGCTCCTGGAGATGCTCGCGCTGCACCTATCTATGAAAAATTGGGTCGTTTGAGACAGTCATTGGATCATATTCGTGAACTAGACGAGATACTGAGAACCATAGTTACCTTCAATACTAGACAACTGTCTTCTCTAACGATGAGGCCGTATGCTAAGAATTCTTTCGTTGAGCCACAGACATTGCGCCTGCAACAATACGAAATCTATGTCAACAGCTTCAAGACCTTTTGGGAGTCAATCAACAAAAACGAATTTCGATATCAAATGCGATGCTTTTACGACCACGCTAGTGTCGACTTCTTAATAAGCAACATATCGCCTTATATGTCACCTAGACTGACTTCAACGTATAATCAAGATTATGTTAGCAATGTTGAAGCAGAAATCGCTATTGGACTGGACAAAATTACATCAATGCTCAGTTCCTGGGCGACTCTTGTTGGACCTGATGGTACATTTGTCAAGCTGATCCACCGTTCTAACTATTCGCACACTCCTTTGGAAAGTCAACGCGGTGCAAGACAGACGGTATCTACACCTCCTTTAGAGTTACCAGCATTATTGCATTTAAGCTCTGCATCAACATCTTTTTGTGAAATTCGACTATGGAGGGAAATTGGATGCCTCGTTACTCTACATGTAGTTTACTACAATGTCGATGTTATGTCGCGCCAAGATGTGCTACGAGATTTGCGTACACTGATTCAGAAAGCGAACGAAACTGAAGGACCTGGTTCATACGCAATATGTAAACGACCTCTATCAACACTCTTGATGAGAGATTCAGATCATCTCAGCGAAGCTGATTCATTCACCCATATTCCAAAGGCATTGATGCCTTTACAGCAAGGCAAGAAATTCAGCGAGCAGTATTGGTATATGCCAAGTGCGCTTTGGCTCAATGGTCAATACATCGTTCAAAATCACCTGAGACATATGACATGGACTTGGAATACCAACAACGATCATGATGAATATCATCGCAAAAATAAGATGATGCCTCTTTCCGATCTTGCTTTCCAGTTTTTGTGCCATGCCCGATTGAACCAAGATTATCAGCTTGTTTTACCAAGACAGGACAGAACCCACTTTTACAAAGAGAACATGACGGGATATTCTGATAACCAGACATGTGCTATTCAGTACTTCATCTGGAAAGATGCTAAATCCGGTCGCATCACAACCGAATTATGGATGGAACCAGCGGAAACACCATCGTTAGAAGACCAATATTCTTATGTGAAAGAGGATACATTTGAATTTGATAAGACGTGTCTTTCTCGTCTGGTTACTTTTGATCAGATCCACTCTGTTGGTCGCCTCAAGGCGGTTGCTGAGATCTCGGACGACAGTATGGAACCAAAACTGGATGAAGATCCCGAAAGTCATATTCCGTTGCGGACCATGTCATTATCCACCATATTTGATTTAACAGCTGCCCTTCGCCTTGGTGCCATATTGATGCCTCTTTATGCATGTCCTCGTTTCTTGGAAGAGAGCAAAAGCATATGCTCCTCGCCCGGATCTTGGGTGAATAGTGGATCGATCACGCCTGATAATTTGCTCTCCCCATCAGACGAAATGACAAACTCAATGTTTCTAGAAGAACAATCTGCTTCCAAGAGTAGACCCGTTTCTCGTCCTGTGATTTCGTCAGCAACTCCAGCTTCAAGGCAGCACACTCTTACATCAGAAATATCCGATGCTGATTTTCCCAATTACAAAAATGTTGCCGCGTATATCCAACATCACAAAGAACAGTTTTCGAAATTGAACGAACTGAACCAAGATTATATACTTCTTCACGCATCCGTAGAAAGCGCAATTTCGGAAGAAATCACAGGTGAAATACTTCTGGGTCAACATGATAGCAACACATTATTCTGGGAGGCAGCTATGGCATCTATGACAACATCATCAAACGATACATGTGTAGAGAGCTCTTTATCTTTAGTGAAAGATATCAATGATATGCGCTGTTTCGTCCAGACCATCAATCCAAGATCTTTTATCGCCATTCTACTACCTAAGGTGTCGGTAATCATGGATGCCTTGCTTGAAAACCAGGAGAGTCCCCGCACACCATCTTCAGCTCGTTCTAGAGAGAACTTTGACCTTCAACTCCTCCATGCCACTGTAGAGCATCGATTGAAGGCTATGAAGGAAACATCTTATGTTCCTGTCCTGATGTTTGAATGCGTACGTCAGCGACCCCTACGACCACTCCCACAAGAAAAACAAAACCTGGGTAGAAACGTCTCAAACCATAGTGAACTTGCGGCTTTGTTAGATGACCCACTGGAATTGACAATTACCCCTGTCAATCAACCCAAAGACGACACCAATGGTAACTTTGACATTGAACCGCGGGTATACCAGGGCAAATTTTCAACTAGTATCGCGACATTATCGACGCATTCATTTAAGCTGCAAAGACATATCGATTACATCTATGCCAAGTGCTTTATGACAAGCATTTACGCCTGTATGTTACAAGGCAGAATGGTGGATGAACAAGACATGGAAAATATGGTGAAAATGCTTAGACAAGATTATATCAAGGTTGATATTACGGAGTTTCTCAATTCGCGATCCCTGTTGCATCAGCTTGGCGAGGAATGGTAAGATAGAACAGACAGTAGCAGCTTTCCTTTCTACGCAAATACTGACTCGTTTTCTTTTTAGTAACGATGATGTGGAAGCAGATATACAGCATCGATTTTTGTCTGTAATGCATTATTACTTGGAACCTGTGCGCACTTCAAAATCCGGCCAGTCAGACGTCTACTATTTCAGACCTCCCATGACATTCATTTCTAAGGCGGGACATCGCCGCAAATCAACTCTATCGGTTTCGCAAGGTTCTAATCTCGATCGTCTAGCTTCCTATGCCGAACACCCACTTTTAATTCGACTGGAGTGTGTTTTCCACAAAAAAGCGGACGCTGAACTCCCGGAAGGCCCTGAAACACAGATTGAGCAAGTTATACCTGTATCTGGTCTGCCAACGAGTTACAAATCGCTAGGAAAATCTGGTGAGAACTTCGATTACGAACCTCATGGTATAGGCTCGGACCATTCTCCTGTTGCATCACGGGACGGCACCCGCGCCGAATTGATCCTTGTGTGTATGACAATACCACAATTGCTCATTGACGACCATTACAACGCTGAGGCGGATACACATCAGACACCCTCGAAACCTAAAGATGGTCAAGAAACTGAATCATCAAAGTAACATATATTTCCATGTTTGTGATGCGCTTCTTTCTTCTCGTTGCTGACGTTTTCTTTCCTTCAGAGATGCCATGGAATTATGGAAGTCAGCAAACATATCGGAATACCAAAAAAATGCTCTGATTGAATCGGAAGCTAGACTCTCTTGGTTTTTGAAGGAGGAGGTTATGCATAATCTGCTGCTTTTACCCACTGTCACAGAATTGACCTTGAAGTACATCGAGGAGCAGCTGATTAAGAAAAATCCGTTTGTCGACTTTCCAACTTCGATGGTGCTTCCGCTAAGTTTCGTTCGTAATAACGAGAGGACAATGAACGTATTCTTGGACGAACTAGACCGAGATGAAAGTGGCCACTATCATTTCGCCAGGGTTAACAACTATTTCTACGTCAAGGGTGAACCGGATACCAATCTGAAAAGTCCATCCATATCTTCGTTGAATGCATCTATGAACGAACAACAGGACCAAGGCGTTCCTACATTCAATGACGATTTTTGTCATGGCCTAGGCATTAGTGTACTCACAGCTGATGAGCATACGGAACTGGAGAATGATTCTCAAGCTCATGGAATTGATAATCCACACTTCTGGCTTATACTGCTACCTCGGCAAAATGACATACAAATATACTTTTACTCAAAGCATCATCTCAGCCATCGATCAGAGATTATAAGAGGAGTGAAGCAACACGTTTTGGAAATCCAGGAAAAAGTCAACCGGCTCGTCTTACTGCACGAATTGAATGAGACCCGAATATGCAGGTATGTATTAAACCCTGATTCAGACCTGATGCAGAGAAATCAGCCTTTAACCATTACTCTCTATCTACAGTAAATATCTGGAAGTCCCTGAGTACGCTGAGGACGAGAATCTGTCTGAAGGCAATAACAGTGATGAGACCGATGCTAACAAACAAGATCAAACTCAATCATCGTCAGAGACGTCAGTGTCAACAACTGCAGCGGAAAACTCGTTCCAGCTAGGTCAATTTACATGTCCTTTGCTTTACACCAAAAAATTTCTGCTGCATTGGAGGATTCCGATCAATGGCGCGTTCAAAAGTTTGGCGACCGAAACATTTCGAATGTTCGCTGTCAAGAACAAGGCACATATGTTTGTCATTGAGCGCGAGAATACTGTAGTGTACTGCAAATTATATGAAGAATCGTCAGGAAATGTAAACCATATGGTTACTAAACTGAAAGACATTCGAACACCATCAACCATTGCGGTATCATCTACGGTACCATCTACCCCAATATCGGCATCTTCATCCGCCATCAAAGAAACTTTTTCTTCCGGTACACCGCAGCAGAGAGGAAAAGTGCAGAGTTTGGAAGGATCATCTACCGAGATAGATTCATCCAATTCAAAGTACAAGGCACAGGATAGCCGATATCTGATATTGGATGTTTATGGAGTTGAGCTACCTTCGTGGATTGAACATGAGCTGATTGAGATGGTGGAAAATCGGTTAATGTCTAACATCACGTTGAGAGAAATGCAACAATTTCTTCTTAGAAACCCGACATCCAAACTGTCGCCTGCGGTAAGTCCAATGCTTATAATACACCTTCCCTGCGCCTTATTTATATATATATGTTAATGATTTTTTTGATCAGGATGTGGAATACCTGCTTCCCAGCCAGAGACCTCCAACAAAGCAAATTCTGCGCATACCCACTGTCGTTTCCAATCCCATTAGCCTCTTGGAGCTCATCAAGCAGAGCCTTTTGGCTACAGAGTCATTCCATAATATGGCAGCCTCGGACATTAAGGATGCCATTGTTTCTCATTACCACTCAATTCGAAAATCTGTGGAGGAGGATGCTTTTCTTTGTCGCAGATCATCCAGCATAGCTCAACTCAAGAGCGTCGTTAAGGTTCCAATAGCAGAATACTCCTTCTACTACAACTGCGCAAATCGATCACCTACTTCTTCCACAGCTGTTGAAATGGAAGCGGGACAAGGTTTGGCAGGAATTTGTATCATGCTAATGGATTCCGCCTGCAAACCAGTAGCATCCGTCCCAGTATATGATGACGATGAACTCGATTATACCAGTGTGAATGAGCTAAAGCATGTCTTGGAAGACGAATTTAGGGATGCGAGTGTCCGAACCGCTAACTTCCATATTATGATTGAGGTATGGTCTTACGGTCAATGCAGTGCAGAAGTCTTACAAAAGCATATTTGGCGCTGCTATGGCCAAAGTCTTTGTCACTACATCATACGGGAAACTGCCGATGCTGCTGAAAAGATGAGAAGATCCGATACTCTTTCTAAACCACAGCGGCTGCACACTATGAACTACCATTCGCATTTCGACAAAGTTTTTCTGGCTTTGAAGTATGCGGCTGATTGGGGAAGCACGATCATCTCACCACTCACAAAACACGTATTCCTACAACCATGGAGTATCGACGACATATTGGCCAAAGCATCTCAAGAAATAGAAATGATCACTCAACAATCCCCATCATTGTTGATACATCGCTCTTCAGATGCCAGCGGTTCAACCAACCTAGATCATAAACTACCGTGGTCATTGCATAATGTTACGCACCATCTTCAACAAGTGGTTAGAGAAGCTGATGAGTTTGTGATCGTTAATGGATTGCTGGACAACCTTACGAACAAGAACAATACGGATTCTGCAGTTGATAGGAGAGGCAGCCATGAAAGCGAACTATCTGCAAAGTCAACAAGTGACCCACACTCTCGACGAGGTTCTACCGATTCCAGTATGCTGGATAGATCCATCAAGTCAGGCAAGGATGAAGTTGCAAGAAGGCAAATTTTAGGCAATTCTTCTGTTTCGAAAACGGAAGATGTAACTGACCCTGGCTATCGCAAACGGTCGAACTCTAACGTATCTCAAAGACAACTGCTTGAAGTTCTTCAATCACACAAGAAGAGGTGTTCCAACAGTATTTTCAAGCATTGCTTTGTATTAATGAAAGTGGATACCACCAATCTCAGCATTTATACCTTTAACTGGCCAAGCACAGTTAGCAACCATCTGATCAATACTCTGGATAGAATTGTCACCTTCCAGGAATCACGGGCTCAAATGTTATCCAATATAGTTCACCAAAAGATGGGATTATTTCATCACACCATGCCGTTCAAAAACATACTCGAACCACTGTGCGCAACATCAAAGCTGCCCGCGTCACAAAGTCCGAAAACTGGAGGTACTGTAACCATGACCACTCCACCCACTGTGCACAAGCGCTTGTCAGAGAGTAAGGTCAAAGTATCTTCTCCAAAACCCATTGAAAATCGAGAGAACCCGGTTACCCTCGACTCTCTTACGGAACTTGTGTTTCTTTCCGGTACCTCGTCGTCCATCGCCGCAGCAAAGGAATTAAACCGCGCGCAGAAAGGCCAAGAAAAAGTTCACACCGCCGCTCGTGTCTTACAACCAAACAACATATTGAGGGATGTCGTTTATGAGAATACAGGTTCACCCACTGTATCTAAAGTCGATGACCCTCTCATTCGACATGCACAAGGATTCCTTGAGACTTATCTTCGGCAATCTCGTATTCGAACAGCGCATGAGAAAGCTTTCAAAGTGTACTCCAAATGGGCTAGCCGCTATGTCGATCTTTCTAACCACTCGTCCATGGAAACTATGTCTTCTTCGGATCTAACTATCATCATGGGCTCAGCTCGTCTACTTCACTTTTGCCGTACACCTCTAGTGCTTGCTTCCATAAATACCCCATTATCAACCAAAGACGATGATGATGAAGCTACTAGCCCTAAAGTTAAAAATCCATCTTCATGTGCTAGCAAATGGTATTCCAATGTGGTCAAAACTCTTCTAAAAGAATACGCCACGTATCTTGAAGGAGTTGGCATGCATATCATAAGCTTCGATACTCAAGATGTCAATGGTGGAACCGCCGATCAAAAACGGGGATCCGATGTTAGTGCAACTGTGACTACTGAGGCAGAGAGTCCTACAGTTTATTTACTCAAGGTGTTTGATGGAGGCTCTGTACTATGCCAAGTTCGAGTATACGAAGGTTTTGTCTCGGTCACTCTCTATACCCTTCACCGCCGCTATGGTCGACTGAGTCTATGGGCGTATGCTGACGAAGGACGTGAAACCAAAAGACAACGCTTCAAGGCCTTTACCGAGGAATGTGACAATTTTAAAACACTCATTCATGTAAATTCATTTGTATTCGATTTCCATTTGCGCTACATGCAGCGTATGCTTAACACGCCGGAAAACCTGTCGTCCTCCGTCAATCTTTTGGCGGCCATTCGCGCTTTTGAACGACTGTATACTAATCCAGCCAATTATTCTCGAAATCGAATCGTGAGCGGCTATATTCATGTGGACATAGATATTAGTGCTGAGAGGTTACTATCAACGGCATACCGTCATGCCAACAAAATTGGCTGTAAAGCCCTCCACCATGATAACAATGTCGTCGCCTGCTTTGTCAACAGCAACGACCCTTCCTTTAATGAAACTGCGGCTAGCACCACACCTTTCCAGTTTTCATTGATTCTCTGCTCATTGGACAAGCATGACGAGGATTATGATAAGAATACCCTACGACTTCGATACTTTGTCATCGTCACATACGATGACACCACTATATCATCCTCTACTCGCTCCAAGCCAACACCTTTAGCAATTCTCAAGTCCCACCCTAGCATTGGTCATGTTGATCCCTTGGATGAATTACTGGCGCCAGAGATTGGGTTGACACTAGGACAAGTGGTGCGCAGCGCTCAGGCCAAGATAGATTTTATGATATCCAAGGTAAGACTGTTTCTGACATTCAATTTTTGTTTGAACAAACCGTGGCTAATGACTATGGCTTGATTAAGCTTCTGCTGTACTATCGACGAGATCTTGATTGGAGTCACATATATGAACGCGTAGACAGCCATAGCTATCAAGAAATCGCTCCTCTGCTACATCAGTTTGATACCGTCGACCTTATGACTGCTGAGCCTAATTTTGCCCGTTATTTGAAAATGAGCCTTCCGTGGGACAAGGTGCTAGACTTGATCTGCAAGTGCTACGGTGGCGGAGTACGAAAAATGGAAAACAATGGCGAGAAACACCTGTTGCTGTTCAACGCTCGCTACATGGATTACCTTTTGCACTTCCGGGTAGGAAAGGGCATCAAAGTAGAAATGGTCAGCCGAGAACCACGCAGCCAATTGTTAGAGCCGGCGGAGAAGCAACAAATCACCGAAATAGGAACCTTGATTGGCTACTTACTGTGGAGATTGAGATGAGGTTTTGTACATAAAAATAAATGAGTTTTTTTTTTTACCCCAACGTACGATCCCCAAAATTTTGTGGACCACTATAATTCTAGACACTCACTCTTTTGTTCGAAATATCGCCATTTGACCATGGCCGAATTTAAACTTAAGAATCTGGGATTCCATACTACACAAAAGCTGACTTCGACAATAAATCTTGGCAATCGGATAACGCAACTGGGTGAATCACTCAGGTATGCTCGCCAGTCCCTTTCACAGTTGACAGTTGCCCCTTTGACAGCTCTAAATACGGTCCCGCCTGTATCGCCGTCCACAGAGGAGCAACCATCCGTACTTGAAACGCCAGCTCCAGATCAAACCATTGGAAAGCTTACTGTTAACATTGTTGAAGCTCGGAACCTCAATATCACCAACCCAAAATCTGCTCGACCATATTGTTTGCTTCAGTGTGATAAGAACGAATTCTCAACGTCCGATGGAAGTGGTACATTAAAGTCCACTGTAGATAGCCAAGCTCAATCGCTTGCGATCCCTATACCCAACGCAAAAGCATCCAAGCCTGATCCTTTCCAGGTGGCAATGCAAGCAAGTTGTCCAAAGTGGCAATATGAAGTGGTTTTGTAAGCTTAAATTTGAGTTTGATTTGTCCAATGAGAGTATTTGAAAACCATAATGCTCACTAAACTTTTTTTCTATCCCTCCTTAGTGATATTATTCGTGTTGATTGCGATCTTACTATCTCTGTTTATGACCAAGGAAACACGTCTGCTTCAGGAGAAGAACGATTTCTTGGCTGTGTGACTATCAAACCTCAATTCAAACATAAGCATACTATGGACAACTGGTTTCGGCTAGAGGACCGAGACACTACGGGAGAAGGGTCTGTTTCTGGTGAAGTTCGGCTGCAACTGACATATACCGCTTCAGAGTTGGTAAGTCAACCTATATTATTAAAAGCTCTGCACTAGTCCGCAGCAATTAACACGTATTTAAAATCTATTAGTCCTCGAAGCTATCCCCCTCTTCATTCCGAATGATTCGATTACTTGGACATGGCTCCTTTGGAAAAGTTTACCAAGTTGTGAAGATAGACTCCAATCGAACTTACGCTATGAAGGTCTTGTCAAAACGAGCCGTTATTTCACGCAACGAATTATCACATACGTTTTCGGAACGGAATGTTCTGGTACGCACAAGTGAAAGCCCCTTCATTGTCGGTTTGAAATTCAGCTTCCAAACCGCCGATAAGCTTTATCTCATCATGGATTACGTTTCTGGTGGAGAGCTCTTTGGTCACCTGCAACACGACAAAATGTTTAGCGAAGACAGAGCTCGATTCTATACATCGGAACTATTATGCGCACTCGAACATTTACACAAGTATAATGTTGTTTATCGAGATCTGAAACCCGAAAATATCCTTTTGGACCATAACGGCCATGCATGTCTCAGCGACTTTGGCCTGTGTAAGGAGAATGTTTGCCAAGATGACACGACCACTACGTTTTGTGGTACATCTGAATACCTTGCACCAGAAGTGGTAAGCCGCCAGCCATATGGCCGAGCGGTTGATTGGTGGAGTCTTGGAATTTTGCTTTACGAATTGTTGACGGGATGGCCACCTTTCTATTCGGATAACACCAAGATTCTATACAGAAAAATTCTGACGGCGAAAATACGCTACCCAGCTTCCATGAGCCTCGAAGCCAAGGATTTGATACAACGGCTACTCGATCGCAATTCTGCTACGAGATTGGGCGCTGGACAAGACGATGCCAAGGAAATCAAAGCACATCCTTTCTTTAAGGAAATTGATTGGGTTAAGCTTGTGAAGAAGCAAGTTATGCCTCCATTCAAGCCAGTCATGACCGCATCACAACGAAAAGGTGATGTAGACGATGAACTTGATGTCGGCTCAGACACCAAACACACTCCACTGAGCTCGACTTGGCAAGCAGAATTTAGAGGCTTCAGCTATGCTCGCCCCGATGATGCAGCAAGCTATGTCAGTCGGCAGACCATAACATCGTTTGATGACGATGACTGCGGGTTGTGGTGATGAATACACATCGCCATATTTGCTTTTCCTTTGTAAAAGAAAAAAAGCTGTCACCTTACTTTTCCTTGTCTTGATTTCATCCTTCCAGTTTTGTAAATACCGTACCATTTTTGTATAAACATTCTCAAACTTACCAACTGAATTTCGGTTCGATTCTTGGATGAACGTTGACTTAAATCGTATCGCGTTGCTCCCGCCAGACTTGCAGTTGAAAATACTGTCTATGGGAACAGAGGCTCCCAAAGATGGTTTCATTCAGGACATTTCAACCCGAAACAATGAGTCAACTGATTTCAATATTCCTATTGCAGCCATTCTGCAAAACTTGGGTACGCAAGGTTACTATATTATCGACGACTTCCTTCCTCAGGAAGTTGCTTCTGAAGCACTTAAGCATGTGAAGGTGAGTTGGCATCGATACCTGAAAGATAACCGCCTTAACTTGTTAGTCACATCACATTTCCTAGGCGTTCAATGCGAGAGAAGAGTTACACACAGCAGGAATGGGTGCAGCGTCAGGACATTGGAAGGATGAAAGCATACGTGGTGACAAAATCAAATGGTTAACAACCCTGGATAAAGATGCAGTGGGTCCCCTAAGTATCCCTCTGGGATGTATGAAAACTATACTAAGTTCTTTACAAAAAAGAATACGACCAAGGAACGAGTTTTTCACGAAAGCCATCCAAATCGCACATTATGGCCCAAACGGAGCACGGTATAGCCAGCATTCAGATGTTTCTCCGCTTATCCCGACGCGACGGTTGACCTTTATCTTGTACCTGCGAGAAACACCACATGTGAGCAACCCCGGTGGTCACTTACGTCTACAAACTTTAACGGGTACTTCCGTCGATATTGAACCCAAGATGAATAGAATGGTGGTATTTCGCAGCGATCTTCTCCATCAAGTGCTTCCAAGCTACTTTGATCGATATGCAATGACCCTCTGGGCACATAATCAAGAGACATTGGATAGCCGGGATTTCTTACAAGTAGCAAACCTACCATCCATTTTCGTCAGCGTTCCAGCATACAGAGACCCAGATACAAACAAAACCATCGTAAATCTTTTTGATACTGCGACATATCCCGAACGAATCAAAGTGGGTGTATTGTACCAGGATGCTAAGGACGAACCATGGGAACACAGCGAAATACCTCGCAAGTATCAAAACTACATAAAATCTCTGCACTGGTCAAACGAATATGCTAGAGGACCACTCATTGCACGAGCCGTTATCCAAGAACAACTATACAGTAATGAAGATTATTACATGCAGATTGATTCGCATATGCGATTCGCACAAGGTTGGGACGAAGAACTATTGCACAATCTCTCGAAATGCCATGACCCTCAAAAAAGTATACTTTCAACTTATCCACCGACCATCATCGATGATACTCTCATTCCCATACCGGGCCCAGTTCTACTTTATCCAACGCATTTTGACTCAGATGGAATGCTGAGAATTAAAGGAACATCAGTGGATGCGTCAGAATCTCCAAGATCACATATGTTCGCAGCGGCTGGATTTCTGTTTTCGCCAGGCAAACTGGTGTTTGACTTGCCATACGACAAAAATCTGGAGTGCTTATTCTTCGGTGAAGAAACTCTCTTGTCGCTTAATATATGGATGAAAGGATGGAGCATTTATTCACCATGGTGCGCAAGAGGATACGGAACCACCTGTTGGCACAAATGGGATCGATCGTATCGTAGAACCTTATGGCAAGATTTCGGAAACTCCGAAAGCATGATGAAGAAGAGATCCGACTCACAGCAAAAAGTTCATGCCTATGTGCAACAGCTCAAGTACGAAAATGGTAATCAGAATGAACGAACGTTGAGCTCATTCGAAAAGGCCGCCGGTGTATATTTTGAAGAACGCAGAGTAGTAAACGATATACAACGTCAGCCAGATGCGGCTGGGAAAATTACGGAAAACGCCCAATGATTTTGTTATATGCATTTGTCTCGCATCAAGGTATTTTTTTTTGGAGCCATTTTTAATAAACTGAAGCGCGCATGGTCTGCTATAACACCCTCTTGTTTCAGGTTCTTGAACCTTTTTCACTGGTCAATCTCAAGTTCAAGCTATCAGTCCTTATTTCCGCCGAGATGAAGGAAGCGATCACTGATAGCGTGGCTGAAATGCAAGAGTCAAGTCAATACTAATCCTTGCGCGTTATGATGCTCATACGTGCCCTTACCTTGGAGTCGGTTGATTTTGTCCATTTGACATCTCTAAGCCTCCCTTGCTAGGGTTGTTCTCTTCGATGATGAAAGCACCCGTGCTTGTAGTACGTTTAGGCGTTGGCCTCGGCGTATCGGGTCGAGACGTGAATCCTACCGACTGCTCCTGTTGCTCTTTTTTTTCATCATACGCCTTGTGGAATAGCATAGTATGATACGATTTGATATTTTCTGAAGATTGACTGGTTTGAAGAGGTGGCTTGCTGACTTTCTGGCTGTTCATAGTGGAGTGAGTTATGGATTTCAAAGAGGAGAGAAACAAAAAAGCAAAAGGAACTCCAGCGGGTCGTGCATGGACCAAGTTTGGACTTTTGATTATTTTGGTCTGCGCATGTGCTAGGGTTAGGGCAAGGTGAATTGTTCAGGTATCTTTGTTCAATTCGCCGTGAACGATTGGGTGTGACCGACCATAAGAAACATATCCAACAAAAGACACTCTATCGCTTTAATTTTAATCATGTCATACGTAAATTCCATCATCGATTTCTTAAATCTCCTCAACGCTCGCCTTATTTTCCTTCGATAAATCCCCTCTTATTTACTCAGCCATACAAAAAAAAAAATAGTCAAAGTCTTGTGTATTGCTTTTAATCGTAGTCTAAATCACCAACACAGTTGATCGATCATACTGGAGTTCCCACTATGGCGACCAATCGCAATAATAAACAGCGTGGACCACCAAATCAATGGTATAACAGCGGTAACACAGCACCCCCGCCATCCACCAGCAGACGACCCGCACGCAACTACGATAATACTCATTATCCCAACAGATCACATAATGAGCTTCCAGAAATATCTAACTATCATCAGGATAGAAACCAAAGATATCAGCAGAGTGATAGGTATTCACTACATTGTTTTGTTTTGTTCTCAGTACTGTAAATGCTCTCATACTAAACAAAAATTAATATTGTATCAACTCAATCACCACAGCAGTGTTAACATGCAGCAATTCCAACGTAAGTAGTTGTGTATGGTTTGACTTGCCATTAGTAAGACTAATTGCTTTTTTGACATCTATTATATATTTCTACCATAGGCCCAAACAATGGTGCTCCACCGATGATGCATAGACATCCCCCGCCGGCACCCAAGCCAGTTAATCAGGATAGCAGATATGCGCATCATCCCTTCCCTGGTGATCATACTCCGCAAATAGAAATTTCAAATGCTCATGAACGTGAAACTTCATCGGCATATCCGGCTTGGACCAATGCGCCCAATGTTCCACTCGCCCAGGAGGATATCAGTGACATCTTTATCGACCTTGCCCGCAAATTTGGCTTCCAAAATGATAGCATGAAGAACATGTATGACCATTTAATGGTCATGTTGGATTCAAGATCAAGCAGGATGTCTCCGGAACAGGCGCTTTTAACGCTACATGCTGAATATATTGGAGGCGAGGATGCCAATTATCGGAAATGGTATTTCGCCGCTCAGCTTGACTTTGACGAAGCCAAAAAGCGTCGCCGGCCAACCCGCAAGCAGGTTGACATACCCAAAATGGTTCGTCAGCAATCGACTGCTACCCTCGATGTCGATGAGACCAGTGATTTGGCAAAGGCAAATTATCATTGGGAACAGACCATGATTCACACATCTGACTTTGACAGGACGCAACAACTGGCCCTGTATCTATTAATATGGGGAGAAGCTTCCGTTATACGATTTTGTCCTGAGGCCCTTTGTTTCATCTTTAAGCAAGCATACGATTATTTGAAAGGACCAGACTCTTCTGTGAATACATTCATGGCTAGCGAAGGCTCGTTCCTGGACCATGTCATTACTCCACTGTATAATTTCATACGAGACGAAGCATATGAAGTTGTTGACGGCCAATTCGTCAAAAGAGAGCGAGATCATGCGCAAGTCATAGGCTATGATGATGTCAACCAGCTTTTTTGGTATCCAGAATCAATAGCTCGTATTGTGATGAAGGATGGCCACACTTTCTTGTATTCCCTCCCACAACACCGAAGATACCTGGCCTTGAAGGATGTAGATTGGTCAAACGTTTTTCATAAGACCTTTTTGGAAAAACGCTCCTGGATGCATCTTTTCATCAACTTCACACGCATATGGATCATTCACATTGTTGCATTCTGGTACTATACTGCTGCCAATGCTACCTTTGTATACCAAAACAGCGATCCTGCCATCGCTGCTAAGGAAACCCCTGTCATGTATTCTGCTGTTGCCGTTGGAAGCGGCATAGCAATATTGTTTGTCATATTTGGATGCATCTTCGAATATTCGTATGTTCCATTGACTTGGAGGAGTGCCAAGGTTCTCACCCGGAGACTGATTATTCTGACCATCTTGCTAGCCATAAACGTTGGCCCTTCTATATACTGTATTGGCTTCGATCGTACAAGTCGTAATTCATGGATCGTCAGTGTCACGCAACTATGTATAAGTTGTGTGACAACCCTGTATCTATCCATTGTCCCGATGTCGCGCCTTTTCATATTTCTCTCTGGCAGCCAGAGTCGAAAGAAACTTGCAAGCCAGACGTTTACAGCCAACTATCCCCATCTTCATTTGAAAGAGAGACTCATCTCCATTGCTCTATGGTTTTGTGTGTTTGGATGCAAATTGGTCGAATCCTACTTTTTCCTAGCTCTCTCATTCAAGGATTCTTTCCAAGTTATGTACAAGATGCGCATTCAAAATTGTAACGACTCTGTTATTGGATCGTCTCTTTGCACCAATATGCCAATTATTACTCTCATTTTGATGATGTCGATGTACCTTGTTCTGTTCTTCTTGGATACGTACCTCTGGTACATCATATGGAATACGTTTTTCTCTATCATACAGTCGTTTTTGTTGGGATTCTCCATCTGGACTCCTTGGCAAAATATCTTTTCTCGGCTACCAAAGAGAATATATTCGAAGCTAGTGACCAACACTGGTAGCACATTGACGCTGAAACCCAAAGTCCTTTGCTCTCAAATTTGGAATGCCATTATCATTTCAATGTATAGGGAACATTTTCTGTCGGCTGAGCATGTTCAAAAACTGTTGTACCAATTGGTAAGCCAACCCCCTCGTTTGAAATGCATAATTTTTTAAATTAGCTTCTTACTGATTGCCCGATTAGGTTCAAAATCCTAGTGATGGTAAGAGGTCCTTGAAACCTCCAACTTTCTTTACTTCTCAGCATAAGAGGGATGGTGAGGAATACCTCCCAAATGGATCTCAGGCTGAACGGCGTGTTCATTTCTTTGCACAAAGTTTGACAACACCAATGCCTGAACCGATGCCTATCTTGTCTATGCCCACTTTTACGGTTCTAACTGTAAGTGCCTTTTACATCTTGGATACGTTGGTAAACTCATTTTGACTTTGGTACTTCCAGCCTCACTACAGTGAAAAAATTCTTTTGTCGTTGAGAGAGATCATCCGAGAAGAGGATCCAAATTCAAGAGTCACTTTATTGGAATACCTAAAGCAGCTACAGCCGGGTGAATGGCTAAATTTCGTGAAGGATACCAAAACTTTGGCGGACGAAAGTGTCATCGCTTCTATCGATGGCCAGTCTTCATCTTCATCGTCAGGATCCTCATCTACAGCAACTTCTGAGATCGACGAAAAGTATGCAGGAAAGACGCACATTGACGACCTGCCATTTTACTGTGTTGGTTTCAAATCTTCTGCACCTGAGTACACTGTCCGTACCCGCATCTGGGCATCTCAGCGAGCGCAAACATTGTACCGCACGGTGAGCGGATTCATGAACTATTACCATGCTATCAAATTGCTCTATCGAGTTGAAAACCCTGAAATCGTTCAAAAATATCATGGCGATGTTGATGGACTGGAAGCTGAACTTGATAGTATAGCTGTGAGGAAATTCAGATATTTGGTTGCCATGCAAAGATACTCCAAATTCAACAAAGAAGAGCAACAATCGACCGAGCTGCTGTTTAAAAAGTATCCAAGTTTACAAGTCGTGTACCTCGATCAGGAACCTGGTAAATCGGAAAAATCAGAAAATGTGTTTTATTCTGTACTCACCGACGGGGGCTGTCCTCTCCTACAAGATGGCAAGCGAGCTGCAAAATATAGGATTAGACTTCCTGGAAATCCTATTCTTGGTGATGGAAAATCCGATAACCAGAATCATGCGCTTATCTTCTATCGTGGTGAATTTTTACAGTTGATTGACGCCAATCAAGACAATTATCTTGAGGAGTGCTTAAAGATTCGAAACGTTCTTTCCGAATTCGAGAACTTGGGCATTTCCAACACATCACCGTATTCTTTCAATCCAGACAAAACTGTGACATCTCCTGTTGCAATTGTTGGATCTCGTGAATATATCTTCTCCGAAAATATCGGCGTTTTAGGAGATGTTGCTGCCGGAAAAGAACAAACATTTGGTACTTTGTCGCAGAGAATTATGGCAAAGATTGGTGGAAAGGTATGTTATGGTTCCTATAAATCAAACCACACTGAAATGAGATTGACCCTTTTCATAACTGAAGCTCCATTATGGTCATCCGGATTTCCTCAATGCCATATTTATGACAACTCGCGGAGGTGTCAGCAAAGCTCAAAAAGGTCTCCACTTGAATGAGGATATCTACGCCGGTATGAATGCGTTCTCTCGCGGTGGTCGTATTAAGCACTCAGAATACTTTCAGTGTGGTAAAGGTCGTGATCTTGGCTTTGGCTCTATCCTGAACTTTGTTACTAAGATTGGAACCGGTATGGGCGAGCAAATGCTTTCTCGTGAATACTATTATCTTGGGTCGCAATTGCCACTTGACCGGTTCTTGACGTTTTATTATGGCCACCCTGGGTTCCATGTCAATAACGTCTGCATCATGATGGCGATCCAAGTTTTCATGCTTGTCATGATGTATATTGGAGCTATCAGTTCATCGGTAACGATCTGTCAGTACAACCCAAATGCATCTCCAGATTCACCACTCAGACCTCCAGGATGCTACAATCTTGTACCCATCATTCTCTGGATCCAACGCTGTGTCATCTCGGTTTTCATCGTATTCTTTATCGCCTTTCTACCTCTCTTCTTACAAGAACTTACGGAGAGAGGCGTTGTACGAAGTCTTGTCCGCTTGGGAAAACAATTCTTGTCCCTTTCGCCATTTTTTGAAGTGTTTGTAACGGAAACCTATACTTATTCGATTTTGACGAACCTGGCCTTTGGGGGTGCTCGCTACATTGCAACTGGTCGTGGATTTGCCACAACAAGAATCCCATTTGCCAACCTCTACTCTAGATTTGCTGGGCCTAGCATTTACTTAGGTTCTCGCAATTTCCTAATCCTCCTTTTCGCCTCACTATCAGCCTGGACTCCGTATCTTATCTATTACTGGTTCACTGTGGTCGCACTGGTTTTCTCTCCGTTCTTGTTCAACCCACATCAATTTTCTTATGTGGAGTTCATGATCGATTACCGTAGCTATTTACGTTGGCTCTCTCGTGGAAATATAAACGCTCGGTCTAACTCCTGGATTGCCTACTGTCGCATTTCTCGCACCCAAATTACCGGATATAGGAAGAAAGTGCTAGGCGACCCAGCCGATAAACTTGCTGGAGATGTACCTCGAGCTAAATTTGGCGTCATCTTCTTTTCCGAAATTGTGGTTCCGCTGGTCCTGGCGTTCATTTGCATGGTGGCATACCTCTTTGTGCGAAGTTTTAATCAATATGACAACACATTGCCCAACCAAGGTCAAAGTGGATTAATTAGGGTTGCGATTGTTGCTCTAGGTCCGATTGTATGCAACGTTGCCGGTTTGATCGTGATCTTCCTCTTGTCTCTTGCATTTGGCTGGTGTGTGGATTCCTTCTTTACTCGGTTTGGAGCATATATGGCGGCCCTTGCTCACACCTGGGCCGTTGTTAACCTTATTGGCATATTTGAGCTCCTTCTCTATCTGGAGTTGTGGAAGTTCCAAAACGTACTTCTCGGGATGATCGCTGCCATGGCCGTGCAAAGATTTATCTTCAAAGTCCTGATTACCGTCTTCTTGACTCGAGAATTCAGACCAGACGATATCAACCAAGGCTGGTGGACCGGTAAATGGTATGGCCGTGGGGTAAGTACATTCATCATCTTCTATTTTTTTACAAACCTGAGTGAGTGTCTGCTTACTTAACCTTTTTCGCTGTATGTGCAACTCTACATTCTAGCTTGGCCCGCATGGTTAGTGTTGATTTAATGGGATTCGGTGCGTCGTTTTACAATATGCTAATTAAAATACTGCTTTTTACTCATAGCGTTTACCCAACCACTGCGAGAGCTGCTCTGCAAGACAATCGAAATGACAATGTTTGCTGCCGATTTCTTGCTCGGTCATTTCATATTATTCTTGCTCTTCCTGTTCTGTCTAATTCCATACATAGATCGCGTCCATTCGCTAATGCTATTCTGGCTACGACCAAGCAAACAAATTCGGCCACAGATTCTCTCCATCAAGAAGAGTAAGCAAAGACGACGAATTGTCATTTTGTACAGTGCTCTCTTCGTTCTTATCTTCCTAGTGTTGGTTGCTGCAATCGTCGTGCCTTGTATACTCCACCCACAGGTGTCTTTGGCTAAGTTTCAAGCTATAGATGTTTGAACGCGCAATTTATATAACATTTGCATTTTTCCATTTTTTCATTTTCCCTATTTATGTTTGATGCGACGTCTCTTCCTTTGTCACAATAAAGAAATTGTATACTTAGTGCCAAAATATTATGGAAACTGGCTGTCTCTACAGTCTTGCTTATGATGACCATAATACTCACTGCTTCTTCGAACCCTCTATCAACATTGTTGTGAACGAATTCATTGTTTTACACTATTATTATTTTTACTCTCACAAGTTCACTAAGATGAATATGCTTTTTGGGTTATTTTGAAAAAAAGAAATTAAAAAAATTTCGAAGGTATTGATCGCGCTCATTGGAAAGAACTCCATCACAGTACTAGAATTAGCTTCATTGAAGTATAATATATTTTATTAATCACTATCGTCTTAAAAACTTTAAAATGTAGCGACTTTAAAATATAGCAATGACCTTAGGAAATATAATGCGAAAAGAACAGTAGAATGTTGTGGCGGTAATATATAGCATCCATCCATAAGATAATCATACAAAGCAGAAACGCATAGACTGCGATTCAAATGGTAGTAACAAAATTTTGGAGCACGAGAATCTTGTGTAAATATGTCACCAATGGAAATTTTTTCAATTGAATATTATGTGTGGTAAATGTACTTTATATTTAATAAATATGATCGCCAAAATAGCTATAGCGTCTTCTTGTTGGTCTACATGGCTGTATTCTCTTCATTCTGCTTTATAAGTGAGTTTAAGGAGATGAGTCGCATTATGTAAGAAAGTGGGTCATTGATATTTAGTTTGAAAGACGGCGAACATTGTACAAGTATCAGAAGAAGATTCTCCAAAAGAGAAAAGTCAAGTAAGGAACTGGCATACATTGCCCAATTTGAGCCAAAATTTAGACTCAATCATTTTTGAAAACTTTCTTTAGCCAAAATTTACTATATTTTAGCTCATACCAACGGCTATAACGGTACAGCAATTGCTAACATAGTATCTACGATATTATCCAACGGTATTTTACATTTTTAGAATATAAATTCTATACTATGGAAAATTTCATCGAAGCGCAGTTGGTTTAGTGGTATAATTACCGCCTGCCACGCGGTAGACCTGGGTTCGATTCCCGGACTGCGCAATTCTTTTTTCTTTTGGGAAGAACGCAATTTTTTCAAACTTTGACGAAGAGCCTTTTTTTCCAGATATCTCTTTGTTATTGTCGTCGTCTAAAATACAAAATGACAGGTTCAACCGAACGCCGGTTCAAGGGGACTTCTTTACCAGCGAAGTCACATTGAATATCCTCTTAAAATTAGATTTCTTTTACATTTTTATATAATAAGTCACGAATCAACAAGTATAAATAGAGCAGTTGATTAATAGAATAAAAAGCAGTTTTTAACCTCACGAGAAGTTCAGTCGTCTGCAGGATAATACAATAAGTCATACAGTAATCTAAACGACATTATTTTATGAGCGGAATCAATGCCTGACTTGTCGCATTTATGATTCTCTCTTACTATGAAATGAAGAAATGTTTTTATTGTAATTGTAAAAGTGGTCAGTGCAAGCCTTGAATTACAATCAGCGAATATACAAATTTTGTAACAGTGACGAAAATCTAAATGCTAGCAATAGGGTTTGGACAAGACCTTAACTTTCCGCAAGGCACCTGCCAATGTAAGCCCGACTGTACAAAGAGTTGCAGCTGATACTATCCCAAAGGCGAAAGGATCGTTCTCCATATAATTTCTAAGATTCATACCGAACATGCTTGCTATCAAAGCTCCAGTACCAACACTCATCGTGGCTACAGTGAGTTTGAGTTCAAATAATAGCAATGAATTGCGGTTGGTATCTAACATGATCTGAACGATTTCTTCGGTTGATTTCATATGAGAAATAAGTGTTGCCGCCTTGTTCTCTACTTCTTCTGTTTGCTTCAAGTACGCCTCTAGAAGCAATTCTATTTCTTCATGATCCGATGGGTCTCTAGGTGACCCCGCTTTCTTAGCCGTTAGGTACATCGCCGCTAAATCTTCATCTATGGTGACATCCAAAATATGAGTATTCTGTATCAACATATCGCAAGTTAAAGCTCTGTCAAGAGCGATATAGAGCCGAAGTACAAACCTTGATCTAAGACTTCGTTAATAGCATCCCGTGTAGAGACAACACCTTGGTAGAACTCCGATAATTTTTTGGTATACTGCAACATATCTTTCAGCTTTTCTTGCTGAATAGAATCCTCCAAGTCGGATAGTAGTTTGGTAACCATGTTTTCTAGCACATTGACTTCAGATTGTAGGGATGATACTACGGAGATGAAAATGGCCTCAAGTGCTCTAACGAACGGATTAGGCCCACGTGTACTACACAAGAAAAGAATGCAATTGAAGTTTTACCTAAACTCGTAAGGGAGGCTGTCACGATTACCAGACCGTAGACGCTCTTGAAGGTCATATATGAAAATACTCTGGTTGTAGCTGTTCGTGCTTCCAAAAGTGTCGAATATAACCACGAGGTCGCTCTTGATTAAAGCTCGAATGTGAGCCAGATTGACAAGTATTGCCTCTGATCGGACTAGAATTGCTGATTTCGGGTTTACATGATGGGTATCTATTGTACGTAAGTCTCTAGGAAGAATTCCATGTTGGATGCAAAGTTCACTTTTCAGAAATTCTCCGGCAGTGGTTTTTACGTTGCCTTTGTCGTCGAATTCCGTACCTATGTCATCGAGAGGGACACAATTAATTTTGTTTACCATGTCTAATAGCTTGTTGTTTACTAACATCTCATTCTAAGCTCTGTTTTGCTACTTCTTCCCGGTATCTCTCGAGGCAAGGTGAGAAATGTCGACGTTTTATCTTGAGTTGAGTATGCTTGCTTATAGAGCTTCGTGGTAGACGCCGGGTAAGGCGATCTTGACGAAGCTAGTGATCCATAATGAGAGCGACAAAAAAAAGTGGGACTGAGGCGACGAAATGGGCGACTGTACAATCTCAAGCAAGTAATTGGTGACTGCATGCTTTGAAATGTGACATGTAATGACTGAATTGCAGTGGAAAGTTAGCAGTAGAAAATTACCGCACACCAAATTTTGGGTCATAGCCAGTCAAAGCACGGGACAACACCTTTTTATTAGATTACGATAACTCTGGCCCATATTCGGCTTCATACAATAAAAAGATGCATTATGTTACAATTGATATGCAAGGAGATGTCATTGGCAGAAGATATATGTTATTTGACGTTATTTTTGATTAGGAAGACCCGTATGCTCTGTATCGTGAAGAGCCACACTGTTTCACTCTCCGAAAAACCTGACAAGCGTGCTTGCATACCGTGAACTTTCGCGTACGTCTTCCATTTGACTGATTCTACACGCAATACTTAGCCATTTGGCGTGACTATCTTCATAATTCACCTCATTACATATAGTAACGTTATCGGTTTGGCTCATACTCCTCCTACACCTCATATTTTACCGTCAAAAATAACACCACTTTGATTCGTGCCAATGTCGAATAACATATATTCTGCCGTCTACTCAGGCGTTCCAGTATACGAAATGATGTGCCGAGGAATTGCAGTTATGCGTCGAAGAGCCGATTCATATATGAATGCAACTCAAATTCTCAAAGTGGCTGGAATTGACAAAGGCAAACGTACCAAAATCTTGGAGCGAGAAGTACTCATTGGCGAGCATGAAAAAGTCCAAGGTGGCTACGGAAAATATCAGGGTACATGGTAGGTACTTATGGCGATTACAGTGCAAACAAAAAGACATTGTATTTACATCGTTATAATTAGGATACCGTTCGATAAAAGCAGAGAGCTAGCAGAACGATACTCCGTCGCGGGATTCTTGGCTCCCATGTTTGATTTTGATGGTCAACAGAACGGTGAGGGAAGCAGTGAAGTTGTCCTTACAAAGGAACAGCATGCAGCTGTAGAGCGAAAGAAAGTATTGCAATCTTCACCTCTTGCGTCAACCTCCGCGGATGCTCCGGCACGATCGCCATCAGCAAGGTTACAGTCAAAGGAAACCCCTTCTGCAACGACGAAATCGCCTTTGGAGCCAAAAAAGACAAAAAGAACTGCTCCAGCAATCACGCAAGTGACCATTCAAAGAGGACAGGCTGCCGATCCGCAAGACACATCTGGAGAGAGACACAGAAGTGCTTTGATGGCAATATTTTTGAATGACGATCCAAATCACATCCCAGAACTATTGAAATCACAAGAAATACCCCAAGATTTCAATACTGAGCTAGTCATAGATGACCAAGGTCATACCGCTTTGCATTGGGCTGCAGCATTGGCTCGGGAACAAGTTGTAGAGCTACTACTGAAGCGTGGCGCCCATGTTTTACGTACGAATTATGCTGGAGAGACCGCCTTGATGCGAGCTTGCATGGTGGTCAATAATTATGAACAAAAAACATTCCAACACTTGTTGAGCTCACTAGAGAGATCCCTTCTGGTTGCTGATAATAACGATAGGACATTTCTACACCATATTGCCTTAACAAGTGCCATCGAAGGGCGAGAGGAGGCGGCTTCGTACTACTTACACTGCACTGTCAAGTTGCTTAGTGAGCGTAAAAACATGCAAGGCTTGTTAGACTTACAAGACATCAACGGTAACACAGCACTTAACATTGCCGCAAGAGGTGGTAGCCAAAGATTGGTCGAACAATTAATGGAAGCAGGAGCGAGTACTCAACTGACAAATCATCTTGGTATCAAGCCTGAGGACTATGATGAAGAAGATATAGTAAGTAATATCGACATCACAGTTTGCAGCACACCATTTTATTCATATAATATCGACAATTTAGGAATCTGAGAGAGAAGCCGAACTGCATAATTTCAATAGACCCTCTTATGATTCAGGACCACACACGCCAACAAGAGTGTCTTCACCATATAATCTTAACTCCGTAGGACGTCTAAAGACGCCGGACATCATGCGTGAACCTTCGTTAGAGAACTTGCGTTCGCCACTTGTACCAAGTAAGCGCGGAAGAGAAATTGTCTCTGGTAAGTCACCAAACTTCCTGCTGATGCTACATTCATGCACGCTGATAATCCTGTTTACAGCTGTTCAAAAAATTGTCGATGAACTGGATTCGGAATTTTCTGAAGAATTGGAGGCAAAGCAGCACGAAATTAACCAAATTCAGCAGTCGCTGGAGAGCACAGCAACGGAGCTGAAAGAAAGTCGGGCTCGGTTGCAGCAATACAAACTGGAGAGACAAAGGTTAGCGGAAGCTCAAAGAGCCCTGACCAATCTGACAGAGGCCGTGGATGCTGAGAAAGAAAGCACGGGCCTGCAGAATATATCAGAGTTGAAGGATGAGGACATCGACCAAGAACTTGATGTCATAGCGCATACACCATCCTTTGATCCAAGTAAACCAGAGAGCGCAGAAGCAATGAATGGCAAAGCCGACAGCAAAGATTTGGAGCTTTCGATCCGAAAACTACGTGCAAGAATCACTATATATCAAAAGAATGAGAACGACCTTGTCGCTGAATTGGAAGAGCTACAAAAGCAGAGTGGAGACAAGGAGAGCCAATGTAAAAAACTGATAGCCGCCTGTTGTGGAGTGCCTATCGAGAAGGTGGATAGTCTACTCCATCCTTTAATCCAGGCTATTGAAAGTGATCCTCCGGACCTTGATCTTTCTCGCGTCGCTGGCTTTATGGCAAAAATTCAAAACCATGATGACAAAGGTGATCTTGTGCTCAAAGGCTCTCAAAGTGCTGATAATATGAACGAAGATAGCGACTGATGGTTCATATGTGAGAATACAGCACCTGTATTTCATCGATGTATATAATATTTTACCGGAATAAATGCTTGAACCCCTTTGCTGCTGAACGGCAGTTGATTTTTTCAAATTCAGGATGGATCAGATTACTAACATGGTTACAACTGACAACATCATTGTGTAAATCAAACAAAACTTTTTATTGATAAGGAGGAAGAGCCAGCTAGATGCTGATTTTTCATGCAGTGGTAAAGCGGTTCCAGCCAATGCGAATGTTCGGCATCTACCGTAAAACATTGTTATCGTCGCCACAAATTGGCTTGTTGAAGGTTCAAGAAAAGAGCGAGTTTATTTCTTTTCTGCCTTACTCCATTGAAAGTCTTCGGCAGCTATATCGGCAATCATTTCAGCAATAGCCAACGATGCTGTACATGCAGGCGAAGGAGCATTGCGAACATTAAGAGTTGTTCCGCCTAAGACTTTGCGCTCCATAATATAGTCACTGGCCGCAATACCACCTTCTCGGAAAACTTGCGACATGACACCCGTAAAGCTTGGTTCTACCATATCTATGGTCAGGTCGGGTGCATATCTTTGAGCAGCTCTAAGGAAAGCTCGCTTGTTCAAGTCCTTGTAAAGTTCACCGAATGACAGCGAAATGTTCTTGAGCGCAAACGCCCAAAAATCAGGATTCGTGAACGATTGTATCACATCCTTTGCTTTAAAGTCCCAGAACTTGTAGCCTTCTCTGGCAAATGTAAAGCAAGCACCGGGTCCGATAATTAATGCATGGCCACGCCTAGTGTTAACCTTTAAGACAAGTCAGCAATACGGAAGTTGAATAACAAGGGTAAACAAATCTGAGAATTACGTACTGTTGGTGTGATGTGTACACCGACTGGAATACCACCACCACTGGGGACGGGATATATGTTCATCCGCACCATCGTTCGGTATTCGGGTTTTAGCTAGTGGGGCGAATTTAATGGGCTGATTTTATGACATGATATGAACCAGCTGCGCATGTACCTGATAGTATGTTCCGCGAAACGTCACTACTTGATCCTTCTTGGCGTTTCCTCCCGTCAAACCTGCAAGTCGGTCGGCGTAAAACCCGCCACATGTTATAACATTGCCGGCGTGAACTTGCAAGGTAGGTCCGTTCTGGGAAGGTTCAATTCCCGTGATCTAGTATATAGCCTTGTTAAATCTGAATTCATTTGTACATGCAAAGGCTCAAAAATATCAAATATACCTCCACAGAGCCATCTGCCAACTTTTTAAAGTTTGTGGCTTCGAAGGCAAGCTTGATATCAGCCCGACTAAATTTTTCAAACGAATGAGATTCAAGTTTGATTGATATTTCTTGTAATTTTCCTTGTCAACTCACCCGGAATCTAGTATCTGACTCGCTAGCGCGTCTGAGACTAAGCTATAGTCGACGATACCTGTGTTAGGAGAGTACAGTGCAGAGTATGCTTTAATGTTAGGTTCCATATCGGATACCTAACATGAAATGTTCAGTTGATAGCAATCGTAGGATGTCAATGTAGGTATCACTAACCTGTTTTGCGTCAAAAATTTCAAGTCCTTTGACCCCATTTGCATTTCCTTGCTTATACAGTTTTTCGACTTGCTTATGCTCTTCTGCTGAGGTTGCAACAATCATCTTTCCACATCGTTGCGCAGGAAGCTTGTTTTCTTCACAAAATTTGTACATAAGCTCGCTTCCTCTTACGCAAGTGTGGGCCATTGTCGATCCTGGTTCGTAGTACATTCCAGCGTGGATCTGTCGAAAGTGTTGTTCGCATTAGAGGATTGAAACGTTATGCACTTATCATATTGCGCATTTACCACTCCTGAATTATGCCCAGTTTGGTGTGGAGCAACCTCACGTTCTTTTTCTAACACAGCTACCGTCATCTTGGGATATCTATTGAGTAGTTCCCGAGCTGTTGCAAGGCCAACAATTCCGCCCCCAACTAGTTGTTATAACAATGTGTTAGAATCCATCGCTTAAGATAGGCTATACTTGTAGATATGCTATTTACCAATTACGACATCAAAGCGGTCGTGCTCGGCAGTATTTAGCAGAGGCTTTACTCTAAACCTTTCCTCTCTCATTCGACCTTTTAATTTGGCCAAACCTTCGCTTGGCTCATTTACGCTCTCTCCGGGAAGATGGTCCCATAAATGGAGATACGAAGTAGAAGAAGCAGAAAATGGACGAACATGCCGAGCCGAGAGAGTTACGATACTGGCACGTAAAGGTGCGCGAAGCATAGCTCTCGAAGATAGGGCGGACTGCATAATAATCGAAGAAGAAAAATAGAAAGATATACTGCTTTTTTGAATTAAGATATAAATATGTAGGTATGTCGTCACTTCGTCTCAAATAATATGGAAAAAAATGCCAGTCGCAGCATTTCTCGGAACGTAAACATCGACTGTAGGAAAAGCACTCACCTTAAAGCAAATTAGGTTCTGATTTCGCCGAGCTATAATTCACAATCGACAAGTGCTTAAAAGTTCTCTACTGTAATATCTACTGTAATTTCTCTACTTAGTAACATTTTATGGCACGGCTAACAGTGGAAACTCTGGCACTATTTGTCAATGTTTAATATTTGCTACCATTCAACATTCTACTGCCATCTCCTCAATAGTCATAATCCATAGTCATACGTTAACATTTATGATAGGCGGCAGAAAGCGTGATGGCGAGTCGAAGAAGTTCATTGGCTTTTTGTTTAAGCTTTGTTCATGGTTTCCAGTAGAGATCTAGCATAGCTGAAGAAACGATGCTATACAAGTCTTAGATGAAGCTAGTAAAGATGAGTTGTGAACTAATCAAAATTAAGCGATATAAGACGATCTGATCAGACGGCACTGTCAATTACATGCCAATAGGCTTCCGCACGTGTTTATAGTGTCCACGTTGTTCCACTCTCTTTTCATTTTATGGGTGCAATACTTGTATGTCAGGCAGCAGTAGGAAGTAGTGCCTTTAGTCGTAGAGGCTGTTGTAGGAGCTTCTAGCTATAATACTTTCTATAATACTTTATTTTCACGATTGAATCACTACCACAATAGCCAATCATCTTCTGGATAAAGATTCAATCTGCACAAAATCGGAAATCCCGCTGTCCCCGAGATGCCATCAATCAAAGTCACACATCAAAATTTATGTGAAGGTCGCCCCTGGTTATACACCTTCATTGCCAACACCTACTCATGAAATTTGGAAAATATCTGGAGGAGCGTAAAGCACAGCTTCCAAAGGAGCATGCCGATCACTGTATTGACTATGTTGCGTTGAAACTACTTCTTAAGGAGGAAGTCTACCCAAATTCTATCAAGCTCGAACCTACTTCCCAAACGTGGTCATCGCCGACTGAAGGAATCAGCTTTTCTGAACTGGTGTCAGAAAGACTCCGTAAACTTCAAACTTGCGAGGCTACCTTTGTTGACCAGTTGGATGTGCAAGTCGAAAAGTGCTCCACCTATTTCGAAACAGAATCAGCGAAACTCATGGAGATCCACGAAAGCTTGCAGACCCACTCCGACGCTGAAGTCACTGCACAACTATATCAGAATGTTTTGGCTCTGGAGAAGTTTGTATTTCTTAACTACACCGGTATTGTCAAGATCTTGAAGAAGAATGATCGTCATTCTGGTCTTTCTATCTCCGAGCCATACCTTCATAGAGTTGGATGCTTGCCACTCGTCCGCGCAGAAAAGTTATCAGCGTTAAAACAATCTCTTATGTACGAATTGAGCCAGCAGCATTTGGAGCCTCTTGATAATACGCCTGTTCCTTCGCCAGTAATGATGCGAAGCAGAAGTTCTAACACCAAAAGTGCCACAGCCTTACCCTCGTCGCCTTTGCAACCAAATCAAAGAGTACTAGTCTCATTATCCGGGCCTCATGGTACCGATATTATCGGTGCTGTTCTTGATAGCGTCTCAAAGCACAATTGTGTCGTGGAGGATTTGATGTTTTCTCGTTTGTATCACAACGTCACATTCGGTGTATTGATTACTTTGACATCGGATAATGTCAGCATTTTCCGAGATCTCGCAGATCAAGCTCGTAAATGGGACGCAGCCCTCACATTTGACGTCCCAGACACACAAGCAACTGAGCCTGCCATCAAACATAAGGACCAAGACAAGAAGAGTGATGGCCGAAAAGACGTCTTTTTACCACCATCATTGGAGCAAGCACCATATTCCGGTCGTATCAAGTATGCTGCTACTGTGCTGAATCAGAAGGGGTTGACATCTGAATTCTTGTTTAAATGGACGCAACTTCTGTTGGAGAACAAGATTTCTGTTGAGAAGATGAGGCGATTGAATGTCGGTGATGGCAAGGTCCAATGCGCTGATTATCAGCTCAGTGTACCTGAAGGATTGTCGATCGAAAAAATGAAAAAGCAACTGATTGATTTGTCGAGAAGCTTTGGCACTGATGTTGCTCTACAAACTGATAATGTTTTCCGCAAAAACAAGAGATTGGTTGTTTTCGATATGGATTCCACTCTCATTCAACAGGAGGTCATTGACGAGATTGCAAGACATGCTGGTGTTATGGATAAAGTATCTGTGAGTATTTTAACATTTATTTCCGTCCCTATCTTGCCTTCAGCTCTATATTAATAACATGGAACAATACCACAGGCTATCACAGAAGCTGCCATGAATGGAGAAATCGATTTCAAGGAGTCGCTTCGTCGACGTGTTGCACTTTTGCAAGGCACAAATGTGGATGTTCTTCGTACGGTCCGTGATAGTTTGACATTCACTGAAGGCGCAAGATTCCTGTGCCGTGCACTTAAAAGACTTGGTTTCAAGCTCGCAGTTATCAGCGGTAAGCGTTTACTATTATAGTGACCATTGAGCGACGCTGAATTCTCATTGTATACTTGCTTTTCATCAAAAGGCGGGTTTATACCCCTGGCAAATTATGTAAAGGCTGAATTAGGTCTCGACTATGCTTTCGCTAACCAGGTATGTTTGTATGAAAACATATGATGTGTATATAATTTTGTAACTAATGGGAGAACAACTAGTTGAAGGTATCGTCAGATGGCTTGTTCCTTACAGGAGAAACCGTTGGCCCCATCGTAGATGGACTTAGAAAGGCTGAACTTCTGGAAGTTATTGCCCAAGCTGAGGGTGTCACTCTTGACCAGGTTATTGCAGTTGGAGATGGAGCGAACGATCTTTGGATGCTTGGAAAAGCTGGACTTGGTATTGCTTTCAATGCCAAACCTCGTGTTCAGGAACAGGTAATTTAATCAGTACATGAAACTCTTTTATTGATATCAAACTGACATTTAGATACATAGGCACAAACAAGAATCAACCAGAAGAGTTTGAGATATGTCCTTTCACTCCTTGGATACTCGGACGAGGATATGCAACAGTTGCACGACCACTATTAAAATTGACCAATTTTCATTTTTTGCCATAGACATTTCACTTTTTTTTTTTGTAATCCGCAAAAAAACGCAATATACACAATTTTATTTTTTACTTTAATCGCGCTTCAAGCGACTCTTCACGTTACTCACACGTAGATCCCAAGGCAATTCCCATTTGGCCGTCGTAATCTCGTCAAGCGCTTGCTCCGCTCCTTCTGCTTTTCAAAAACTACCTGCCCTGCGAACTGCGGCCACTCCTTCAACTGCAATCCACATGCTTAACTGCATTACACGATTTCAATAGTTTATACCCAGTGGAAATTGCACTGCCTATACTTTTCCCTACATACATACCATTTTTTCTAAGGATCGCGTTATTTAACGATGCTATCGCGTATACTTCAAAGCATTAATACCAATGTACGCGAACTTAGAGGCAGACAACAATCTCCACTTAGTCCAATATCAGCAAAAGCGGTGAGTGCTGACGAGAAGGACCACGATCCAGGCGTTCCACTTGTTCAAGAATCAAAAAGCACAGAAATCTTGGCGGTGGCAGGGGATAATAAGTCGCGCCAATTGCTATTCTGTGGAGGAGATTTACCGGTGCCTGCTAAGCAACGTGCTGTCACGGTAAGCTCTCACATGGTGTACTCGGGAGATAAAGCAATGCTGTAGGTTGTACTAAATACACAGCAGACATATTGTGAAAAGGGTGCGGTTCATCTGGAGAAAACTGTGGAATTATGCCTCAAAGCTAATTCTCTGAATGATCCTTTAACGAGATCATCAAGCAAGCTGTCCAGAACGGTGCATTTAGCAAAACACAAATCAACGGTTCTCCATGTTGGAGTGCGACAGATTGACCGTAAACGAAAATTGAGTAATCAGCCTGCACTGGATACTCGGAAAAAGCATCGGAAAGACATTGAAACGCAAGTGACAGACAATATTATCAGCATTGGAAATGGAAATACCAAAAGCAGGCAGTCTCGAAGAAGATGGTGCCGTCGCTGTGGTACTATTGAAACTTGTCGATGGCGAACATCGCCAGCCGGATCTCAAACGTAGGAGACATTACGATATGGAAGGGTGTGCTATATAAATTTAACAATCCGGTATCTGATAATATAGGGCTTGCAATGCATGCTATCTGATGGTCAAAGGAAAGAGTTTACCTGATACAGAGTTTGAGAACTTTCTTATATACCCTTTGGAAACTTTGAAAATTAGTGTCCAGTCTGGAGAACATATCAAAAAATCTCAAAAAGCCAACATGCAAAATACTAAGGTGAGCGGTCATTGGTGTTCTTCGGTCGCCACCACAAAGAGATGGACTCTGAACGATTTTCTATGTGTAAGCAGTTGTATGCCAAGAATGCAAACAAGACGTCATCCGCGAGTTTGTATGAAAAAACTGCAGTGATTAACAACAACAAGAAACTCACTGTAGAAGCGACAGCTATGCAATGTGCTAATATACAGTGTCGTACCAAGATCACACTGGTATGGCGAAGAGGTCCTGATGGAGTTAAATGGTATGAGTACAGGTGCAGGAAGCCAGGCTACACAATTGAATGATGCTTATTCTTTATCAAATTCCTAGCTTATGTAACAGATGTGGCCTTCGGTGGGCGAACGACAGATTACCAAAAGATCAGATTGTGCCTGTTAATTTTATTCCAGATAAAACCTGTGCTCATCTAAGCCTGAAAGAGCTTAGTGTTTCATCACTCTCTCAGGCCGAAAGAGCGAGTTCCCAAACACAAAGGAAAAGCAAGTTATCTTATAGCACAGTTGTTTTGGAAAACGAACAACAAGGCGCTAGCGATCGAAAGAAGTTTTTGGACGCAGGCATATACTCCAATGAACACGAAGCTCAGTCTCATGGGAGAACCTCAAAAGCTGCAAATAGCACTAGAGATTTTGCCTTCAAGCTTCCAGAATATTACGGCGAACGTTTACTGGCAAAGGAAGTTGAATTTCGCCTCAGTTACGATATTATGGAGGCTTTCCGAAGCCAGAAGATCGGAAAAGAAGCCGAAGAATGCAAACAAAAGAGTCTCAAGCCAAATCCTTACGTTAAGATTCGGTCCAGTAAGTTATGCTTTTTTAGTGCGTCTATGCACTTCGCCGATCTGCGTCTCATATTTCCTTCACTGCCTTTCTAGACATTTTTGTTGAGCGAAAACATACCAGACACAACCGGAAAAGCCCTGTGTGTCAATGTACAATACCAGTGGATGGATCTCTTGGATGCAGTGAAGACTGTCTCAACAGGTAACAACAAGCATAATGGGAATGCTATTATTATACCTTGACTGAAATACTCTCTTTATAGAATGATGTTTTATGAATGCGACGTACAGACGTGCCCGTGTGGTAAACTATGCTCTAATCAACGCTTCCAGCATAAAGAGGAGGTCAATGACCTAAACGTGTTCTGGGTAAGATCATTCACGAAACAGAGGTACAAAACATATATGACGCAGAAAGATTAATTGCTTGTGTGCAGACAAATAGACGTGGCTGGGGGCTCCAAACTCTGACTGACATAAAAGTTGGCCAGCTGATTGCCGAATATCGTGGTGAAATAATATCGCAAAAGCTATGCGAGGAGCGACTACGTACGGTATACAAGGACACAAACAATTTTTATTTTCTGGACTACCAAAATGGCGAAGTTATCGATGCTGCTGCTAAAGGTTCGGATGCACGATTTGTGAATCACAGCTGCGACCCAAATTGCCATATAGAAAAATGGTAAGAACTACCGTTTGACTGAAAGACCTAACGAAACAACGTATTGATTCTATCACTGATCAGGGCGATTGGAGGGGAAGTGTGTGTTGGAATATTTGCTTCTCAAGACATTTCAGCAGGCTCAGAACTATTTTATGATTACAATTACACTCTAATTGGTAGTGGCGTAAGCCAAAAATGTCGATGTGAATCCACCAAGTGCCGAGGCTATATGGGCAGGAAAGCTAGCGTGAGAGAGCATTCTTCCAAATGATATGACGAATCATGCAGACTATGCAAAAAGAAATTTCTAAATTAATCTTCTGCACAAGACAATGTTTGACGTGATCATCAGAGCTCCTTATAATCACCACGGAACTTAGAGGCGTTCCTGACATTCCAACATAGTTTGTTATGAACAGCAAACTAGGCCCATTGTCCCATAAGCTGCTTATCCATCATTTCCATGAACCTGCATGTATGTTTTGTTATCCTGTGATTTTACCACTGTTGATAGGTCAAAAAATTTCCACTTGTCTATCTTCAGTTTCTTTTTCTTACTGTGTTATGTACAGCTTGTATTAATAAGAGTAAAAACGGTGTGGTATACTGAGGAGGCTTTATGAGCACTTGCAATGACCGAAACATAATCATTGAAAAACAATGATATAGTGTATAACCCTATCATTTCTTCTGAAGTTCAGATAGTGTGGCCATTTTCCGACCAGGTCTGACCCAGGCGAAAACACCTAGTTACCGAGAATTTTCAATGTCGGGCTGCCAAAAAGTATTTATAAAGCTATCTGCTTGATGGTACAAGGTTAAATACGTTGACTGGCATGAGTGGAAATAAGAAAGATAAATAAAAAATTTGCCTAGAAGCTCAAATTAATGTATGCTGTGCTTCAGCTACCAAGCAAGAGCGAGCTTGTTGTAAAGGCTTCATCAAAAACCACAGTGCGGAGAGCGTGACAATGACCATATCACGTGATAGAAGTAATGAACGAGTTCTTTTTTTTCTCAAAATTCTATTGTTGTGTGATCTGGAAATCCTGGATAGCTATGCTCTTCATATTCTTGTATTCAAAAAGGCGTTTAGCTTTTACCTCTTCACCTTTCTTTCATGTTACTTGAAAGTCTTGCGGTGTTACTGGCAGCTTTATGTGCTTCAGCTCAAACTCTGGAAAGTTCGCTTGCACTGGTAAACTGTACATGGCCATGCCAGAATAGCAAAGAAGTCTGTATTATCAGCCTGGATAGCGTCAGATGCCAGTCATCACAGCCAAATGAGTATGTACAATTGTGCAATAGAAAATGGTCCAGTTTTAAACACCTGAGGTTCACCAATACTAATTTATAACTTTTTTCCCAATTTTTTTCCTTCATATAATCTTGCAACACTCAACTGGACGTTCCACCCACAAAATTTTCTGCCTCCGAAAAAGATGGGTAATGACGGTCCTTAACCACTCTCCGACCTATTCAGGGAAACCAAAGCAACTTTCAGAAAGCTGTCAACATGCCCCCTTACCAGATGTAAAGCCTTACGATGGAATTTCCGCAATCAACAACATCACGTCTTCAATAATACAGTGGCCACCTAATGAGGATACATATCATCCATTGGATCAATATTTAGGAAATTGTATATCCAAAGGGTACTGCTCGCCATTCGATAATCTTTGTCATCCTAAGCTAGAGGATGGACACCCCTGCAACTCCACTAATCAATGCTTGGAGAGCCAATGTGTTGATGGGTACTGTAATGCTGGCCCAAAACTTTGGTCCTCAACTGAAGTAGCTCAACAGTCATCTAATGGCTTTAATGCAATCCATCTCGTAGCAGGAGTCGTTGGAATTACTGCACTCATCATTATCGCTGCGATATCGTTCTTAGTTTTCAGAAAAAGGAGGCGTACTGAGCAACTAAAGAAGGAATCTACCTTGCCAACCACAGCACCATACCCATCCTCACCTGGTACAGGTCTAGGGACTTTCTACAATAATCCAAGGCCCATATCTTTTGCGACATTTGCCAACGACTTCAATCAGCCGACGTCTGATTCAGCGCTGCAAAGTGAGAGCTCAAGGGACTGTCCTAGTGTGCACACGCGGCTAGCAAACAATGATTCTTCAGGTACTGCTGCCGTTTCACCGGCTATGCAGCAACTTCAACTCCAGTTAATGTTACAGCAAGAACTCCGCAGCCAGGAAATGCAGGAAGTTCAACCACCCGTAGCGTCAAGGCAAGAAAATCGGTTAAAGGAGCGTCCACCGCCACCGTACCAACCATAGTTATTGTTTGCATTCACTCAATCACATTGTAAATACACTCTCATTAAAAAAAAAAAATAGCGCTTCTGATCTTGTTAACTTGATCAGCTGAATTAAAATACAAGTTGCTGTCAGAGCTGATGAAAAGTTCAAGTAAATTGTACGAAATAAACCATCAGTAGTGCAAATCTTGTTCATTACATGAATGTTAGATCAGTGGATATTATAGCATTAAAATGACCAAAATACAAGCTTTGATGTGTTATTCATGCACGCGATGTCAACAACCATTACAAGCTGACAAATATGTTCCCGAGCACATTGTTCCTACCTTGTGTCATTACACGACAGGAGACAATTGTCTTCACAACGTCTACCTATTTCTACAATAGGTTTTATCAAACGTCACTTGTACACCATTTTTGTAAAGATCAACGTGCTCACGGGCCCCCACACTGCAAACAATTGAAGAATCCGATTTTTGAATTAGCGCTAACGTTTTTCCTATTGGTAGTTTGGCTTGCTACATCGTGCAGTTCACACCACATCTTAAGATGTCAAGGCATGGGCATACACGATCAGCGTCCTCTCAAATAATAGATGAAGATCTGCAGAAAGCCATCCAACGCTATGAAGATTTTACCACCACAGGCAAGTTTTCACACCATTTTCATCAAGGAGTTTCCGAGCTTGGCTCAATCCTCCAAGTTCCCTAATGGGTACAGGACCAGTTCGACCTATTGCGCCATCGGCATCCAAGCGTAGAAACAGAAAAGAGATGAAGTAATATTAACGAGATGAAATTGCATACTTTACACAGATTGGGTAAAGGATGCAGTCCATGAGCGTCAGCGAAAATCGGCATTGCAATCTATGAACAAAAACTCTGATTCTTGGCGTTCGTGGTGGGCTTTGACCTTCGAATCAGCGCAAACCTGGATTGTTATATCGCTAGTTGGTAAGTTGACTACAATATGTAACTTGATTCACTATGATAGGACTAATCGATCGGTTTCAAACCTTTCTCAGGAGCAACCATTGGCCTTAACTCGGCGCTCATTGCCATTATCACTGATTGGCTTTCAGACATAAAGATGGGATATTGTTCAACAGGATGGTGGCTCAATCAAAAGTTTTGTTGTTGGGGAATCGAAGAACACGGTAAATACCTTGTTGATGCCATGGTAGTGTAATTAACTGGGACTAAATTTATGTTTCAAGATGGTACATGTGAATATTGGACAAACTGGAGCGAGCCTCTTGCATTAGGGAGAGACGTTTTTGTCGTTAAATGGATATTCTATATAGCTTGGGCGGTAAGTTATGCAGAAAAACTCTTTGTTCTGCGAATATGAGTGTTAACTTTGGATTATGCTAGACATGCTTTGCCGGAACGTGCGCCTTCTTGGTTAAACACTTTGCCCCTTATGCAGCCGGTTCTGGTATTTCAGAGATAAAGTGTATTCTTGGTAATTGGAGCGTTCATAGTATCGACGATGTCACTACGCGCCTGCTTATTCATATCATTTCGTTTGCACAGCTGGCTTCACAATGAAAGGATTTTTAGGCGGGTGGACACTTTTGATGAAAAGTGTTGGTCTGGTAAGTCGTTTATTAGATCTTCGCTGCTGGTTTGGACGAAGAAATTGAACCACCTTCTTTCAGGCGCTGGCGGTAGCATCCAACCTCAGCATTGGAAAGGAAGGTCCATCCGTTCATATGGCATGCTGCGTTGGCCATGTAGTATCGAGATTATTTGCAAATTACCGTCAGAACAAAGGTATTGAGAATGCTTGTCTGATTATCTGGTGGATTCACAATGAAGCTAAAAAAAATACGTTTAGCGAAAATGAGGGAAATATTATCCGCATCCAGTGCAGCAGGTGTTGCGGTCGCCTTCGGCTCACCTATTGGTGGTGTTCTTTTCTCACTTGAAGAGATGAGTGCAAACTTCCCAAACAAGACGATGTTACGCAGCTTCTTTTGTGCATTGATTGCAACAATGGTGCTGCAAGTAAGTAACAGGATAATGCGGAAGTAGATGGAATGAACAGTTGTTTGCTAATCAAATTTCTTCAGGCAATGAACCCTTTCCGAACAGGAAAGCTTGTTATGTTCCAAGTCACTTACGATCGGGACTGGCATTTCTTCGAATACGTTTTTACCGTCATCATCGGTATTTTTGGAGTGAGTGAAACTGCGTGTGAAAGCGTGACATATCACAGTTAATTAATTTAACTTATGTTCTGTAGGGATTATATGGCGCTTTTGTCATAAAGTTTAATATGAAAGTGGTTGAATATCGCAAAAAATATCTCAAAGACTACGCAATCGCTGAAGCGGCGGTTTTGGCTCTAGTTACAGCCATCATCGCCTACCCCAATGTTTTCCTTAGGATTGACATGACAGAAATCATGGGTATTCTTTTCAGAGAATGTGAAGGACCGGAAGGAGAGGATTATTATGGACTTTGTCAGTGAGTATATCGTCAGTTTATGTGTCGTATTGTTAAGGTGAGTAATCTATATTAATATTATCTAACCTTGCAGACAAAGTGAAGTTGGTCGTATGATTACTCTCCTGCTATTTGCCACTATACTGAGAACAGTAGGGACTATATTCAGTTATGGATGCAAAGTTCCATGCGGTATTTTTGTGCCCTCTATGGCTATCGGAGCTACTTTCGGTCGAATGCTTGGGTTGATTGCAAAAAGCTGGCAGTCCGCATATCCAGATTTCTTTCTTTTTGCATCATGTCAGCCAGATGTTCCGGTAGGCATGGCACATATACTTTTCGGCTTGTTTGCACAAACTAATACTTTAAACTTGCAGTGTATTACTCCCGGAACTTATGCATTTCTAGGTGCAGCAGCTGCATTGTGGTGAGTTTTCTGCATAGTGCCTACATTAAATTGTTTCTATGGTGTATTAATTCTGTTACATTGCTAGTGGTGTCATGAGAATTACAGGTATAAGCATAACACAAACACTAAGGATATAGGAAAATCACTTATTTACTTACTCATATCCAGTGTCCGTTGTGGTCATCATGTTCGAACTGACTGGACGTGTCACATATATTCTGCCATCCATGGTACGATATTTTCATTATGTGTATACTGCTATGTTAATGACATGACTGGTTAATTTCAATTCGAAAACAGATTACACTGATTGTTACAAAAGCAACTGCCGACTGGTTTGGTAAAGGCGGCATTGCCGACCGCTACATACAGGTTAATGGGTACCCGTTCTTGGATAAGGAGGAGCATTCGTTTGGCGTGCCGGTTTCTCACGTCATGCGACGAGACCCAGTTGTTATGACAGCGAGTGGTATGAAGCTGCATGAAATTGGTAAGATTACGCAAGCTCTATGCCCTACAATGCTATCGAATGACATCAAGTCTGACACCTCGTTGTTCGCGCAGAAACTATTTTCCACGATACTCAGTTCAAAGGCTTCCCTGTCGTGCAGGACAAAACATCAATGACTTTAGTTGGTTATATTGGCAGATCAGAAATGCTTTACTTAATTGGTATGGATGAAAGTCAAAGTAAGACTATTGTGTCACGATCTGTTTTCTTAACATATGCACGATTCCTTTTGTAGAAAAAGCAAAACGAATTAACAGAGCTCATAGCGACACAAAGTGCGATTTCCGACCTGTCGATGACGATAATGGTGTGGAGGTCATTGCGTCCTACTCTGAGGAAACACAAGATTTTGACGAGCCCAACAGTGAAACAGAGGTCATCAACTTCGGTCCCTATGTGGATCAGGTACGTACTGTTGTAGATGTCCTCGCGAAAATTAATAACCTATGCTGATGGATTCGTTCATAGACCCCCATAACCGTTCGCCCACAGTTCTATCTTGAGACTGTCATGGATTTATTCAAGAAAATTGGCCCTAGGATAATATTGATTGAAAACCTTGGCAAAGTCGTAGGACTGATCACTGTCAAGGATGTCCTCAGATATATCGCGCAAATTGAAAGGCGAGATCAGAAATCTGACCAAGGCTCGTGGAATTCCTGGCTGGAACAGCGGAATTGGCACCTGTCAAGTTACACGCGCGTATTCAGTAGAGATAGCGAGGAGAACCACGAACTTCAGCAACAAACATAATTGTATTTTATAACAAAACATTATAATAACAGAGCTATGGTCACAGAGCCATGATAAAACAATTTCTCCCAGAATTTAAGTGAAATTCGTCTCCGCAACACCACCCAGTCACTCATATCAATACCAAAGGTGATCATTTACCTTTTAACTTTTCAAACATGTCGAGGTAAAACGGCATCTCGTTATAATATCTTCCACGGCGATGTGCTCAACATGAATACTTTTAGTCGCACCAAGATCAAAGCTGGACCTAAAACTGTCGTCTGTCAAGAAGCAGATTTACGTGGCGAGATTACTATAGGTAACGGTCGCTCATACCTCAGTAAATCTATTGTGTTGAATGTTGCTGGGAGAAACTAAGTGATATATCTCGTTTTTAACAGGCGCAGGTACGAACTGAAAATAAGCCGAAGAACGCTCGATCATAGATATATAACTGTTTGTGTCAGGAACGGTCCTTCATCCTCGCTGCCGTGTTGTGGCAGAAGCAGGTCCAATTGTATTCGGAGCAAACAATATTATAGAGGAAAATGCAGTCATATTTAACAAGTCAGTCATCTTTTGTGTGGCATGTAGCTATTGACGCTTTTTTTTTTGATTAACTGGTTGTTACAGGAACACCGCCCCATTGGTCATCGGTGACGACAACGTCTTCGAAGTCGGATGCTGTGAGTGTTTAGCGCGACACTGACGGGTTTGTAAGCGTAAGAGGCAGTGATACTGATAAACTTATAGATGTCGAAGGTCTTGGGATTGGAAATCGAAATGTTATCGAAGCGAGAGGTGCGTATCGATTCGAGATGTGCGTTCAATGCCAGTCGTATTTGATCTAATAGCTCGTTTGACACAATGTGTTTCTATAGGCCGCCTTATAGGTACGACGACGGTTGGAAATAATTGCGTGATTGGCTCAGCGTGCACAACAGATTTGCACGAGAAGATGGAAGACAATACAGTCATATATGGTTCAGATTGCAGTCGACGAACGCAGGAAGAGAGGAATGCAGTATGTATTATGAATGTAAAGGTTTTTGGGTTGAATTCCAGAGCACTTAACGCTGACTTTATTTCTAGGCTCAAGCAAGTCTACATTTGCGTCATTTAGAATACCTGAGAGAGGTAAGAGTTAGTCTGATCTCATACAGTTCAATTAACACCTCCTTTTAATCCTACTTTTTTTCAAAGATGCTACCCAAGTATAACCATTTAAAACAACTCCCAACTGACGTTTGATGCCATTCAAGACAATTATACCCTTGCTCTACTCCAATATCAAACTGCTAGATTTAAAAAACACGACTCCTGATAATAATCTATTTCTTCTTTGAATGAACAATAAAATCCGGAAGCAATGTACTTTTTGGTGCGATTATAATCGACCCATCATGAATAAACTACTATGTTACAATTGCGATGTATGAATGCCATTTTGCGTTATTTTCCTCCGAACACCTTGCCAAGGACATTCTTCATCTTGGGCTGAACGTTGGCGAGAGTGTCAGTTTTTCGTTCTGCTGTCAAATCAGCTTCTCGGCGTACAATGCTTCGTTGATCAAAGTTTCTTTGGAACTTTGATGGCGATTCTGATTGGCTATCGACCGCTTTGCGCTTTTTGTTTTCCTCCATCTTGTTGATCATCTTTGACTTCTCAACGTTGCTGATGAAAGTCTTATTTTCCCTCGTGGCCTGTGCAATTTCTGCACTTAGTCTTTGCTGACGAGCCTTCGATTCATAAGCTAAAAAGGCCAGAATTTTTACGTTACTATCATTTCCGGTTCCAAAACATTCATATTGTGCAGAATGCTGCTCTTACCCATTTGTTCCGTTAGATGGTGCCACTTGAATTTTGGGAGATATTTGATGTTCCAAAGATCATAGTAGTAATAGCTCTTTTTCTTGCCGCCTTAAGAAAAAAAAAAAAGATGATTAGTTTCATAACCGGATATTGATTTGATGCACGGCTGTACTCACCAATTTGTTGGGTATTGAGCATGGCGGCAACAGCCTTCGCCTTCTTTTTGTCTTTAAATTCAACCCATCCTTCCGTAAAATTCTGTTTGTTATTTTTGGCATACTTCTTTCTTCGTGCTGTGATCTTTGCATCTTCTGGTGCCAGATAGACTCGGCCGATTTCTGCATAACGGCTGAGCAATTGCTTGATTTTGACTGGCTTCATAAAAGGTGGTATTCTGGCCAAATAAACGACACCGGTCTTGTTGATATCCTTTTGAAACTTTTCGAGCTCTTCTGGGGTCAATGGTTTGACCTTCTTTTTACCAGATTTCTTTGGTGGTTCTGGTGACTGGTCGAAAGAAGCAAATCGTTCATCCTTTTCTTCTTCGCTATCAGCTTCAGAGTCTTCATTGGCCCCTCCCAGTTCTTCCTGGTCGGAATCACCACTCTCAGCGGTGACATTGCCGTCTTCGTCGCCGTCTTCGACTTCGGATTCGACCTCGGATTCATCGTCAGAGCCTGCTCTGTTTATTTTGCTTCTTGAGAATCCTTTTCCTTGTTCTTCTATCTCTTCACTATCATACTCTGATTCCTCGTCTTTCTCGATTCCGAACAAGTCCTCTTTCGTTGCAGACATTTTAAAGCTTTTTAGGCAGTTCGACAGCTGCTTCACAAAGAAAAAATCCCAAAAATTGTAAAAGGTAAAGCAGTCATCAATCACGTGGTTATCAAGACACAAATTGATCGCTGCGTCTTTCTTTTCATTTATTTTTGTTGGCTCTGCTGCTGTAATATTTGCAGCCTTGCCAGTATTTCACCAACATTGGTAGTGGTAGGTGCGGCTTGCGATGAAGCTGCTACTGGTTTCGTTGCAGGGGATGATTTATCTAGATATTCAGGGTAGTATTGGTTGTTATTGTGTTGCCATGAACGACTGTCGTTGGGGGCATTGTCATTTTCGGTTGCTGGTTTCGCTGTTGTGTACGCCATCTGATGATTTGACGGTTGGCTGTATGCATTATATCCTGCTGCAGTCTGTGGGTTATAATTCATTTGTGAATAGTCAGGATCGTATTGCTGAGCTACCATTGGTGGCTGCGGTGCTGTGTTGGTATTGGTCGCACCGTTGTTGACAAGGCTTGTCAACAGCTGTAACGCTGCATTATTAACACCAGGATTCGCTGCAACAGTGGGTTGTGCAACATTTTGCATCATACCAAGAAGTGCTGCTACTGTGTTGTAATCAACCGCAGGGGCAACCGGCGGCTGGGTCGTTGCCGGCACTTGAGGTTGTGGTGCGGCATACCCGTACTGATATGGCTGTTGCACATTTGGTGAGACTGGTTGAACAACAGGTGCAGGTGCTTGAGGGGGCGTTGCTTGCGAATAGGACTGTGTAAGCATCATTGAATTTGATGGTGATGACCTAGGATTGTTAGTGGCTCTAGTAACCACAGAAACTGCATCATCCACTGATATACCCGCGTACTCTAAAACATTATTCGCATTAGTCAAGACTGAGCGTATAGCTTGCATATTCAATAAATAACGAAACGTACCATCGAAATGAACATTCGAATCATTTGTGGTACCTGATCTTCTAAACACTTGCATATATAGCTTTCCCTGTGCCTCATCATTCCTATCCACCATTATGACCGCAGTAACACCTTCAATGACAAAGTGCTGCATCAAGGTTTTCTTATCAACATCATTGTGATGTAGATACGTAGTATGAAGCTGTAGTCGACTAGCTCTGAAGCGCCCTTCAATATACGTGATAAAAGAATCTGGAACCTTATCCCACACGATTAGCTCCACCACAGGCACTGCCTGCCCATATCGCCGTTGAGGTGGCCAAAAGCTTGCCTTAGGTCCTCTAGGCACAGATCCATTCTGTCTGTATGGTGTTGGTTGAGATGATGGAGGTGCCGCTGGTCGTCGATTTGCTTCTGGTGCGCCGTGTTGATTTCGATGATTACCTAACTGTCTTTGTTGATCGAAGCCATCATGTGGACGATTTCTATACGGCGGATCATCTCTGTAGTTGTTGTTGTTGTTGTTGTTACGATTGTTGTTACCTTGGCCCCGAGTATTATGGACGTTGGGTTGTCGGTGGTTCCATTCACCTTTATGCGGTCCAGGTTTATCGGAATGCGCGTAAGTGCCCTGACCAGGAGGTCGATTGTTTTGTGAGTATGCTTTTCCAGGAGGATTTGCTTTTCGATTATCGGTCCGTCGATTACGTTGATTGTTAAAAGATTCCGGTGCTTCGTATCGATGGTTGTGAGGTCGCTTATGAGAAAGTTCTAGGACTAAATTTGATATTTCAAGATCAGGATCGGCAGGAAAGAAAGGATGAAAAGACGAATATGCAAGCAGATCATAAATTAGAACATGATGAGACAATGACTTGATGAGCGATCGATTGCCATTCATGGCATCGGTAGTGTGTAAGCTCGGTTGAGGGAGGGTTTCGAATTTCAAGTATGTTACATGTAAAGCGATCAACACATCAACCCGTACCGTTGATTCACCACCTAACCGATCTCAGGTCCCACATATGTCAATTGCAAACATCGAGACGTATTGCAAGCTCCATGACTAATGGTACTGGTACCGCCAACACTAACCCACACCAAACAAGATACTAATATTAGTTGACTTACCAAGTTCTACAGATTTGAAAGGCTTTCCATTCTCATTCTCTACAGCCGCTCGACAAGCATTGATGGTTTCAAATTGAACGAATGGATTGCCGGATTTAAGGACAACTTCAGCGATTTTCCCATACTTGCTAAAGTGGTTAGCAATATCATTGTAGGCTGCGGTAGGAGGTAAATTTTTGATATACATGCGAGCATCATCAGGATATTTGTCTAGGGTAGTCTTTGACACAGGATGAGTGTGCGACAAATGATTATTCTGATTCACAGTCTTGTTACGGCTGCTTTCGCTTCGTTCGTCAGAGGGGATTGCGGACGAGTTCTTGGCTCGAGGTGAAGACTTTTTCATTCCAAGAAGCTTTTGGGACGCAATATAAGCATCATACGGATCACTTAGACCAGTAGAACCCAGTAGCTGTTGTTGAAATGGCTGGTATTGTGGTTTTGGCGCAGGCGTTTTCCTACTTGGTTGCTGCTGCTTCGCCTTGGCAGCATCTGAAGCACTACCGACCGCCATTCGCTTTGAATCAGGCTGTTCTGTCACAGATTTACGTTCCTCATCCTCCTCACGTTGCCTTTTAATACCAGCGTCACCTTGCTTTACTTTCGAAGGATCATTTGCAAGTGGAGCTGATGAATCAACAGGTAGATTTTTGGTAGGCTCTGAGTTAGATGCATCGCCATCAGAAGTAGCAGTATTATCAAACAAAGCAGACAAAAAGTCGTTTACGACAGACGAAGACATTTCGACTGCCAGAAAGATAAAATGGCCAAAATGCAATTGGGAGAACAGCAAGTATTGTGCCGTAGCAAGATTTAATAAGACTTTGGTGCATGACCTTTAGTGACGTTTTTGACATTTTCATTTTATTTACGTAATTTGCACATTGAAATGATTGTTAACCGAGTTGATGTTGAAGAATGCTTTCACCACCGAAGCGACTATCATCATGACCTTACCGATCAAAGCAGTATTCACGCTATATTTTTACTCCTGCTTACTCAAAAAATATGTGTTCGAAGAAAGTAATTGTACGACAAAGCATTGTCTGACTGTCAATAATTATTACACCGCCTAGCCTCACAACAAGGTCAACAATGCTACGATCTGATCATAATCAGCGGTTTCAAATGATATTGGCTTAGAAATAAATGTTCCAACTTTTTTTTTTATGAGATGAAAGCTTTTGAAAAAGCCGTCGAGAAAAATGGGAATGCATGTATCTAATAGGCTATATTGCCATGGTACAATTAGGAGCACGCAAGTCCTGAAAGTGGGCAAAAATCCAAAATGCAATTGAGTTGGTCCATCCAAAACCCATCTGTGGCCGATACTGAGGAGTGCAAGAACAGTTAGATCTTAGTGTTCAATTAATAATGTCGGTTTCTGTTCAACTTACTTCACCGCCGCCACCCGATCTACCAATGACTGTTACATTAAACTTTTCAAACATATGGCCTGTATCGGTCGAATGACCAAGATTCGATATATAGCCGGGGATGGTACCTCCAGTGGCCCACCAGCCGCAGAAGCCAGACTCAACGTATCGTTCCGCCAAATCCTTTGCAACTGTCTTCAACGAATCCACCTTGTCGCTCAGATCTTGGGAATATCCATTTTGGGTAATCCGCTTATGGACATTCAAAAGAGCATGCAGAGTAACATATTGAAGTGGTGGCTAAAGAAGAAGTCAAGGCTCTGTTAGACAGTCGCCGTTGATGAATTTTGAAATTGGCAAGTCCTTCTTACCCATCCGTTTGGTAAATCCCATTGAAGCCCGGTTTCCACTAAGGTGGTAGTAAGGATGCCAGGGTATAGATTTAAAACATGCGTAAGTTCTTCAAACACATTTGCTAACTTTACACTATCATTTGCAACACGTTCAGGAACAGCTCCCAACCTAAGAGTCGATTGTATTAGTAATTTGATGACTTTCATCAATTGCTCGTTTGTTCCTCTTGATGGTATTTCCACTCACCAAAATGGGAAATAGTTCGATGGAGTAAATTCAACCTGTTGAGCTTGACTGGTCAAATTGAAATCAAAGAACGAGAACTTTTCGTCATTCCACAACAATTTGTCCATGCTGTTCAAACGCTGTTCAGCTCTGCGTTCATAGTATGCCTTCTTCTTCCCTGTATTCCATTGAGCCAATTGAACCTCCATGTCGTAGAGAAGAGAATTCAGTTCAACTGGAATGATCGCGCGTGTGTTGAGTGACTTGAGAAGATCAAACTGTGAGTTTCCATCAAACTTTTTGTTGCGAAGCCAACGTGAAGAGTAATCCCATCCAGTCTCTGCTCCTGTTGCCAGATCAGAATATAGATTAATTCTATCGTTTTCCGTCATATTTAAATCCAGATGTGCAGTGTGCCAATCTTCGTAATAGGCTTCTGGGCGAGGATATGGATATTCCACGTTATAGCGGTTAAGATAGTGTTTCTCTCCACTCCCAGAGTCAACGATCTCGACGGTGGTGTTTTTCATCCAAAACTCATATTCAGTGTCCAGAATTGGCAATGCTCGTGCTAGCAGTTCCTGATCGTCCATAAATTCGAGATAGCGTTTCACCATACGTACTAGGAATGGCGGCTGTGACCTATTCAAGTAGTATATACGTGCACCATTTGCTAAGAATTCATCAATGAATGTCAATGTATGTGTGGTACACGTCAAATTCTTTTGAAAGAATGTGCATTCTTCAACTTACGCAAAAATCCGTAAGCTTCCACGAAGTCTAGAAAGTTTTCAATCATACCCTTGGCAGTATGATCCAGTTCGCTGTACAAAAGTCCCTCAATTACGAAGTAGCTGTCCCTGCATTGCGGAAATGTCGCTGTTTATCAATGCTGGTCCAAGAGAACACAATGAAAACTTGTCACTTACCAGTAGTAGAATTCACGGAATCGTCCGCCTGGAACAACAAAGGGACGTTTGGTAGGTAAGATACTACTAGAGCATCCATCACACAGAAAAGTGGTATTGAAACTGTATGTGAGATTAGACCAATAGTTATTCAGATCACTCATCCAAACTCGGTACGATGGGTCCTGGATGGATTTCAGAATGGCAAGGTCTTGTTTTGATTCCATCACTACCTGGGAAAGCTCCATTCCAGTCTCCAAGAAATTTTCGTCAACAAACATCCGTATATCGGCTTTTGATGGATTTTTCCCAAGCTTGTTGAACGCATCCAACACTTCGTTAACAGGCTTCGCAGTAGGCTGAACATAATTTCAATTCGTGGAGATATACGATGTCATTTAACTAGAAAGACGGCGAATTGATATATATAAAAAAGCATTATATGTGAGCATAGTTACCCTATCTACAAAGGTTTTGGAGTCCGTGAAAATATTGGAGAGTTGGACGGCGCGAAGCAGAGGTCCTTCACAGTAAATAGGCGAGTCGCATGTTTTGTAAGTTTTTGCTGTAGTCGCGAAAATGAATGATTGGGTAATAGCTAGCAGTAAAAGTTTTCTCATTGTCACCGCAAGAGGGACCAGAAGGAGAATCAGAGGGAATACGAAAGGATTAAATAAGTACGTTGTCTGAGTCGATCGTGGCCTGGTTTTTTATTTAATTTTCCAGTGTGGGTGGTTTTGATCCGGCCAACAAAAGGTAAAAATTGCAGGAACGTGGCTTTATGCAATACTAAGCACCTTAGAAATGCGGTTGAAATAGTTTCAGCGAACTTTACCTTCTACCTATTACAAGTTCCCGTTGGAAAATAGGCCCCAAACGTTTTGAAATTGGAATCCGAACCGAAGCAGAAAACCAATAAAACTGAGTCTGGAACTGGAGAATGTTGCAGTTGTGTATCTCACAAGGCTAGAGCTGCAACACAGGCCGCTATAGAGTCTGCACATTATAATATAGTCTGCACAGAAAAAAGATCCCGTCAAATGGAGAACTTCTTTGTCATTACACTCTGGGGTATTTTTGATCACGTATTAATTTTGAGTTTCATCAAGTACAAAGATAGCGTCGGAAGATGGACAGCCGTAGTATTAAAAAAAAATTTGATCAGCAAGCTGACTTGATTTCTATATGAAAATGCACAGTACCTTCGATCGGAAGGATATTGTCAGAGATAACTTGCATTATCATATCGGTATACTAAGCAATTTCAAAGTCATGCATAATGCAATTTGTGGACACGCAACTTTCTGTCCCCAAAAAATCTGACAACGTAGGCCAAAAAAGTCCCCCCACCAGGTCACGCAAATTGACGAAGGACGAATAATTGCCGAAAGTTACCTACCTGAATGGCCGAATTGCAGTAAAATATGCTTACAATTGACGTTCGCTGGTTTTTCTATCTCCTTTCTTTAATTTCATATTGAATAGCTTCATATGGACTTTGCGACGACAGAAAGTTCTAGCTTACAACTTCCTCATTCACCCCGAATTATTTTCAAAGAAAATTCCAACAAAAGCTATATATCGCTATCAAGCACGGATGCGTTCAGTTTGAATACATTTGATGAATTGGTAGAAGAGCATTCACAACTCAGCATTGACGGACATCCCGATCAAAGGCGATGTTTGATCATTGCCCGCGTTAGAACATGGGATGTGTCGACTCAGCGTTATTTTGATTCGTACTACAATGCATGGCATTTGAACAAAATTTTGTTCAGAACAGAAGCATCTTCGAATCGCACATTTATTCATCGCTTATCAGTATCTGATCCAATGACAAACGCGGAAATTGTGAAAGTAGAATATTTCAAAACGGGTAACCCATCACTATCCGGGGAAGCACGAAGCTCACGTAAGTAATTTTTAGGTAGCCTCGCATATGCAATCGAAAGGCTTACAAAGCTAATGAATGACAGATGCATGTGCTAACAGAAATGTTATACTAGAACCCTTCGGCGTCAGTTCTGAAGTCACACCTACAAGCATTCATATCTCAGATCAATCACTGTCTTCCAAAAGTGACATATGTTTTATATCCAGGCTTGAGCCTTCATCCGTAGTCACATACTACATTGGTAATGACGACGATTATATGAAATCGAAAGATTTAAGGAAATGCTTTCGTCAAAATGCTATCACAATGGAAGATGCCGAGCTGTTTACGTTGCAGCCTCATGATCCAGCTAGCTATTTGGCTGGGAATGAATGGACCAGGCTTGCGGCAAGGAATGCTAATGGCCGATTTCGAATATCGTGCTCCACTGTAGACACATTGTTGCAAGCTGCCGGGGTCTTGTTTTGTTGCGCGCTTTATTTTGTTCAAATTGAAGAAGAAGAAGAGTATGGGCTCGAGCAGCAGTCGCTTATTGATGGATCAGAAGAACCGCAGGACCAAGCCGAGACCACCGCTCATGATTATTGGCAGCCAATCTTAGCTGTAAACGATTTGACTTTAACTTTTTCCGCGTAAATAAAATAATAGGTGGAACGGGAAAAATGCTGCTACACAGCAAGCTGTCATACTAGACTATTTGAGGTTATGATGATAAGTTCGCCTGACTTAAAAAGCTGGTTCATGGTACAACAGCTGGACCGGCCCTAGGTAACGATGTGAACCCCGACGGTACAAGTGTCGGACCGGCTACGCCACGCACTTTTATATAAAATGACTGCATAACACTGAGAATTACAGATCGACAGAGGCAATATGGATTACGTTGAAGAAGCCGCGAGCTATCTTCCTCCCAAAATTCGAGATCTAAGCGTATCCTTTTTTAGCTATGCGCAAGATAGAGAGGGTAGAAAGTCCATTTTGGGTTATGCTGCGACAGCAGCATTATCTTATTACGTCGGTCGAACAGTTTACAACATCTTTCTCCCTCCAAGAAAACTGAGACACATTCCAAGAGCAAGTTCATCAGCAATGATACTTTCCATGATCAAAGGATCGAGCCCCTCTGAAAGATCTCGCGAATTTATCATGCCAATTATTGAGGAGCATGGCATCTGCTTAAAATATCAACTAGGCAAATGGACTGTAGTTGTTGCTGATTATGACGAACTCAAGCCATTCTTAAAGGATATCAACACATTCCCAAAAAGGCATATGGTCTTCAGCAAGGTGAGCAAGTGCATACTGTGGAGGATCGAAGTAAATCAATCGGCTAATTTTCGCGTCATTGTACCAAGGATTTTGACGTAACAAATGCTCCCAATATCTTAGGAACCAATAAAGAGGTCTGGAAGCGTCAACGAAAAGCCGCAAACCCAGCTTTTCACCGTAGAATGCCTGTAGCCACCTTTGGAGAGGTCATGAAGACTATGTTTAGAACGATTGAGACCGATAGAATCCAATATCCAGACTTGGCTTCGTTCAACAGGCGCTTTGCTTTGGATTGCATTGGTCTGGGTGGATTTGTACGTCGCCATTAACTTGAAAAACTGCTCTCTCTGTTCTTAATAATAACCTAATATCTTTAGAGCTTTGATATGGGATCAGTTGCAGATCCAAATTCAGAGTATGCTACTATCTACAATGAAGCCTTCAGTAAGTGTTCAAGATGAGGTATTGAATGTCGTGTTCCAGCTTCTTATCCTCTCCTGATATAGAGATTATACAGGATCCTATTCAGTTTTTGTTTCCTAGCTTCAGTAAGCTGCCAGCCTCATGGTTCGCTTACCGCCAGAAAGCTGTAGTCGCTTCTCGTAAATTTAGGCAGCTCTTGACCGGAATTGTGGAAACTAGAAAGCAAGCGTTCATCGAGAGCCTCGAAACTGGGCATAATCAAGAATTGATAGACATGGATCTGCTTACTATGCTCATCAACGCAAACTTGAACCAAGATGGATCGTCTACTTACCTAACTGATAGCGAGCTAATTTCCAACTTAGCTATCTTTTATGCCGCTGGTCACGAAGTGAGTGTTTGCAACGGCTACCAGCCAGTCTATTGAAGTTTCGTTTCCAGGTTTAACACATGACACTAATTTCTTTACCTTCCTTCAGACTACCGCCAATGCATTGTCGTCTATGTTGTATTACTTGGCTGTGAACCCCAAGCATCAGCAACGTCTTAGAGAGGAAGTGATCAGTATCATGGGTGATGCACCAGAAGACGCTATTCCTACGGATGAACAGCTTCGTCAGATGAAATTTTTAGAGTGCTGTATCAAAGAGTCAATGAGGATCAACCCACCAACGTCCGGTAACCAATTGAGAACGGCTGCTGAAGACACAACGTTGGGCAATTTCTTCATCCCGAAAGGAACGGACTTAGGAATGGTAATTAATTGCCCGCAAAGTATCGCCTCTGAAAAAGCCTGCGCTCATATTAGCTTTCTATAGGATATTTGGGTTACACACCATCTTGAAAAGTATTGGAAAGATTCTGATACTTTCAACCCTTCACGATTCGACAAAGAAAGTTCAGATTACGTGGATTCCACATGGATGCCTTTCGGCGCTGGTGAACGTATTTGCATCGGCATGAACTTCAGTTTGGCAGAGCAGCGCATATTTCATGCCATGTTCACTCGCAAATACGAGTACTCTCTTCGTCCTAACAGTGAACACGCGAATGGTATGGTCAACGCTAAAGCAATATTCGGATTGTTCGGCCCCCAAGACCTCGAGCTCTCATTAAAGAAGAGATATTGACAGACATGACCATGACAAAGTTATATTATTAAATGTCATTTTCAGTTTTATTAAATTGACAGCATGCTGAGTAGGGAAGACAAGTATATCGTGGGAGGATTAGGACGTGGACGTAGATAATATAGAAACTTGAGCCATATATGAAGGCGAATACTGGAATATCAAAAACGAAGAGAAATAGGTAACAACAGAAAATGATATTAAACCCAATGGGCAAGGGTAGTCGGAACCGGATAAATAGCCAGAGTAAAATGCGAGAGCGGCACAATGGCCATCTAATAGTTGAGTTTGGTGCCGAAAACATAATCCCACAACTTGGAGGTGATACCGTAACCAGACTCGTAGTTCTTATAATGATGAGCAAGGTGGTACTTCTTCATCTCCTTGAAGTGAAAGTCAAGGACTTTGGCGTGATGCAAATAATAGTGTGTGCAGTCATAACCAATGTATCCCAAGACCGCACCCCCCACGATGGCATATGCTGCGGTGGCGGGGAATAAAATATGAGCAAGGCACATCAAAGGGTATGCCAAGGCAAAACCAAGAGCTGGCGGCATTACAAGTCGCAACCTATAAAGGAGTTAGGAACTAAACCTCTCCAACATGAATAACCGTCAAAAACACTTACTTGTCCATTGGGAGATAGTGGTGAATACCGTGAAGAGTAAAGTGCAAAAGAAGTGCAACAGGATGATCAGGAAGCCAGTCATCCAAATGGAACAGGAAGCGATGCAAGATATACTCCACCAGAGTCCAGATGAATATACCTAAGACGAAACAAGGGGCAGTAACATAAGGAAGCTCAGACTTGAGAGAGTTATAAACTTGATATCCAACAACAGGGAGCCAGATGGTAGGAATCATATACCACGCTGTCTTGGTAAAGACATCTAAGAAGTTACCAAAGAGAGGAGCAGCGTAAGGCAAGTAGCGTGGTTGATGAACTTGCTGGAGGTAGAATTCCTTTGAGAACTTTGCTCGAAGCATTTGAGGGAAGAGTGCTTTGCGAAGGTCAAGGAATTGACTGCCCTTTGCGTCTGCACTAAGGTCCGTCTGCGTAGGCTTGAAGTCATCCTCAAAGAAGTGCTCTGTCTCTTCAATATGGAGTTCGCCTTTTTCATTTCCTTCGGTTTGTACCAAATAACCAATATGGTATTCCTCCAACATCTCATATGCTGCATCCGAGTGTGCGTGTTCCAACTCATCCTTCATAATGTCTGTCACATTGCGTCCAGCGTATTCCAGAATGAGATCATCACCTCCAGGATGGTCAGGAGCAAACTCCGTAACGTCATAGACCTTTCCGTTATGAATAATCCATAGGGACTTTAAACTGCTATGTTTTGCAACTTCGGATAGAGTGAACTTTTTTATGACAGCCATGAATTGTAGGTTAAAAAGAAAAGAAAGACAGTGAGGTAAGGCGTGCCAAAAAAAAAAAAAAAAGCTGACAAAAAGGTCAGGAAATTTTTTTAATATTTCTGTCATCGAAAGTGAAACAGTAAGAAATGGTAAAACCAATCTTCCTCTTCCTCCAATGGGTGCCCGTGCCTGTGAAAGATTCGGCTGCTCCCATCCGATGGTTTTCAAAGTGCGAGGTCGAACAAGCGGATAGTCATCGATGAGGCAGTACGAACATAAAAGCGATGGTTTCCATTAATATGAAACATTGTCCAAGGATGAAACATGCTACCTTTGTGTTTCAATGTTATTTCATCTCATCCCGTTCTTACCGATCAATCAAAGTGAAGAAAAATGGCACGGCGATCGCTTTGTGTCGTGTTACAGTTTATTGGAGAGCTGGCATTTTGCGCTGTGATATGTGGTTGCGGATAAATTTTTCTCTCTCTAGAGAATTTTGGCAATCCGGTGCTAAATTAACGAGAATATACTTTTTGTTAGGCGTTTTAATGAAAAGACAAGTTATTAGGTGCGTCGTGAAAAAGATGGTCAACTTTAAGAAAATCTATCATTAACAATACGTAGGAGCGAAGTAAAAGCATGAAGTGACAAATCATCGCTAGCTGCCTCATGAGAACCCTCTTGAATTATTTACAGATGCTTATCAAAGACATGGTGATCAGCAAGCTGGATGTGACCCCAACACTATCAACCGTGAGTTTCCTTCTTCTTCCTTTTTGGGCCTGCAAGCGGACTTGAATATGGGCGCTTTTGTGGTGCCATTGACTGACTGTATTGCTTTGCCTGGCCCAACGAAGTTTAGTATTGACAAAGAATGAATGTTTTCAAATAATTGATAAACTATCATACCTTGGAGTCAATTTTCATTCTTTGAACATAGTACAACATTGCTTCGTCTGATGATTCCCGAATTACTTGGTGCATTGGAGGCGAAGTGTCATGACATGGTATATAGGTTGCTGGTCGAGCGTCAACCTGTCGTGATTCATGTTTTATTTGTGTAAATGCTGTTGATTTAGAAGGCAAATCAGCTAGAACAAATTCTATAGAGATGCTCGGCATAGTGGTGGAGGTCATTCACTGGTTCGTTAAAGAAAACAATCGAAGTAAAATAAATAGTATATATTTAAATGCTCAGCGGTGCCAAAAAAAAAAAAACCACCATTCCCAACGAACGTCATGGTCCCCCCGTAGCCATGACGGATTTGGTGCTTTGTTGAGGGGTCTCGTTGCTCCTTCGCTTTCTTTTCCACTTTTCACATATCTATGATACAAACTATCACTTGGCCACACAAAGCATCGCAGGTCCAGGTTGCCGGCACCTGGAACAACTGGCAACAGCAAGACATGAAATACGACGTGACCTCTGATCAATATATCTTCCATATTGATATCGCACCAGGAGATACTTATCAGTATAAATTTATCGTCGACGGTAAATGGTGCTTAGACAAAGACGTACGTTTTGTAACGGCAGATGATGGGCATCAAAACCACGAGATAGTAGGGGAAGGTGACATGGTCGAAGAGAAGATAGATTTACCGGCATTTGATCTTGCTACTGCCAGACCCCCATTGAGGACGCCTCAAATTGTTATGGAAGCTGCTACCCCTTCGCATATTGAAGAGGACCATTTTACAGAGTGGATTATGCCAGATGATAATGAACCCACTGATAATCAAGAATGGAACACAAAATCAAATGAGAAAGTAGAATCTGATATGGAGGAAGAGGAGGTGGAACGCTGGAACGGTACAGCTCAGGAAGACCCGCATGAGAAAATCGATGACATTATTCCACCAGCTATTGAGTCCCCGGCTTCAGGTGTCAAAACGTTCAAGACTCCGTTGAACTGGTCTCTAGCTGGCGGCGCTCTGGTAGCTGTGGTAGCTATTGTAGCCTATATTGGTCGGCAAAGAAGTATTGAATTGTCAATGGTATAACTTACACAGAGCTTTTTTGTCGCCGTCATTATCTGTTCTCTCGCATGCCGTAATTAAAGTTTTTTATTTTGAACCAATCGCTGAATGAGATGTTTGCGCTGCTCGCCTGAGTTTGAAACTCGCGTTGGGGGAGTGAGCCAAGTATTAGAACGTCTCGCTCTCCTCTTCAACTGCCTCATCTGTTTCTTTTAATCAAATATGGTGCAGAACAAAGCTGTCGTTAAAAACGTCCTATCTGGAGATACTGTTATCCTGAAAGGCAGAGCACGTGCCAATGGTCCTCCCGCCGAGCGCCTTCTAGCCCTCTCAAACGTTCAAGCTCCTAGACTAGGCAACAAGGACAAGGACGACGAGGTTTGTACTTTTTGAACTTGCAGCTTGCTCATCTGGCAATGTTCGGTCTCGATTGTGGAGGATCCAGATCGTGCATCGCATGCATCGCGTCAGATCTACCATCGCTGACTCCGATCGTCTTGTTTTCAATAGCCCTTTGCGTTTGCTTCTAGAGACTTCTTGAGAAAGACATTGGTTGGCAAGGAGATCAGCTTTGTGTCTGAGTATACTGTTGGCTCCTCAAATCCACCCAGAGAATATGGTTCTATTTCCCTGCAAAACGGTGACGATGTAGCTCAATTGATCGTTAAGGAAGGCTGGGCGAAGGCTCGTGAAGGCGGCAAGCGCGGCGAATCCGAAACGAATGACAGCTTGGAGACTCTCAAAAACCTTGAAGAAGAAGCTAGAAGCGGATCCAAGGGAATGTGGGGAGACAAGCAAAAGGTAACTTGGTTTAACACATGTGGATCATCGGATCTCTTTTGCTAAACATGCATATGTAGGGTCAACGCTCTGTCAAGCATGGCATGACCGAAGATACCAAGACATTTCTCAACAAGTACAAGGGAAAGCAAATTGATGGTGAGTTTTATGTATATGCGCAGGAACGAATGGTCTCATACCGTAACTGATTCTCCATGTGCATTCATTAGCTATCATCGAACAAGTCCGTGACGCTTCTACTTTCCGAGTCTTGCTTATGCTCACACCTCAAGAGCATCAAATGATTACACTCCAACTTTCTGGAGTTAAAGCTCCTGTTGTCCGAAAGGATATACCAGATCAACCTGACGTTGTAGAGCCTTTTGGTGAAGAGGCCAAATACTTTGCTGAATCTCGCTTATTACAGCGTGGTGTCAAGGTCATTTTGGAAGGCGCTGCACAAACGGGCAGCACATTTGTTGGATCCATTCTCCATCCAGCTGGAAATATTGCTGAAGCACTTTTATCTCAAGGTCTTGCAAAGTGTGTTGACTGGAGCATCACATTAGTCACAGGAGGACCCGTGAAGCTGAGAAATGCAGAGCGGTAAGATATTCGACTCAGCTATAATACCTGATCATGCCCTGGTGCTGACTATGCCTTTAACAGTACCGCAAAGGAGCACAAGCTTCGCCTGTGGAAGGATTTTGTCGCAAAGGAAAAGACCTCCGAGTCCGATTTCGATGCTCAAGTTGTTAAGATTGTTACTGGCGATACCATCATTGTCCGCAGCAAATCAGGAGGCGAGAAGAAGGTTCAATTTTCAAGCTTGAAGCAGGCACCACGGTATGTTTTGATCAGCGGAACTGGCTAACTGGATGTTTGAGATTGGTTTAATGAACGATACTTCTCTCAGTGGTGCTGGTAGCACTTTGCCCTCTGCAGGCTCGAAATCCAAGGATATCAAGGAAGTTGGCTATCAGTTTGAAGCCCGTGAATATCTCCGAAAGAGACTGGTTGGAAAGCAAGTTCATGTAACCATTGATTACGTTAAACCTGCCCAGGATGGATTTGAAGAGAAGGAATGTGCCACTGTCAAAATCGGTGATAGGTAAGGCTCTTGGTGGAGGTCGTTTTTTTAGTGTAGCTTTACGCCTTACTAAACACATATTTCTCTTCATAGCAACATTGCCCTTCAACTCGTTGAACGAGGTCTTGCTTCCGTGATTAGACATCGTAAAGACGACGAAAATAGATCCCCTGCCTATGACCAACTCGTCATTGCAGAAACCAAGTATGTATACAACTGCTATTGACCATATTGCATGTCTGCCATGTTGCTAATCAATAGCGTGTGTAATAAGAGCCCAGGAAGCACAGAAGGGAATTCACAGCACTAAGGAGCAACCAATCGTTCGAATTACTGATGCTTCGGAGGTAAATTTTTACTCAGGTAATATGTGAAAATGCATTAGAGAGTCAGTTGTTTAACGTCTTGCTTCTTAGAATGCTACCAAGGCCCGCCAATTTTTGACCTTTTTGAAACGTAGTGGACGTGTCAACGGTGTTGTTGATCATGTTGCTAATGCATCAAGACTTTATATCTGGGTTCCAAAGGAAAATTGTCGCTTGACATTTGTCCTCGCTGGTGTCCGTGCTCCCCGTGTTGCTCGCTCGCCAGGTGAAAAGTCTGAACCTTTTGCTGAGGAGGGCGCCAACTTCGTGTCAAACAAAGTTCTTCAGCGCGATGTAAGTACAGTCATCTCAGAATGGCTACTAGGACGGTCTATGCTTGTTGCTAAAACGAGTTTATATAGGTTGACATTGAGGTTGAAAATGTCGATAAGACTGGTGGCTTCGTCGGTAGCTTGTTCGTAAATGGCGAAAATCTTTCTGTTTCTTTGCTGCAAGCTGGATATGCATACATTCATGAATACTCTGCAAACGAATCCAACTACGCTAACCAGCTCTTCTCTGGTGAACGCATTGCCAAGGCTGGCAAGAAGGGCGTGTGGGCGTCCTATGATGAGGACGCCGAAAAGGAGGCTGCACAGGAACAAGAGCAAACCGCATCCGCCACTCCTAACCGTGAATACATTGACGTCATTGTATCAGAAGTTATTGACGGAAACCGATTGTATGTTCAAATTCTTAACGACCAGGCTAGAAAGTTGGAAACTCTTATGTCAGAGTTTGCGGATCATCATAAGCGAAATGACGAACCCTCCGTTGCTAAACCCCGCAACGGCGAAGTTGTTAGTGCCAAGTTCACAGAAGACGACAGTTGGTACCGAGCGAAGGTGCGCAAATCTTCACCTGCTGGCGTTGAGGTAGTTTACGTCGATTATGGAAATGTAAGTGTACTTATGGATTTGAGTGCTTCATTTGTCTTGATAGACTCTGAATCTCACCCACTGTTTGTTTCAATTAGTCTGAAGTGATTCCCTTGTCACGAATCCGAGCCTTACCACAAAAGTTCAGCTCATTGCCTCACCAAGCTCAAGAAGCGACACTATCCTTCGTAAAGGCTCCTGCTAAGGACCAAGACTATGGTGTAGAGGCATTTGAGCGTTTACAACAACTTGCTAGTGTAAGTCATACATTTGAAGCTGGCTTTCTCTGCTGAATAAGCTGCGCTTTCTTTTTTTAACAAGAGTTCTACCAATGTCTTTAGGGAAAGCAACTTGTTGCAAATGTTGACTCACGCGATGCTGGAGTTTTGTCCTTGACTCTCTATGATCCCGCAATTTCCACTAGCGCAGATGCTAGCATCAACTACGATATTGTTCGCGATGGATATGGTCATGTCATTTCAAAGACAAGATATAGCGGCGGTAATCAAGAGATTATCAAGAAGTTGCAAGAAGGCTTGGCAGATGCCAAGAGAGAGAGATTAGGCATGTTTGAATTCGGTGATAACACCCCTACCGATGATTAGTGCTGCTTGACGTTCTATCCCCAAAAATAACTCGAGAGATACGAGATTAAGATATCAAAAAATCAGTTGTTCACATAAAAGTTTATGCTTTCAAAAATAATAAGTTGACAATGGAACACTTCACATAATGAAATAATGCTAATATGAAAGATGGATTGATAACGGAGATGTGAAGCAAGCCGTAGACATAGTTTTTGCTTTTAGAAATGGTGAATTAGCATCGTTATCTTCCAAATGAAACGATAGTCCCACTAAGCCGACGTTTGTGGTGCATGATGTTCATTGGCTTCTTGACCTCCTTGGCCAACCGATGTTTCCGTCTCTGAAATCTTTGCTTCCTCGAGCTGCTTACTTAGCATATTTTCCAATGGCGTTCCCCCTGATACACTGCTGGGCTCTTGGTTCGCAATATCATCAAAGTGCGTGTTTGTTGCTTCTGGGAAAAGAGCGGAAGTGCTAAGAGCCTCTTTAGTCTCAACAGGCGCGGCCATGACGGAAGACGTTGATGGACCTGATGTCGACTGAATCTCAGTTGGAGCAACTAAGCCAACATTACCAAATTGTTCAGGTGCGCCAGAGGGATCCTCTGATGGCTGGTAATCTGGGGTGCTGAATATGGTGTTGCTGTACATTTGAGAGCTACTGCTTTCGTGTTCTGCGGGATTATTCTCGTAGCTGGGTGCAACTTGTGGTTGCCGGCGAGGTATTCTATGAAGCAAGCCATAGCCAACATCACAACCAAGCGAGCCCTGACCGCCCCATTCGTGATTGGGAATGATAATGACTTCTCGACAGCTATCCCATTCTGTGTTATAGAGATAAAGTCGAAGTGGCTTTCCTAAAGTATCTTCGACGAGAGAATAGAAGTCATCCTCTGATCGCAATGTCATATGTGGACTACCGATGATATAGTCGGTGTGAGGGATTACACCTGCCATTTCTGCAGGGGAATTTTCGGCAACGTCAAGCACATGCCAAACATGTTCTCCAGCATTTTCATATGAGCAAAATCGAATAGAGCAGCCTAGATGGTGCAGATCAATTAGTATGTAGCTTGGAACTTTGTATAAAACCGATATTTCATTGGCTATTACCGATCAAGCTAGTTTCTTCTGGCTTATCCGGAGTGTGCCAGGATTTGCTAGGAACGATAGTAACCTCTGCAATAAACAAATCATAGAGTTAATAACTGGCACTGGTATATTCCAGACTATAGCTGATCTATACCTCGAACTGATTGCTCTTTGCTAGAGTAAACCTCCAAGACTACCGATTTATCGACGTTTTGAGCAAACTGTTCCTGCAGTAACTCGCTATTGCCGTCATCCTGGAGCAGAACAAAGGCTTCAGTTACAGAAAAAAGTATGTAGCCATGCTTTCGAACCAATACGTACAAGTCTGTGGCCGTTTATACTGATGATATAGTCGAAAAACTGCTCTATTCCTGCATGGTAAGCTGGCGAATTCTCCTTGACCTGTGCATGCGGGACTAGGGTGAGCGCGAGTTTAGGTCATGATCGTTAATGAGCATTGAATATCAGCCCTACCTTGAGAACGTGGAATCCATGACGACCGTCTTCACCGCTTTGAACGCCACCCATGGTATAGTACGATAGACCGAAATGTCGTCCAAGATGCGGGCGGCCATTAAGGCACGTAGCAGAAAAGGCAGTCAAGTCACGTGATTCTTCACAGTGAAGGGCTAAATTTCACCAGCTTGGTTTCCGTGGATCTTTGGACAAGTACAATCAATGCCTCGACATTCAAAGAATAACACAGCTTCCAGTGTTTTCACTTACCATGAGGTTAACTCGCTGAATTATGGTACAAAGAAGGTATATAATATGATGTACGAATTTGAAAGTTTGTACACCGTTCTCACTGACTCGACCCAATGGTTAGCAACGTCTTGGACGTGATTCATTCAGAGCGTTCAATGCTTGCTTTCTTTGTCTGCAAGTAGCGCGAGATCCGGTGGCATGTCAAAGTGGACATCTGGCTTGTAAAGAATGCTTGTACGAAAGTATTTTGACGCAAAAGCAGGAGATACAAAGGCAGCAAAGGTTGGCAGCACAAAGGCAAAAGGAGAACGACGAGCAGAAGGTCTTGGAGGATGAGGAAGCCCAGCTTGCCATACTTGCGAACTTTGAGAGGACGCAAACAAGTGTACTCCCTGATGACCGGCGGCATTCGATAGCACAATCCGCTGAATCCACCAATAAATCCTCTCCTACGGGTTCAAGAGAAACTTCGAAGGATCCAAATACCCCTTCAGGAAGCTCACCAGCAATAGGCAAGTTTGATTCAATAAGAGAGCCTTCTAGAGAGTATTGCGTAATAACTGGAGTTGATGATCTGTCTTTGTAGAATCGTCACCACAGCTTCATGCAGGCACTAAACGAAAGTTCGAACTAAATAAGGAAGAGCGACAGCGTGCCATTGACAAAGAAAAGGAGGAAGCATTGCGAAAGATTAACGAAGCACGGTCCGAAGAGGCAAAACCCAAGCTACCGAGTTTCTGGCTGGTAAGTATAAAACCATCCGAATTTGTAATGCTTTACAACATTTTACTGAAGTCTCGTCGTAGCCTTCGCTTACTCCAAACGCTGGAAAGAGTGATGAGAAGGATCGGCAGGAAAAGGAACAGGCAGTATGCGTAGCTGGCGCACCACACCCAGTAACCATTAAATCATTAATTCCAGTTAAGTTTACAAATGAGGATGAGAAGTCCAATCACCCAATATGTCCTGCTTGTATGAAGGGCTTAAATAATGGCATGAAGATATCCGGTATGTTTTAAATTTTGTGTATAGCCATCCATGCCTTGTATCTAAACATTAACAAAATTAATTTCGTTAGTCTTCCGAAAGTGTGGGCATGTTATTTGTAACAAATGCATAGATTCTTTTGTCAAAAAGAGCCAAGTCTGCTATGTCTGTGAAAAGAAGTTCAAGGACAAGGACATTATAGATATCAGCGCAGAAGGCACTGGCTTCGCTAGCAATAGTAATCAGTTAGAAGCAAAGAGATTTGGTCTTTCCTTTCAATAACATGCTACTGAGATTGTCTTTGGATGAGTTTATCATGAATATTAGCTCGGTATTCGATCCGTTTTGGACGCAGGATGCAATAAAAAGAGCAACGAAAGACATGTTCCTACTGATCCATGCCCACTTGCCAAAGCTGGACCGCGGGGTCGTACGGTATAGCGGAGGTTCGACATCCTCGTAGTACCCGACTAGCACCACTGCCTCGCCAGACACAAGCGAAAGGCACCACTCTCGGTACTTTGATCGCATGTAATAGTATGAACGGGAGGTTGTTCTTAGTGAGTAACTAATTTACTTTAGAGACCAGGATAGCCAGCTCATTTTGTAAACGTGAAACTCGCTGTGATTCAAGCAGGCTCTGAGCAGAAACCACGTGATTTAATTAAGGATTGAGAGCTTTGATTTCGCGAAATTCGAAGAATTATCGGGTCTGCGACACTCAGGGGCAGCAGCCATCACCACCATGCCGTTAACGAATCCGAAGCGGCTGACCGGCTATGCAGATGCTCAGCAATATGCACGAGAGAATTCGTACAGTGATGCCTTTGATACGATAGATAACGACGTAGCCGAGTATGATGATGAAGAAGATGAAGAAGAAGAGGAGGAGGAAGTCGAGGAGGACGATGCATCTTCCTTGACTTCAGAGCTGAGCATTCCCGACTCCAACATCGACTTTTCGCTTGTCTACGCTCTGCATACATTTGTAGCTACCGTCGAAGGTCAAGCTTCGGTTGTAAAAGGAGATGCTTTGACTCTGCTAGATGACAGTAATTCATACTGGTGGCTCATCAAAGTGCTGAAGACTTCAGAGGTTGGCTATATCCCAGCAGAGAATATAGAGGTAATTAAAAAAAAATGTTCATATGATCTGGAACATCGCTGACATATACAATGCACTACAGACTCCATACGAACGTCTTGCACGCTTGAATTCTCACATAAACGTCGAGGTAAATGATCTATGTTAAAAAAACTATTTATGCAACTCAAACTTGCATATATTAATATTTAAAATCACCAAAGTTGACCTCGCAAGAGAAGAGTGAGGAAATGGCGGACAGCGCCAAACCTGCTCGCACTAATCCAAGCAACAAAAAAGTGACTTTGGCTAAGGAGGTCATGTTTCAAGCACAGCACATCCTTTCAAACAGCGATGATGAAGAAATTGAGGAAGAGTTTGAGGAGTGGGAAGAAGAGATGCGATCCGAAACAGATTCAGATTTCGATAGCGGCGATGACATTTACGAAATCGATGATCCAGAAAATCCGTATACAGGAACCTATCCTCGGCAAGGGCAATCTGATTTGGCCATCAAAAATCATGACCAACCTGCTTTTGTTGAACAGGCCCCTATGAAAGCCACTGTTAATAAGGTAACCACCCATGAGATGGAGAAGGTTGAGCCTGTTGCTGCACAGAAGGCACATACCTATCACAGTACCACCACTGAAGAGCCTGAAGTGCGATCCAAAGTGCCTGCAGAAACTGAACCACGTAAAAGTTCTCCGTATAAGCCTGGATTGGATCTGGATGAGGATGAAACCATCAAAATATCCCTTACACCATCCATTGCTCGAGACGATGAATTTGCTGATAGAAAATCAGACGACTCTGATTCAAGACTTCGAAAGGCAAGCAAGCTGGATAAGATTCTAAGCAAGGAAGACACATCTCGACGATCAGAAGACCTTAAGGACAGTGGTCGAGAGGAATCTAAAGAGAAGAAGGGTGGCTTCAAAAGATTCTTTTCTCGAGGTAAAGAAAGCAAAGATAAGAAGAAGAAAAGCTCTAGTTCTACCGGCGATAATCGACGATCCAGCGACACGGAAACTTCGTCCATCAATTCTCAGTCTACTGGATATTCGGATCACCGTAAAAATTCCGTTGACTCAGCAGCACAAGACTACCAACCAACCCCACTTCGCATTTATGCTGGCAATATCCAGTTCTCTTCACCTTACAAAACCGTTTATATCTATCCTTCAACCACAGCAGCAGAGCTTGTTGAGCGAGCAGTCGATACGTTTGATATCCAGGATACAAATGATTTAGTTGATGGCCATTTAGACTTTTATATCAGTATCAGAGGAGCTGACGGAGGTAATGTTTACAATTGGAGATGATGAAGTCACAGACCAAACCACTTAACACATTATGTGGGATCTATTTTCAGATGAGTATACACTCATTCCACAAGACAAGCCGTTGTCTATCTTCAACACCCTTACCGCTCATTTGAATACACCTATGCCATCCTTGAAGAAGGCTAGACGCATATCACAACTTATGTCCATGGGCGATCCCACCAACGGTGGCCAAGCACATGTAGGAGGACCCAAGAGCGGAAATAACCTGGACGGCCTTTCTGAAATTAAGCTGTACTTGAATCGCAAAATCAAGCGAGTCGACGAAAGGGATGGCAAGATACACATTAAGGTAGTATGTATCCCCAGCTCTGATCGACAAAGGCAAGAGAACAAAATTTTAGCCGTTGCACCACATGCTTTGACGGGAGATATCATCACTCATGCCCTGGAGAGATTTAATGTTAAAAACGGATACGCTTACGATTTTGCGGATGAAGATGAGCCCCAAAATGTACGATATAAGGATGTGCCGTACACCCTTTCTATCAGCGTATCAGGCCAAGGTATGATAAAAAAGAACGAACATTTTTCATTACGCACGACACGAGTTAACATGATACAATGATTCCTTTCTTCCTACAGTCACAGAGATCTCATCAAAGGATAAAATTCTATCAGCATTCAGAGGCTCCATTTCAGAATTGTATCCAAAGGCGCACAACAACAATCCAGAAAGAGCATCAACATCCTCCATTATCGCTGCGCCAGAGGCACATGAAACGTACTTCATCCTGAAGGCTCGTATTGACAATAACGGTACATCAAGAAAGCCAGAATCGGAGAGAAGCATGGAACAGCCGCCGCATCAACAGCCTAGACAACAACAAGGCAAGCAACATGGGCAGCATGGTAATCACGGTAATTTTTCATATGAGAGGCAATATAGCCGAGAAACATATTGGAGCTGACAGCAGTGAGTTTAGGACCACGACATCATCAATTAGTGCGTCAAAACACGCCAGCTATGTTGGATACTTCCCGAACTAAGCTAGACAACCCTTCGAAGCCCGAACACTCTACCGAAGATCAGCGAACCAAGTTGCTCGAAACGTTAGCCATTACCGAAGACATTTCGGATGACAGTGATAGTGATCGAGAGGATGAAGACTTCATGGAAAGCCCCATTTCCGTTGAACCTGAACATCAACCTGATCTATCCGCCAAGCAGAATTCGCAAGAAGCTGTTGCAAAGCGGTCTTCCACGCCAGAGAGTCAGAACGATGATGATATCATGTCACAATTGAACAAGGTCTTGGATGACTTTGGCCGATCTGAGTACAAATCCCCTCCTCTTACGTCCCCACTAGGCGATGGCCGATCCATATCTAGCTTAGAAACTAAATCGACGTACAGTCAAGACTCCTTTGCCGATAACGAGGCCAAATCGAATTCTCAACACAATGCCGGCCAAGAAAAACTAGCGAGATCAGCTTCCACTATGAGAAAAGCACATCAGTCCATGATGTTCTCAGACAACTTTGGATTGGAAGCATTAATGACGCTGGTGCGCGGCGATGCGGAATACCTTGAATCACTGGAACGTAGTAAACATGGCCAGAGTAAGCATGATCGTGAGCTGACATCAAGCAAGTATATGGAAGAAGTCAGGATCCAGGTGTCAAAGGAACTCTTTGGTGACCAACTGTCGCAGCTGGATGCAATAGAAAAGGTAATTGTTTGAAGGGCCTGCATGCTGCGCCAAGGTATAATTCTAACTATCGATATGTAGATCCTGGATCAAGTAATGGGAGATGCTATTCGTCTCTTTCCATGAATACCCCTTCCACGCAAACCCCTTCCGTTCCTTTCTAGCATTTGAGATATCAAAAAATTTGTATGAATAATGTGTCACCACCAAGCAATCGTAGTATTGAACACCTATCCTCTGCCTAGTAATAAAAAAGTTATTTTGCGGTGAACAATGCTCCCATATGGAATACGACAGTATCATGGGGACTCGTATTTTGTTTATCAAGTCCGAAACGCCATAACAGAAAGGTCGGCAGGCATTCAAGCTCCAACTGATGCATACTTGGACAGACCTGAGACGCTACAAATGGAAATTTCAAGCAGGCAGCATTGCAATCTGACGCTGTGGGGCAAAATCGATGATGGGGGGTGGGTGTTACTCACCAAACATCATCTGCCAACGGAGGAACGGGTAGCAAGCATGAAATCATCGCCACGGAACCCGGAGAACTGAACCATTTTCGTTCATATATTTGGCTTCGGCCGGATGATCAGAGATAACACAATCGAAAAACGAACTAACGTCCCAACGGAAGCCCATCCCGTTCGACCTGACGGATAAATAACCTGTAGAATGACCACATCATGACTTTTTCTTTAGCTACCAGAATGCCATGCTGACCGGTAAATATAGCTTGATGGGGAAGCCAACCATGTTATTGAGTTGAGAGAATGTTTCTGTATGGTATTTCCATCAAGTCGGTGCACCTATTCTATTTGTATCAGCTTCGGGTTCGGTTCGATATAGACAACATTCACAGTCTCGGGAGGATGGCCGAAACTGGGAAACAAACTAGGGTTAGCCACCGGACTGCTCTCACGAAACACTGCCGATCCGATAGCATGATGTATAAGCCCAGTTTGAATTGAAATGCGGTGGCAACACAGAAAATGAAATGACCGTTATGACCAGCCAAGCGACATGGTATGCTGCACCTCATAATTGATCTCAACAACGAAATTCAAAGTTTGAATGCAATCGATATATTATTTGTACAACCAGTATGCAGAGATGAACGAAAATAAAATTCTATGGGAGAAGTGAAGCGAAATAAACAGGAAAATGCAACAAACAACTACACTGGTAAGCTCGAGGAGAAAGAGTTCCTTTTTGGTTTAGAATGAATGGAAATAGGGAGTGGCGTAGTCTACTGATGTCTTCTACAGTTATTCAAGTGTTTTTGGACAACTTGATCGGCTGAATCAACCGATACGTATCGGATGCGACGGTGGCTAGGAATTGGGCTAGTTGGAGGCGATGGCAATTGCGTTTGGTGGCTATAAGCTCTTCGGTGATTGCGTGCCATGGGTGATCGTCTAGCCGACCACCTCTGCATATGAGGTGATGATAGAGGGGAAGATGAAGTCATCATGCGGGCAAGCAGACGTCCTTGTTCTCTTGCGGCATTTTTCACTACTTCATCTCGGTAAAAGTTGCTCATGCGTTGATCGAGATCAATTGCGTTCAATAGGTCACTCATGGATGGACGGTTCATAGTGCGACCTTCAGGCATGGAGATGGATCTCTGATGTCTTTTGGCTGGTGGGTGGGCTTCCTTGCAAATTCTCTTAGTGGGACGAGGAATATCATTCATTAAATCTAATGATTTGATGGAAGGAAGTCTTTGCGACTATAGACAGAATATAAGGTTAATTTTCATCCACTTGTATACGTGAACAAATCAAGTATAGAACATCCAGCGTACCTTGTTCGTGGCAGTGGGCATGGGGATGATGGGAGGAGGGATAGAGAAGGAACAGGTGGCGCATGGGCAGGAATGTTCAGAGTGAGATGGAATAGGCAGCTTTGCAAAGGGTCTAGGAAGGACTTGGTGGATTGTATTCATTGTTATGGATGGAGAGATTTGTTTTTTTTGGTTAGGCACAGTAGAAAAAGAAAATTGGGAAATCATGGCCAGCTTTATATACGTTTGACCTTGCTTTTTCAAGGAGAAGCGGGTCATACTGGCTTCCGGGCGACAGGAATATGTGTGCCACGTTTGGAATCGCGTGCCAGCAACCTTTAACGTTTCATGACCTCCTGGAGCAATATTTGCTATTCTACCCTGGACCTCATTGTTTGCAACCCACCTTAAACGGAAATTACGAAGACGACCGTGTGTGGCTCAAAATAAGAATAATTCTTTGCAGGTCTATTCTGGGACTACATCCTTTCATAATCACGTCAAATCTCTCGGCTACTTCGGAGTGACCACATCCGATAGGAACCCGCCAAATCGCTTTTTGTGATATTAACAGGTTCATCCAACACAATGAGATACGCACAGCTACATTCCAATGCCCCTATGAAAAGGGTAATGGATAGGGGATTTCCCTCTTGCAATCAATAAAAAAGGAGTGAAAGACGGTGGAGGCTGCCCTGTGTCAGAACAGAAAGGGATTTCAAAGGTGTGACTCCTGTTGGAATCTTGGGGGAAAGGAATGAAAGAAGCGTGCATCCATCCCATCCGAAGGTGACGCATCCAGGTGGTAAAATTGAAATTACTCATGCAAAGACAATTGAGCCTTAGGATCCCATTGCTCACTCAGTTTTTCACCCAGTTCCCTTTGGCCGCTATTTTTCCCTCAGCCCTTTTGAATTGTTGGCTGACCCATCGAAATCAACCAGCGAATTTCTAAACAACAAAGTTCCACCGATTGGACTGTTTAGGTTAGCAACCAAGATCCACTTTTTGCAAATCGTAGCCCCGATCTCTATCAAAATCCCTGTAACAATAACTAAGGTTGACTCTTTGGTGTTTATATAGCAATATGACGATGCAACGCTTGGTTGAAACGGCCCAAGGAACATCTGCCGGGATGACAGAATCCATGACTGAAAATAGCGGATTAGTCAACGCCAGAGCGCTTCGAAATGGCAAATCTAAAAAGAAGAAGAAGAAATCTGTCAATAAATCCAATCTCGGCTCACCACACCATGATGCGTCCGCCGCTGTAAACGATGACGACGACGACCATCCCATAGAATCTATTCATAGTCAAGACTTATCTTCTCGGCAACAGTTTGACGACATGCCCAACGCAACATCGAACAAAAGGAAAAAGAAGAAGAAGAAGTCCAAATCATCTGCAATGGAATCTATTGACAATCAGGTCACTCATTCCCAGCCTTCCGCCTTGCATTCACATAATCTTACGTTGCCGTACAAATCTGATAACGATTCTCGCACGAAGTTCTCCGGGGATAATATATGGTCCAGTAACAATAATAGCGAAGAGCGTCAGAGAATACGAGAGTTCTGGTTACAATTAGGCGAAGACGAGCGTCGATCGCTGGTCAAGGTCGAAAAAGAAGCTGTGCTAAAAAAAATGAAAGAACAACAGAAACATAGTTGTAATTGTTCAGTGTGTGGCAAAAAGAGGTAGGTTCACTTTTTGATGACTTCCCTCAAGGGAACAATCCATTGATCTCGATTCTTTTACTCTTCCAATGTTGTAGAACCGCCATAGAAGAAGAATTGGAGATTCTCTATGATGCTTACTATGAAGAGTTGGAACAGTACGCAAATCATCAGCAAAGTAATCATGGTTACGGTATCGCGCGTTCTCTCCAAGATGGATATGCTAGCATGCGAACAGATGCCGCTTTAGTGGATGCCTACGCAAACCAAATTCTTGCATCAAAGAATCCATTAGATCACCAGGACGACTATGATGACGAAGACGATGAAGATGAAGACGAAGACGACGAAGACGATGACGACGAAGATGATGACGACGACGAATACGATGGCGACTATGATGATGAAGACCTTAGTAGCCGGTAAGTTACGGCAAGGCTCCACAAACTTTTTTAGAAACTGTTTGTGGTTCGTGTGACTCACATTCCTATGGCAATTATGGACAGACATGGTGAGCACATGATGGGCAATGGTGACCACTTCAACTTTGGCAATAGCCTCACCGTCAAAGGAGGCATCCTCACCGTCGCCGATGATCTGTTGAAAAACGATGGCAAAAAGTTTCTTGATATGATGGAGCGACTTGCTGAGCGACGAATGCAGCGAGAAGAAGAAGCTGGCTTGGATCAGGATGAATACTACGACGATGATGATGAAGACGACGATGCATATGAAGATGAAGTGGATGAAGTGAGTGACGACGACGCAAATGGACTCACCTTTAGACGCATGATGGGTGCTTTTTACTTACATCAACTCCATTATAGGATACCATGACAGAAGAACAGCGAATGGAAGAAGGACGGCGGATGTTCCAAATATTTGCCGCACGGATGTTTGAACAGCGCGTTCTTACAGCGTATCGTGAAAAGATTGCACAAGAGCGACAACAGCGCCTTTTGGAAGAGCTGGAAGAAGAAGATCGACAAAAGGAAGAACGAGAGCAAAAAAAGTTGAGAGAAAAGGAGAAAAAGAAGGACAAAAAACGGTAATGTTAAATATAAAGAATTTATGCCTGTTTCAGAAACATTTCACTTATTATTCACATTTACAGTCAACTCAAGAAACAAAAAGAAGAAGAGCGTATGGCGAAAGAGGCCCAACGGCTTGCTGAAGAAGAGAAAGCTCGAATCGAAAAGGAGCGAAAGCTCGAAGAGGAGCGTCACAAACGAGAGCAGGAGCGATTAAAGAAAGAGGAAGAACGGCGACAAAGAGAAGAAGAACGTTTGCGAAAAGAAGAAGAAAAACGTCGACGAATGAAAGAAGAAAAGGATCGATTAATGGAAAAAGAACGAAAACGAAAAGAGAAGGAGGAAAAAGAACGAAAAGAGAGAGAGGAGAAGGAACGCAAGGAGGCGGAGGTGCTTATGCGAAAGGAAGTTGAACAGAAGGAACGGTTGAAGGACCTGATGAAGGAACGTCAAGAGCAGAATCGAAAGGACTCCTCAACGATACCGTCCTCAATACCACCATCCCTGTCTAACTTTATTCCTACTGCATCCCAATCCACGCCTAGCAACCACTCGTCCATGCCCTATGTGATTAAGAGTGGATCGACTCTCAGATCGCCAAAAGCTTTATATTCTGATGTGGATGAAAGCTCACCCTCCCTCGATACCACCCTCTCTTTAACGCCGCTGGCGATATCCAATGCACCACAGCCCTTATCTTTCCATCATCCCCTTCCCAGCTCTCCACTCTCACCAGTGCGCAGCCCCTCTTTCCGAAATCATCTTCCAACCTCTAGTTTACCAGGTAATGTACATGACGGTAGGGTTGTCGTGGAATACTTGCGCTGACTAGTGTCCCCTCCCTTAGTGAACACAGTGTTTCAAGACCAAGAGATGGAGAAGTCATCGACTGGTGTTAATTCGCTTGCCAATCACAGTATGGGAGTGTTGCCAGTAGGATACCCTAAACGAATGTCTTCACAGTTAGAGACGGCTCCTGTCAAGCCTATAACTCGATCCAGCATCGCTCCTATTGGCAAACCACCTGGCTATAGAAGGAAATCTGCTTCAATGGGAGTCGTAGGCGGACCGACCATTGGCGCTGAGCGACGAGCACAACCACCTTTTGAAACCATGGTCGAACCACCCTTTACGGAGGCTTTGCAGGTTGATTCTTCAACGCAGGACGCTGTAAATGAATCACATTCGTCACCGTCGTTCTTCTCTTTATTTGGTGACTCTAAAGGTGAATACGACGAGAATGAATGGAAGATCATATTATGCCCTTACTAATGCGTATTTACTGTCTTTTTCTTTTCTGTCAGGTTCGGATGCGGCATCATCACTCTTGAATGGAGTGGCAGACTCACCGCGACAGAGATCAGTGCCTCAGCGACCGTGGCTAATGCATTCACCGCAGCGATCGCAGTCCATTTCTGGTGAAGGTGGCAACAGTGCGTGGCCAAACATTTCAGGTAAAGTTTTGGACCAGAGTAAAATGGTATTTGTTGAATGAAACGGGCATCATTCCCTAACGTACCTAATCTTTTAGGATGGGGTACGCCGTCCAACTTGATAGATGAGACTGTGCAAAGCAAGCTCTTTGGTGATGTAATGGTAAGGGTTTGACACATTGTCTTTTTTGAAAAATGAACAAAAATTTAACCTGGTTATTCCTTTCATTAGCCTGATCGCCTACAGCTAATAGTCGAGCGAGCCAAAGCAGCGTACTTGAAATTGGAAGAATTATATACACCCACTGGACATTTCCCGTTAAACCACTGGCCTGTGGGTATGACGTTTCATCCCTTGTTTCAATTACATCGAATGTACAGCGATCTGTTTCCGGACATAGTGGTTGACCAGCAAGAACTTCTGGAAGCATGTTTAATGACCAATAGCGGGTTTAACTGCATTAATCATCCACACCAGGGTTATCTGTTGCGGTATGAGATGGGAGACTATAATCGGAGAGCAAGCTTGGGCGTCAATGGATTCTTGCCATCAGGGCCACTTTCACCTTCCATCAGTGGCAGCACCGACATCAACTTTCATCAGTTCGCCAGTCATGCTTCTCCCACCGGTGCTCAGCATCATCCACCAATACCACAACCATCCCATTTCCTACCGTCCCAACAACCACCACAACCACAGCAACAATTAGGTCAAGGGAATGCTGCACTGTTCGGTGGTCTTTCGTTATAATTCGGGGGTTTCTAAATAGTAACCGTTAAAAAAAAAATTCATACCACACTGTGATCCAAAAACTTGTGCCAATTTTCTTTTATTCTCGCTCGTTCAAACTTGTTCTTCCCCCTCGTTTACCTTTACTGCCTATATAACTTGTATTCCATGCATTGTTCTTTTTTTCCGTTGATATTATTCTTTGCTTATAACAATTTAGTGGTTGCCCTAAAGACGGTGTTGTTTTAAATTCCCTTTCTTGGGGCCAGTAAGGGGAGGGGAGATGTTTTTATTCACAAGAATGAGAAAAAAGGTACAAGAAACAGCATTGTAAGTTAGGAAAAGGGGGGGGGGGGAAATTAGAGAATGGGAGGCTTCTCTAGTTTGTCTCAATGACTATGAACACACAGAAGAAAAAAGGTAGTAGTGCCAAAAACCCATGCAGAGAGAAACAATGGTAACATACATAGACACACAAAGTAGGAAAAAAGGGAACAGTACGCTGCGTACTCTCTCAAAGCAAACCCTGGTTCGACTTACTGATTCCAGTATTGAGAACGAGGTTGATAAGGTTGTTGCTGCTGCTGTTGCTGCTGCTGTGGTTGTGGTTGCTGTTGAGTTCCACTGTGTTGCTGACCCTGTGTGTATTGACCATAGGATGAGAAAGCTTGTTGCTGGTAGTAACCTTGTTGAGGATACTGTTGTTGCTGTGGTGTCTGTTGCTGTTGACCTTGAGCTTGTCCTCTCAAGTCAGCCTTGGAGGTCTGGCTAGTTTGACCGGCTTGACCGGCTTGTCTTGGTGTGGCTTGCGTTTGACCCTGTGCACCAAGGAAATCTTGGAGCTGTGGGTTACCATAGACTTGCTTTTGATAGTCAAAAATGCCATTACCGCCAAGGCCAGGAGCTTGTTGCTGAGCACCAGCGCTCATATCATCATAAGGAGAGTTGGCTCCAGGGAGACCGTAGAGGTGCTGTTGGGATGCATAAGGTGAACCGCCAGCAGCATAAGGTGAGCTAGGAGCATTGGGCTTGCCAGAGTACATAGGGTACATATTCTTGTTGACAAATGGTTGACCGAATCCAGAGCCATAATGAGCATTGAATTGGTTAGGCATATAGTAGTAAGGATAGTAAGGCATGTTAGGATAACCTGGTTGTTGATGTTGTTGAGTTTGCTGGGAGTGCAAAGTGTCGGTTTGGGTTTGACCGGCGGCAGAGGTGGCATTAGCACTTTGGGGTCCGTCTTGGGCAAGTTTGTCGCGACCTTGGTAGGCATTTGCAGCAGTGACAGAGGGAGAATGGCCATAGGCTGATGGGTCATACATGCCCATAGCAGCAGCGCGTTGAGCATCATTGCCATACACACCATAATCGGGGATAGAACCCATAGGGTTCATTCCAAAACCAGAGAAACCGCCAGGAAGTTGGTTGTGCAGATACGAACCATAAGGAGAGTTGAGGTGATCCATGCCGAAATGTTGTTGTTGTTGTTGTTGTTGTTGTTGATGTTGCATATGTTGTTGAGCAGGGGCTTGTTCCTGCTTCAATGCTTGTGAGGTTTCTTGAGACAAAGATGGTTGGACGCCAGTCAAGTTGGATGCAGTGGTGTTGGCAAACTTGTTGACATAAGCTGATTCAGTACCAAGAGGCTCCTTGATGGCGTGTCTATGATGGGAAAATACATTAGATAAATTAGAATCCCCAGAATGCTGTCTCCAAAAACTTACCTTTCCTCTTCTTGTTGAAGGGCTGAGGGAGCGGGCTCCTCAGTTTCATTAACATCTTCATCGTTCAAGTTCAAGCTACCGAACTTCACACCCATTGTACCAAGACTAGCACCACCACCGGGCATAACAACGGGAGCGTCTTGCTTCAAACGACGACCAATTGGGGTCTTGGATTTAACACCTGTGAGTTCTGTAGGCTTGGTGGCATCCGAAGCAGATACAGGTTCGGGAACGGCTGATTCGACGGTAGTAGGCTCTGGGACGGTGGGAACCATGGTAGATTCTTCTGTGGCGAGGTCATGGGATTGAGCTGGAAGGTCCCACTCTGAAGCGGCAGGCTTCTCAGAAGTTGCCGGTTTATCCCAGTCAGAAGTGGTTGGCTTGTCCCACTCAGATGTCTGTACAGGTGCTGCCTCAGGCTGCTTAGCTTCTTGCTTTGTTGGTTCTGGCTTAGGCTGTGATCTAATGTGGGTATTAGGTTGGTTAGAGGGTTAAGGGTGTTTTTTTTTTTTAAAAAAAAAGAATCACCAAAAACTAACTTTAATAAGCTTGCCCAGCTGCTTGGTTTGGAGGCGGTAGTAGTCGTGGTTGACTCGCTGTTTGATGGTGCGATTGTGGATGGTTGTTGAGGTGCAGTGGTAGTAGGTGCGGGGGAATCAGACCAAGATATGTCGTTTGAAGGCGTTGCCACAGGTGCGTCCCAGCCGGAACTAGCAGCTTGGGATTCTGGCTTTTGTGAAGAGGCTATGGATGCCCATGAGCCTGATGCGTCTGTGGATGATGATTCAAATTTACGGCTTGGAACAGTTGATCTATTTGAAGTGGCTGCTAAATGGGCAATGGCGTTAACATGTACCCATACCAAAAAGATTAAAAAAAAAGAAACCGTCAACTTACGAGCTCCTCGATTGCCTATATTTGATGGCCGTCCACGCGTAGAAGCATCTATTCAATTTAAAGCGCTAAGTCAGTCATAGGTAAGTAAATAAATATTGGCGTCAGTTAGGATATTTTACCTCGGCCACGAGAACCTCGCTCTGATGCCTTTGGTGGGCGGTCTGACTTTTCTGAACGCTGTTGACTAGAGTAGAATGAAGGTGATTGCTGATGTTGCTGTTGAGTTGCAGCAGCAGCTGCCTCTGTCTTTGCTTTCTGTTGAGATTCCTTTTTGGCTTTCTTTGTTTTGACTTCACCCCACTGATTAACCCAACCTATGGTCACGGTGTGTGATTAGAATACGTTCTGAACAAAGAATTTCATAAAAAAAAAAGCCGGAGCGAACCTTCGCTAATACGTTCAACGGTTAACTCTAGATCGCCATCGGCCTCTTGTAAAGCAAAAATCAGATCTTCGTCTGACCAGTCTGCGAACAATTCCCTCAAAGTTGAGAGTTTAGGGCCGTATTGAGATTTTAACTTCTTAAGATCTGTGTCTGGATGAGTTTTCTTCCTCTCTGGAAGATGCGATGACTCGTTTGCTGCCATGGACGAGTTCTGTAAATGTTGTGTGTGTCAAGATGTGATTGTTGACAAGTTCTGAAACCGCAAACGAAAAACCCCCACCATTTAGCAGTCATGCCAGTGTTTTTCCAAGTCTTTTGCAACTCAGTTCGCACGAACATTATCGAGTTGTTTTTCCAAGACCAAAGTAAAGTAGAGCAAAAAAAAATATATGTAATGGGTGGGTGGGTTGAACTATGTATATGTATCTACTTTCTATATACCATAAAACTCGTTGCTCTCCATGGTCGACCTCCGTTTATTTGGGAGTAAGCGGGTTTTCTCTGTAGGCATGGCTGCTGGTCTATGGCTCGAGCTGGATGCAACGGCAGCAGCAACCCCTGATATGCCTCCCATACTGACTTCATCCACCTGATCGGCTGGTGGTGGAATGTCCGTTTCATTCACTATTTCTGGTTCTTCAAGATCGTTTGTTCGCCAGGATAAAATCAAGACTCCACTGACAAGGATGACAATGCCAATCATGACACAGAGTATTTGCCACCAAAAGAGTCGCGACCACTGGTTGTAGTAGACTAGACCATTGAAGAGACAGGATACATTAAATGAGCAAAATGAAAGGGGTATTAATATAACCGTGTCGCAAAGTCGAAGTCCTTTGTTGAGATAAAACAGTTGTAGCAAGGCGGTGACGATCATGATCACGACTAAGACCCATGTCAAGAAGTACTTGAATTGATTTTGTCCATGGATGAGCGTCAATATGAGTAACTCCAAACCGCTTTTGGCAAACAATAGGCTTTGGGAGCTGATATTGCCACTCAGCATACCATAGCTGCAGGAAACGAACTGGTAAGGAGATATTGCCTTTTTTCTTTTCTTTCATGAGCAGCCTCAATTTACCTTACGCCGAGTTTCATCTTAATCTCAGGTATATCTTGCATTTTGATAAGTTTGGATTCTGGTAGAACTCCTCTCTCGACTTTGTTTACCCGGTATTCTATGTAATGAGTAGCCATGAGCATGATCAAGGTGAAAAATTCGAGGATGCTGAAGTAGGCTATGAAGGCTGGCCGATGGTACAACTGAATGAGATCCTCTAGACTGTGATTAGGCTCTCGAACCACGCCAAACCCTCCAACTAAAATTGCACCGATGACAATAAGAATAGTGCCTATAAAAAAAACAAAAGGGTACCAAAATGAGTAAAACGAATGGTCAAACTGTGTAACCTCACATGGGTAATGACATGGACAAGGTGGGGTTTATACGAAGGGCTTTCCACGTGAGCTCACTTGTGATGGAGAAAAGAAGGTCAAGCATTTACCTACTACACTCTTGCGAGTAAACGGGTCTCCAAGGACAAGCTTGGCAAATATAGCGTTGAAGACAAGGCCCATAGCTCCGATTGGAGCCAATATGACGATCGGGAGATATCCAATAGTGAAGATGGAGCCTATGATATTAGCAATTAAATATGAACTGAATCCAGCAACCCATAGTGGCCGTCGGAAAGCGTTTTTTCGATGTTCGATGGGATATATCGTATCGTTCAATATGTGCGACTTCCGCTGTATAGCCAGTGCAAAAGACTATTGTGGCGGGTAATGAAGAATGACTCATGAGTTACAGTTAAGGTTAATGCGCTGGTAAAGAAAACACTGACCTGAATGAGGTTGGTTACAATAGAAACGGACAATGCCAACCAAAAATTATTGTCTGGTGGAGGATCAAGCATGTTGAAAATGGGTGTTCAAAGGTAAAAGAGCTGCCGTTTTACTAACCCGTGGACGTTTGGCCTGTATCGTTTAAATCTCCGCATTGACGTATAAAATGCGTACCCGCTTTGGGGGACCTTTCATCGCTATAACACCATCATGACCTTCTTTGACACCCTCTCTCGCTCCTTCGCTGATGTCGATACCTCCAAGGGTACCGACACCATGCAGTTCCTTGAAGCCTCCGAAGGACTTGTAAAGATGTTTGGTAAGTTCTAATCCTTTTGCAGTTGTACAATCTCGCGTTGCAATCTGACGTGTTGGATGACAGACCTTCTTGGATCAAGCGCTTTCTCCGTCGTTCAGAGTGATATGAACGGTAACATCAAGGTATGCTGAAATTTTGGTTCAAACACTCTGTCAAATATCCTTCTTAACGGGGGGTTTTTCTTTCTAGAAAATCCGAGAACGTTACCTCTCCAACCCTACTGCTAACGATACTCTCGAAAACTTGTGTGCCACTGAGGCTCCCGAGAAGAAGAGAACCGCTACTGAAGGTCTTTTATGGCTCAACAGGTATGATGGCTATGGGATGGATGCTTTTCTCTGTTTAGTTACCTCATTCTAACCACTCTACTGTTGGCGTTCTGAAACAGAGGTCTTGACTTCACTGCCAAGGCTTTGCGTCGTAGCGTGGATGATCCTAGTGAGGAACTCAACGTGTCCTTCACCAAGTCTTACGAAGTTACTTTGAAGAAGTTCCACAGCTTCGTTGTCAGACCCGTCTTTTCTGTAAGTTAATTTAAAGCTGTGGGGGAGAGATAACCTTATATGCTGACTTCTATGACATAGCTTGCCATGAAGGCTTGCCCTTACCGCAAGGACTTTTTGGAGAAGTTGGGTGGTGATAACGAGACCACTAAGCAACAAATGACCGTATGGTTATCTGCTCTCGAAAACATTGTTGCCCGCAACAATGCCCTCTTCCAGTCTCACCCTGAATACATTAAGGGCATGTAAGGAAAAACTTGCCCTCCATACCTCCAAAGGAAAATCTAACGACATTTAGATCAAACCCCCCCCGTACGAGTTTATTTGACGTATAAAAAAATATATGCTGTGTATTAAAGCCTAGTATTCTCCTTCTGAGTGGGGTCGGTGATGCAAAGCTCAATTACATTAGAATAGATATGTGTGCTACATTGGTGGATATCAAAAAATAAGGCCCATGTCCTCCGTGTCTCTATTGTGAATGCTCGATGACTTGTAATTTTCGCTTCTTGTATTCTGAAAATCGCAGCACTGCGTAATCCATGTAAGAAAAGTCAATATCCGAAACCATAGCTTGGCAGAGAGCCCATAATCCCCAATACAGGTGAGATGCAAGGGAGTAGTGCTCGACTTCCTGAAACAGCTTTTCTTTCTCCTCTTCACTGGGTTGACCTATGAAAATCGAGTATTTTTAGAAACTGGCCGTTCCACATGAGCTGTCAAATCTATTTGTCCGCTAGAACTTACTTCCTGAGCTTGCCGTTAGATACCATTCAAACCATTGCATCTGGAAGACTTTGTTTGGGTAGTTGTCGTAATTGCATTCAAACCCAGCAAATTCATTGAAATGATTTCCAATATCAAATCCACGTGGGGCAAGCATTCCATATTCATAGTCGATGAAGAACGCTAGATCGAATTCGAATGGTCAGATCACGTTGGATCGATGTCAAGCGTCATTCATGCTTACCTTGGTTTTGAGCGTAAATCACATTGCCGTACAACAAATCATTATGTGAAAATACGATGGGGGAATTGAGGCTGGTCAGTTTCGCAGAAAGCGTCTCGAGCTGTGAAAGGGGAATGAGCTTGCTATCCGCGTATACATAACTTATACAGCCACTTGTCCTACCTCATGCTTAAGGAACTCCATGTCGATGCTCTTGGCAAAAGTAGTCTGAGTTGAAGGATCTTCGTATTGTGCAGGTACTACATATGGTGGAAAAAACAAACAATGAGTACGCCAAGTCATTCAGGTGGGTGGAAGCCTAACTGCTTGGAAAGATGTTCTCACCTGAATCCATCCATTTTCTCATGGTGCTCCAGAGTTTTGTATCCTCGTGATTATTGGGATCCGAGTCGGCCAATGGTTGGACCTTGTGCCAGCGAGCCAGCTTAACGGCAATCATATTGGCTTTTTCAGTGTCAAACATATCCTCGACAGTAGATACTGTACCCTCTATGAATCCGTACACCAAACCGTTTTTAAATCGTGCGTACAATGGCGGGCATAGATTTTGAGCCGACAAAGTTATGATATTCTAAAGGTGATTGGGTGTGATCAGACGATGTCACATGCTTGTGTGTACCACAAAGTCTACCCACAACTTACTATCAGTTCTTGTTTCCGGTCGATGATGAGTTCTGACCCCTTTCCGTAAGCTCGAACCAGCACGGATACATTATCCAACGTATGTACAACTCGAACCACTGCAAAAGCCATAAGGTGTCCAGGTACGTCAATAGGCTGCACCACGAAGGCTATATAGCTGAATCAGACACACTTACACTGATTGGTGATGCCATCCTTGCACTGGGTAAATTTGACATTGTTTCTCTTCCAGATTGGAAACACACTGGAAACCACGTTCCAGGCACCTTCAAAAAGGTTGTCGGAAGTGACTTCCAGGTCGAGATAAGGGTATGAGTGAATAAGGTAGTCTAAGCTGGCTGATTGAGTTAGGCCGTTTGCTGAACCGTTCAAGTGGGGTGGGGGAGTCTTCGTAAGCGGTGGCATTAGATAAGGGGGGAATTCGTTTGAGATTCAAAGCTAAGTGGTTGGTTCTTCCGGCTCTCCCACTTTTTTTTAATGGCCTGGCAACCGATGAGTGACTGTTCTTTTGGTCATCGTCCAACCCAAACGGGGGGCCAAAAATCACTTGCTGAAGATACCATTGGCCCAAGTACTCCGAATCGTTCTTTATGCTTGGAGAGGCACCAACCCAATCGTTATTGACCTAATGACCCTACTGAGGTTTTCCTACATATGCAAGAGGGGCTATGCGACAGCCAAAACTCCATTCGATGCTCTGAATCTTCCTCCAAATTCCACTCCGTCGGCCGTAAAAAAGCGGTATTACGAATTAGCAAAGTCATTGCATCCCGATACATCCACAGGAGATATTGAAAAGTTCCAAGAGATATCGCAAGCTTACGAAATATTGTCCAATCCTTCAATGCGTGCACTTTATCTCCGTACAGGCGTTGGCTGGAATACTCCAGCACCCACTTCACCGCCCCCGGGTAGTCGACCGCCTTCCTATACCAACGCCCACTGGTATCAAGACCCATCGTACACTGGAGGTCCGTGGTCTAGTCATGACAACACGAGATTCACATCTAATTCTACCTTCATATCTGCCGTGGGTGGAATTGTTGTGATCATGGGAATTATCAATATCATTAGCTTCAGTACCCAGCATTCTGTTATGCTCAATGCCGCAGATAGACACCACGCCCGGTCGAGTCAAGACTTGGAACGGGCGAGGACAGAAGCACAGCTGTTTGGTCAGCAGAGGGCAATGGAGAAGATGATAGATAATCGCATGAAATACTGGCGAACTCAAAGTACGCCAGAGCCGAAGGAGCCGGTGGTGAATAGCACTCCACCTTGAGCTCACTTTGGGGGTTCTGCTTTGTAATCTATTGTCTTTTCATCTGCGTTGCCTGTACTTTCCGTCCCTTGTTGATTTTTTTAGCAGTATTCCTTTTTCCCACTTGTATTCATTCCACTACATCCTCACTATCTCTTTAAGAGAATATATATACAAATGTGTCTTGCGTTCGACCCTATAAATTATTATGAAACCATCATTGTGATGTGAATGAGTTATATTTTTCCTTGCAAGTGTATACAAAATGACGATAGAATGTATATTTATATTTTATAAATGTTTATACACTATACAAAGGCGTATGTAAATAGGACAGAGTGAAAGTCAAATGCTCTCTAGATTGACTTCAAGTGTTGGCTTTCACTTGTCTCTTCCGTGACATCTTGTTGCTTGTGTTCTTCCTCCTTCTTGGTAAGTAGTTCTGACTCGCTGGCGGCTTTCTTTGCGCTCTTCCTCTCTACCTCAAGAATGTATCGTCGTGAGAACACTTCAATGTAATAACTAGCTCCATTCCAGACGGAAACGGCAAACATAATGATGAGGAACGCTGAATGAAGCTTGAAGTGTTGATAGAGGAATACCGTGGGGAGAACCGTGAACATGTTGTAGGTGAGCTGAAGAAGCATGAACATTTGAAGCTTGTATTGAGCACCCAGAGCGAATGCTGCCTTTTGAATAATGCCCTTTCTACCATGTCGATCGTCCAATAGCCATGAGTACGACGTCAAGCGCAAACCCTTTTCGACTTTCTCTCGTCGTTGCACCATGATGAAGATGAAATAGAGGGTTTGCCAAATAATGTAGACAAGGGTGGATATGACCATACACTCTTTCAGTGACATGTTGTTATCTTCTCCGCTCAATGCAGGAAAGCGCTTGTCACGGTATGCGGTCATGATAGGCACACTCGTGCTAGAAGCCAGTTCGGGCATCCATCGAATCACGTAGCTGACAAGAGCTGGGAAGATGTGAATGAACACAGACGTTACCTTATCCAAGGAGTGAAAGACAAGACTGGGAGTACAAAATGTTGAGCGCGTGAAAGTTTTCAAGAAAATGTGCTGTGTTGTGCTTACCTGTTTCTCCATGTGATGATGGCCCAGGCAACCGGACCATTGGATAAACAAAAGACGGATATGAAGAGATATCTGGAGGACGAAAACACCCAGATATACAATAGCGCAAGTGCATTAACGTCTGTGGCAAAAGCGGAAGTATTAGCTGATGTCATAACCGTGTCGGACCGACCGACGAAAAATCTGACGCAAAAAGCGTTCATACTTACAGTAACATAAATCGAAAATAAAATAGTGCCATCCGCGCGATTTGTAGATGAATATGCGTAGAGGAAATAGATATGCAGATTGCAGGGTATAATAGATAGGAACCCAGTCGGGGAAACGAGCGACCACAACAGGAGATACACAGGCGTTTCCAACACCCACTACAAACGAAAACTTGTCACGCAGCTGAACAGTCTTTGTATCTCGATTCATACGGTCGTTGATGGAAGCGTATTGCTTTATCAGTCGCTGCTGGAGTTCTGACCTTTTTATCTCCAACCGTTTTGTTTGCGAGCGCAGCGTTTCAGTAGTTTTGCTCTTCCATTGATTGGATTTGGCACGGAACTCCTGTTTCTTCTCGTTGATCTGAGCTGTCACTTGATCAATGGCAACGGAGAGCATATCAATCATGTCAAAGTCGTTGTCCGATACAAAGTCAGAGCTGGCCGTCCAGTCAGGCATGGCCATGTCCAAAGGCTCATCAAAAAACTCGGAAAGACTGTCTGCTGTGTCTTTTCGTAGATTCTTGGGCATTTCCGGCTCTATCATGGGATCGCCTTCGAGTTGTTGTGCTTGCATTACCATTTTGTATAAGAAAGAGAAACGCTGACATTTTTTTTGGGTCACAGCTTCTCAATACTGGGCGTGATAGCGGTCACGCAATGGCCTCCCGCCTGAAAATTGACACCGCACCTACGACGCAGCAAGGTATCTTTGACCACGTCAGCTGCCGCTTTGTCATTTTTGAGAACAGGATGTGTGTTGGTAAGCACCAATGATTGTAGCCACCTTTTCAAGTGGGGGAGAGGGCTTTCTTGCATGAAATCCAATGGAGCTATTGCCACATGCTTATGACCTACGGTAGCGTGGTAGGTAAGATCACAGTTGATTGGAAATGGAAGTGCACACGAGCTCCGGCAGTATTGGCCATGAGGAAATGGAAATAAAATATCACCTTTGGTAATACTCCAATCATAATATTCGGGTTTACCACATCCGCTAGAGAAAGCAAGCTTCGGCTAAGACGGGTTAATATGGCTGGTCGCGTATTTTTGGCTTGGACTTCCGAACAGTAGATGTAACTGAAATTACAGTAAACAAACAGTAAGAAGCATCCAACCTCATTTGCAATATTTTATACATAATTCATGAATCGGACCTTGATAATATGAGCTTAACTAGCACCTTGTTACAAACAAAGCTGGACTTTAAACATTAATTGTAGGTATATTGCTATCAAATAGAAACGGTCGCTTTAGAATTTATGCAGTGATGTCTTGTTGCCATTGCTTTTATAGACTTCGGTCCGTGATTCCGAACTACGTGAGGATACAGATTTAGGACTGTTCCATATTCCAGTGCTAGAGTGAAACTATAGGGGCATATTTATGTTTAGCCATGCTGACAGAATTGGCTCCGTGATTCCATATGATGTATTTTAGAAGATGAGCGATAAAGCGCTCTTGGCATAATGCCCTCTCCAACAACGTATTTCTCGAAAAGGTGGAGAACATGTGGAGAAAACTCAGAATTAACAAACAATATGTACAAAGCTTATATTATAGCGGTCACAATGCTGCAGTATGGAACATAGAACGGTTCAGGATGAAGAAGTCAAAGAGAAATGGCATCATTATGCATAGCAACGTGGTTCGTACAGTGGTGAAGAAACGGTTCAGTGTGCTCCTACAACACAACATTATGGCTGAATAAAAAAGGCTATGTGGTAAATGAGGCATCCAAAAGGGGCAATGAGCAGTATAAACCAAGAGCTCAAAGCAGGCGGCCTTACTGGACCTGATCTGAAATTCAACGGCTGGTGTTTAGTGAGGACAGGTGTTTTTGTGTGAGGATCGAGTGTGCGGATGGGTCATTTGGGTGAATCCGCACCTGGTGCTTTTTTTCCTTATAAGACTTCTCCAGGTCCGACAATTTTTCTAGTGAGGGTTTTCTGCCAGCCTATTCTTTCTGCGGCTTTGCTGTCAACATGCCAGTCCCCATTCCCACTTCCAATTCGCAACATGCCCATCACACTCCAATGTCGTGGTCTTCTTCCCATTCTATATCGTCCTCAGAGTCAAGCTCATCCTCCTATCCCGAGATAATACGAGAATTGGCTTCCAAAGGTCCCCAACCTTATGGCACTATCCCTCCTCGTCGACGGAAAAGGCGGCGAAAAAGTGTTCCATTTGAAGACACAGCCATCACCCTAGACCCACCTATAGATCCACAACTTCCTCCAGCAAGGATTCAAAGACGTATGTCCCATGTTGAGGATTGGGTCAAAGTAGACTCAAAGGAAACTTTGCCTGACGATGACGAATTGGTAAGCAACGAATGGGTCTATATATTTGCTTTGTGACACTCTTTATACACAACACTGACTACTTTGCAACCTTATTTTTTTGGAAACTCATTAGACTTCGGTATCATTGTCGCTCTTGGCACAGCTATTCTCTTCGTCAGCTTTCCAAGGGGCGCATGTCCTTCCTTTGCACGTGCCTCCTCCCAATCTGTCCAATCCTTCAGAATTGCTTCAGGAACCAAGTCTGCTGGACACATTATACGAGGAAGATTTGACAAAGGCAGAGGCAAGAAGCTATAGTCGCTTGGCAATCACTTCAGGAAACTATTTTTGGGATGCATCCACCACTTTCACTTCAAACCCAGGGAGTCTACTGAACGGCAACCATGAAACTGCCGACCTGGCTTATGAAGACGATATTGAAGTTGATACCATGTCCATATGTATGGAGGATGCAACCTCGGTCCTTCCATGGGCAGGAGCACAGACAAAGGCACACCCTGTTTTGTCTTTAGCCACAGCCACGGCAAAACGACAGATGAACCACTCTCAGCTTCAAGGCGGCTGGCTTCATCGTTTGCGGTCCTCATTCGGCCCAAGCCTTACTTATGATACCCCTAGGAGAACCCCTCCAGTACGGCCAAATACTCGGCCTCTACCTCCCAAACGGCCATCTCGACGATCGGTTGCTAACTCAGAGCCTCGTATTGACCTTCACTCTAATACCATACGGCGCGATATCCGCGCCAATCCTGATCATTTACGTATGATCGTAGCCGAACTGAACATGATGAGAGCAAGGAAAGTGATGTGTCCGTTGAAGCCTCGAGGCTTTCTACCGCGTCGCAAGGATATATTTGTGCGTGGCCACGGCCATAGTAACCTGAAATATACCGGACACACTATTCAAGCGTAACTCTTTCAATGTTTTTATGGGTGCCAAATTAGAAATTTTTTCTTCCGGCGTTGGTAAAAAAAACTAGATTGTGTGTAAAAAATAAAGATTGTAATAAATAGGATGATGTCGTATGTTCCTGCTTTCCATCGCCTCCACAATCGCCGTACGAATCTGAAAGCTGCACAGAACCGCCTTTGTTTTTCCAGCTAATAGTACTTTGTAATAATCATGGCGCAAGCATTTCTCGGCTTGCGAGTATCCATAGCTCTCAACACAGGCTTGTCTTTGGAAGGACAGGTCTCGCATATTGACTCTGACTCGCAGCTATTAACTCTGAAGGATGGTAAGCTTGATCATGTTGTTCGCGGGGAAGGAAATAGATCATCACACTGGCATTCTTTTGATCTTTGTCTGGCTTGCTACATTGATCTAACTGATCGTCTTTCTCTCCTTAGTGCTCATATTCATTCCTGGACAAGCGACGCAACGAGCACCGTTGTACGGAGTAACGGGATCCGATATCAAGGATTTGCAAATATTACCGGAAGCTTCAACTGTTGCTCCACAAAATATAGAGCCAAAGCAATCTCCATACCAACAACAGCGTATACCACAACAACAAACCTACCATGAGCCACCTAAACAACAAGCTATGCCACAACCCCCGCCGCCTTCTAACCTTCGACCCACAGCACAAAACGGTGTGCCAAAACAAATCGTGTATGACGCCAGAGCCAAAAAGGCTGACGAATCAAGTGCTACGGAGAGCACACTGCCAATCACCAAGGCTAAGAAGAAGAAGGGAAAGCAATTGCCACCTGAACCCGTTGCCCATGAACAAGCACCAGGTGAGACCCCTTTTTTAGAATTTCCGTTAGTTCTACACGACAATAGCGCGCCATACTTCTTTAGCTATTCATTGAGAGCTAATCATAGTACAACGATATGTTTTTTCTAGTACGGAAGCAAAGAAACGGCAAAAAGCTTCCGAATCCTCCAATTCACGCTTGGGCCGGAGGTGATGTTAACGATTTCAAAGAAGAAGAGTTTGATTTTCAAGCCAATTTGGACATGTTTGACAAGGCAAAGGTGTTTGCTGAAATCAAGGTAGAAATGCATTTGTGATGGCCGCTGCATGAACTCTTTCGTGTGCTCATAGGTTGTATGTTAGGAAATGGATGAAACTGCACCGGAAACCAGACTTGTCAGCATCAATCGTTTACCGCGTGCCAATAGAGGAGGGCAGACACCTTCCAGCGACAAATTGACGCCTTCATCATCTCGAATCAATCTGCTTCCAACTGAAAATGTTTTGGACGAGCAAATTGATCCTGGTGCGCTTAGCGATGATTCATTGACCAGCGAGGGAGCCGACCATGTACGTGGCAAGAGAAGAGGCAGCAAGACTAGTCGATCTAAAATCGTTGTCATGTCCAATGGCATCTTATGCCAACCTGTCACACCTCAACAAATGACCATGGTAGAACAGGAATGTGGTATGTGTCCATTGCTTGCTCATTTTTCTGACCATGGGCAATATGCTTACGTCTTCTTTTTGACTTAGGTCTCAGCCGAGACCAACTGATAGAGAATACCGGTAGAGTGTCGAGCATGATGGCACTACAGACGTTGGGTACGTATCTGAAAAAATTTCAATTTGTTGGCTACCTTCTCACCTAATTTGAATGTTCAGGTGGATCGCGTAGGAACAGCGACCAGCCAAAGACATCGCCGCTTATTGTCGTGCTTGCTGGTAACAACACCATAGGCGCATATGGATTTTCAGCCGCGAGACACCTAGCAAATCACGGTTGTACGGTTGTGGCATGCACTGGCAACCCGCCACCCTACCACGGACTTGTTGCGACGCATCAACAGATGTTTGAATATGCTGGCGGACGTACAATATCTTCAATATCGCAACTTCCCAACGACAAGCCCATCGATTTGATTATCGACGCTCTCATGGGTGTGCAATACAGCTACAAGGATCTACAGCATGACAAGAAAGCACACCAATTGACCACCACTCTTATCAGCTGGGCCAATGCCAACGCCGCTCCTATCCTTAGCTTGGATTTTCCCAGTGGTAACCAACATTCACAAGGTATGTAAAGGGGGAAACGGCAATGGGTGACAGTCCATGTCTAATGCAATACTGTTGTTTCAGATTCCGGCAGTGAGGGACCTCATAGGATCCATCCCAAGTGGACAGTGTGTTTAGCTGCACCCAAGGTGGGATGCACCAGCCGAAGTGTTACGGGAGAACTTTACTTGGGCGATTTGGGTATTCCACGTGCATGTTGGAAACGAGCTGGTGTCAAAGGCGGAGGTGGCATGCCATGGGGAGCCGATTTCCTGGTCGCTTTAGAATACATGTAACATATTGCCCCTCATCACACCTAATGGAAAAGTCAAAATTGCCTGTATTTTGTGTATATATATTTTGTGGTTTTTTCATGTTGCGCCTGCCCGGGGAAGGCGGTTGCTGTATAGAATCATAGTTGGGGAGGGAGGGTATTTGTTATATGTAAAATTACAATGAGAGTTAAGAAGGGACATAGATATAAAATTAAACACCACCACCGAATGAGCCCATCTTGGCACGCGCTTGACGGTCAGCTTGCTTGCGAACCAGGTAATTGAGCTTATCCATCACATCTTCCAGTTTCCCTTTACGCTCTTGGAGATCAAGATGTTTCATGATAGACGGGTTTTCTCGGGCAAAGCGCTGAATTTGCTGTCGATCCAATTCATACACAAGTCTATTGTCAACCTCTCGTGGGAACTGGAAGAAGAATTCATTGAGCAGCTCGACCTGTATAAACATAACGGCCTGAAAAAAAAAAAAAAAAACCAGCATTTAGCTATCGAACTACAGGACACTTAGTGTGCCTCCTCTCGCTGGGTTTAACTTACCGTGTACGTTAGCTTCTCAGCAATAACGTTCAAGAAGGCTTCAGGGCAGTACTGCTTGTTTTCTTGAGTCTTGCATTGCCGAGACTTCAAGGCAGCAATACGATACTTGAGAATCATAGCTCGATCACGTAGGAACAATGCTTCGCGAGCCTTTTCCAACAGCTTGGGATTATACAGTGGCTTGATGGCCTCTTCCTCATCTGAGAGACTGGCGTATTCAATGTATGGCTCGGTATTACCATCTTGTTGTTGTTGACGAACTCTTTCCTGTCGTCTTTGATCCTCGCGCTCGCTGTCCAATAAAAATTTGATGGCTCCTCGCAGCTTTGTCTTGCCCACGGCGTTCTTGATAGTGTTGGCCATGCTATCGCACATCTCCAACTCCTTTTCGAGCAAAGCAACCGTGCGCTTGACACCATCCTGCCATTCTAGATCCGTGACTTCCACTTCGTACTTGTATGGCTTGATGGTGTTTTCAACCTGGTCACTGGTAGTGAGGAACTTGGTTCGCAAAATCTCGCTGGTAAAGCTAGCGATCTGTTTGCGTGTCTCGTTGTGGTAATTGAAAGGCTCTCCAGCAGACAAACGTTCCATATTGTTCATTAGAATGTCCACAACAAGTTGCGTGGTAGATCGTCCAATACCGCTTTTAGTCAAGGCGGCAGAAGCGAGGTCTACTTTGTAAAGCCAGTAGATGTCGTCTGAGGCAGCTTTCGGTAAATCAGACACTTTAGGATCCGACCAATATGTCTCCGCACAGATGTCCAAAACGCGCTGCTCTAGCATGGTTCGCACTTCATGGCGTACTTGAGGCTTTCCAAACAACAGTGCAAATTCCTTAAAGTTGTGCTTGAGAGAATCCATGGTTTCTGCCACATATGATTCAGCTGTGACTCTACGGTCATTGTACTGGACCTTGAATTGGTAGCGGGCTTCTTCAAGTTCCTTTTGTACTGCATCCACAATGCTATACAGTGAGCGACCCATGCCCTGCTCCAAAACATTCATCAGTTTGCGACGAAGTGTAGCGGTTCCGACATTGACACCACGTTGGTTGAATTCAAACTTATTGCGGAAAAAGTTTTCCTCATTGCGAATGAGAGCACTTGTCATGTTGCCGTCCACATCTTCTGGTGCTTTGCATACAACACCAATGTATCCCAAGTGCAGTGGGTACTCTGAGTTTCTGAGAATAGCGGCTCCGGCTGAAGGTGGAACCAAATCCATCTTGGTAATCACACCAATGGTTCGCAGACCCATGGGATCCACCTTTCGGCTCGCACGCAGAGCAGTGGAGTTTGCAAGATCCACGTCCGCAGAGCATACAGCCAGAATAATGTTAGGCTCTTGAATATACTTGTCGCAAAGCTCCTCAATTTTAAGCTTGAGCGTTTCTGGTTGGTTTCGATTGGAAATTTGGATGTAACCAGGAAGATCGATCAAAGTAAGATCTGGGATGCTTGCAGAATAAATTCGTAGCTCAATAGGTTTGGCCGATACACATTCTGCATCCGATACAGCCAAGTTGAGATCGGTCAAGGTCCTTTGGATCTGCTTGAAATCATGCACCTTGCCAAGTTCGAGTTGAGGAAACTCTCCATACTCCTCATCGGAATTAGGTGTGTGGACAAGAGTGAGTTCAATTGGCCGTCTGGTGACCATGTTAGAGCCCCTATAGGTTTCAACGGATGGTCAGTTTCAAAAGTGGCTAGAAATTTACAAACTGTGGAGTTTGATGATGGATAGTGGCACACTTACTTTGGTAAAAACTCATGGCCAACAATGGCTTCCAACACAGACGATTTTCCAGAACTTTGCGAGCCGACAACAACAATGCTTGGCAATTTAAGCGTCTCATTATGGTCAATAGAAAGGAGGATGCTTCTAATTTCGATGAGCTTCTTAGTCAACATCATGAATTGCTCATCGTGTTGTATAATGGTATCCCTATTTTGTCTTCCTCGTTTGTTGCTTTGATACTCGTCATCGTCTGACACGCTGAATGCTGCCGCAGCGGCCAAAGCTGCTCCTGAGGGACCACCACCACCACCACCACCATTACCGCTACCACCATTCTTGTCGCTCTGTTGACGTCCTGCTAATTGTATCTCGTCTTCTGGTTTTAATTGGCCAAAGGTATATAGCTTGCCAAGGTCATCTTTAGGTCGCATGAGATCCTTGACGAAATCCGGCACGCCAATATGAATTTCGGGCACTCGCAAGTCAAAGTTGATGATCTCGTTTTGCACAGTATCCAGAGCTCCTTTGACGCCAATGAGTAAATCAGCAGCAGTGTCATTCCAATCTGTATGGGTTATAATCGAGGATGAGTTAGACTGGGGTTATGTCGGAACGGCCATTCCAAACTCCATATAAGTTTACCTTGTAGCTTGCTGTTTGCAAGAGTGACGCTAGCGGCTGCACCACCGGCAAGAATGAGCGGCAGCCTTCCAATTGAAAGTATCAAACGAGGACCGGCCGAGAAGGCAAATGTACGGGTCGATGTGATGGGTGTAAGGCGATTGAAGCGAATGCTACGTGGCCCTACAGGTGCTCTGAACGGATGGCGAGCGTCCAAGACGGCAGGTCGTCGATAAGCGCGCGTCATAGGTACTCTAGGTAACCTATGAAGTGCGGGCCGTGCAGCGACCACTGTACTCTGTAGCATGATAGTGTATGATACGAAAGGTGCAAACAATTTTTTGGGATATTTATTACTTATACGCTGCTGGCAATTATGTGTCACGCCGGAACCACACAAAAAGATTATTGGCAGGCATTTCATGGACTTCCTTTAGTACAAATCCATGCTTGTTACCTTCTGCTTCAACTGTTTCCAAATCTCGAATACCCCATTCGCTATTCCTCTCTCGCAAGTCGATATCAAACTGTTCCAACCAAGCAGTTCGTAGAACATGGTGAGTTGTTAAAGCTAATACATGCCTCCCAAGACGTCAAGAATAACTTACATCTTTGTTACTTGGGCTGGAAAATTGTCCATTGCGATTGAACGCTCCGTAGATACCAAGCCAAGCGTTGGGACCAAGGACTTGGGCCAAGTTTGTGAACAATCCCACTGTATGTGCCCAAGGACTGATATGCGTAACGTTGACGACCCAAGCAGCATCAACCGGATGAGAGAAAGCTTGGGTACCGAAATTCAATACGGTAGGTTCGGCAACATTCTGCACGTTGGAGTACTTTATCCAGGCGTCAATTGAAGGTAAAAGCATTGAGTCGCCTTCAGTTGGATAAAAAGTGATATTTGGCATCTGTTGGGCCAATTTAGTCAAATGTTCCCCTGAACCAGACGCTAGCTCAAGCACTGACATAAGTTGTGTCAATAAACATTAGGCATAACTTTCAATGTTTTGGTAGCAAACGATATCCTCACCTTTGGACCCAGCCGGCAGGTCCTTGAAACGCTCACGGAGCTGATTCAAAATAGCCTCTGAATTGCGGCGCGTCCAGGCAAATTCAATGCGACCATCGGAGGCAATGGGAATGTCCACCCTGTAGTATTTTTTCAAATGAGCAGCAAGTGCGGTGGGATCTGAGGCCATATGAAGAGGTCGCCGATTATAGTCTGGTCGGTGTTCGGCTGAAACCTGAGTTTTATGTACTTTTAACGTATGGAGTGGCTTGACGTTCTTGCAAATAAAACGTCCAGTTTCTATTGTTGTGATCAGTGGACTTCTGGAAAGCCACCGCATGTTCGGAACGAGATACGAGGTTTCTTTTATTTTGAAAACAGTAGCTATATGTTCCGCCGAAGGAGGATTATGTTGAAGGAATACGTTATGTACTGCAAACAAGGAGAGCAGTATTAAAGCAGGCGTTATGTTCTACAGTTGGTATGTACATGCAAAGAGAAAAAGGGGGGTGAAGTATGTCAAAACAGAAAGAAAAACATTCGGTGGTATCTTAATTAAATTTGAGTGAATCCAACTTAATGTCTTTGGTATTTTCAACCGTCAGTACATCTGATTTGGCTTGATCAGCTACAGCGTTCAACGCGTGGCCCCGAGCATTTCCCATGTTTCCAGATACTTCGTTAACGCCACTAGGTTCGGTGCCAAGGCGAAGATCCGATTGCGCTACAGAATGTTTGGTGAAGTCGTAGTCTAAAAACTTGGCTTCCATATTGATCAAGTCGCGGCATTGGTCAGCTGTCCATTGCTGACTGAAGCTTCGGTGATGGCTTGAAATATTCGTGTCCGTCGGCTTCTTCCGTCTTCGGGATTTGAGAGGCGAATCTTCTAATAGCAATTCTTCCAGCTCGTGCACCACATCAAAATTGGCTTTCTTGTTCTAAAGGATACATTAGCAATGATTATAAACTCAAACACATTTCTAACCAACTTACATCTGGACAGAATGGAGGATCCAATGTCTTCTGCTCAATCTGTTTCCAGTCTATATCGCGAAACCAAGCATGTGTGATCAATTGAGAAAAGCCATCTTCTCCTACTCCTAATCGGTTGCTTGGGTTTTTACACATCAGCTAATAAACAATGTCAGCGGCGGGATGATAAACTAGGTTTTTAAAAAGGTGGGCAGAGCTTACCCTGCCGATAACATCAAAACATTCAGGAGACAGGATATCGTGAGCATTATCTGGATACTTGAGTTCTTCGTAAGCAATTGCCTTGGATATGGCATCGTTAGAATTTCCTCGAAACGGCCGCTGAAAAAGGTAAAATCAGCTCTCAAGATTTAGGGTGTAGACAAATATGCATGGCAGCCACTTACTTTTCCAAAAAGCAGTTCATAGGCTGTCGCCCCCAAGCTCCACCAATCAATGGCTGTGTTGTAACCTCTTTTCATCAATAATTCTGGAGCCATGTACGCCATCGATCCAGCAACAGAGTACATGATAGCGCCTTCCTTGCACCTGAAGGCAATGTTAAAGTCGGAAAGGTGAGCATGTCCTTTATCGTCCAATAATATATTATCCGGCTTGATATCCCTGAAACATAAAAAATAATGAGGAAAAAGCATGTGGATGTACGGGGCGGGGAAGAAAGAGCTTACCTGTGAATGATGTGGTGGGTATGCAAATAATGAATGGCTAGAGCAAGCTCTGCCACTATGAAACGAACTTGATTTTCTCGAAAGCAACCCAATCGATCCAAATGGAATCGCAAGTCTCCTCCAAGCATAACATCGAGTACCATGAACATGTTTTCTTCATCCTGAAACGCATATCGAAGGTTGACAATATTGGGGTGCTCGATGTGTTCCAGCAGTTTGCGTTCCGATAGGATATTTTGAACAGCGTGCATTTTGATGCATTTGTTCTTGTTGATGTATTTGAGAGCATATATCTGCTTAGTACCTTTGTGTTGAACGATTCTAACTTTTCCGAATGAACCTTTCCCTATAGCTCTCAAAAGGTTGAAGTGACTTAGATGAACATCTTTTTGGTTTTTGGGGGGAGGTGTTAGTTGGTAGACGCTTGCTTAAATCGAAAAGTTTTGGCTCCATACACTACCTTCTCGGTCATAGTCGATGTCCTCTCCTCTGCAGCAGACGGCTCCCATGAAGTTACCGAGGACGAATGGTGAAGATTTAGCAAAATAAAGGGAGATTCAGAGAAGGGGAGGGTGGGGTTTGTCGCGGCAAAAGAAGAAGAAGAAAAAAAAAAATACTAACAGACTGGTTAGCAGAGACGATCACTTATGTTTCAAAGTCACACAAATTCTTCAGCCCTATGGCCATGTCTTACCAACCAGCTCTCTTCAGTAGAACATTGGACGCTCGCTCCTCCACTAAGATTTTAATAGCTCTTTTCCTTTGTATCACTTCCTTGCCCTTTGACAATGGGTATGACCGTGTTTCTTTCTTCTTTCAGCCTCTCCGACTCCCGCCACTACCACACTTGGCAACCAAATACATAAAACGCGACTGTGGGGGAAGGGTTGACGGGATTTAAGGAGTCACCATGTAAACGTGAACTTGCCGATCGATCCCTCATGGCACTTATTGGCGGCTCATCCTTGCCATAACTATATCCCCATTTCCGGAGCCCATTCCAATTATCAGAGCTGAACAACAGCCATTGGGATATGAAAGGTAGGTGTATATGCAAGATCGCCATCGTGTGAGTAAATAGATAATCTACTTTATTCTATGGGCTTGCTTGTTCAATCAATTTCTTTGTACTGGTATTCTGTTGGTAAACTGAACTTCTCATTATGCTCTACACACGGTCAATTCTAGGTGTTCGGAGACCGGGCTTCCCATTACTGAGTGATCATTCCCCAAGTGAACTGTAGGTTTGGTCATTACTTTCCCACTCACCCACATCAGCATGGGTGGGCCACGCCCTCCACGCTGGTCCTGCCTGCTGGAGAATTTATTGCACTCGAAATTTTTCATGTAGGACAATGGCTGGCCAGTCAGACGAACACACATCCTTCGTCACCTTGAGTGACCATATTCTAAGCGCAATTGGGTGTGGTGCATTAGTTCCCAAAGGCGGGAAATTTTGTCTGTTTGGAAAAAAAATACTCTTTACAAATTCTCCTCGCCGCATAAGACCTGCACGCATGGCTTATCAACTGAGTCCTTCACTATGGACTAGAACCCGCTCCTTTTACCTTCTTCGGTTTAAAGCCTTTGAACGTGGGGGCAATGATTTGTCTACCGAAGCGGGAGTTCGGAAAAAGTGCTTGGACCATACACTTTCGCCTTTACACTTTTGGCCTGGTGCTATTTGCTTTCCAGTGATACGAGATTCTGCTGTACCTGAAATTTTGGGTACGCTGGCAAGATTTTGATGCCAACATGAATAAAAAAGCCATATCTCTATACAATTTTCACTATGCTTTGCTGTTCGGCTCTGGTTTATCCCGCTTGAACATTGACTTCCTGGAGAAAACAAACCATGTCGTGATGCCTTACCGTCGAGACAAACGCTCACGGTAATAATGCATGCTCACGAGGGACACTTTTAATTTCCCAACAGATCATGCTACGCTTGTCCAACAGCCTGCTTTGGGTCAATGGTTGGCGTAAGTTTCGTCGGGTACTTTTTATCGATGCACTAAAACAGAAGGACCCCTACGCGTGATCTATGCAAGCAAGATGGATATTAGATGAAAAAAATTCTCTTTCGTGTAGCTCTTTCTTTTCACTCTTCTTCACCCACATTTGTACAGTTATGCCGAAAATTGAAATACCAACGCCTTGGACTCCCAATACCATCGCACCTGTAAAGATATATGGCGATATTGGCAACCCCTTGCAGGTCAAGCTACTCAACAACGAGGGAGTAGATCTCCCTTCTCGATCATTACATAAGCAACCAAGCATCGATCTCTATTCACGAACATTGCATCGCCAACCCAGTGAAAAGCTTCTCCAACAAAGGCATCGATGTCTTCAGGTTTCTGAGCATGATGTTCCGTCAGAGAAAGCAACCAATTTAACCCTGGCCAATAAAAAGAATCCACAAATGAGTATAAAACCGCCACAACGCCTTCCTGAGCAACAGCAGCATATAGTGTGCCCGAGCCCCAAGACACCAAATTTAAATGCTGTATTTTTACAACAAGACCTTGCTGAGAAACCCACCATGGAGCTCACTCAAACTGATCACATAAAATCCTTGCTCGATACTAGCAGAGATAGCAGTCGATCAATATTAGGAAGAAATTTTTCTAAATGTACAGGTAAGTTGTGTAACACACGCTAAAAACAAGGTCCCAATGTAGTCGGTATTAACCCAGTATCCAGACCCCCATTCTATGTATCCCTTACCCACTGATCAAGCAGAGCTGGCCCGGCTTGACAACGAACATGAGCTTATGAAAGAGCTATTCAATTGGTAAGCTGCCAACCACTGTGGCCCCAATCCACTTTGACCCCGTAACCAATATTTTTTTCAAAACAGCATTTATCGCTCTCCCATCGAAACCTTGTTGATGAAAGGCATCAAGGTGCTAGATGTTGGGTAAGGAACCTTCCTCATTTTCGAACTCGTGGTACTGAAGACAATTTATTGACCTGACTGTGGCATGTTTTTTAAAGTTGCGGCTCAGGCAGCTGGTGCATTGAAATGGCCCAAAAATACAAGCGCTCTCACTTTACTGGCATTGACGTTTCTTTGAAAAAGGATGCTTCCATTTCTCCCAACCTCACCATGCTCAAGGTCGATATGACGAGCGCTCTTCCATTTGCCAATGAAACATTTGATTATGTTTTTTGCCGTAACCTCTCCCTTGCTATCCCCTTCGACGATTGGGATAGGACCATTGGAGATATCACTCGTGTAGCCAAGTACAATGCCTACCTTGAGTTCATGGAAGCTGATTGGTAAGTGACCCCGAAACATTGTCCACATCAAGGAAGCCATTTTCCACTAAAGCATCAGTCCACTTCATTGCAGGGAAATAAAGCGCTCTGGTCCGGCTTTGAAACGCTGGAATACTTTCGGTGGGTATAACCTAATAGGCAATGTCTCATTTGGCTCATGTCCATAATTACTAAAAAAAAATTATTTGTGTTTGATCTACACTACAGCTATTGCTGCCTTACGCAACCGCCAATATAATCCACGCATTGGTAGAAACTTGGATGTCTTCCTAAGGTCTCATCTTTCCGACATCAATAACACCTATTTATCCATGCCGGTTGGGGTATGGTCAGATACCAAGCTTGGATTAAAAGCTCAGCAATATTGGATTGAAACTATGGCGTCGCTTAAACCTATTATTTTGGGCAGCACGGACCCCAAGACGATTGGTTTTGCTACTTACGAGCGGTTGGTTAGCCTTGTACAAAAGGAAATGGCCAAGTCACAATGTTACTGCAACTATTACGCTTACTATGGCCGCAAAGCCGAGGAAGTACCGATTTACCTTGAAAAACGTTCCAGTCATAAGAAGAACCGATCACAAAGCTCGAATAGGACGTTCTCAGCTTCATCATCTCCACCTTCAGATTGCAGTGACACCACTGACTCGTCCGCATCACTTTCAGTGTGAGCCACCATTTTTGCAAACCACCCGTTCCACTGACGGAACCACAGTATACACATGTATATCCCCCGGGGGAAAATGACTACCCCATCGTAAAATGTATCTAGCAAACTGTACATGATTTTTTTATTTATTATTGGCTTGCATCCACATTATGTTCTGTAAATCTATTCCTTGGAGCCCTACATGGCATTAGCGCTTTGCCAGATGTTGTGTTACCATGCTCACGGAATCAAAAAGGTATAAAATCATACAATACTTTTTGGATTCAACTACGCCCGGCATATTGCCAAAATGCTTAAATCTTGGAAGTCAGCCATAACGAATAGAAAAATCCACCGGCCGACTCTTTGGAGCCCCACAATCTCCGCGCGCTCGCCAGTCGATGTTGGGTTGAACACCTTATCAATATCTAGCTCCCAATTGGCTGAGTTGCTGCCCCCGCCAAAATCATCGCCACTGTAAACCGTTGACCAATTAGATATGGACTTGCAACAAGTAAAAAAGAATTTTTTGCATCAATGGAAATATTACGGAAAACGCAACGTATGAAAGTAAGGGGGAAAATGTTTATTGTTACATTGACCAACATGTCATTTGGCGTGTGAGCCCGCCCAAAGTTTTCTCATTTTCCTGTCCTACGGTGAACAGGCGTTTATTTTGTTTCGATTTAAGTACAGATCGATGCGATCTTCTAGTGACAGACCAAATAGAACAAATTTATTATGAAGACTAAACGGACCGGGTTTGGTTTTCCATTGAACGTGTGCATACGCACTTAAGCTTGATCTAAGTGAGCACCATGAGTTGACCCCATGGCTTTGCTTTACGGGTTCACAAAAGTAGTGTGCGGCAGTGCAAAAAAACCCGTTGTATAAAAAATCATACCGAAAATCAAAATGAAAAAAAATAATAATTTTTAAAATACTTGCGTAGCGGGACTTCCCGTGGTTTCTTTGCACAGCTAATGAATTACCATAGTTTCGACCATGACGCCATGGCCACGTCAGACATGCTGAAGCAGCAGTCTTATGGCCACCATTCCACATATCGAAACGAACCTTCAGAGTTTGATTTTTTTTCATTAGTAGAGAATGGAGTGGACTCCCACCATCTCTCCAATGACCAGCTGCACCAAGCCATTCATGCCAATCAGAAGTTCATGTCCAACCTGCCTCAACTCACTCCTGATACTACTGAAGGAAATCGCACTGGTAGCTCTGTGCTGACTGGTCATAACCCGGACTATGCTACCATGTCACCACTGAATATGGCTACGAATCCCGAGAATGCTGAAGAGTTTCACACCCCATTGCAAACCAGTACAAGGTATACGAACCATGACGAATTTCATAATATCATGGATGATGAGGTAGGTTATGGGGTTTCCCCCCTTTTTTTTTTCTCATACTGGTGTGGTTTGCCCGAATGTGGTTTTTTTCTAATACCCCATTTTTTATCTTTTTTTTTTTTTTTTGTAAAAAAACAGAACTTCTTCACACCGTTAGTGTCACCTGCCATTACACCGGTGTTCAATGGGGGATACTCCAATACCACGATGGCCAGTATGAACCATGATGTTCATTTCTCGCCACTTTCTTCTCCGGCACTGCATCCTCACCAGTCATCACCTCACTTTTTCGGTGATATGCAATCGAATGGTCATCAAGAGGACGGACAATCAGCTGAGGCTATTTTGCAGCGTAAGCTTGCCCTGATCGAACAGCAGCAGCAGCATTTATTAGCCCTGCAACAGCAACAGCAACAAAAAATGCAGCAATCTGCCTCGTCACCCAGATTGCAATCAACTAGCAATAACAACAAGCGAGGAGCAAGGTCCAATTCTATCAAATCTCCTTATCAAAATGGTTACAATGGTAATGTCAAACGACAAGCAACGCTTAGACAAAAAATTGCTATGGCTAGTCCCCAACTCAAAAGCTCCATGGTTAGTCAAACGGATGGAAGATCAAACGGTGGATATCAAACCCTAGGCAATATGGCCCATATGTCACCTTTACAGCAGTCTGCATCTTCACCTATGCTGGATTCAAGTATGCCACCACCATTACCGCAAACATCCTACTCAGCTGCATCACCGCATGCACTTCGACCAGCAATGTCGTCAGCACCATCTTCACCAACCTCGCTGGCACCCGCAACCCCTGCATCGTTAATGAAGCTCAATGGAGGTAGAGGAAGTGGATCCAATAGTGTGTCATCATCGCCGTCAAGCAATGCCAATGCAGGCGACTTGGGGTCAGTCGATCATATGCCTAGTTTACCTGATGCCATTTTACCTATGGTACTGGATGCGCCACCTCAGTATCCCTTGTCATCACCGTCTCTCAAACCCACCTCGAACAGACGGCGAAGCAGTACCAATCGGAAAAACAAAAAGGAACCATTTGCTTCACCAGCTATTGCCCCTAATTTTGGTCTCTCACCGAGAATGTCCATGAGTGATCCAACCATCATTATGTCACCAGCCGCCCTCCGACCTCAAGTATCCCAATCTCCACGGGCTCTCAAGCCCTTAATATCCCCATCTCTCAAGCCCAATTGGCCACCTACTCCAAACTCAGGTGTAGTGGACCAAGAAGCAGCGGCCCACATTTTGGCTTCCAAGAGTAATTATCAAAACTTACGAGAAGGCAAGATTGCCAGTTTGGGGATGCAGTTTTCACCCAGTATTCATTCTGGCATTGAGATACGACGAACTGCTCACAAGGCGGCAGAACAACGACGAAGAGATACCCTGAAGAAAAGCTTTGATTGCTTACGAAATGAAATTGTTGGATCGCTTGTGAATGAAACCGTTCAAGGAGCTGAAGATGACGACTCGACTGACACTGTGGTCGAAGATGAAGTGCGCAAGGAGAAGGAGAAGGAAGTCAAACAGATGAGCAAAGTTGTTCTGTTACAGCACTCGTTTGAGTACATTGTGCGACTCAAGGACGATAATCGATTGAAAGATAGCAAGCTTGACCGTGTGACGCAGAAGCTTCGTGAGCTTAGAAAACAATCTGGTCTCCCCGAGGTCACGGAAGAGGAAATGGAAGAGGAACGGGAAGAAAAGGCTGAAGCAAGGCGTCGACGTATTGAACGAACCGAACGCCTGGCCTCCTCTCAACGAGAAGAAGAAGAGAACAATGGAGATACTTCACGTCGCTCAAGTACTCGAAGCAATGATGTTGAAGAGAGCGAGTAACGGCCCACCCTCCTCGACAAAATTTTCCTTCTACCATTTCCTTGCTACCACACTTGCTAAGTTATAAAGGTTTTCAATCCTTGACCCCTTCATCTATAGATTTTTTTCAATTTCTTCGTTATTTCCTTTTTTTTTTTTTTTTGCTTATTACTTTTTTGATTTTATCCCGTTTTTGCATCGTTGCTCTATATATTTTTTGGCATATCTCACCATATTTTTGGAAGTTTGCTCCGCCGTACTTCACTGATTTGTATCAACTTTTTCAGTTTTCTATTCAAGTGTAATGTAATAATCCTTCTCACATTGAGAAGGTCTTTCCAACCCATCATCGTGTTGTCTTCTCTTTGTCTGCTGTGGCAGACCATGGTAGTGACATGTGCAGATAATTGTGCTCGACACGCTGCAATTGAAATTTAATCGTACGCGATCTTCCTTTTGTGGGGTAAAAATATCCTACCATTCACTCGGTATTGGCCCTGTTACCATACTTTATTTTTTGACTTGCCATGGTTTGCAGTGATGGTGTGTTCTAGACATCTGACCGAAAGATCATGTCATTCTGATGTATTGGTGCAATAACTTTATTTCCAAGTCTTCTTCCACTTGCCTATATTGCAATTTCCCATTTGCATGGTTCCCCGATCATGTTGTATTGCTAAGCACTTCATTGAACAAAAATGCTGTACCTTCGTTTCCATTCGGTATCTCATCTTTGTTGTGCATACTTGCTTTTTGCACGAGTGAAAACGATTATGGTAGACATGGAAGAACTTTGGCAACTTCCACAAGCAATACATCATGACAAGGGAACGTTCTGAAGAATATCGCATGATCAATAATAATGCTTATTTCAAAATCTGGCATTAAAATTACATCAGGTGGGCCTTTGGGTGTGAACTACCGTTCGGATTTCGAACAAGACGTTGTTCGGCAATGGAACTGGAAGTCGGAGGGCTGGTATAGGGTTTTTGAAGATGACGCGAAGTGATAAATCGATAGAGATAAAGCAATGCTAAACAACGTAAACGTCGTAATTTTACTCGCTCTTGCCTTTGCATTGCAACACTATGCTTGCCTCTATTTCTGTTCGCAGAAAGCTACATCATCCTTCTAGAATTTATTTTTTATTTTTTTTACGTTCAACATGCACCATGAGACATCAATCAAGATTAAGATTAGGGTGCATCAACGAAGCTGAAAGAATGTCTGGTAGCAATACGTAGCATTGCGTAGACAGAGCAGATGGTCCCCACAGTTATGAACCATCATTCAGCCGAGTCATATACCGGCCAACATGAGTTAATATAAAACAGCGGAAAAAGGTCAATGGGTTCACTCCTTAAAAAATGATGTCAATGCCATTAACCAATCTACTCCTTATACTACTTTCTTTCCAATCATTGTGTTCAGCTGCTGTCATCAAGAGAGAAGGCACAGCATGGAATTACTGGCGAGACAAAGCTTTTGGTGCCAACGTTGGCAACTGGCTCGTACTTGAACGATGGATAGCACCTCAGCTATTCGAACAGCATGCTCCAAACGCTAATGATGAATGGACATTCTGTCAACAAGCCACCAATGCATCGGAAATTCTGAAAGAGCATTGGAGAACCTGGATTACTGAAGATGATTTCCGTACTCTGGCCAGTGTAGGCGCCAACCACATCCGTATACCCGTTGGATACTGGGCTTTCATAGCACCTATCGATGGCGAGCCCTATGTGACAGAAGGACAAAAACCGGAGCTAGAACGTATATTATCATACTGTGGAAAGTACAACATCAATGCGCTCATTGTGTTACATGGTCTACCGGGATCACAGAATGGTGAACAGCACTCTGGACATGCTGGAGCCATCGAATTCTACCAGCGTGACCACTATTCGAGAAGCTTGACCGCCGTTCAAGCAGCTGTGGATTGGATGAATAGTCTCCCATACGATCTCAAGTCTCGAATCTCGGGCATAGAACCCGTAAACGAACCTCAAGTTAGAGATGATCGAGAATTCCGTCTACTATCCTATTATTACAGGAAGTCCTATGATATCATCCACCAGTCAGCATACCAAGTGCCAATGATCTTCAGCGATGGATGGAGACCGATTGACCAATGGCGTGACCTTTTGCCCAGTGGGGCTAATGCCTTGATCGATTGTCATATCTATTATGCCTTCGACCCCAGTGCGACAAGGTCTAGTGTTAAGGAGGACATCTGTAGAAGGGCCTCTGCGTTCAAGAACTTCAATCTCCCCGTCCTAATTGGAGAATGGTCACTAGCAACCCAATTCTCAGGTGACGATGATTGGAGTCATCAGTTCATGGATACACAAGTTGCATCGTGGAGTCAGGGAGCAGGCGGGATTATGTGGACCTTGAAAAATGATATAAACTCAAAGGAATGGTCTTTTGAGAAATTGGTCTCAATGGGCATTATCAACAATGAAACCTTGTACAAACATCCACGATCGGCGTGCTGATGTACGCGTACGTAGTAGCCATTTTCTACATATGGTAGATCGCGATCAGGAAAATTAGATCATTTTCCGGCAGTCCATTTTGTACCAAATAGAACGAACCATTGATAGATTCCTTTTCTGTATCAGCTAGAAATCATCAAGACATTGATAAATCAATAGAAAAAAAATGTAGGCACACACTCAAAGAAGTAGACTTTTCAGTGGCATTATTGCCGGTTTATCAGGCGTGCACCCTCGTATGACGATCACACCAGCGCACTGTTACAGTATAGCATGTCCGAATATTACGATGGGCAACACGTCCCGACGGATGAACTTTCCCTTTGTGATACTAACAGGGTCCGGCCAAGTGATTTTAAAATGAAAAGGGAAAAGCAATATGAATCGGTATCGGTGTTAGAACCTGCTGCAGTGTTTTGTATCGACATGGAAAGAGTGGCAAGGTGAAAAGCATTTTTGACCATGCAACTTCACCATGAATCAACTCATTCGAACATAATCTCTACTAAAAATCCTACGTAGAGTGGGTAGAATGGATTTTCATGAGTTTTTGCCAAAGGTGCTTACGTTGTGTATTCAATGATTTTATTACATATAGCCAAATTCGGTAAATTTAAAAAAGCTGTTAAGTGCAGGAGACCATGCCCTGAATTTAATAAAACGGGACCCGCCGTGCTAATTTCTTTTCTCATCACTGCGAAGTTACACCTTGGTCGCTTCGCTTAGTTTGAGCTTCCACTTGAGCTTCTTATTGCTACAAAGAGATGATCCTCACGTGAATGCGTTGTATGTAACCAACGTAGTCTGAAAATCGCTTTTTGGCCAAAGGCTTCTCAAGAGTACAATGCCCCGTTTCCAGCTAGCACAAGCTGTCGTACTACTGTTGGTCTATCTTCATTTCATTTGGGAATCTTCTCCCGTCAATATCCTTTTCACCTTACATGGCCGTTTGCAGCACATTACACCTTGTTGTTTGTACCGTCAGCTTCAGGATACAGGTTGTACACAGTCTCGCGCTATTACGGGTTGGCTTATGGATGGACAAAACTAAGCGACTTCCGAAAGGTAATAAAAAAAAAAGTTACGTTATATAAAGGATCCTATTTCTCCATGTTTGTATATATCCCTTCTGCAAGGTCGATTCTTCTACCACCAAGTCAAAGATGAAATATTCCTTGTTGTCTAGCATAGTAGCCATCGGTTCGGGACTGTTGACTGTCACATCGGCCAGCCCGGTCAAGCGCGATGGTACACCTTGGAACTACTGGAGTGAAAAAGCTTGGGGAGCCAATCTAGGAAATTGGCTGATCCTAGAGAGATGGATGGACTCGACCATTTTTGACACTTATGCATCCAATGCTCAAGACGAATGGAATTTTTGTTTGGATGCTTCCAATCCCTCCCAGGCTTTGACTAATCACTGGAACAGTTGGGTAACAGAAAGCGACTTCAAGACCTTGGCAAGCGTGGGGGCCAACCATGTTCGAATTCCCGTAGGCTACTGGGCCTTTATCACTCCTGATGCAGGCGAACCCTATGTTGCAACTGGCCAAAAGGCTCAAATCGAACGTATTTTGGGCTACTGCGCAACTTACGGCATCAATGCCATCATTGATCTGCACGGTCTTCCTGGCTCTCAAAATGGTCAGGCTCACTCAGGTCATATCGGTGCTATTGATTTCTATACATCCCACAATATCCAGCGTGGTTTGAACACTGTCCAGGCTGTCGTCAATTGGGTGAATGGTTTGAACTCTACCTTGAAGCATCAAATCTCTGCCATTGAATCCGCCAACGAGCCCAACGTGGCTAACTCTACCATTTTGACTACCCTTAAAAGCTACTACCAGAACGCTTACAATATCATCCACGCCTCAACCTACGATGTTCCAATGATGTTCCATGATGGTTTCCAAGGCTTGAATGCTTGGTCTGGTTTCCTTCCTGCCCCTGCCAACGCTGTTATCGATTTGCATCCATACTGGGCTTTCCCACCCAGCACCGACAGCAGTACTATCATCTCCCAGATTTGCGCTATGGGTAGCCCGGATAGTGGTTTCCATCTTCCCGTTATGATCGGCGAGTGGTCACTTGCTTCTGGTGTCTCGTCCAGTGACACTTGGTTGCGCCAGTTCATGGATACGCAGGTCTCTGTTTGGAAGCAAAGCGCAGGTGGTACTTTCTGGGCTTTGAAGAACAACATTAACTCAGATGTTTGGTCATTCGAGCAGCTCATCTCTGAAGGATACATCAATAGCGGTACCTTCTCCGCACATACCAATGCTCAATGTTAACTATGAGCGAAACCAATGTGCTTCCAAAGCCATTTTTCTGGGATGTAGTGATATTTATTTAACTAGTAGATGAAGAAAGAGTGAATCCTTCGCTGATGTCTGGTCCATCGGTGAGATCGTTCTTCATCCATCAGCTTTTGTATACCATATACTCTCGTGATCCATAAAACCCATATTATAATCCGTCATGAGGTTTGGCCCAGCCATTTGCCTGATGTGGTCCCAATGCCAAATCAATAAGCCTGCATTGAAAAATTATGAATACCTCATAGTATTGAGATCTACACTTGTCATAAATCAGCTTCATGACGCTAGTCGTATGAATTCACTCCCAAATACAACTATAAATTCTCCATAGCCCACTCAACGCTGCGAACCTACGGACTATGAGCCTGTAGGGCGGACTATTCCCGGACCAGTACACTATTTCTGGGACATTTGTGAGAAAGTCATGGGTGATCCTTTGATAAAGTTGGCTTTCATCTCCCTATTGTATTATTCATAAAAATGTTCTGCCAGATCCACAGTATTATACGGGGAGGCAATTATGAAACCTAAAGTGGACTTGATATCGCAAATGTTTTGCACCTACCTATCCAGGATTCTTTATGTGCTTTAAGTTGCTCCAGTCAAGTGTCTATGCTACAAGCATTAGTAATCATAGAATCTGACATGAGGTACCTTGGCATCAGCACTTGGCATCAGCACTTGGCAACAGTTGATTCGCCAAGGGAGGTGAATCTGGAGAGACGCAATCCGCCTGGTCAAGGAAGGAGTAAATTCGGCCCGCGTGCAATCCTCACTGTGGCTGGAATGATTTCTAATCGTCTGATGGACCTCCCCTACAACTTAATTTTTCTAAAGACGGCCTAAAATTCGCATTGACAAACATATGGGCTGGCAAGCGTAAAATGACTGGCAATATCTCTCATCCTTCACAAAGCGCAGCATCTAATATCGAAGAGCCATTGGGCAACAGCTATGAGAATATCGATGACTGCGCACGTCGGAATAATGATGGGGATGCGTAAGCTTCGTCCATGCCTCCTGGGTGTCACTCACTTCTCAATTGGGCCAAAAAGGAAATTTATCAATGCCTCACTGGCCGGTAACACTGCTGTTCAGCCTCCGGGTTATCAACTTTTGCAATGGAGGACTGCTATGTTTTGCATACGTACTCGTCGTCGTCGAAGCCGTGACCGGAGCCGTATTTTATCCGATTTTCTTTTTCTGTTCTATATATTGGCCATGTCGATCGATGTCGAACTGTATAAAACAATATCAGAACATGGTTAAAGTCCTCGTCTTTGGAGCTACTGGCGCTATTGGAAAGGAAGTCGCTCGTGCATTCTCCCGAAATGGCCACACTGTCTATGGCTTGACTCGAAGTGCCAAAAAGGCACACGAACTTGAGCGTGAAGAAAGTAAGTACTGATATTTTTTCTCAATTGAACGCCGATGGACCTGGTAGGCTAAATTTTGCTCAGTCAATGGAGTTGTTGGAGATGTTTCAGATCCGTCCACATGGAAACATCTGATCAAGAACGTGTCTGTCATTATTGACACCTCCTTCGATTACACAAATCCCGCCGAAAAAGCCTCCAAGCTTATCCAAGAAGTCGCTGAAGCAGTCAAGGAGTACCCAGAAAGACGATTTACCTACATTTACACCTCTGGTACATGGGTCTATGGTAATGACGCTGGTGTTACCGTTACCGAGTCTGATGCTGTCAATCCCATCCCCATAGTGGCATGGAGACCAGCTCTGGAGCAGCTTGTGATCCAAAGCCAGGACTTTGATGGTGTGGTTATCCGTCCTGGTATGGTCATTGGCAAGTCTGGCTCCATTTTTGGCATGTTGTTCAGTGCTGTTCAAAAGGGCCATATCACTCTTTATAACGATGAGAATACACGTATGGCTTCTGTTCATACAGAGGATCTTGCTGAAATGTACGTTGCCGCCGCGGAGAAGATCTACGCGGCCAAAGGACAAATCTTCAATGTTGTGAACAGCCAAACTGAAAACACCACCGATATCGTCAAGGCCATTATCCGTTTGGTCAACCCAGAGTCTACTATTACATACGAAAAGCCGACCGACCCGTTCCAAACCGCACTCGGATTGTACAGCCCTATTTTTGATATCAGCAAAGCTGTGAACCTTCTGGGTTTCCAACAGAGGCACAGTGGTGCAGTGGATGGTGTTGAAAGGTACTACAAAAGCTGGAAGGCTACAGCCACTGAGTGGGAAGATTGCAAGAACTGAAAAATAGCAAGAACTGTAGCAAGAACTGAGGCAACGTGTTTTGCTTAAACTTTTTTTGACACTGGGGGCGTTAACCGATACCTTTCTGCTGATTAACGTTCGGCGTCGTTACATGATTTCCCTTGTACCATTTAGATCTTGCCATCCAATATAATAAACATATCCTTTCTACTCTTACGCTTTGTAATAATGCAGAAAACACTGTGTCAATGTCATTTTAGATGACATTAATACCCACTATTGGGTATATAATTTTTGTTGGTGCTTTAGTGGGCTGTGCTGTTTCTTGTTGATAAACGCCTTATTAAGGAAATTTTAAGTCAAGGCCGATGATCCTGAAAAATACGTTTGGGTAGCCATGTAGAGAGAGACTGGAATTCATGATTGAGTGCTGACATAGATTTCATTTAAGAAGCAATTGGTTTATAAAGTTAACATGTTACTAATTGTCTAAATACGTTAACTGCACCACTTAATTGAAACCTCAGCCTGGCAATGCCGGCCAACATTGTTTATAATGCTATGGCCGGTTTAGAACGCCGACAGGGTTAGGAAACCGTAGTCCGACGGGGCAAAATCATATAAAAACCTTGACCTCAAAACCATAGTACAACTCCAATTCAACACACACAAGACAACAACAGTCAAGAAAAAAATAACAAGATGGTCAAAGTTCTCCTTTTCGGTGTTACAGGCGTTATTGGAAGAGAGGTAGCCAGATCCTTTGTGCGAAGAGGACATGAAGTCTATGGCGTAACTCGCAGTGAAAGCAAGATCAAAGAACTTTTACAAGAAGAGAGTATGTATTAAGCTACTAGCATAGAGGTCCAATTTTATTGCCTTATGGGTAACTAATTTTTTGACTACAGTCAATGGTGTAGTCGGTGACGCGGCCGATCCATCCACATGGACTTCCCTCCTTGAACACGTCAGTGTCATTATCGACACGTCGGCTGGCTACAGTGATCCCACCAAGGCTGCCTATAAGTTACTTGAGGACATTACATCCGCAGTCAAGCAGTATCCTAAAAAGCGATTCACCTTCGTTTATACCTCTGGACTATGGGTATACGGCGAGGGTCTCGGCAAAACAGTGGATGAGACTTCGCCAACAAATGCTATCAAAGCTGTTAGCTACCGACCAGAGTTTGAGCAAAAGGTGATCGAAAGCACTGCATTTGATGGTCTCGTCCTTCGACCTGGCTTGGTCCATGGCCGAAGCGGATCTATCTTCGGCGTATGGTTTTCACAAGTTGAAACTGGGTCTGTTACCTTGATAAATGACGATCAAACACGCATTGGACCTATCCACGCCGACGATCTAGCGGAGACTTATGTCAACGCCGTCGAGCGCATCCAAGTGACAAAAGGACAAATCTTCAATCTCGCTAACCGCCAAACTGAGAACGTGACGGATGTCATCAAGGCCATGGCGCGAGCCGCTAACGTTGATGTTAAAATCACCTATCAAAAAGCCACTAATCCATTTGAGGAGGCTCTTGGCTTACATGGTCCCACCTTTGATGTCAGCAAGGCTATTAGCGTTTTAGGCTATGAGCAGCGTCGCCCAGGTGTAGTGGACGGTATGAATCGTTATTACAAGAGCTGGAAGGCTCATCAGCAGTAGCAGAATCATGCCCTTCTGATTAGATGACAAAGTACTACAAAGATTTTTTTTCTTCGGTTACATTGAAATAAAATAAATATTGGGGTAACGTGGTCGATCCCACACCGCTGCCATCTCGTGACATGGTATATGGGATGAGGTTTTATTAAGCCATTTGGTTGATTGGTAATTTGGTCATATCTGGAATAAAATGTGAGTCTCTATGGAACTTGAAGAAACATTACGGGAATAGGCGAAAAAAAATTCTTAATACCAGAAAAATTTTCGTAGCAGTGAGGGATTTCTGGCGAATCGTATTGGGAGCGGTCCATTTTGGGACCATTTGCCTTGGGTGACAAAGCATTTCATAAGTTTGGGTTTATTTTCTGGTCTTTATTTCTTTTTCTACTTATCACTACTTTCACACTCTATTGCTGCTCAACATGGGCGACGAGAACACCGCAACAAAGGCTTCAAGGTGGGGTTTGGAACGGAAAATATCCACCAAAGAAGGTGGCCTACTGCATTCACTTTTCCACCCATCTCGATCTCAGTCCAACGCATCGTCAGTCTTGCCTACCCCAGCTGAAGAAGATCCGAATCGAACTAATGCCGGCAACCACAATGAGGCCATACCCGCACCTGCCATTTCTATTGTGTCAGCTAGCACTAACCAACAAGCCATACCAGGCAGCCCTGCCTTGACCAACAGTAGCAGACCCACTTCCCCGGTCTCTTCGACGGGCGGTAGTGGTAATGCCACCAATACCAATAACAATCAAGCACGATTCCAATTATCAGAGGACGGTACACATCGACATCATTTGGTTATGCCAACCGTCAGCAAACTCACTTCGTCTTTAAATGGGTTGACCGGATTATTTCATGCCAGCAAAACACCTCACTTCAAACTTCCCCAGTGGGGAGCCAAAGAAGACGACACCTTGCACGTTGTTGATGAAAAGAAGCTGTCCAAGACTTCCTCTGATGTCAGCTTGGCTGCCAAGTGGGGAACTTGCCAAGAAATCATTGGAAAAGGTGCATTTGGCGTGGTACGGATTGCTCATAAAGTTGATCCATCTGTCCCGGGAACGGGTGAGCGACTATACGCTGTCAAAGTAAGTGACATATCTCTGGCATTAACCCCATGTATGAGTTTCACCAATGTTCTGATCTAAAGTGACTTACACCTTTTTTAGGAATTTAAGAAGCGAAGTGACGAAACACCTAAACAATATATTAAACGGCTCACGTCTGAATTTTGTATATCATCTACCTTGCATCATCGAAACATCATTCAAACCCTAGATCTTTTACCAACGGCTGAAGCATCGACTACGTATTGTCAAGTCATGGATTATTGCAATGGTGGAGACCTGTTTCATCTGATTTTTGAATCCTCCGGCGGGCTAGCAACACAAGAAGCCAATTGCTTCTTCAAGCAGCTCATTCGGGGTGTAGAATATTTACATCGCATGGGAGTTTCCCACCGTGACCTCAAGCCAGAAAATTTGTTGTTGACGACCGATGGTTGCCTAAAGATATCTGATTTCGGCTCATCCGAATGCTTCCGTATGGCATGGGACTCACGTAGTAACCAAAAGAACTGCGCCATCCAAGGAAGTACTGGAATATGCGGATCTGAACCATACATAGCCCCGGAGCAATTTGAAAAGGGCGAGTTTGATCCTCGACTTGTCGACATTTGGAGTTGTGCCGTCATCTATATGGCTATGCGAACCGGCAAGCATCTTTGGCACGTTGCTAGACCTGAGGACCAGCATTATGAAAAATACTTGGCGTTCCGTCAAATCGTCGACGAAGAACGAGACAAAGCTCGCCGCATGCGAAGCGTTCACCGTACGTGTAGCACCGATGCGGAAAGAAAAGCGGAGCACGAACGCAGTGAGAAGGAGAAAAATGAAGGTATCGTCAAAGCTCGAGAGATAATAAGACGTAAAACCAAGGAAGGCGGCTTTGACGTTCTGGACGGCCTTGAATTTGGGGCAAAGAAATTGATCTACCGTATGTTGGATCCTAAAGCATCTCGCCGGTCGTTTGCTTCGGATATTCTCAAGAACGAATGGTTTGCTTCAATTTGGTGTTGTCAACCTTTCGAAGAACCCCATTCTCCCATGTTAAAATCTCCGTGTGCAGCCGACCAAACCTCAATCTCTTCAGATCAATCCGGAGAAACGTCCTCCCCAGTCGGTTAGAATTATTACCCTGTTCGCCTCCCCCTCTTCTGGCTGTCTCTCTTCCCTTACTGTAGCTTTAGCCTTTGTAACTTTGATTATATTCTTAGCATTACTTTGTACTATATTGTATGCCCTCCTTGACTTTTTGTTGTTTAAATAGTTCAACATTGCCTTCCCCATTATAATTCCATATATAAAGAGCCTCTGCTACTGCTGCTATTTATGTGCGAATTACAACATAGTTTATTGATTAAATTTGTTTGGTATAATGTACACCAGGTTTAAAGTGTACAATGCAAAGTTGGACAACACTGATATGTCGCCAGCGACTATTGTTCATGATGTCGGCACTAAATCAAATCATTGGCCACCTCTGGTGCCTCGACAGCAATGGTGGTTGCCAAGTTGGGCTGGTTGCTTTGAGGAGGTGCGTCATCGGTTTGGACCTCATCCTCACTGCTGGCTGTGGGATGGACAAGGAAAGCGGTCAAACTGGTGAGGAGGGCGACGAAGGCACAGAAATAGAACGTCAAGCCCGGCATGGTTTTAACCGTAGCCGCATACAATGCATTGACGCAAAATTGTGAAACAATGCCAGCAAATGCATCCACAACCGAAATGGCACCAAAGAGTTCACCTATTTCGGTGGGCTTGACCAGCATGGTCAGGAGCGACCTGGTGCTCGGCTGGGCAATCATCGATAGGGCCTGGATGGCGCCTGCTGCATAGAATGTTCCACCTGTAGGCACCATAGCCAATAGCGCTAGACCCACTGCATCCACCAAGTATCCAGCTCTCATCATCCAGACGTCAAACAAGATATCGTTGCGACGGCTTTGACCGGGTCGCTTGAAGAGACGAGTAAGAATCGGAAGCAACACCATGAGGGCAATAAGGCGTACGAACGAAGACATGCTCATGTAGAAACCACCCTCGTAGGCAGTCCATCCAAATTTCAACATGGCATAGAGTAAGGTTGGGGGTATCATGATGATGGTGATGAGAAACATAATAGTCGCCATTTGGTACAATGCATAGCGATTGGCATGGGCTGGTCTAGTTCGTACGATGATGTGGAGGGCAGAAAAAATATTCAGACTTTCTTTGATGGTTTTGCGTTTCTTGGTGCTGTGTTGTCCAACAAACGGATTAGATTCTGGTAAAATGAAGAGTGCATAAAGGAGATAACCGATGTCGCCCACGAGATTAATGTAAAATATGTTGACTAAAGAGCCAGTTTGCTGAAGGAAGTAAATTAAAACAGTTAGACGACGCCCATCAACTCTATTGCAATCTTGGTATCAGAACATGAAATCGTCTTGTCTTACCTGGATGACCCAACTGCCTAGCAATGGACCTACAGCCAAGCCAGAGAACATGGTTGCCATAATAAATGACATGTAGAGTGTGCTGACCAATCAATGTGGTAAGCAGATCGGTCGGAGATTGTAGTTTCTACTCAAAATGGCACTCACCGATCTCGTGGGTCTGTAGCATCTGATATGTAAGCGTTGAAGGCTGAGAAAACAGTGTGTTCACCCGCCAAAAGTCCCTTCAATATAGGTGCAATGAAGATCGGTATAATACCCACGACATCTTGGTACTCAGCAACCAAGATGATCATGGCCGTATACAGAATCATACCAACAGCTGAAGTGCGAATGACAAATAATCGGCCGCGGAAATCTGACTCTTCGCCAAACCAACCTGCTGTCAAAAGTACTATAGACAAATATAAACAATGATGTGGGGATGATGAGTACGATGTTCCTCCAACGATTTTAACCAATGGCCATAGTTTTCTTACTCGATACGGA